GTACTTTCAATTGAATTGTGTTTTGAGCTTAGGTGTTCGCTTGACAAAGTTCTCTGGCCAGTTCTTGCCAACGTGGCCGGCGGCGCGCTCGGCGAGCAATTTGTTGGCCATCTCTCGTACAGCATGCAGGTTGGGCGGAAATCCTCGCGAATCCAGGTCGAGTATATGTTGAACAACAACTGATTCCTCCAGCTTGGAAAGCTTCTTCGAATTAGGCTTAGAATCGCGTCGTGGGGTCGTTCCAGCGCGTTGATCTCGAAGTGTGCTTCTGGGTACGTTATATGTCGTAATAGCGCGCCGTTCGCTTTTAAATTGCTGCTGATTGATTGCTGCGATAGCCATGCATATTCGACCTTCATTTTGTATTGATTGCACGTTGTGTTGTCGACGCATGGTGGTTGGAAGTTGACGCGTCGCGTTTTTGTGATGAAGTGGACGGCTCGCTTGGGTGGACGGCTCGCTTGTGGAATACGTTAGTGTAATGTAGTAATGCATTGTGTTCCGGAGCGGGTTGATTGCGATGCACCTCAAACGTACACGACGTCGAACAACAACGTATACATGGCAAGGTGAGTGCGGGGCTCCCCCGAGGTTGGACACCTTCATAGTGACGAAGGCATGAATTGGCCGTCCTGAACCTTCGATTGATCGACAACATCCCTCATGTCCGGCCTGGAAATTGTAGGAGTGGTCCTAGGATTATTTCCATTGGTCATCTCGGCCGTTGAACAATACACGAACGGAGTATATGCAGCAAAGCGAATTTTCCATTATGATAGTCAAGCCAGGCGCGCGTATACATACGGTTTCGAACAGAGCAAGCTGTCTGCAGGAATGAGTTGCTGCAGCTGTTACCGAGTGGTTCTACTGAAATTGCCGGAGTAAGAAGTCAGATTGAAGGTATAGAAGACTTGTGGAAACATCCGGATGTTGAGAATACCATAAGGATGGGGCTCAAGGGAGACTACGATGTCTTCATTGCTATAGTCCAGGAGATGATTGGATTCATGAAAGAGATCATGGAAATATTGGGTGTTAGTATGTCTGGAAAAGTGAGCTGATCAATCTATTCCTCGGATTATTGTTGCAGTAGTAATGCTGACACAGAGGTCTTGATTAGGTGCCATCAGGTGAAAACAGTAAGCTGAAGCAACATATGAAGATCAAGTTTGCTCTTAGAAAGGGCGAACTCAAAGACCACTTTGAAGACCTAGAAAGAACGAGTAGGTCGCTGAGTCGACTCTCCAAACAAGCGCTCGAACTGGAGGCAACCGCCGTCTTCGCAAGCAAGTATCAGCGTCCCGATCTCAACGTGGTTCGAGAGTGTGCCGAGGGTATATACAGCATCTTACAGCGAGGCTGGAAATATGGCTGTCGAGTGCAACATACTGTTAGCCTTCGACTAGAAGCCAGGACTCATGACCGTTCATTTGAGGGCACAGATGTTTTGCGAAAGCTCAAGTTTAGAGTCGTCTTCTCACACACCCATGGCGAGTCCTTGAATGAGAAGTCTTCGTGGGATTGGAAAGAGGGAGATGTTTAGCTCCTGGATCATGAACGTGGCGATGTAGGCGAGGGAGGAGTCGCTAAGGAGGTTCAAGAACGGGAATCGAAGAAGCGCAGGAAGAAGGGGGTGAGGTTCGCCGCCGAAGCCAAGGAGATGATTTCGTCAATTCAAGAACCCACCTTCCACTCTACTCCAGGGCCTATTCAAGACTTGTGCATGTCAATAGGAGGTCTTCAGAAAGAGCAGCGTATTGGGTGTTTCGGGTTCTTGATGGATGCTGAAAAGAAACGCAAGTGCTCGATATACAGCGTTCCATCAGCGATGATGAAGTAGGGACCTTGGACTGTGGTTTCATTGGCCAGAATGATCCGTAACCGGCGTTTCTCTCGTTCCGACAGACTGAATATTGCCCTTATTGTAGCGCCCAGTGTGTTGCAATTATATCAGACTCCGTGGCTGGACGAGACGTGGGGAAAGGAGGATATTCTCTTCATGCAGCGGCCGGGAGGCGAAGTCATATTAGCTCCGTTCGTTTCTCGTCAATTCTCGACAGCTCCAAGTACGCGAGATGGTACTACGCGGTGCACAAACATTGCAAGGAATAGACTGGTCCGAAATACATGGCTTTTCGCACTCGGCGTCCTCCTCATCGTGCTGTGCTATGGCAGATCGTTAGAGGATCTTCGAATCCCAGAGGATGGCGGCGATGATAGTGGCGTTGCAAACTGGGACCTCTTCGCAGCCTTCCGCCTTAGGAAGGATGAAGGGATTTTCTCAGAAGCGGGCGGACGGTATGGAGATGCGGTCCGACGCTGTATCCGTTGTGACTTCGAGCAAAGAGTTACCGATCTCGATACCAAGGAGTTTCGAGTGACGGTGTATGACAGAGCGATTGTTTCGCTGGAAGAAGATTGGAGACAGTTCCGGGCGATAGCTTGAAGCTGACCTGTGAAGGAGATGGTTGGTGGGAGAAGAATGAGACATTTGGAGACATTGGAGTTGTGTGGTATGCTGGGGAGTGTCAGTCGCATATTGTCTCAAAGGTTTCATGGCTGAGTGGTAATCTTTTTCGAAGAATCTTTTCGGGTAGTTCGTTGAGACTTTGTGTGAACTATGGTTCGATTAGCATTGCTGGGTTCGATTAGGGAGCACTTGCGATGCCTACAGAAACGACGTTATGAGGGCGGATCCTGCACGGATCCAATTCAAACATAGTCCAATTCACCAATGCCGATGCATTTTATCAATGGATAACTACGGTACTCCGAGTGCGGTTCCCGGTTCTCCAGCGCCGATGTTTGCACTAGTAAACGTGTCACATGAGGTTCCTCTGATGGTGGATTTCTTTTGCGGTAATATCTCAGGCGGCAAGCTTGCAATAGAGAAATAGCTCAAGACTGAGAAAAACGACATGCAGAAGAAGTTGATTTATAAAAGCAGATGATCCAATGGCTCTGATTCGTTGAGCTGTGAGAATGTGAGAATACCTAGCTCCCATCCATCAAGGCCGCCCAGCATTCCCCAGCCCAGCCATCTCAAGCGCGGAAGCTACGGAAAGCCCCCGCCCCACAGTCTGATAAGCTCGCGATGGTGACATCCTGCAAGTGAGCTGCAAGGCGTCGTGGTGGTTGGATGACGCGTGGTGCGATTGGAGAGCGAAGACTCGGGAGACGCGTCCACGGAACTGCAGAGGCTGATGCTGATTCGGCGCCGCTATCAATGCGCAGCGAACCCGCAGCTCGACTGCAGAAGCTCGCTGCGGAAGCTCGACTGCTGGCGAGGGCCGCGGCATCACATTCGGCGGTGTTCGATGGCGATGGGCGAGAGCTCGGGCGTGGAGCACGGCAGGAAACCAGCCACCGGGCGTTGCCATGCAGAAAGCCATCTGCAAGACGGCCCCAAGCTTAGGCCAATGGGGCGCCAGAAACCGCGAAGAGGCTGGGAGACTCCATGTTGCTCAGCTGAAAAGCACGCTGCGGGCTCCGAGGGCGTGTCCGCTATCGTTTGTTTGCACCAGAGCGCCCCAAGCGGCCAATGGCGGCACTCCACGAGATGAAGGAGGAGGGCACTGGCGGCCGTGCGACCCACCGCGAGTCGCACGTCGGCAGCCCGGGCAGCTGCACGCAACCGCGCAGCAGATCGAGCGCCTGTCTGGCAACTGAGGCCCGCGAGAGCAGCCGGGACAGCGAGGGCAGCGAGAACAGCGCGGTGAGGCCGGACGGGAGGCTCTGAATCGCGAGGCAGCTCGGGAGCGCTCTGTTGAAGCAGCTGGCCGTATCGCACGTGAAGGGGGCTGGCCCGCTAGGCCGCTTGCGATGTTTTGATCGGCCGGGGTCGCGTCTGTTGGCCCAGCCTCCCCCCAAACACAGACCTCCACTACTTGAAGCGACGGCCGCTCAGAGCCAACTCACCCCAACCCACCCGCCTCACCAATTGCACTCACCGTCACAATCCCCATCCAACCCCATCACAGCCCGTCACTCACCGCAAGCTGGCTCTTTAAAGGCTTCCTTCGCACCCTTCTTCCCCCCTACCCGACAGCACTGTCACCCCAAGGAGCCGAGAAGTTTCTCGTGTCTTCCTTCGAATTGTCCCGACGATTCGAGGGGCTACGCGAGAAACCTTTAGGTCTTGACGCTGGATTTCGACGCCCGCGTCCCGATCCCCTTCAGTGTCTTCCCGTCAGCGTCCGTCGATCGAGGCCCCTCCAAACGCGCTCAGGCTGACAGCCGCAGGTATCGGAGTGACGCTGTCACAGCAGAAACAACACACGTCAAGGTAGAGGCCGAAGAAAAGCTACCTCAGGCTCCGGGACGGGAAGTGAGTGCACCCCTTCAAAATCGCCGTCACAGCACTGTGCAGCACGCTGACTCGCGCAGGGTCACGAAACTCGCATTGAATCCTTCTCGAGTACCGTCCCAGCAGACCGCCCAGTAGATCGCCAGTACCACGAGGAGCTCCGCGTCTACGAGCAGGACCGAGTTCGCCAGCCACAGCCACCTCAACAACAACAACAGTACAAGGAGGACGTCCGCGTCTACGAGCAAGAGCGCCGCTTTCCCCAGGAGCAGCAACGCACCGAGGTCGAGTTCTCCCGCCAGCAGACCCGTGAGCAAACCCGCGAGCGGTAAGTGCCAGCTAATAAGCCCCTTTTTCTTGGCGAGCGCCGTCGAGCTAGCCCGATTCTTTTATTTTGTTGTCACCTAGGTGACGGGGCTCCACTTTTCCCTCCCGTCTTTCCCTCAAGCTCCCGCTGACCTTTCCCTCCCTCACAACAGATACCAACAACCCTACCAACGTTACGTCGGAGCCCAGCTCGACGTCCAGGACAGGTCTTACGACAGAGAGTTCAACACTGTCCACGGCCCTGCCACCGACTACGCCCCTACCCAGATCGACGTTACTGAACGCGAGTACCGTGAGCGTACCCGTCCCATCGTTGCCGGTTACACGAATATCTCGTCTAGCCCCAGCTACGATCAGCCCACGCAGTACGTCCAGGAACGCTACGCGTCCCAGACTGCCCAAGACACCCAGCCTCGCTACGGTCAACGCGAAGCCGACTTTGTCGACTCCCGCTACCCTCCTCCAGCACGAGGAGAAGTTCGAGTAGAGCAAACTACTCGAGCAACTGTCGACCCCCCCAAGAAGTACAAACGTGACATGGGATATTACGACGAAGACGGTCAATACCACTCCTTCCGCCACGGTCTCCACAAAGCTGCCGACCGCGTCCTCCACCCCATCCACGGTTCTAAGCACCATCATCACCACTCCCAGCCCGACGACCGCGAGGAAGTTGTAATCAAGGAATCCTACACCACCTCCGCCCAAGCTCCTCCCACCTCCCGCATCAGCGTCGGCATTCCCCAAGAGTCTCTCTCCTACGCCGCTCCCCAGCCTACCTACGCGTCCGCGTCGATCTCAACCTCCCGCAACATGGCTGTCCCTAACACCATCACCATCCCATGCCATCACATCCGCATTGGCGATCTCCTGATCCTGCAGGGCCGCCCTTGCCAGGTGATCCGCATCACCACCTCGTCGCAGACTGGCCAGCATCGCTACCTCGGTGTTGACCTCTTCACCAAGCAGCTGCACGAGGAGTCCAGCTTCATCTCCAACCCGGCCCCATCGGTCGTGGTCCAGAACATGCTCGGCCCGGTCTTCAAGCAGTACCGCGTGCTCGACATCCGTGAGGATGGCCGTGTCGTTGCCATGACTGAGACTGGCGATGTCAAGCAGGGTCTTCCTGTCCTTGACCAGAGCGGCCTTTCTTCCCGCCTTGCTGAATCCTTCGACAACGGCCGTGGTAGCGTCCGCATCCTTGTCATCAACGACGATGGCTTGGAGATGGCCGTTGACTACAAGGTCGTCCACGGATCCCGATTGTAGATGTTCTTCCGTTTGTCAATGGTATGTCTCTCCTTACCCACATCCATCAACCATCAGCTAACATCCTCTGTCAGGTCGTCAAACACTCTGTATGTGTCACGAGAGCATCTAGGAGTTTTGTTTCCGGTCGGCCCCAATTCCCCATCAGATTGTGTCAATAAGTCCTTCCTTCTCTTGGTTACATGTGTGGCTCGATGCCTCGGTGCTCTTGCTCGACCTTTGCTCTTTCATGACGTTGCTTGTAAATTATCATCTTGGCTCCTGATGTCAGCGTCTTGGAGGGTATAGCCGGGCGCGGGGTGTTCCGGGTTATTGGGTGGTTTGAAAAGTGAGGGAGGTGTGAATAGCTAATGATCTGGCTTCTTGTTGCTGTCCATTGTTTACGCGTGTGATGTGTTTTGTGATTCGCTAGTGCTTTTGATGAGTCAGCGCATGGTTTGACGACATCTCCAGTCCATGTTCTCCTCTACTTATCGTACTACGGATCGCAGTCATCCGGTTATCTATGAAATGTTAACATAGTTATAGCACTCATAGAGTTGGACCTTCACGGACGCATCCTTGGCAGGTGTAGATCGCCAAGGTTCGTGCGGTCTGGACTCTCAGCCTCGTCTCTTTCTAGTCTCATTTTTCCGCTTCGCGAACGCCACTACATGTTGCGATAATCCTAATGCAGTCTTCGAACTGCAGCCTCGATTATCGAAGACCAATGGGTGGGCATGCATGTATGAAATGCTGGCCGAGGACATGAGATCAAGCCCTCAAGCCCTCAAACTCGTTTGTCTCAAAAGACGTGACTCGCCCACAATTTTCGTCTTATGAGCCTTGTTCGAAGATACTCTCTGCCGCTGTCTTCTTTCTTCTGCGTCTTTCTTCTACTAGTCAAGCAAGATGCATTTCCCTCGTCGATATCTTGCTTCGAAGCTCTTCTTGGGGTTCGTCTTTCTTTGGTCCTATGCTACCACATGCTCCGCCACGCTTGCTTTCACAAAGTATCCATCGACGATAGCGGCTGGAAGCAGCACTGAGCTGTCATGGACGAGTGACGATTCTAGTACGGTGAGAACTTGCACACACCATTCAATCGTCCTGATGGGCTGTATGACTGACTTTGGGGACTATGCAGCCCGTATCTATCAATCTGATGAAAGGACCTGAGAACGATCTGACGAACGTGATGACCATCACAGGTGCGTTTTCTCGTTTTCAAGCCCCGGTCTACATATCGCTAACCAGCTTGCAGCGTCGGCCAAAAGCGTATCATTAGCATGGACAGTACCTTCATCGCTCGATCCTGGGTCCGACTATATACTGCAGCTTGACCAAGGAGACAATGTCAACTATTCTGGTCAATTCGAGATAACAGGGGGCACGGTAGCTAGTACTGCTGCTCCTGCAGCGTCATCCGTTGCTGCTACTGTAGCGACAACCCCCGTTGCCAAGTCGTCTTCAACTCCGGAACCCTCATCGACTGCAGCGCTGTCAACAGTGGCACAAGCCAGTAGCACGGCCTCGTCAGAAAACACACATGCTTCCAGCGGACTTTCCTCCACCAGTAGCGCTGCAGTCTCTTCATCCGCGAGCGTCGCATCTACCCCCTCAACTAACGCATCCCCAACCTCGACATCCGCGTCCTCAGCTTCCTCTCATTCGCCCACATCCACGACTTCCTCTACAACCACCTCAAGGGCTGCCAGCACCGGTCTCACTGCCGGCGCAAAAGCCGGCATCGGCGTTGCCGTTCCCCTGGGTGTTATTGCTATAGCGTTAGGCGCCTTCTTCCTCGGACGGCGGAGGAATACCACGAAGCCCACACCAAGTGATGAGGAGGGATATACAGCGCGGCATGAGCTGGACGGAAAGGGCGTCCCACCTACCGAGCTACCAGTCGCTCAATGGGACGAGAGAGGGGGGTATTGGCGGACGCAACCGACTGCTTCAGCAGCTGAGTTGCCTACGAGGGATAATAAGCATGAATTGGCGGCAAGGGAGGTGGGGAGATGAAAATGAGTAAATATCATCAGTAACTATATGTAAGCACCTTCAAACATGCAAGAGGGTACACCGTCGTCTATGTTCTCGTTCTTTCAAAACCTACCGCTCTAACCCAACGCCTGGACAAAGTCACCCATCACATCTGTCACTTGGTCTAGTGATATGATACGTGATCCTAGGTGAGATGGCATGCAAGTGAACTCAAGGCGATACACCTCCGTTTACACGGATATATCAACGATGGAAGAGCACCTCGTACCTTATCCTGATGCTCCCTTGTTGCGCGCGTTGTCTCCTAGGTGAACCCGTATGGTTAGGCTCAATACTTCTTCTAAAAGCGCCTGAAGCCTCCACCCATTGCTCCAGTACCGCACCTGACAAAAATCGTTTTCACCACTTCGATCCGATACTTCTTTCAATGGGACCACATGAAGCCCGTCCGCGTTCCGTGTCAAGTCTCTATCTATGGCCCGATCTGAAAGCTCTTCTTACAAAAGCACCCAAAGCCTTACATCTACACGTACTCCTTCAAGTTCCACACAGTGCTTCTAAAACCATTCTCACACCGCTAGATCCGACATTTCTTCCCCCATTACCTCCAAAATTTTCTTACCTCCGCGACCCATTCCATGACCTACCTACAGTCTCCCAGAACCCATCCACACGGGTTAACTTGATGGTCTTTCTTCTAAGAGCATTTGAAACCTCTCTAGGATCTATCCAACTATATATGCCTCCCCGCATCACGCGACGTCTACCAGACTTTCATCTCTACAGTTTGATCTGATAGTTCTTCTTACAAAAGTAGGCAGAGCCTCCTTACAACTTACCCCTATACGTACCCGTATACGTGTTACACAGCGTCTGCTAAGGAAAGTCGTCTATGATTCGATATGAAAATCCTTCTCAAAAGAGCATCTAAAGCTTCCCACCTCCGCAACCCACCCCATGCCCTACCGCCAGCCCCTGAGAAACCTATCTAGACGATTAAACCCAATGCTTCTTCTCACAAAAGCACGCAGTGCCTGTTCACAATCTCTACTTCCGCGTATTCCTCCACGCCCTCCACAGCGTCTCCCAAGAGAGATTCTCTACGGTTCGATCTAATGATTCTTCTTCCATAACGACCTAAACCCTACCCTTCCCCAACACACCACGTACCCCTCCGCGTCCTACCCACAAACCCCCGAAACCCCATGTAGCCGGTTAAGTTCGACACTCTTTCTCGCACAAAACACCCACAGGCTACCTATATCTGTCACGCCTTCGTACCCCTCGGCGTCCCACCCTGCGTCCTCCAAATCCCATCCGCAAGGTCCGCGTCCCCACCCTGCACCCTCGAAAACCCATCTGCTCGGTTCGATGCGAATAACTTCCTCTCCCATAAGCATCCAAAGCTTCTCTTTAGCCTTCACCGTTGCGTACCCCTCCACCTTAGCCCCCCAAGGTCTCCCAACCCCATCTCTACAGCCCGACGCGCTCCTTGTTCTCTTCAAAGCGCCCAAACCGTGCGCTCGAACGCAACTCTGTCCCTCTCATCCCCCGCGTCGCATTAAGGCCTCCCCCCTCCTTCATCTTGCTCAGCTGCCGCGAGAGAATCGTAAAGCACAGCACAGCACAGCACAGCACAGCACAGCACAGCACACGCACCAACAATCTCAATATCAATATCAATAACCGAATGCATTCGAAGTCCTAGGTTAAGCACCCCACCCATAAGCCCCCCTTACACCACCCTCTCCCCACACCTTTCACACCACCCCTCCCCTGCCGCAACCCCCGCCGCCGCCCACTTCCCCACCGCCAACCCCAGCTCCAGCACCGCATCCACCAGGTCCCGCCCCGCCTGCGCCACGCCCGCCTCCCCGGTATCCCACCCCCCGTCGTACCCCTCACACCCATCGTACCCATCGTACCCATCGTACCCCTCATACCCCCCAGCGCACTCGCAGCTGCAGCCCGGCTCGGCTTTCTCGCTCTCACCCTCACCCCCACCCCGGAGGCCAGCGGGCATCGGTTTCCGCACCACCACAGCCCCCGCGGGCACGTTCTCAACGTCGTGCTCGGAGGGCGAGGGGGCGCGGGAGCGGGTGAAGGATCGCGATGGATGGCGGGGTGGCGAGGAGGCGGAGCCGAAGTGGGCGGGGAGGTCGGGGAAGGGTTTGGCGAGGGTAGGCGAGGTTGAGGGGGCGAGGGTTGAGGCGGAGGAGGAGGGGAGGGACTGGGACTGGGACTGGGAGGGTGTTAGCGGTAGTGTTGGTGGAGTTAGGGAAGAGGAGGAGGAGGAGGAGGAGGAGGGAGAGACTTGGAATAGGGGGGAGAGGGACGGCACGGGGGTCATTGGAGGGGGGTCAAGATGGTAGGATATAATTAGGATGGAGAAGATTCTGTTTGAGGTTGTGATCCTGATGATTTGGGAGAGGAAGGGTGTTCGCGTGCTGCTAGGCCGCGTAGGGCAGAGAATATTAGGGGTCTAGAGACATGAGGGAAATGGGAAAGAGAAGGGGAAAGGAAAAGGTGCCGCTCATCCCCATCGCTAATCAAATGCAATCCAAATAAGTAAACTCGTGTAGATTCATATCAAATAAATCACCCCCATCATACACCAACTGCAAGGAAAATTTCTGGGTATAGGTAATGAAACAGACAAGGAAAGTGTCTTCCGCATTCGGTGTTCGTGCATCTGTTCAGGGGCATCAAACCTGTGCACGCCCGGTATGCAAACTCCGCCCCCGTCTATGAATCACAAAGATGACGGCGCCGTACACGGCCGTGAAGAACCAGAGCAGCATGTTGACCAGGTCGACCCAGACGGCGTGCTTCATGCGCGTGATGCCCGCGTCGCCCTCGGGGTCCTCGTTGATGTACATTTTGCCAAAGGTGCCGAAGAGGGCCATGTACAGGATACTACACACAAAACGTTAGCAAATCTATCTTTCAAGAGGGTTGGGGAGGGGTGGAGGGGGAATATCAGTACGTACAAGATCAGCGTGTCAAGCGGCCACAGGAACCATGGCTTTATCATCGGGATGGGTAGCATGTAGATGAATGCTGTGACGGCGGAGATGCCGGCGACTACCTCTGCGTACACCCATTTGGAGTCGGCGTAGACGTGGGCTTGGTGGGCGTGGTGTAGGTCGACGCCGTATAGCCCGGCGACGGTGAGGGCGAGGACGAATTGGAGGATGCGGGCGATCAGGCGGAGGATGGCGCCGATGGTGAAGTCGCTCCCCGAGCCAGAGGTGCCTTTCATGGTAGAGAATTTCATTTTCGTAGGTGGGGGTTGTGAGTGGTTTGGCGAAGTAGGTTAGTGGTGAGTTTCGAGCGAGGTTCTGGTGCCGGACAAGAGGTATTATAGAGCAGTAGGGTCGCGCGTGTCTTATTAAAGTTCCTTCGAGTGCTTGCGCGAGCGGGCTGTCGGCAGGGCTTTATCGATCAAGGTCGAAGAGATGCGGTGGAAGAAGTTCAGTGCTCGTTGCACAATGCGATTGTGTCCAGGTGAAGTTGAGTGACCTATGACGAATGACGGGTTGCGTGCCAGGATTAATGGTGTGTTGGTCCTTGTGGCCTCTGCAGATAAGGATCGACAAAGACGATGAATGGCTTCTTTCGGTCTATCGGGATGCTGCAACGAACAAAGACACGGACAGACACAGACAATGAGACAAAGAAACGGAAGCTCGAAGCCGGTTCGAGCGAGTATTAGGGAAGGGAAGGCGCTGCTGGTTGCTGGCGTGCTGGAGAAGCAGCGCTGGGGCATTATATACCGCGACTCTTCACTCCACGCCTGTGTCGCGCGTGAGGTTGCACGCACAATCCACAGGCCACACTTGTTTCATGCCGCTGGAGCACGACCCCTGCCTTCACCTCTCGCTTCACCACTTGGCCTACGTTGAGGCGCCTGCGGGAGCCCTGCATAGCGCCAGGCTCGGGGCGCCCGCTGTGGGCCAATCGAGCGCCCAAGCTGTCACGGTCTGCAACGCGCCGAGTGTTATTTCTGAGGTGTTTCATCCTCACGGTCATGAAAGCGGTCTGTCAGAGATGCGGCTGCCGCCCACGGCCTGCGCGCGCGTAGAGGCTTCTAAGTATTTCTGGCCCGGTTGTGGGGAAGCGGGACCGTTCCTGCGTCCGGGCCTGCGAACCACTCACTCTCATCGGCGTCAGACTTGCAAGACAACGCGTGATATGTGCGTGCATTTTTAATGTTCAAGACGCGTTGGACCTAGCATACATGACTGTGCCGCCGGAGTGGAAGCTCCCGGTCGGATGTGCAGTGCAGTGATAGAATCGTGTTATCGTGATCTATCTACGGCGACGCGAACTTGTAGCCATACTGCTTCTTCGCCGCCTCGATCAGGTCTGCCTGCTCCTTCTCCTTCGCCGCGTACTCTGGGTCGTCCTTCAGTCGTTGCAGGTATGCGGCGTTGTCGAAGCCTGCGCCCTTCGATGGGATCTCCACGCCCTTCTTCACTGCGGGGCGCTCTGAGATGCGCTGCCACCATGCCTTCACGTTGGGGAACTGGTCTAGATCAACGCCGGAGAATTGGATGATGTTGATCCAGCCGTATGAAGCGATGTCGGCGATGGAGTATTTGTTGCCAACGAGGTAGTCTTGGTCCTTGAGCTGTATGTCGAGCACGCCGACTAACCGCTCTGTTTCGCCCGTGTAGCGCTGTATGCCGTAGGGGATCTTCTCCTTGGTGAATCGCTGCCGGGGGACGTCAGAATTAAGTATATCGAGCCTTGAGACACGGGAATTCCTACGTTGAAGTGGTTTGCTTGTCCCTGCATCGGTCCCAGCCCACCAGTCTGCCAGGCGATCCATTGTTCCGCCCGGCTGATATCCAGCGGGTCCGTGAAGCTGAATTTGTGCTCGGGATCGTAGTGTCGGGTGAGGTAGGCCAGGATAGCTGCGCAATGGTTAGCCATGGCCATATGAAGCTCTCCTGAGGCTACCCACCAGCGCCCTCCATTACAGCGAACCCGCCCTTGTCGTGGTCGACAATCACCGGAATACGTCCATTGGGACCCAGCTTGGTAAACCACGGCTCCTTCTGGATGTTCAACATAATGTTGATGGCCTGGAATGTATATTCCTTCCCATACGCCTCCTTCAGCTCCTCGAGGAGGATGGAAGCTTTCCACCCGTTAGGCGTACCTGCCGTGAGAAGCTCAATGCCTTTGTTGGCAATCAGGCCAGTAGGTCGTGGTGCTTCAGCCATATTGTCTTGTTGGACTCGTCGCGAGGTATGGAATTGGTGAATCAAGGTCTGGTATATCGTCTTCGATTGAGTTCTTTGAGCTGCTTTGAAGCACGGTGAGAAAGCTCGAAGAGGGCGGAGGGACATGAGGAGGAGGCGTTGAAGAGGGGTAGTTATACCCTAACACGAGTTCCAGACTGCAGGATGCTTTATGGAGGGTCTCCGAGTACTCGGACGGAGCTTCCATTGGTGCCGGTGTGCTTAGAAATCCCCTACGCCACGCTCTTCTCCATCTGCTTAAGGCCCCCAGCGGGCGGCGTAGTACCAGGGCACCGAGGCCTTGAAGGGTGTGTAGGCATTGGCTTTAAAAGCAGAATTCAGAGCTTGCTTACGGAGCTTCTGGAGACACAGCGTCTAGGCTGCGAAGAAGTCGTTAGGCGGGGGTGTGGTTCCTGCGATCCTGCCGGATGAGAACTAGTAGAATCAGCCGAGAGGTCCGCCATGATGCTTGTATCCTAGATTCCAATGTACTTTTGAACCGGAGAAGACAGCATGTTTTTCGAGACGCTGAGTTTAGCAGAACATTGTTCCACAGTCGCAAGTACAGCTTGATTCTATATAAAATGTAGGGTTAGTGATCGTAGACACTGGTTAGTAATTACCAACCTAGTCTTGACTGAGCGTCCTGGCGTATACATCCGCCCACCTTGACACGCTATCTTAAGCTTACGGCTTTCGGCGAATCAGCTCAATGCCAGCGATTTGAAATGTGGGTCGACTAGCCTGACAGTTCATCTTCGACCCACTGTTACGATAACAGGCTTAGATGATCTACTAGCGCGCTAAGGTGGGCGTGTGGAGACGCGCAGTCAATTCGGTGGGTAGAATATTTTGATGATTAAACATCAGCATGGAAGCAGTGGCAGATTGATCTCTCGAGCAAATCGAGGGAAAGATGAGGTACCTAGGGTCTGTTGAAACAGTCGCCTTCCTTTAAGCTAGGCAGCCAACGAGTTCATCCAACTCACAGCGTCCGACGTCGTATTCTGGTACCGACGCCATATGTGTTGTCATGCTCGAAGGCAAATGTTGGGTATTGATTGGAAAGCTCGAAGCAAGGTATTTATGTAAGCTACAACCCGCCCAAGCTCGGTCTGAATAGGAAACATCATACAATCCTCAACTCCTCCACCTCTGCTCCTGGCACAGCTTCTCCATCCATGATCCCATGAACATACGCCTCTCCGACTAGCTCATAGGAGCCGTCTTCATTCTTGCTCATCACAAATGGCATATGAAACCCCAGCAAAATAACGACTTCCTGCCCTGGCGCCGCGTCGGGTGGTCCAAGACCTAGATATCCCTTTTCGGTGACGAAGAACCTGCTCGAGCATTGCATTTCTAGCATTCTCTGGTACTTGGAAGCCAGATCGGAGTTTTCGGTTTTTTCCGTAGCGCCGCCGCGAAACAGATCGTATCCTCTCTGCGTCAATTCGCCCGCACGGGCATATGCCCCGTGTTCGTTGAATTCAAGGTTGGTAACTGGTGTCCGCCACACAGCACTCTTTCTGGCATCTCCCTCGTCAGGAGTGGTGTAGATGTTGCCGCAATGTGTCGATATTCGCTCGAGTTCAAAAAAGCCAATCATCCGTAAATGGCTCGATACCAAGCCAGTATCCAATAACCTTGAGCTTGTCTACGACAATACTTGAAATGCAAAGAATAGGATACGAATCATTGCTTTCGATAAAGCAGTATTTAGTCGTTGTTTGTGCAGACGCTTTGAATCGCGTTCTTCGGTCATTGCGCCCAAATTTGCCCAGTGGCTCCAGGAAAGGCAGGCTCCAATCCGGAGCCCATGATCGAATACGGAGCGGCATAGAGGTAAGAAAAGCGTTCCCCTATGTCAGTATTTCCAGTCCATCTTTCTTGATAAGAGCGACGCCAATCTCAACGAAGACCTGCGCTGCGGGCTTTGAATAGCCCGCAACTATTCCCAGTTCCGTCGCATCGGTACTCATTCCAAGTAATGCAAAGACAAGATCTCGCGGGTCTGAGGCCTTTAAGCCTTTCCTCCAGATGTATGCCGCCGAAGGGACATAGGATAGTGTGGGAGGGCGTCCATTCCGGCTTCGCCACTCATGGCCCTTGATCGCGGCAGACGCAACCCAGAAATCCATGTCAGTTCTTAGTTTATCGACGGCTGCTGCAAACGAGTTGATGAAACTCGGTTCATCTCGACTCTTCTGTACCGCTTCCTCTTGTATTGATCGAAGGAGATCCAGGACCGTATCGACATCTCTATGATTGATTTTTTCATCGAGGCACTAAAACCATATTGTTTTGGACGCTTGTAGCTCTTGTTGGATCCATACTCGGCACCAATGACCGTTTTGCGAAGACGGCAAATCGCGACACGTTTATAAATCTTCTATCCTGTGGATTCCAGTAGACGGCTTTCTGCAGGTAATCCTGCGGATCTGCGTTGCAACCATCCTTTATATCCTTGAATAGGAGTTTGATTTCCATATCGTCAATTTCTCTATACGAGTCTTCAACTTCGTCTTCTTCCTCGATCCTTCCTAGCCATGCAGCTGTATGGTCGGCTTTGGGGAAGATGTTCCACATCTGCTGGACTTGCCAAGTTTTCTCGATGTCATCGGTTTGGTTGATGCAAATAGCATCAACCCAAAGATAACCTTCCTTGTCGATGTTGCTCAGTGCCGAGTTCAAATTCGATGTGATTGGTAGACGAAACTGCTCGTCGTTTTTTTCCACAATCATGAAGCGCTCATTGCTGGGAGGGCCCCACACATATGAGAGGGCGGCATATCTGGGATCATCGTCTAGAGAAACATGTTTGATCGTACAGCGAGGCCTACACCCGGACCTGAAGTTCTTTCGATAGTAAGGTTGCTCGTGTAGATTAAGGAATTAGATAAGGCGAATCTCCCGCCTCGTCTCATCGAGTGGACGATAGATGAACGGGCGAGCCATCTTCTTTATGAAGTCGAGCACGGCTAGCCTTGCGGCAAGGCTGAGCCTGCTTTGTCGAGATCTCGCGCGAATGAAACGGTATTATGGGCTCAGTCAAGAAGCGTGAAAGACGGAGACATTGAAACAGAACGCAAGGCACATCGAAGGAGAAGTTTGAGGTGGGAAGAGAGGCGTTGGTGATGAGCCGGCGGTGGTTTTTGGTAGGTTGGGACAGGATATGCACGTCTGCAGACTCAGCCCCCACGAGTGGTGTGGCTGGTGCTCGACAGATGCATGCAGTGTGCCTCGTAGATATGGTCAACGAATAGCCTTGGGTTGTGTTACGCAAGGGGACTGCGGGGTCGATTTCGGTATGATTGGTAGTTTCCGCAGAATTGTCGTAGAGTCTCGAAGTGCGAAAATATTGATCGATGACGACCCTATCCTGTTCTCCAGCTGTTAGTCCTGATAGACGGAAAATTTCCACATCGAAATGGCGGTCATGCGGTTTCAGCCTTGTTAGTCAAAGTCACTTTATCTCCATTGGAGTGGTGAGTGCTCCAGGCGTGGTCAACACCTTTCAGTATGTTCCAGCCCATCGAAACTCAACTATCGAACAAGGCTAGAAGACAGAGACAGGCGCAGGCTGCTATATCCGAGATGGTCAAAAACGTCGATCTCAGGCTAGAAAGAGTTCAGTCGTATCGAGATGTTGAATGTACGCAGGAACTACCATCGGCGAATACCCGGATATCCTTGGATGAAGGCGAATTTTCGAGACCGGCTAGGGATCATGCCTATCCGCAGCTCCACCTTTCGTGATCTGGATTCATTCGCTGTCGTTGTCATCGGGACTCTCGGATGCAGTGAAAACTCGATTCTCAGCCGGAGAAGATAAGTTGGCGACGTCTGAGGTATTTTTTCTTTGCTTAATGCCGCAATACAAGATCATGCTACGATTATATCATGCGACGTAGGTAGGCGCCGACTTGATTAGCCTGAACAGAACTAGCGCAACACCACTCCATTTAGCGGCCATGGGAATGCTTTTTTCAGTTGTAGAGATTCTCGGCGAAATGGATGTAAGTTTTGTGAAGAGGTGTGTCTGGGGGATGGCGCCTGTAGAGAAAGTCGTCAAAGCAGATTTGTAGGAAATGCTTCGAGTTTTTCTGGAAGGAAATCGCGAAAATGGATATCGGTCATAAAAGTAGGAAGGCTTTGTTCCATCTTGCTGGGTGGGTTGACAATACGAGTAGATGGGAGCTGTTAATGTAGCATGGCGATAATGAGATGGATGCTCTAGTGATGGATCTTCGGTAATGGACTACATGCGGCTTCAACGCGACTTGAACTCGTTACACGGGTCGTAGATAACTTGAGAACCCTTTCGAAGATAGGCGGGACGGTAATGACGAAGATTTGGAAGATCCTTGTGATGCCATGGAGTTTCCGAGAGCAATCGAGGAAGTCGGAGAGAGGTGAGAGTGAAGTCGGAACGGAAGCTAATTCTCCAGGATTGCCCTGTCATTTCGACCACGGGATTTCGTGTATTCGCGTTTTTTCCTTTCACATGCTTCTGTTGACACAACTTCACCTCGATATTAAAAGTGTTTGTATTCTATGTTCAAGTCAATGCTATATCTACATTAGTTCGTAAACCAATGAAAGGGCCTCGTACCAGCGTCATCCGCCTCCCTCACTCATCCATCCCGCCATCCACACCCCTGCAACCACCACCGCAACCACACCAACTAGCACTGCGTTTCCGCTCCTCGTCAATGCAAGATAGGACAATACACCGACCACAATCTCCTTCCTCCTCGCTGCATCTGCTCGTGCTCGCCAGTCCTTGTTCAGCGGAAATGGCGGCTCAGCGTCATAGACGCGATTGGGTGGATCGAGACTGACAGAAACAGAGAGAGCAACAGGTTGGTGGTCAGAAGTCTTCTGCAGCGCGAGCGAAGTGTAGATATGCGGTCGAAGTGGCGGCAGGAAGAGGATGCGGTCGCACCAGCTGGGATAGCGGTGTTTCGCCCACTGCCATTGCTCATCGGCGTCGGAGGATGAATCGGGCTTGGGGGAATGCTTGTAGGTCGGGGGGAAGGTGATTGGAGCCTCGGAGAAGCCGTGGAGAGTGCGGTTGGCGTCGAGTTCGCGGGCAAGCTGGTCGGTTTTGAGGAAGTGGGAGAAGTGGGTTGGGGAGGCTGAGGAGGGTGTTGGCTGGGGATAGTTGATGTGCGAATTGGGGTCTGGGGGAGTATCATGGGTCCGGTAGTTGAGGTCGCCGGCGACGAAAATGTGGTTGCTAGGATGGTAGAGGCCGGTGTTGTCTGGTGGTGGTGGTGCAGAAGGGGAGGATAGAAGTGGCTGTTCTTCGGCCGAAGACTTCGGGGTTTCGTCGTTGATGAACACGAGGTTACGAACAATGTTTTCCCAGTCTTGGTTTCTCCTCGGGACCTCGCCTTCCATGGGCGCGAGATGGCCTGAAACGAAGGTGATATCAAAAGTCTCGTCACTGTTGTCCAGAGCGAGTCCCACTCGGACTCCTACAGCTCCCTTGTTGCCCATGTCCCACAGGCCGACTCCAGCGCCTGCAGACTGCACCCATTGGATCTTGCTGGCGACTGCTGGCTTCCAGAACAGCATCAAGGCCGTCATCCCCAGGCTCCGGGTGAGGAAATGTTGGTAAGCCTGGGCGTCATCTGAGTGGAGCTTGGCGGCCAATTGCACCGTCGAAGCTACCTGGCTGAAGTAGGGCTCAAGATACGATCCGCCCAGGAACGAGTAGGCAATGGGGGCTACCTCCTGCAGCGCAATAGCGACGACATCTGGCAGTCCAGCGTCCTGGGGGAGAGCGTCGAAGAGGTGGGGGGCGAGGGTGTCGGGGTTCACGGGTTCGCGGGCACAGTTGAAGGTGACCAGATAGGCCTCGAGGGATGGCATCTGGGGTTTTAGAGCTGGGGAGATGCGCCGACAATGCTGATCGGGCGTGTGTCAGCGGCTCGATAATGCTGCCAGGAGGGAGCTCCGTCGGCGCCAAGAACCCACGACAATCGTCGACACAGTGGAGCGCGGCAGGCCAATTGGAACTCCAGGGCGCCCCACGTCGCGTCGGGGAAAGGCTCGCGCTGCTGAGCGTGGCAAGATCTCCAGCACTTGGGGCGTTTTGTACGTGGATCTGCTGTCTCTGCGTCGCTTTTCTGATAGTTTCTTCACGCCCCCTTGGCCACGCTTGGGCGCGCTTGTACGTCACCGTGGGGAGCTCTTGTTGGTGGGTGCGGCAGCAGAGAATAAAACAGCTCTCAGCACCAAAAACCCCACGCGCTCACTCACGATCACACGATCCACCTCATTCTGCCCTCACCGTCCACAGCCGTGGCTTGTTCCGCCCAGTCTAGTCCCTTTAATTAGCGCCCCAGCAACTATCGTGAAAATCCAGATTCTCCCCGTCCGCCCACCGCCTCCGCCTCTTCTCCTCACTTTCTCAACAAGCAATTGGCACAGCTTTCACTCACATATTCGCCTGCCAACATGTTCAGGCCCACAGTCTTCCGCCAGGTGGCTCGCGCTGCCAACTCCCATGTCTCACAGACTACGTTTCGACGCCCCGTCCCTGTGTTCAGATCAGTACGCAACTTCTCCCACACCCCATACAGGGCCGACGAGCCTCCCCGCGACGACGAGTTTGATGCTGCCAGCACTGCCGGCGAGCCTGGCGAATCTGGCGACCATGAGGGCCAGTTTGCCCGTACCGACAAGTCAGTGCGTGTAGAGTACCCTGAGGAGAAGGATCTGCCCTCCTCGCAGCCTGTCCAGGGCCGCGGTGGTTTCCATTTCAAGCGCACATTGGCCTCCTTCTCTCTGGAAGGCCGTGTTGGTGTTGTCACTGGAGGTGCCAGAGGTCTGGGGCTGGTCATGGCACAGGCCCTGGTCGTCAGTGGAGCAGATGTCGCTATTGTGGACATGAACCGTTGGTTCCACCGATTCTCTTATCTAGCGTACCACTGATCACTTTTGAAGGCGACGAAGCCCAGCGGTCCGCAGAAGGACTCATTGAGGCCTTCAAGGAGGAGAACCCAGGAGCAGATAAGTCAGTTCACGTAATTCGTCATACTCTTGTGTTTTTAGCTAATCTCTTTTCAGACTGCCCAAGGTCACCGCACATTTCTGCGATGTCTCCAGCCCAACATCCGTCAACCAGGCCGTTGCAGACATTATCAAGACCCATGGCAAGATCGACAACCTCGTCACCTCTGCTGGCTTCACCGAGAACTACGATGCTATCTCTTACCCACACGACCGGATGCAGAAGCTCTGGGGCGTAAACGTGGACGGCACATACCTGTTCGCCGTTGCCGTGGCGAAGCATCTCATGGAGAGGGAAGTACCGGGAAGCATTGTGTTCATCGGGAGCATGTCCGGTGCCATTGTCAATGTTCCCCAGCCGCAGGCTCCTTACAACGCTGCCAAGGCGGCCGTCAGGCATTTGGCCGCGAGTTTGGCAGTTGAATGGGCCCATGCTGGCATCCGTGTCAACTGCATCAGCCCTGGCTACATGCTTACTGCACTGTATGTGTTTCTGGAATTGTTTGGTGGCGATATATGCTGACCTCCATAAGGACGAAGAAGATTCTTGATGACAACCAGGATCTCCAGAAGCAGTGGACTTCTCTCATTCCTCAGGGTAAGATGGGTCGCCCAGAGGACCTCATGGGAGCTGTCACCTTCCTGGCTAGCGACGCTAGCAACTACGTTACCGTAAGTGTTGCTTAGACTCTTGACATATGACCATTTCTAACAGCACCCAGGGCGCCGACCTTCGTGTCGATGGCGGCTACACCGTCACCTAAGGGCATACTGAAGTCCAGGTGGACGATCGGAAAACGGTGTTTATTAGAGATACGGGCAGCTCCGCTGCGGTGCATGCATGGACTTGCCAGGAAGCTAATGGCAAGTTCTGCAATGGTGAATGGGAGTTGGGCCTGACGATTGGGACATGCAATACATTCCGCAGGTGTTATTCTCCAGCATGGCTAGCTTGTATTTCGGTTCTACTTACGGATCCTGCAAGCAGCTCTTCGGCTTTTCACAATCAAACCTTTGTCCCTGCGATCTTTGCGCGTCCTTCAACATATAGATTCCTGTGATACTGAAATGAAACTCCTCGGAAAGAGCCTCATGATAGTACCCCGCGTTGTGAATTTTCTCTGCTGGATTTTAATAATAGGTTGAAGCATCCTGAATATTGGCAACGTAGATCGATTAGAGGCTCCTGTGGCCCCTCAGATTCGAGCTTTCTAGACTTTATGTTTCATTTGGATCTCCATAATGCACCGAAGGACTACAGACAGTAGCGAGCAGGGGTGCACAGACTTTGTCCAGGTTCTGTACTAAAAGGAAGCTCATTATAACCATAATGACATTAGCCCCACGTATTGAGGGATCGATGTAAATTTATAACATATATGAGATCCTACCTAAGTATGTATCAGGTCGAAATGAGGTAGCTCAACAACTCATTAAGAAATATTCAAGAAAGTTCACATAAAAATCTCACGACTTTGATTGGGCGCACCCTTGTAGAGCTGCCCTCCCGAAACAACGTCGGTCATCCGCAAACCGCAGCTCAGCCCTAACCCAAAGTACCTCTCAACCTCTCCCAAGGATTTCGTGGCCTAGAATGAAGCGTACGGCTCCTCCAACTGCCCTCGCCTGTCCCGCTGACCGCGTCGCAGCTACATAACCAGTCCAACGCCATGTTCAACCTCTCCAACCTTGTCCAGAAAGCGCAGCAGTTCATCGACCCAACCCTCTCAATCACCGGTCCCAGCTCCGACCGCAGACCCTCCAAAGCGACCCTCTTCCGACACCAATTCAGACTCCCCGAGACACAATCCCCGCTCCAGGAGATCACTGCCGAGCTCACACTCTCACCCCACCATTCGACGAGGGGCAGTTCCGGCGAGAGTACATCGCATGCGCAGGAAAGAGATCGGCCGCAGGGAAATCACTATGTTGGGAAGCTGCACTTGAGCGAGCAGTACCTCTGCTTCTCTACCCAAGGGTCGAGCTTCTTGAACACGGCGAGCTTGAGCGCGTCCAGTGCTTTCACGGGACAGACCCATGGAGCGGGACCTGCGGGCAATGGTTTTATCCTGCCGCTATGCGCTATCCGGAGGGTTGAGAGACTGCACAGTCAAAGCTACATGTTTGCGCTGGCAATAACTACCTGGAATGGGGTGTCTGACGGCAAGGCGAAGCCGGGCAGTGCTGCGAGCGGCCAGAAACTGACGATACAGCTGGCCGGGAGCCGGATACAATGCGAACGATTCTGCGATGGTCTCAAAAGGGGTCTCAGGGAGGGCGTTAGGGAGGTTGAGAACCTCCGAGCGGTCGTTTCGGAATGCTACTCTGAATATCTTCTCTCCGAGGATGGCGACGATAAGAAGAGTCACGGAAATGAGGACAGGAAACCCAGAGAACACCCGGATACTGGACTTGGAATGGTATTCAAATACCCTGGCAATGCTCGGAAATTGCGAGACGCGACAAAGATACGGTTATGGCGCGAATATCTGCGAGGTATACCACGTACTGAAGATGAGAGGCTTCAAGCGGCTAATACTAACAGAAAACGGGCGGAGCGCAACTCTAATACGACAACCTACATTCCATAAGCTAATTCGAGTTGGTCTTCCTAATCGTCTTCGAGGAGAAATATGGGAATTGACTTCCGGATCATTCTTTTTGCGTCTTCAAAATCCCAAATTATATATCCAGACTCTCACCAAATTCTCGGGCCAGGAATCTCTAGCAATAGATGAGATTGAGAAGGACCTTAATCGAAGTCTACCAGAATATCCGGGCTTTCAGTCCGAAGAAGGCATTGGCCGATTACGCCGAGTTTTGACGGCATACAGCTGGACTAACGAAGAGGTTGGATATTGCCAGGCTATGAATATCGTTGTTGCGGCCTTGCTGATGTATGTATTTTGCTGGTTCCCCTGGAATCATTTGCTGAACTTCACAGATACATGTCAGAATCTCAGGCTTTCTTCCTATTATCAATACTATGCGACCGTCTTCTCCCAGGATACTACTCGCAAACTATGTACGGAACTCTATTGGACCAAAGGGTGTTTGAATCACTTGTCGAAAAGACGATGCCGATTCTATGGGACCATCTCGCAAAAAACGATGTACAACTATCCGTCGTATCTCTTCCCTGGTTTCTCTCGCTTTACATCAACTCTATGCCTCTCATATTCGCGTTCCGCGTTTTGGACGTTTTCTTCCTGGAAGGTCCTAAGGTTCTATTTCAGATCGGTCTCGCCATATTAAGGATCAACGGAGAGGAGTTATTGGACGCTACCGATGATGGCACTTTCATCTCGGTCCTAAAGTCTTACTTTGCCAGACTGGATGAATCCGCCCATCCTAGATCCGAGAACCCGAAGCTGCGGGCAGTTACAAGGTTCCAAGAGCTCATGGTTGTTGCGTTCAAGGAATTTGCTGGTATCACGCAGAACACCATCTCAGAGCAACGTTCTAAACACAAGGGTGCGGTACTAGAGAATATCGAAAGCTTCGCAAAACGCACGTCTATCCGGAATTTGGGCCCGGAGAGCAAGCGATTGAGTGTGATTGATCTCGGTTTTCTCTATGATCGATTCTACGAGGTGCTATATGAGCGTCAGCAACGGGATGAGATCATGCAGCATGAGGCGGAACGGAAGGCAAAGGCTGGACGGATGAAGGCTACTGAGGTTGTGAGCGGCTTCTCTGGGAATAATCCCGAGGTGGGAAGAGTTGCTCTTGGGCCTAGTCCTACACAGATGGACTACGATGGGTTCCGGGAATTCCTGGCAGGTAAGATTCTGTCTTCCGCACTGCCCTATGATGCTTTCCTTTTTCACGTGACCCACGACCACCATCTCAACACTCTTGAGGCTCCTCCATTGTCGTATAAAGTTGCACCGTTGCTAATGGGGTTTGTAGGTATTGCGAAATGGGCTGTTACCGACTCGCCTAGTTCCCCGCCCGAGCTCAATGGTGACAAACAAAACCATTCATACTTCGGCGGCAGCACAAGAAGTCGAAGTACCACCATATCTCCATGGGGCTCGGGTCCCGAACCAGCCGATCACGAATTCATGAAGCGACTCTTTCGCCGATGGGACACCGACATGAACAACACTCTCAGTCTCCAAAACGTCGTCACCGGATTCGCCCAAGTCAAGGGCACCAAAGATATTATGTCTAACATAAGCTACTTCTTCGAGCTCTACGACGACGACGGCGACGGCAGAGTCGATCGCGACGGCATCCTCCGTATATCAGAGGCACTTCTCTTCCTATCCCGCCGCGGCTTCGAAGGCAACCTCTCCCCATCCCCCTCACTCCACGACCTCGCCACCTCTCCCGAGCGCCGCGAAAACCGCGACGAGCAATTCCTCAGCTCCATCTCCGCCTTCATCCGCCGCTGCTTTGAATACGCCGACCCGGACCACGCCGCCAACCAAGTGCGCCAAGCCGCCGCGGACCTCGCCAGCTTCAGCATCGGCTCCGACAACGACTCGGAAGACCTCGTCGACCTCTCGGATCCCGCATCCCCGAAACCCAACCCCAGCTCTCCTAGACTACTACACACCAAAATCCCGCTCTCACCCACCCCGTCGACGTCAAATCCGCTGTCGCCCGTCAAGGCGAAAGCTACAGCTGCCAACCTGGCCCTCGACCCCAACAACCCCCTCCACATCACCCTCCCCACCTTCCGCATGGTCATCCTCGCCGACGAGGTCCTCGAGACCTTCTTCGAGTCCGGCTTCTCCGCCTCGTTCCGCCTGCTCGACGCGCCCCAGCCCTCCCACGCCTCCTCCTCGTCGAACCTGACTACCTTCTCCAACGCCGCGGCCCGTAACGCGCTGGCGCCGGGCGCGGGCGCTTCGGTTGGCGGCGCCGGCGTGGGCGTCGTGCCGCCGGGTAAGGGGCTGAGGGGGATGTTGGATAATATCGTGAGCGATGGGATGAGGGTTGCGGCGGAGGTAAGGCGGCGGATGGACGAGGCGCAGCGCGAGGAAGGGGAGGGCGAGGGGGAGAAGGGGCATGTGGAGGAGGAGGGCGAGGAGGAGGGCAGGGATGGCGAGTTGCTCGAGGGGGCCGAGACAGCGGATGTGGTGGTCGGCAAGGGGGCTGGGGTGGTGGGGGATTTGTTGGGGCCCCCGGGGGAAGGGAAAAAGGAGGGGGAGGAGGGGGTAAAGGGGAGGCAGAGGAGTGTTAGTGAGGCGAGTAAGATTTTGGAGTTTGAGCGGTAGTGGTGGGTAGGGTGGGGTGAGAGGGTGGGTTTTGTGTGGTTGGCCTGGGTTGGGTGGAAGTGTCTGGGGTCTGTTATAGGGTTTGGTGTTTTGGGTGGCGTATGTGGTTATAAGGCGAACTTGTTTTGCATATGTCAGTCGGTTACGTAGGGATGGCGATACGGGGTATATGGAAGATGCTTATGCATGCGCATTCGTCTCGTTCGCCTGTGTTTACTGATGCTGAACTGCGCTGCCTATCCTGAATCCCCTCGGAAGATACTGCCTAGAGCTAATAACTCTGCTGACAATAGTGCGCCTTGAAATGAGAGTTTAGTATTTTATGCTAAAAGTAGGTTATTTTTTTTAGCGGTATGAAGACGTGTGAAGAGGAGACACTCGTGTATGATTTGGCCTTTGGGTTTGGTGTAGCTTGGGAGAGAGAGTGGATCAGATATTAGGATTGAAGATTTGGTAGGGTTGAGATGAGAAATAGAAGTCAGTATGTGATTTTGAGTTAGTTGATGTTGGCATATTATTGGAGACGCGTGAGAAATGGGCGGTGACTTCGAGATCTTGTGACAGAGGTCGCGAGTTAGACTATTGCCTACCGCTGTTTTCGGACGATTTAAGAAGTTATTGTTGTAGGAGAGGGAGATTGGGCGATGAATTGAAATATTGTGAATGGGGGCTTATATTGGACTACGGAATTGTAGCCTGTGCCCACTCCAGATTCAGCTGATACCAAACTCCATCCGCCACTGGTAGTGCCTTTACCGAGTATGCTACCAGCGTGTGACAATCCCAGTCCATCATCAACCCGGCTAAATAACAGCTACCATTGCTTAGGACCACTGTTCGTCGCATTGCGTCGTGCAGTAGCGAAAGCGTAACGCAAAACTCACCACAGCAGCGTCCGCCATCTGAACCCCACCCATCCGTCGCATCCAACGTCACTGTGATCCGTGAGCTGAGAGTTGCCGGAAGGCCGAACCCAAACCGAAACCACGTCCCTCACCAACCCGCCATCCTAGCCCTCCCAACGCGGTCATCCCTAAGATACCGCTCACGCCCTCATTGCCCCCGCCTCCTACCTGCCGGCGGCTCTAAGCTCAGCCTCCCCACCACTCGCCCATCCTCTATCTCATCCATGAGCGCATCGTCGCTCATCTTCCTCATCCTCGCCTCCTCCCTAACCACCAACCCGGTCATCTGGCGCGCCTTCGTGGCGGCGACGCGCTGTACCCTACCCCCCAGAGGTGGCGGCGCCATCAGCGCCGTGCGCATCCGCATGTTCGCGCCGGTGCTCAGCGGGTCGTGGAGCGTGGGGTGGGATGCTTTGCGCGTGTGGGAGAATATCGGCTTCATGACGCCGGGACCGCGCTTCTTCGAGAGGGCGGACGTAGGAGTGGCGGAGCCAGATTTCTTACTGTTGCTAGATGGGGTGACGAGCGGACTCGCTATCGTGACGTTTTTCTTCGCCGCTGCAGCTGGACGTGGGCGTTTCGGCGGAGGCGGAGGGCTGTCTTGGGGCGCGTAGTCGGAATCCTCGTCGCTGATGTTGACTATCTCTGGTGCGGCGCGCTTGCGGGCAGGTTTGGGAGTTGAGGGGTTGGTAGCATTCGAGCTTCCGGCCGCTGACGCCGATGCAGCGGGCTTGGTCTTGAGGCTGCTTGCGGTGCTCTCACCCGCTTTCTGAGTTGTCAATGCGGTGGATGATTGAGACTGGGTTGGAGCGACGGCGCTCTTCTCATTCTGAGCCTGAGTTCCGCTCGCTTGCTCAGATGTCGAGGCTACAGGCGTGGGAGACATAGGAGAAACAGGATCACCCCTAAACCTCGAGAAATGCCTCGCAAGACTTGGAGGTGGTTTGACCGGCGTCCTGGGCTCTTCCACAACCTCCAGCTCCACGCCCTCTTCTTCTTCGTCTGATGTGTTGGAACCGCATAAGTCGACCACTTCACCTCCCTGGACGATCACAGGAGCAGACTCTTCCGTTTTGACGGGGTCGGTAGTGTCATTGGTGTTGGCCGTGGGATTGGCCTGTCCTGCGCGCTCGAGATCAACAGCCTCTTCGATATGGCGGTCGGAATCGATATCCATGTCGAGGATTTCGATCTCTTCTGGCGCGACCGTCGAAGCGCGCTCAGAGGCTGCATTGCTGAACCCATGACCGGAACGGGAGACGTGATACGGCGTGACTGGAGGCGTAGCTGGGGGAGGGCCCGCAGTGCTAGTGACATGCCGCGGGGTTGGAAGTTCTAGGCCCGCTGGAGGAGTCTGAACGCTATTGGCATGGCGCGGTGTGACTGCCCGCGTCGAGGCTCTGGCAGTCGGAGCTGCAGGCTCAGAAATCTGACCAAACGCTTCTGTGAGCTGAGCGCGCACCGAGGCTTCGGCAGCGCGGTTCGAGTCCCGAAGCGCGCGTTCGGCGGCCTCGTTGCGGGCGACCAAGGCGTTGTATTTGCGCCAGAGGCTCCGCTGGCCGTGGTCATCAGCCATAATGGTTGGCGGGCGACGAGGTTGGAGTAGGTGGAAGGAGGATGAGAGGATGAGAGGAGAGGGGGGATGAGAGGTGGAAAGGGAAGGTGAATGTGGAGGTGAAGTTGGAGGGCGCTAGTGGGGGAGCATGATGGGCGGTGAAGATGGGGCCAAAGGGCACGTAGATGAGAAGTTGATAGGTGGGAAAAAAGTGAAGTGGTAACTTCTGATAAGATGGTTGCGAAAATGTGCAGACTGATACATTGATTCGTGGGAGATGCCATCATGGGATGGGGCTTTGAGTCTAATGCCACTTACAAAGTGGAACAGGAAATATGCAGAGCATTTTCATGGTCCTGTACACACGTCTTTGCTGCTTCTTGAGGCGTCAGGATACGTCCGTGAAGATCTAGGAGTCAATTATGTTGTCACAGTGCGACTTAGATCCGCCCTCGAAGCTCGTACGCGACGTCTGGCCCTGATTGAGCCACCCCTGGCAGCGGTATCGAGTAGTCGTTCGGGTAGGGTTGATCATATGAATCGTTTGCGAGGATGTCGACAAGCTGTTGTCTTCCATACACGTGAGGGTCAGTAAGACGCCAATGTGCTTCCAATTGCCTGTTCCGTATTGATCCATTTATTGTTCACAATATTGTACACAGAACTCCACCCTCTTTCCTGCCAAATATACACACGCCTAGAATCCAGGAGGATTGATCCTTTGCGAAAGCCTCGTCCACTTCGGTAGTTCTGTTGAACAGTCAATTATCTATTATGGCTCTCCCACCGAGGTAGCGATTCGAACTCACTGTGTATTCCCTTCCGATACCTCTTCACCTTGCGATCGAAGATTGTGTATTTATCCCTTGGCAGCATCTCCGCTTCCGTCGGCATGTCCTTCTTCCACACTTCCAGCTTCTTTGTCGAGAGACCCTGCTTCGCCAGCGCCATATCGAGAGTAGAGATAATGTCATCAACGCGCCGTAATCGTTCGCGGTGGCGGTACTTTTGGTGTCGAGACAGGCGCCAGGGCATCTTCCTAAGAGGGAGGTATTAGCGGGATGCGGAGGTGAGACATGAGGTTGGAGCTGGAGGCAATTGGGGACATCAAGGGAGATTGCCGTACCATAATAGACCCCCAGATAGGGGCGACGTTAGGCGGAAGGGGCCGAACATGGTGATGGATGGCAACTGAAGCTGCTCGAACCTGAGGTCGTCGCGAGAAAGTTGAACGTCGAAATATTTGCCAAGACGGCGGTTCTTCGGAAGCTCTGACATCGAAGCTATTTCTAACCGTGGAATTCACCACGTCAATCACTGAAACCATATTACAGCTCTCAGAATCGTTTCCAGGACCTCTGACTGCTCAAACTAACACCCGAATCAATCACATACCAGAACTACCCATATACCCAAACCACCCATATTTCAGCTACCACTTGCCTCTGCATCAAAATGTCCTACTACTTCTCTATCATCGGCACAAACGACAAAGCCCTCTACGAGCACGAATTCGGCACCTCCAAGCAAGGCGGCGACGGCATCGCCCGCTTCCCCACCGAATCGCGCCACCACATCCAGTTTGTCTCCAATAGCAGCATCGACATCGTCGAAGAGATCCAGTGGTCGCCCACCACCCCGACTTCCGGCGGCGCCCCCATGTACCTCAAGCACATCGACAAGTTTCAGAACCTCTACGTGTCGGGCTTCATCACGGGCGGCAACGTCAAGTTCCTACTGCTGACGGCACCTGCAGCGGCACCTGCGGCGAGGAGCAGTGCGCTGGCGAGCTCGGCGCGCGCGAGTGCGTACCCCAGTAGCTCGAATTATAATCCTACGGCGCCGGCGACAGAGGAGGCAGTGCGGAATTTCTTCGTGGATGTGTATGATGCGTGGGTCAAGACGATTATGAGCCCGTTCTACACGGTCAATGATAAGGTCACGAGCCCAGTCTTTCGGGGAAGAGTGGCGGGAGCGGCCAAGAAATATTTGTGAGGGGCCTCTCGTTGTGGGCAACTTGAAAAGCTATAATGTGGTTCCGATGGTTGGGCGAAAGTCGGAAGCGAGCTGGAAGCGATAGGTCGCTCTTCTGGCACGAAATGGCGGAAAATACTCGTGAGGGGTATCCCATTGCAGGGATACTTGTAAGAGCTATAGTATGGTTTCCACGATCGGATGAAGTTTGGTAGCGAGCTGCAAGTCACAAGGGCATATTCTGGCCTGATAAGGCAGAAAGGCGTGTTTGTCCATGAGGTCTGGCGAGACTTGGGAAAGGGCTGGGGACGAGTCCTTAGGAACGCCGGTAAAGAAGGTCCAGGGCCTCAGGTGAGCTTCCTTCAACGGACGTAGAAGGCTTCGGAGTGCTAACGGCACAGAAAACAAACGGCGGTGCATGAGCAGTGCCAACGCGTTCTATGATACGCAGGAGCCATCCATTCCTGGCTATCCATGTGTGGCCCATAGACGCTGATCGTGCGGACTGCAAGGTAGACTATGAGGCCGGTCTCGCCAAAGAATTCAGAAAGAAAAACATTGGATAGCCACTATAGAAGACCTCCTGGAGAATCAAGGATGCTTGAAGCTCCATAATCCACAGAATAAAACTGCTTAGTGCTACTTTGACTATTGCATGCCAGTGCTTAGTGAGGGTGCATTGAAAGCGTTGAAGGCTCGCATGTGACCCAGGAGCCACCCACCTACCCAACACTCAAACCGACGCTGTGCAGAGCTCAGGTGCCGGTGGCCCGAAATCTACGACAAGATATCAAAGCGCAACTCTCGCCAAAGCCTTGTAGATAAAAAGATCCGGAGTAGGATAGCCACTTACATGAGCTAGGCAATGGGTTTCGGCACACGGAGATATCACTGTTCGAGTGCCCGACCCGGAAGCAACATGCTATTGTCAGCAGCAGCCCTCTTGCTTGGAAGTCCCCCGATCAAGAGGCAGCTCAGCTCCGCTGCATGGGACTTGACATGGCGCCTGGATTATCGAAGCCCGACGAGGTACCCCGGACAGTGGCAAAGGAGCGTGCACACCAATACATGAATGGAGCGCACCCATCTATCATGCAAGCTATGGGTATGCAGTGACCATCTCTCAGTCCATTTCTTGTTCCTGTCCCCGCTTTCACAAGTTTGGTCATCATCACGTGACTTGGGCTGTCAGGAAAGCCCCTGATATCCACGACCTGATTCACGGGCACGTGAGCTTTACATCTGGTTTCGATCTAGCGCGAACGGTGTGAGGTGGCTCAATGCTGTACCTTTGGCTGCAGTCATGTTGTCGCACACGCTCAGTTCACGATCTCTGCTTATTTTGGCCGCTTCTGTGACAAAAAGCGAATGAGGTACTATACGTCGAGCTGGCCGACACACGCAGGCACCTAATATTATCATTAGCTAATAATCCGTCGGTCTTGCTCTAGTTGTTACTGAGAATAAAGCTGCGCTCTAAGCCAATGAACCTCCCCTGAGCATCAGAGCGCAAGTTCTACCACGCTCAGGCTCTGGTTCCTTCCCCTTTTCGTCGCATCAACACAGCCTTGACACCTCAAAATGCGGTACGCCCAGCAGAGGCCTCATCAGAGCGCTCCCGTACGTAAATAAAAATCCCAGACTTCCCCAACTACTAACCTCACAAAATTATACGACCGACCTCGACTTTCTGTGTGGACAACTACAGCTTCTTTGACAGCCAAAGCAACGGACAGACTACCTCTCTCGCCTCTTCTTTGAACCCAGCGAACCCCCGCTTCGGTGATATTTACGAGTTTCCACAGTTGCAGCAACGAACAGACCACCTCGCTCGACTCTTCTTTGCCTCAACGAGCTCCCATTTCTACAGCTTCTTTGGCAGCCACAGCAACTAGCAGGCTACCTCTCTCGCCTCTTGTTTGCCCTCAACGAACTCCCGCTTCGGCCAAGAACAACACCCTCGACCTCCATTCAAACCCCCAACGGTCACAATGGAGGCCCCAATCGTCAGGCTTCCGGATAAAATTCGCAAAAACATCATGCAGTATCTACCACAAAACTCTATTCTTGCAATTCGCAAGACTTGCAGGAAGTTGTACTGGGGAAAAGACCTTAACAAGGCGCCAGAGGGTGCACACAAGAGACCGTGCCCCGATAATACTCCTGAACCCTCGCATAAAAAGCCCAAGCGACGTCCTGGTCGGCGGGTGAAGAACCCCGGCGACGGCAAGGACAAATACAGGGCTAATGCTAATGAGGCCACAAAAGCGAAAAATAGAAAGGAGGATGAAGAGATTGAGGCGCTCGAAAAGCTCATCCCACGTCGTCGTATGGAGTGTGAAGCGAGAAAATTGGTGCACTTGCAACTGAGACAAGAAGCGACCAATCTGACCAATTTATTAGAGAATGTGAGGATGATGAATCCCACGCTAGGCAGCCCACCGCCTGCACGGGAAAGGCTACGTCAGCTTCAAGATGGAGGGCCTATTTGGCAATGGGGTTGGCACGCCGATGTTGCTAAGTGGGAGTGGTTTCGAATTCAATACCCGCTAGCCACCCCCTTCGAGCAATGGGAGTCAGACAAGGGTTTCCAGCAACAATGGCCGCAACTGTTCGGGCTTCCGGCACCGAATCCTACTCAGCAAGACCTGAATAGGAAGTACCTCCTCCCTTTGAGGGATCTTTGGCACTGGGGTTTTAACGAAAATGTGTGTAGATGGGAGTGGTATCGGACGCATTATGACCATTTCGGTCCCTCCTTTGTGCAATGGGAGTCAGACACGACCTTCACAACACGATGTGACTGGTTCTTTAAGGTCGCGCCCCATGTGGCCACCCTGGCTGACAAGCAGAGAGGCAAACATCTGTTTACGTTTGAACGGGAATATTGGACTTGGGGCTGGAATCCCAACGCTGGCCACTCTGGTCGCTTTGAGTGGTATTTCCAGCACGTCAAGCAGGGCTACGCCCCGGTGAAGCAGTGGGAGTCAGACCAAGACTTTTTCGAACGTCATTTATGGGTTCATAGGCTTCCGGGTCAATAAGCATCGCCCCTCTTCCGCTCAGAGAACCGCGACATATCTCGGAAGACTACACGTAATAGCCCCAGGATGATTACGACCACTATAGGACAAGCTACGCCTCTCGTCGCGAAAACTACAGCCAACTTAACAAGAGAACAAAAGGAGCATTCCTCAGCTACGAAAAGCAGAACAAGCGCAGAAGGGACTTGAAAATTTGAAAGCTCATCCCTTTCTAGAAGACAAACACAAAAAAAAAATTAAAACATCCAACTAAAAGAACTAAGAAAAAGCTGCTTTTATGTTTTTATCGAACGGAACAGGAGAGGAGAGACACTGCAAGTGCCTGAGGGATTGTAACGAGACCCCGGTTGCTAGATCAAGACAGTGCGGGATGTGTAGTTTTTTCTTTCTCTTCTTAGGGCCTCGGTGGCCTCTACGTGGTCTATACTACTACACAGAGGCTCACGAAGGCGAGGCAGTCTTTCTATAGTATCCAAATTGAATATCTTTGCTTTGCACGTTGCACACGCATGAACCGATGTGAAGCCTTCCTAGGGGGTCCGTAACACTAGGTCACGGATGTCACGTTTAGCAACCTTTAGAAATCAGGCGCTATTAACATCCATTTTCCATATGCCTGATGCCATTAGAGGTACCCCAAAGGACTGCTTGAGAACAATGCTTGAATGTAAAGTTTCGGACAGCTCAGATTGACCTGGCTTTTCAGCATATTTTTTTCGCCCGGCTAGCGCCGTTAGAGGCGCCTCAAACGACTACCTAAACTCAAGACACGACGTTGTGTTTAAAACAGTCCAAATAAAGGCGAGATTTTGCATTTACTTCCTACCTAACCGATTCTTTGAGAGCGGCCCTAGAGGGACCCTCCAAGAATACTATGTGATGTAAAGTTTGACACTGCGCGAATTAGCCATGGCTTTTCTACACGCTTTTCCCACGTGTCTAAAGCTGTCGGAGGTGCCTTGGAGAACGACTGAAGATCACCTACAACATAACATTCGCGAGGGGCTAAATCGGTCCTGCTTGCTTTATTTCATCGGTCGGTTCAGTAGTAATCTCACAGCGTGAACCGCGGAAGCGTTTTCGTGGTGTAGGTATAAGGCCAAGGACTCTCGTGCCTGTTCCGGAGGCCTGGATTGGAGAATCCCTTTCTAGGTGGGTTTAATCACCTAAGGGCGCTTCTACTTGTTCGACTTCTAGGTTCTTTCAATGCTATGTGACTTATGTCCGGAGGCTGAAGGTAGTTCTAAGACGTCTTTTTTCGATGACCAAGCTTCACATTTCTTTTGCTGTGCACAACCAATTGGAGGTGTGGTACCATTGTACGAAGTATTGACTCCTCAGAGGCCCCCATGACTATCCAACTTTCAATCTCTCACCGCGTCATTTTCCGAGGGCTGTAGTTTGGAGCACCGAATTTCGGGGCGCGGTCAGTTACCTTAGGGCCCCTCACGCCTATTAATGTTTGAGAATCGACGATGTCATTTCTTCGATCTTGTGAATCGGGAACCTGTCTCTCTTACATGCTGATACGCTATCTCCTTGGCTTCGTGGCACAAAGTGGAGGTCTGTTGTTGTCGTTTTATCAGCATTGGTAGACGTCGAAACTGTGGCACCATGTATGCGGGTGACGGCGCGGGGGGATAGCGCCACCATGTGGCCCGCGGGAGCTTAACCCCAACATCCCCTCTGCTCAGGTCGAGTTTCCTGCTCATGTCCCTCTCTGCCTATATTCATGAATTGACACCTTTCATTACTATCGCTGAGTGTCCTCCGGTCAGACACTCTAGCCTGCCTACCACTACCTAGCTTCGTGTTAGAACCCTCGTCTGCGATCATCGTCTAACCGCATCCAGGTCCTTGCAACCTCCCTCGAGTCACGACACGAGCATATCTGCGGTAGTAGGGTTGATTCTTGTGCTTGCCAAATGCCTACACAAGACTGCCTTTGATACGAGGAATTTGCGTCAGGTTCCTGCTCGCTCAAAAGCACCATCAGGAGAGCCCAGCTGCCGACTGGACAGTGAGTCAACATACAGTTCAATTTCCACAGCCTTCAAAGTTACATCACTTCTGGCTGTCTGGAATCGGAATGCAAGTTTGGCTCTTGCTCGCCCAACACCATCGTCAGGAGGAGCCCAGCTGTCGAGTAGGCAGTGCATCAAGAGGAAGCTCAAGTTGCACAGCCTTGACGTATAAGTCGCGTCTGGAACTTGGAAAACCTAGAGAGGCACCCCCCGCAGTGGTACACAAGTGTGCACAGATTTGTGGCAAGGTACTATATCATGGCCAGATATCTGGTAAATCAGCATATCGTTACCCCCAGCCAGCGGGACTCTCTCCAGGCTGAGCTCGTGGGGCGGATGCAAGACGAAGGCCTCAGCAGGCTTGAAATGTCGATAGACCTTGACAGGAGAACCTTTGAGGCATGGGAAACCAGGATCTTCAACGAATATGATGTATTCCGCAACACGGACTATAAGTCCAAGAACCACATAAAAAGATGGCTGAGGTATCTCAGAAAAACCAAATGCGGGCCTCCTCAGCTTCAGGAAGCAAATAAAGCCAATTCCCGGAGAGTTCCTAGCCAGGGATCAATCAGCTCCTCGTTTGGACCGCAGCCTGTTCCTGTGGCCGATCCCTTGCGGCCACGATTTAACCCCCTGAATCCAAATATATCATCCTCAAATCATGCACCTATAAATCTCCCACGAATACGCCTCCCACCTATGCTTTTCCCAAAGCCACCGCGAGTCAATCAGCAGCCAATCGCTTTGCCGCTAGTTCATAAACACGTACAAGGGCAAATAAGCACTCCAGCCTCAGAAGTCTTGCCCACCAACGGTCTGCATCGAGAGTTTCCGCCTTCACAATCTACATCTCAGCACTTCGCTTCTCTGATGAATCGACCTTCAATGGAGCAAAGATTCACAGTTTCATCTACAACCTACCCGCAAATGAGCTTTCTGACTCCAGGTATCTCATCCTCAAAATATCCGCCAAATAACCCGCCTCCAGCTGTTACCTCTTTCAATTTGCTGCCTCAAGTTGATCACGACCCGAGCAATGAAGTTATAGTCCGTTCGCCTAATGCACCCCGTTCATTCACAAATGGCTTATATAAAGCCCCTGAATCTCTGAGCGAAGTGTCTCAAAATGTTGAGCGTCTAAACAATCATGCTCGAACTGAAGAGTCTCGGGAACAACGCTCGAGTCTGGACTGTTTGAACTGCAGACAACGAAAATGGAAGTGTAATAGAAACAGACCTCATTGTATGAATAGCCCTACCTCCGAATACACGCTATGTTATACTGACGAATCCAGGGAACCTGTCTACTATTCGAGGCACAACGTACGTTTCCGAGGTCGAGAACACTGCTTCACGAAGGACAGGAGTAGTTCGAAGCGTCGATTACGATCGCTCTCGTAAAGCACAGCACCTACCCGAGGCCTCGCAAGTGGATATTATTCAATTGTCTCCACTTGACGAGGATTTACGTGCTGAGCATCTGATTGATCAGCCTCCCATTAATACGTTATCAATCGATAAGCCATCGATTGCCAGGCCTAGCATTGATCAGATCTCAAGCAATCAGGCTCAAATCATCGAAGTGACGAGCGATACACCCCCAGGATTACCGGCTCGAGGAGCTCCACCGCCAGCAAAGCGTTCAGATTTGGGGCACAAAACGCAGGGCCCAGAGTTCGCTTTGCCGATGAAGCCAAGCCCCAGACAATGGCGGTCCCAGAGTATGCCAGCAAGACAGGGTGGTAGTGGTCAGTCAACGGAACGCGTGGCACTGGAAGCCGAATTGCCTAAAAGCCCGCCAACTGAAATCATCGCATCGGGAAGCGCAGTACCTGTGAGTCAGTCACAGAGAAACCAGTTACCGGGGAGTCAACCGTGTGATAATCAGCTGGTTCAATCTCAGTCAACCTCAAGTACCACTTCTTCGAGTGTTCTGCCTCTCGCCGTTTCATCTCTATCTAAAGGCCCGGCATCATCATCCCGACTGGCGCGACATGCAACATACCTCGAACTTGATACTCCATGCACTCAAGTGCCTAAATCGAGCGAGATGCAACTACAAATCTACGACCTCGACAGACAAGACCTATATCCCATTTCCGAATGCATTAGCCTGTCAGACATTACAGACGACTTGAACCAGCATTCTTTCTCATGGGAGACGTTCCAGGAGCTTCTCGCCGAGACGGAGCTGGAATATTCTCTGACACATCACTCGATCCTATGGCTGCATCCCGAGTCGAGGACCGATATCCGTCTTCGGTCACCACGTAATATAAAATCGGCGGTAGAGGCGTATAGACGACTCGGTCACAGCTTGGTTCTTTGCGGCTTTTTTGAGACGCCGAAGCCTATACTCACCAGAAGTGATGTCCGGCATGTTGAGGCGATTTCACGATGCAGCTTGACTTCGTGTGCGACGCCGCAGCCTAGTGAAGAGGGAAAAGAAACAGAGTGTAGTGACTGGAGGCGGGAAAAGGTGTCTCATAACGCTTTTAATCCTTGTGAAATGGTTATGCAGTCAAGCGGGCCTAGAGGCGATGCTGTTGCTGGCCTTACAGCTCAGCAACCAAGTGAAGGCGAGGTCTTCCACCTAGCCCCAGCATTGAACGCATCGGAAGACAGAGGGCTTCAAAGCACAGGTAGTGCCGAAGCTGATGGCGATGTTCAGAAGGAAGGACAAGAAGAGCTGACCCTTGAGGATACTGAATCGCGTGACACGAACGTGCATTCGATCGATAACGAGAGTTCTGACGGTCCTCTGACTCCTCGGATGGCCAACGCAGAGGACTCAATCGCGATCGAAGACCCTTTGTCACAGAGCCGAACCGGTTCCCAACAAAGACGATCTTTAGGTAGCGAGAATTTTCTCAGCTCGTCAAGCATCTCTCAGAGCAGCCCTGGCTGCGAGCAGCAGGAAGTTACAGCTCGCGAGGACAATGAGTTCGGCCAGCCGAGCCAGCAGACGTGCGGGAATAGCGAGCTGGGCTCGGCAGGAGTCTCTCTACCGCAGAAACGAGATGCTCTCAAACGTAGACAATCTCCAGACAGCAGCAACCACGAGGCGGAGGGCGAAAGACGGGATAAGAGGCCGAGACTAGAGATGAGCTCGCCGCAGCCTCTGGACGAGTTGAGAGATACGATTGTGGTGCAGCCAGCGTCCGGTCTGGTGCGAGACCAGGGACCAAGTCAACCGCTGGAAGCTCCATCGGTTCAGATGCCTTGCGCAATTGAAATCGAAGACGATATTGAGTACGAGATCCAGGATATCGTTGAAGAGTTTTATCAGAGGAGAGGGAGGGGCAAGGCCAAGATATACAGCGTCAAGTGGAAGGAATTTGCATTACCCGAAGATACCGATGCGGTCAACATGAAGGATACGGAGGCTCTTGATCGCTGGGAGGAGTTTACAAGAGACGCCCGATTGGCAGATGGAACGCTACCTGACGGTTTCCGTCGCGAGTTGCAGGCCTAAAACGTTGACTTACATCCTATCCGATTCCTTCATCCTTCTCGTTTTACGATCCTACACTAGGGTGTCCGCGTTTTTTCCCGGGAGGAGGGGGGTATTGTCACAGGCTACGCCCTGGGTATATTTCTCTTCTCATTGACTGCCTCACAAACCTCCGCTCGTCCCTCACGTTAATTCGAACCAACGCATCTTTTCCGTTTTGCACCGATTCGTATAACCTGTCCGTTTCGCACCGATTCGTATAACCTGTCCGTTTCGCACCGATTCGTATAGCCTGTCCGTTTCGCGCGGCTTACCCGTTCTACACACCTAGCATAGAATCGGTTTCTATTCTAAAAACCAAATTTTATACTAGAATCGGCCAGGATGTTCTATCCTGTCTAATTCGAAACACCTCGATTCATCCTTTCCGTTTCACGTCATCCTTCATCGTTGGGGGAAAGACTTAGTGTTTGAAGTATAGAACTAAGTTTGGGAAGATGGGGAAGGGTTGGGAAGAATGGGAGATCTCGGAGTCGAAGGCTGGGAGGTTTCTTATGAGGAATGATCTATGAGGAATATCTTACGACTTGAATTTCGGCATATATACTATAGTACTCGGGCCCCGACGGGGTCCGAGTAGGTCAAACAAAATATTATATTTTAACATGGTGAAATCGAATATTCTGAACAGCCCGTATAATCCTTGACATGCTGGGTATCCGGTTAGAGAAAGATGAATTTGATGGTGAATCAGTAGATCGGCTCGTTTGACTTTTGCGCAATCGGATGTTCGCTGAGCTATGATCAGACGAAACGGGAGGATCAGGTTGATGATCTTCTTCGTCACTAAATAAGGAGCGTGCTGATGATGCCTGACTCTGAGATGAGCCTCGAAGACATCAAAAAGTTCACCTATTTTATGCTAGGAGGAGCACGTCATCTCTATATGCTTCGCTATCTCGCCGTAGTGAGATTAGACGAGACGTTGGAATCGTGTTGATGATTATCTCTATCACTAAACCAAGAGTTCGCTCATGGTGTATGGCTTTGAGATGAGCCTCGAGGACATACGATATTCGCTTCGCTTTATTCCATCGAGTTACTTCACAAACTCGCACAAAGTCCACGCTCGCCAAGATCCAGTCGCGTGATACTTACATGCTTTGCTCTCGCAGGAGTAAGTTCAGACGAAACAATGAAATGTGCTCCTGGCCATCTACATTGTTTTGGAAAATTTGTAAGAGTATATATATAACTCCCAAGGTTCGAGTCTTCAAAGCTTTACCAATTGCCAGAGTCACGTGCATGACACATGAGACCCATATATCCTAAGTGGAAGTGCCCTTAGTGCACTCGGTAAATGACAGCTGCCTGGGGTTCGTAGGAAATACCTCCGCGTTAACCTAGCTGACGCTGGTATCCTTGACCCTGCTACCTTTTGACCCTCGCACGCCTCGGGCATCTTCGCGCCGTGGGCACCTGGGTAACTACCCGTCGGCATCTACCAGCTGCAGGCCTCCTGGTGCCCGAGCCCACGATGAGCTCCTCGAAATACGATGTGCGGGAAAAACAAGGAAATGCACGCGGTTGCTGGCGGCTCCGCAGTCGAATGCAGCAACCCCAGCGCTGGAAAAGGCATCGTCGTTATTGGACGAAGAGACCCCTGAAATAGTATGGAAAGACGGAGAATGGGATATGACGAAAGAAAAGTATCAAGCGGCGATGGAACTCTCCGAATGAAGCCGAACAGCAGTGTTGGCGGGGGTGGCCTTGCCTACTGGCTATCGTGAGCGCTACGCCGCATGCAGCGTGCGAATGGCTTCTGCGAATGGCCGAATGGGGACGAGTGCGGTGCGTCGGTCTCTGCAACTCTGCGCCCCCACCTCCACGTCATTATTGGATAATTGGAGAGCTGCCTTGTCCGCCAGCTCATGCTTCAGAACTCCCAACTCAACCTTCTGCTGAGGTTGCTGGGCGTGCATGCAGCAGGTAGGATCGACCCAACGCCGCCTCTTCCGCACCCTCTCTCTTCTCATTTTCAGCCACCTCAACGCTTCTGAGGAAGCCCCCCGATAACTTAGAGGACACTTGTGCGCTCGCTACACCTGCTTGCCTCCCAGCGAAAAAAACGCCACCGACGACACCACGCAACGGGCGCCAGTGTCACATTTTACCGCCGGCCCTGCCCTGCCTGCCCCTCTCCCCCAGACCTGCCCGCGTCCATCGCGACCGATCCTCCGCGTTCCCATCGATCCATCTGGCTAGAATAGTGCGTGCGTAGAAATCGAGAAAGCCTGGCCGCCCCCCCGCCACGGCCCCTTCGAAGCACGAAAAGACATCGCGGACAGGGAAGAGGCCGCGGGAGTGCAGTCGGGATGGCAGGTCGTTTTAAGCAAGCACGGCGAAGATCTCGGGCCGCGACGTCGGGGGGCTGCGGCGCTGGTGATAGGACCAAGGTGGCGAAATTGGCGAGGGGGCCAGGGGGGTGCGGATCTGGGAAATACATGGGGATCTGCGACTTTGGGGGGTGTGTTGGCTGGGGGGGAGGGGGAGCTAGTGGTGACGTTTTTGGTCACAGCCTTGGAGGGGAGCACCTGCATGCGATTTTGGGGGGTTGCGGTGTGGTGGGTGACGATGGAGGGTGCGGGAGGGAGGGAGGGTGGTATGCGGTGGCACTGTTTGCGATTGATGGAGGGTATGGACCGGGTGATTGGATCATGATGAGGTCAATTGGGTAGTATCGTATCGTGTGCATTGCAAGTGTAGATGCTATGCCGACCAACGCCAGAATCCAGATTTCCTTTCCCAGCGCCTGCGCTTGTGTATTTCGCTATTAAAAAAAACCCCCCCAAAAAAAACCCAAAAAAAACAACCCTGAAGAACAGGAGGGTATTGGTACATGAATGATGACTGAGTCCTGCCTAAGGCTTTCCCGTAAATGCTGCATGTGTTGCTCTGCGCCCCAATTTGTCGGTCTGAAGAGATGGATGCAGCGCCGAATGTACGGTGCATATGCATGCTGGCGTGCGCATGCCGTGATTCCATTGCATTGATAAAAGCAAGTCAGCCAGTTGTGCCCAGCCAATGAGGCGGGCCGCGCGAGTCGTCTCTGGAGGTGCGAGGTGTTTGTCGTGGATGTCCGGAATGGTGATGGAGGGATAAAGTGAGCTTCCTGTCCATTGTCCAATGACTTGATCTAAAGTGGCGGGTGGTTGGTGATTGGATGCTTGGAGTCAGCTACCGACCCTTGGCGGAGCTGTACTGTGAGAGCGAGGCGAAAGAAGACGTCAGGGCCGAGTAGCCCGAGGATGTCGATGAGATGGAGGATATAGAGGAGGAGCTGGGGGTCCGGATTTGCTGGAGGTTGAGCGTGACGCAGCTCTCACAGCGGGCGCCTTCGGCATTGCAGCGACCGCGGCATCCTCGCTCGTAGTTGACACAAGAGAACATGGTGATGGTTGAAAGTGGTGTTGAGAGTAGACGTGGTGGTGATGTTTCTAGCCTGAGGAGGTATAAAGAGTGCTTTGGTTGCAGTTCTGGGAGTGTCGGAGCTTTATTCAAGAGCAGGTGTGAAGAGTCGTAAGCTCGAAGGGTCTAGAGAACTAATGCAACAACGGAGGACGTGGTAGTTGATATAGGGCCCGCAGCAGAGGATGTCCGATGATGTCGCGTCTGCAGGCTGCCTCGTACCCAACTAGCGTGCGTGTTGTTTCTTGGAGGTGTGACTGAAGTTGGCCGAGCGCCCAGACAGGTACCAGCAACGGCAAGACGATAGTCACAGGGATCGGGAGGGCTGATTGGTGGAGAGCAAGCCGCTGCCTGGGCAGTGTGAAAGGGCTCAGGTTCCAAGGACGAAGAGATTGGGTTGCTTTCGTGTGCTGGCCGTCATGGCATCGGGCTCAGGGCGCCTTTAAATGCTCCCGAAATGACCTGCAGCAGTTCAGGCCCTGGCGCTGGACGCGCACTGTTCGCTGTCTTGTCGTCTGCAATTAGAATACCCTGGGGTGCGGCGTTTTGCTGCCCAGGACGTGCACTGCCCCCGTCCACGTCGTCTCTCTTACAAAGGTTACCACTCCGTCCACACAGCGCCGGACTCCGGGAGGCCCCCTGAGCCTGGCTCGTCGTGAGGGACTGCGAGAAACGCCCGGCTCTCTCTCCAAAAGCCTGATCATACCCGACCAGCTGGGGCCGCAACCACCTGCTCAAAGCGCGGCGTCGTGCCGACTGCTACCGAGCGAAACGCAGCCTCAAACCACGCGAAAGACTGTCGCACCCTAAATTTAGGCTGTTTCGCAGCAATGACGCCGCCCGTACAGCTGTCTCTATCGCCGTGGTGTTGTGCGCACGCGGTGCTGATCTTACCCCATCGCAACCTTCACTATTCTGAGTCCGGTGCTGACCCCTCTGCTGCCTCCAAATGGATGACTACTCAGCCTACCTGCGATGCGTGCAGGGATCGCGAGAGAACTCGTCGGCCGGTCGTCAACTGCTCGTCCAAGATGCGAGTGGCATCATCCATGGACATCGACCGCAAAGCCGCGATCGATGTTTCGAGTTGACAACCAGGATCCAAAGAGAAGGTCACCCCGAAGTCTAGAAGCTCACGGACTTCCGCACCCTGCACTCCTGGAGGCTCCGAATACCCTCCCTTTCCATTCAGTTCTGTCAGTCGGGCGTGGTCGTGAGGCATTTCTGCAGCATCTCACATGCGCACGCGTCGTGGCAGGGAGTTTTCTTATTTCCACGAACGAAGTCGCTACGTCTTCTCTTCGACCCATTTGGCCTCGGACACCACGTCCCGAGAACTCTATTCAGAAACCAGCTCGCTGACTGTCCTGCTTCCATGCAACCTCACGACCTGGTAATCGCGCGTCAGCGCAAGCCTCATGCGGAACCAGCGGGAGTCCATGCGTGATGTATTTCGACTCATCCATCCAGCGCCGAGCATTCCGCACAGCCGCATTCGAATCTCCATAGAAGGATGGTAGAAGAACTTTATTTCGGGCCGTAATGGCCTGATGTTATATCGGACATGCACCGGACTTCCCAACTCGTTTCATCCTCCCTCTCCGTCAGGAAGCTCAAAGGCCGATGACACCACCGACAAATTACCAGCAGGATGAACTCGTTGTTTGAGAGGCAATCCTCTACGATCGGACCTTGCGGGTCTAGCCGTCGAAACACCGTTGATCTCCACCGTCCGCCGTTAATCTTTCGATGGCCTGGATCCTGTAGGGCTGGATGTCCGCTATCGGCCCTACAGCCCCAAATATCGGTCACGAACGCACCTACCTTGGGACATAAGAGGTTTACGACGCTCTTGAATATTGTTCTTCCCCCAGACATTCCCCGCGAAAGTCTGGTCGTGATCTAAACTTTGGATCGTGGCATGAGATGATCTAGCTGTCTTATTTCAAGGGTCAGTGCTAGGTCATATATCTAGACACACGAATATACCAGTGCTTGAGTGCTATGAGTGAGTACTAGCAATCAAGATGCTTTTCTATTCGATTTAGATTCCGCCGCATCAGAAAATTGGCATCGCACATAAATTTTCAACAGACCACCGGAACACCTCAACCAGTGACAGGCGAGCGTGCACTATAAAACTTATGCTGTAAGATAAACCATGTTTTGACGACAGTGCAAACAGATGTAGGCTATGTTAGTACGAATCAAATCCTGTGCTTTCCATTTGATGGATAATCGAAAGTACTTCCAATCCTCAGTGGTCTGAGTCCTCGGACTTTCTCGTTTACGTACCAATCGCTTGTTAAACTCATCGTTGGTCTGTGTGCTACAGTCCTCGCACTTTCTCGTTCACCTACCAATCGCCTGTCAAATGCACACGCCTTATCGTTGGTCTTAGACGTATGCTACAGTCGACTTACTCGTTTACCTACCAATCGCCTGTCAAATGCACACACCTTATCGTCGGTCTGTGTGCTATTTACAGTCCTCGGACTTGCTCGTTTACCTACCAATCGCCTGTCAATCGTTGTAAGTAACATGGTGGATGCTACGCCCCTGTAATACCGCTACCCCGTCGTAGCATTTCGCTAAGTCGGCCTGTGTGCTACAGACTGCCGCTGTTTGAGGTACTTCAACACGTTCTCGTAGGACAAAGGTTCATCATTCCGATCAAGTAGTAAAGTCTTTAGGCTACCTTAGCTAGCCTTTCTTGCAATGCAGTGTTTCGACGGAGAAGAAGGCTACCGCACAGAGAACGGTGAAATGATTCGGCAACCAAGGGCCTGGCGTGCATCGGCAGAAAGTAGCGACTCACACGTCTGACCTCCTCAGGTATAAAAGGTCACTAACTTCTCTGTTATTTCTTTCACGTCGCTAGAGTCCGCAGACTTTCGAAGCCACCACCATCATGCCACCACCATCTCTGCCAGTAAACCTGATCACGACAACAATGCCTGCAAACCAAGTCGTCACAACAATGCCTGCAGACCCTCGAGAACCCGAGGGGAGAAAGCTCGCACAGTAAGTTTCTCCTCAACTGCGAGGCCAACTCAGGGCGTCTTTGCTAAACTTCAGCACAGCATCGGCCGGACTACCGTTGATATATGCGTCGGCAAAGAGGATTATAGAGAATTCTTCTCAGTTCACGACACGCTCCTCGCATCTCGTTCTGAGTTCTTCACTCGTGCCATGAACGGCAGATGGAAGGAATCCAAAGAGCGCCTGATCAACCTACCTGAAGACTCCCCCGCCGTCTTCAGCCTATACATGCACCATCTCTACACGAGCAAGCTAGCTACAGCTCCCAACGAAGGCACGCCCGACAGCGGAAGCGAGCACTACACCCTTGCCCAGCTCTACGTCTTCGCCGAGAAGATCCAAGACAGCAAGTGCAAGAACGATATCGTCGATGCAATGGTAGCGCATACATTCGAAGGACCGAGGCTAAGATGGCCTGGTACTCGCACCATCAACACTATTTACAGAGGAACCGCAGGACCGTGCACTGCGAGACGGTTTCTGGTTGACATTCACGCTGTTGAACGGGGTTCGGCTTGGTGCGCAAACCATCATCGGGAGGAGTATCCCGCTGAGTTTATCTGGGACGTCATCACGAGGATGAGCGAGAGGAAGCCACCGTCCCATTCCCGTATCGTGCTGTCCTACACCGGGTCTAGGTATCACGAGGTCATTGGCGACGAGCCTGACCAGGGCGAGAAGTTAGACGATGGCAGTCTACTTGGCTTATCGGACGACGGCGATACTTCTTCGTGAAAGGGCTGCAGAGAGGGCTGTAGGACCATGCTCGTATTGGAAAAGTGCTAAGGACACGAACCCGGCCTACGGGTATTGTTTCCAACAAATGAGGAGTAGGAAAACCTCATGTCTTACTAAGTATTTATTTCCCCAGGTACGAGTTGGCCTTAAATGGGCGAACGGTAGAGAGGGCATAGTCACATGGTATGATTCAGGGATGATCAGGTTTTTCCTATGTCTAATATCTCTAAATCACTCTCTTTTGTCGCGAGATCTGCCGACTAGGAGGCAAAAATAAATGTTTCAAATGAATTCCTCAGCAAGGTAACGTTATTTGCTCCCTAGACAGTATCTATGAAAGTCTCCTCGTGTTCCTAATTCTAGACGGCGGTCCGAGACGATTGAGTTGTATTTATCCAAAGTACTATGTATGTGGCGATACCGTTCGACTAGTTTGGCCATTTCGCTCTTCTCGCATGTCTGTCGTCTTAAGGTGATGACTCATTTCAAGCATAGCCGTTCTCAGACCTCTCTGCCACTGTCTGAGGTGGCCTAGAGAGATCACCGGTGCCCAAAAGCCTTAGTGTCTATCTCAATTCGATCTCAAATGATGCAACGAGGGACCACAAACGGCGGCAGATAACTTCGCTTGAAACGAAGCCCGCAGCAACCAGTCGGCAAGGTAAAGTGAAATGCTAAGCTCGGCTAAACCTTCCTCCGACTTTTTCACCGACACAACCCAACTCACCTCACTGGTGCGCGCGTTGCTATTGTTCTTATTGTCACGGTGGTTGCTATTGTTCTTATTGTCACGATGGTTGCTATTGTGCTATTCATAATTGCTACTGAAGTACTATTTAATGGCTAATCTTCTGAAATGAATTCTACACTTCTTGCGACTTCATCCTTCCAGCGACTCTCAAATCTCCCAACTTCGTGTCTCCAGCGAATTTCCATAGTCATCGTCACTATTGTCATCAGCAAGCACTATCCTAGTCACAATGCCCGCAGTCACTCGTCAGTCCACCAACTCTAGCTCGGCAGCGAACCGCGTCGCAAAGCCCAAGCTCAAAGACCCTCGAGAGCGCAGAACGCGCAAGCTTGCCCAGTGAGTTGTTCCCACGAGTCCAGGAAGAATATTCACTAAACTGAAACAGTTTTGGTCGGACCATGGTGCAAGTTTGCGTTGGCCAAGACGACCGCAAGGAAGTTTTCTCCGTTCATGATACACCTCTGCGCTCCCATTCCAAGTTCTTCGCCAACGCCCTAAAGGGACCTTGGAAAGAATCCAAAGAACGTCTCGTCAAGCTCCCAGAAGATGATCCCGAACTATTCAGCATCTACATGCATTACATCTACTGCGGCACACTCGCGATACTCGCAGAGAACATGGAAGCCGACATCAAAGAGTTCTGCAACCAATTCGCCACCTTGGCTCATCTATACGTCTTCGCCGAGAAGATCCAGGACACTGCATGCAAGAACAATGTCATCGACGCGATGTTGGCCTCCGTCAGGGTGAAGAACAAATTGCCCCCGACTCGAATCGTCTGCATTATCTACAGCGGCACGGCAGGACCATGTTCCGCGAGGAAACTGCTTGTCGACCTTTGCGCGCGTTGGGCGAAGGAGAGCTATTACAAGAATCCGCGTCAAGACAAACTTCCGGCCGATTTCCTCGTCGACGTCATAGACAAGATGATCGAGTACAGAGGGCTGCCACGTGGGAACGCTGCAGGCTTTGAAGACGGCTCTCGATACTACGATACCACCGAGACCATGGACGGCGACAACGCGAACGAGAATGGCGAGGGCCGCGCTTGAGAAGAGAAGGGTCTGGCTTGGGATGAGAGAAGGGCTTGGTTTGAGATGAATGAATGCTTCGTTCTCGATTTCTCAACACTTGTAAACGAGCTTTCGTTTCCTGGAGATTTTCCCTCCCATAGGGCTGGTCCAAGGGTGGGATATGGTGCGATAGAGGCAGATACTACTTTCCTTTTCCTGATCTCTGTATATCAACTTCTTTGCTTTGGATATTTGCCTATCAAATTGGCAATGCTGAGTGGACTCTCATCTACTCCCCAACACTTCCAAAATGGCGTGAAACTTTGCTCGATCTGAGATGTGAGTGATGACGCTGTGAGCCGGGAACGAATACGCAAACGACTGCCCATGAGAGTACATGTCTAAGGTTCTCCCGCATGTATCAAAAGATCTGCTTCACAATATCATAAATACAATGCAGTGAATCAAGACCTAAGAAAAGGGGACCTAAGAAACAATGCTGAGGAACGGTCCTCTAGTTCAAGCTCAAATGCTAAAATAATTGCGCACGAAGGCAATGTTCTAAGATTCCCTCAGACCTCCCAGAGCATTCCACTCAACGATGTCATAAACAGCACTCCGTGAATGAAGAGCGTGGAAAAGGCAACCCAAGCCACGATATTCAAGCAGCATCCTCTAGATCGAGCCTAAATGTTAAGATTATGGCGCACAAAGGTATCGAAAGAGGCCCATTTCACTAAAATGACAACCTCTTCACTAGTCTCATTCGTCAACCTACTCCAACTCAAACGCCACCTCCTTCACCCCCTCCCTAACCTTCGCCACCTTCTCACCACCTCAGCCCCCTTGACGCCCTTCTCCACAACATTCCTATCCACAACCTTAATCTCATACCCTCCCGTTACAGCCCCACTCACCGCGCTCACCGTAACGTTCTTCCCACTACTCTTCACCACAAACGTCGCCCTCACCTCCCCTAGCCTCTCACTATCCGCAATCTCCACCGTCGTCTCCATCCCCTCCTCCCAATTCACCAGCAACGTCACATCCGCCGTCCAATCATACACAACCTTCTCCTTAACCTTCCCCTGCGCCACCACCGCACCAGGCCGCAGCAGCACAGGCAAGCTAAAGAAATCATGTGTCTCAGTCACGTAGCCCGGCCCAGTGCGGATCTTCCCATCGAGCAGTCCGTACCACTCGCCCTTAGGAATATAATACGTCACAGATCCGTCTTCAGTAAAGACAGGCGCAACGAGCAGGATCGAGCCGAGGAAGTACTGCGTATCGAGGTACCAAACCGCAGGATCCTCGGGGTACTCGAGGAAGGCTGCGCGCAGCATAGGCACGCCAGTGCGGTGGGTGTGGATGGCTTGGGCGTAGAGGTAGGGCATCAGCGTGTGCTTTAGGACTTTGTCAGCTTCGCCGGTCTCGTCGAGGAGCCATGGGACGCGGAAACTGCCACTGCCGTGGAGGTGCGAGTGGCTGAAGAAGAGGCCGAAGGCGATCCAGCGCTTGAAGAGCGCGGGATCGGGATTCCCTTCGAAGCTGCCGAGGTCGTGCGCCCAGTAGCCGAAGCTTGAGAGTGCGAGGCTTAGCCCGCCGCGCGGAGTCTCGGCCATGGCTTCGGAGAGGGCGGCGTTGTTCTTGCCGTAGCTCTTTTCTAACACCTCGGAGGTTACTTTGTTGTAGAGGTATGAGTAGTAGTTGTGCAGTTTTTCTGGGCTAGAGCCGTCAAAGTACATGGTGTCGCCGGTGGGCATGCGTTCGCCGAAGTCGGTTTTGAAGGAGTCGACGCCCATGTCGACGAGGGCTTGGAATTTGCCTTGGTACCATTTGCAGGTGTCTGGATTCGTGAATTCTATGAAGGCCATCCCTGCATTCTAGATACATTAGTCTGGGTTCATAGAGTGCCTCGTTATTGATCCATGTACATTGTTCTGCCACTGCTTGAGGTGACTCGGCAAGCTTACTAGTTGTTCCAAACAACAAAATTTCAATTTCGAAAATGCGCCTCCGAGCTTCAAGCAGCGGCAGACAAGTGTACATCGATCTGTGATGAGTTATTGTAGCTTGGAGTCTGTTTTCTTACCCAGTAATCATATTGCCAAATCGAATCATCGGAACGTTTGATAAAGTAGCCTTTTTTAGCAGCTTCGTCGAAGATTTAACTTTCTTGAGCAATGTAAGGATTCAACCACACGCAGGTCTGCAACTGTCAGCTTCGTACGTGAAATATTAAGGTTTCAGTGTCCTACATGAATCCCCTTCGCCTTGAGCCGCGCAAGCTGCCCCTTAGCATCCGGGAAGTACTCCTTGTCGAACTCGTAATCGCACCACTCAAAAGCTTCATGGTGTTAGTACACATGATAGGATTAATAAAGAGGGGAAATTAGGACAGATACTAGATTCTCGAGCGTCGATTATCCCAGTGTATCACCGAAGTCTTGGCGACACAAGTTGTGTTTCAACACCTACTTGAGTGATACACGCAGGAAAGTTGAGATCAGAGGACTCTGGTATGTGTACTAGGACCTTGCGTACCAGGCATCCAGAAACAGTCGAAATGGAACACGCTAACGGGATCTCGCGCTTCTCCATTCCCTCTAGGAATGAGTTCACGGTATGCTCATCATAGTTGGTAGTGAAGCTTGTGCTTAGCCAAAGGTCGAAAGTCTAGGCAGGAGGTAGCGCTGGCACGCCTGTGATTTTGCCGTAGGTTTGTAAGATTGATTTCGGGTCGGGTCCGTGGATCAGGTAGATACCCAGGGTTTCGCCTGGTACGGAGATGTTGATTCGCGTTGTCCGCTCTGACTGAATTTCTAATGACTCGAAACTCGACGTCGGTATGAAGACGCCATAGCCAGCTGATGTGATGAAAAATGGAATGTTCTTGTATGTCAACTCGGACCCAGTTCCGCCGTCGTTGTTCCACATCTCTACGGTCCAGGGGGTCCGATTAAGCAAGATTCCGAAAGAAAAGCGGACTTAACTCACCTGCCCGTTCTTCACGAGTGGTCCGAATCTTTCCACAAGTCCGTATACCTTGTCACCGACACCGAGCTGCAATTGATATGTCACCTATCTCTTGCCCTGGTTCGGATCTGTGTAATTTGCCTTAGGATGTAGAGCAGTAGTCCCATGTTTGATGCAGGCCACAGACCGCCATCCCAGCTTCGTCATGAGCTTCTTTTTGGCATAAAAGCTCAAATCGAACGATTTTGGTCGTGTATCTAGCTTCGCGGACAAGTCGCCGACACTGAACGACAGGTTTTCAGTGTCTTTGGCAGCTTTGATACTTCTAGAGGAAGTTGCTTTACCACTGTAGTTTAGGTCTCCTTTTCTCAGCTCTTGGTTCGCGTATGTCGTGTTCAAGACATCGTGAAGCGTAATTTTTGATACATGCGGGGATGTCTCAAACATGTATTGTACCTCTATGGGCAGTCGTTTGCGTTTCAGAGGGTGACGGTCTCTAGCTAATGTACTAGAAATGCCACCTACCACCCGAAGATGCGTGGAGTTCGATGTCTGAAAACATTCGCAGAAGACGCGTCTTTAGTCACGTGGTGATAGCTGTTCCGTGAAGATAAGAAACCCCTGAAGCTCTTGATACTATTTCCAACAATTCCCCGCTTCGTAGCGTCTATCACCTATCACGCATAGAACCACGTCGTCTATCTCAATGCTAGGTACCCGTACCCCGCAATCACTAAGTTAAGTAATGGCTCTGGCCTTCTGCTCGGCAAGCCTGCCGAACATGCCGTCGCCCACTTAGATCTGACGGTACGCGGAGAGCTCGGCTCGCGCCGTCAAATACGCCTAGCCCCAACTTTTACTGGGCCTTCTCACCCTCAAATCCTTCAGCTGCTTCATTTCCATCGGATATCGTAGACGTAGGGATGAACTAAGTTGGAGATCAGTTATAATGTTCAAGGGGCATTGTTCATGCGTCTACCACTGACAAGCAGGAATACGGTAGTACTTTACTACTAAAACACTGAAGCACGTACGTAACCACGGATATCAACCTGTCATTTGGTGCTTTTAAAGCTAATTGATGGAATACAGGCAGTATCATTAAACCTCTTCTTTCTCCGACCTTATTGCCACGCCTCTTTCACCGCGCAATGATTTTAAATCTCTGATACAACCTACATAGTATCCAGTCATGATTTACCGACTCCTCCACCCTAGCCGTCGCTGCAAACGAACCCTTCTCAGGCTTCTCTCCCTAGCTGTAGCCTTGTACCTGGTTCTCGACACTCTATTCCTGACGCTTGTCGCCCCACCACCTCCACGCTTACCGGCCCCTTCAACCCCTTCGAATCATGGGCGAATATTCATTGCAAGCATACATTGGTTCAACGAGAGGATATTGAGATCACACTGGAACAAGGCGGTGGTGGACCTAATGGAGCATCTCGGTGCAAATAATGTATACGTATCGTTAATTGGAAGCAAAAGTGTGGACAACACTATAGGCGCACTACAAGAATTAGATGCTCAACTAGAGCAGCTGCACGTCCCTCGCTCATTCATGATGGAAAATCGCACACACGAGGATGCGATATCGCGAACACCATCTCCTGGCGAGCCAGGCTGGATAAACACACCTCGGGGAAAGAAAGAGCTCCGACGGATTCCGTACCTCGCGAATGTGCGAAACAGAGTGATGCAAGAAATGGATAAAGCACTTGCAGATGGTCTCGGACGCTTCGACAAGGTTCTCTGGCTCAATGATGTGGTCTTCACGACTCAAGACGTTCTCACGCTTCTATCCACCAATGCAGGCGAGTACGCCTCAGCATGCTCCATCGACTTTTCCAAGCCGCCGATCTACTACGACACCTTTGCTCTACGGGATATATCTGGCGCGAAGACACTTACGCAGACATGGCCATACTTCTTATCTGGCGTCTCCCAACAGGCTCTTCGTCTGAACGACCCGATTCCTGTTCAATCATGCTGGAACGGCATGGTCGCCATGGATGCAAAGCCCTTCTACAATGACACACCGCTCCGGTTTCGAGGCATCCCCGACAGTCTGGCTGAACTCCACTTGGAAGGCTCCGAGTGCTGTCTCGTGCATGCAGACAACCCCTTGAGTGCCGCGAAAGGGGTCTTTCTCAATCCGAACGTCAGGGTAGGCTACAGTGCGGACGCCTATTATGCCGTAAATGCCCCTATTCAGTGGCCTTCACCCCAAGAACGCTTCCGCGGAATCTGGAAGCTCCGGTTGGTGTGGCTACTCGGCATGCCACAACGCATAATAGAGAACGTTGTTGTCGCCTCGAGACTGAAGCGGTGGCAAGCACAGAAAACCACTGGTGGGATAGCGAATAAAGAGAACGGAACTCACTGCCTGATCAATGAAATGCAGGTCCTGGTAGGGAACGATGGGTGGAAACACCTTTAATACAAAAGCGAATCAAACACAAATTTCAGCTTCAGCTTCCTTATCCGACTGTATTGCAAGGTGAAATTATCCGTCTCCTATCTCACGTTACGTCGTTGAGGTGTGAGAGGAACCAAAGCTGTGATTCTCCAGCGTCTGATATTCTTTAAGAAAGACTGACTTAAAACCGAGAACGATTAAGAAACGACCATTGAGGGAAAATGGGAAAATGGGAAATTTGGGAGGACTCAAGGCGTTGGAATCCTAATTGAAGTCCTACAGTGCCTTGCCATAGAAATCCGTACACTTTCCTGCCACTGTCTGTGGGGCTCCAACGTACTAAGAGAAACTGGGGCCAGTGGATACACTTCCAATCTGCGTACACCCTGTTCGCGCTGTCTGAGGTAGCCTCGTAAGTCGGATTCCTCTCTTATTCGGAATGCTGAAAATACTATGAAGCTCCTCACGCAGCGGTAAACGAGTGTACGAATTCTAATGACGAGGTATTGTAGTATGAGAGGAGACAGCTCCGGAGGGACGTTCTGTACCGCCGTTCATTACATAGTTTTGGTGTATCCAGGAGTACTGTGGATTAAGAGGCGCATGGAAAGATGAAAAGTAGACCATTCTGAAGGGGCCAGTAGTGTATGATTGGAAGAAACGGCTTCAAGAATATGGGTATCGGGACATCTGCAGGCCGAGGCGCATTAACACCGTTAAGTCCATATCCTCCAACATATCTACGCGAAAGGTGGCATGAGCGGTGTCTTTATAAAGATGAAGCGAAGCTAAAGCAGCTGCCTAGTCGGAACAAACCGACGTCGAAATCCGAGACGAGGCTTAGCGCATTCTCGATACGAATCGTGGTTAGACCGATATCGAGTACGAATAGCGGTTAGCGTAGTTATCGGACTTAGTTCGTATGCTAAACTCCCTTACGCCCATCTCGACATCTTCCTGCTCCAACCTCCCCCTTTCACTCCCAACCGAGACCCCCATTACACACCATGCCGGCCGCAGCCCGCCTGACAGGAGTCGATACAAGCCGCAAACGTAAGCCCCACAAGAAGTCACGGCGAGGCTGCCGGAACTGCAAGCTTCGCAGAGTTAAGGTTAGCGAATCCAGGATGCATACGAGAATACGAAAGAGGGAAAGGCTAACTGCTCCTTCAGTGCGACGAGGCCACACCGAAATGCAAGAAATGCATTGACTTTGGGGCTTCCTGCAATTATGATTCATCCAAACGTACCGGAGACCTCGACATGGCGCTTGCTGGTGTTTCTGTTTCCTTTGATGGATTCTCGGAAACAACCGTGCACCAAGCCCAGCCCACACAGGTCAGCTTTGCTGATTATTCATTGCCTGATTTTCTTTACCCGGACCTGGATTTCTTCAAAGATTCGATTTTGCAGCTTGACAAGGCTAGCATGGATCGCATCGACCGTTTCCAGATGCGAACAGTGCTGTCCGTGGGAACTACAGAAGCCTCAAAGATATTCCAGTCCAAGCTAATCCCAATGGCGCTATCGGTATGTCCAATCCCTTTGGTGGAAGTACTGACTCACTTTCTCGTTTAGAGACCGTATCTAATGCACGCTGTCCAAACCGTCACCGCGATTGAAGATCGCCACTACTCCAACAGCCCTGCCAAGCGGTCTATGATAGAGGCATACCACATGTCTCACACTGCAGCCCAATTTAACAAAGTCTTGTCCAAGCCATTAAAGGAATCGGATCGCGATGCGGTCTGGACGACCGCCATCCTATTAGGCGTCAGTGCCTTCGCCTACACTGACGCATCTGTGCCAGCAGAGTCGTGGCCACTCAAACCATCAGACCCGGACGACCTCGAATGGCTGCGGATGACGGAACTAAAACACGCAATCTATAAGCTCACAGACCCGTTGAGATATGGAAGCATGTTCTATCAGCTCAGGGACGAGTATTTGACCAGCTACCTCAGCACCATACCTGAGTATGGAATCGAAGGTATCCCCGAAACGTTTGTGGATCTTTGCGAGTTAGACGCTTCGTCGTCAATCACATCATGTCCATACTTTCATTCGTTACATATGCTGTCGCAGCTTCTTCGGACCGAATACGCTCGCGTCACGTTCATCAAGTATCTCGCATTCATAATGCACATGACGCCAGAATACAAGAGGCTATTAGGGCTGAAAGAGTGAGTTCAACACTTTGCAAACCAAATCTGGATTGCCGCTGACTGTAACAGTCCGCGCGCGTTGGTAATACTAGCCTACTGGTATGGAATGGTAGTCGATGCTATGTGGTGGTTGAAACGGCGGGCAAGACTGGAGTGTCAAGCGGTCTGCTTGTACTTGGAAAAATACCACTCGCACGACACGAAGATCATGGAGATGCTGCGTTACCCAAAGGTGCGGTGCGGCCTTTTGTATCCGCCAAGTGAAGTGTATGTAGGTATGAGCATACTCAGATGAAAAGGGATTATTCACTTCTTGGCTTTCACTCGTCGCTTGGCAGCAGAATTCTTAGAAAAGTGCCCCGTCACAGAAACATATCTTGAGGACTAATGGCAGACGAAAGGCCTGAAGTATTCATTTCCTAAATCAGCACTCCGAAGAGAGCCCGCCATGAGAAGGATGAAAACGACGATTACGACACGTGAGTAGTGCAGGGGTCACAAGCTGGAACCATGGTATCAACTACACCTCAACCTTGGAATCACGAATTGGCGACACCCCACCTTTTGCTGCTGAAATAATGTCTCTGTTGTGTCATCTCGAACTCACTTTCATCCAACATCAACTTCAAACTACGTCGCAAACAACTCTACACCCCTAACACCCGATGGACGACCAAGCTCAGACCAGCGCGAGCAGCGCTGTCTCCCCGCCAGCCTTACCTTCCACCACAGAAGAACCGTTCTTCCCAAATTGCTTCACACCATACCCCGCCATCCCACCCATCTTCCAAAACCCGTTCGACAACTGCTACCGCCCAGAGCGAGTTCCCTCGATCATGAAATACGCCGCTCCGGGGCGCATCCACCAACCATCTCCTCCAAAGCGCGACAAGCTCATGAGAGCAACCTTCTCTGTCCCGCAACTATATCCCTGGGAAGAACACCCCCTCGAGCTTCCGAGCATAGAAGAACTCCACGGTTTGGTCCTCGTGACGTGTTGTTTACACCTAGGGCCTTGCTTGCTCCAACCGCCGGGCTTCCGCCTACCGCCGGATTTCGTCCTACCTGTGGGATTCCCTCTCCCGAGCACGAACAGGGTTGAGAGCGGGAGCGTGTCCGCCTTGTCCAAAGAAGCGGAGGAACGCTTACGTGTCCTTCGTGCGGAAGTCGACCACAAAGCGTCGCAAATGCAGGCGGGCGTTGCACCGGACCAATTAGCAGCTGCGTTGCAGCAGGCGTTCGACTCTGACCCGGACGGGAAACGTTCCGTGTACCGTCGTCGTCGTCGACACGCTCTAGAGTCCAGGCCACGAAAAGCGAAAAAGGAGAAGTTGCGGGATCCTTACAGTGACACGGGGTCAGAGCAGCGAGAAGAGACTCCGGCTTCGCTCGCTGAAGGTAGTTCACTACCGCCCGTTCAGTCAGGCGCGGCAACGCCAGAGCAGGTCGAAGGCCAGTTGTCGCGAGATGCGCTACTCGAGCTCGGCCGCTACAGCGTTACTGGGAAGGAAGCCTCGAAGGGGGTTGAAGACCGCGCGTACGAGCGCCTCAGAGCGGATATTCCAGCGGACTTGGAAGGTATTCTACTGAAGCCAAGGCGGGGACGGAGGGAGACGGGGACGAAAGAAGGTACGAGAAAGGCAAAAAATCGAGAGAGTGTGTGATTTGTTAATGGGGAAGTAGTGACCTGGTGGGACCAAGTCCAGGCCCCGGCCGAGCCTGAAGGCGCAGGTGCGGCGCAGGCGGAGGCCGAAAAGGATTTGCTTGATATGGAGCGGTACTGATTTAGGACTGGTCTGGTGGACATTTAGGAACTTGCTTGTTTGGGGGCTATTTATTAATAAGACAATCTCAAGAAATTATCGTGCGATCCAGCTTCTTCATCGAGCCCGTGAGCTCTTGGATATTTGGGGCAGCTTGAACCATGGACAAGCGTAAGTTTCAGCATGCAGCCTCATCAGTCTCTGGGACACAGGAGAATTAAACGTCTTACAGATTGGCGACTATCGAATTCACTAATCAACCCTATATAGCATCTTCAGGACTTTGCAAAGCATCTATTTTGGTTCCTCATACCTATGCTATAGGGCTGATCAAGCATCGCCCTACCGTGAATAGTGCTCTCCACTTCGAGCTCTCCACTTTCACACTATCACACGAAATAGGGTGCTTCAGAGCCAAACCACACAATCTCCATCAACCGACACAACCCCAGTACCCGCAAACCCCTCTAAACAGCACCGCGAACCCCTCCCCCCCTCAACCCCCTACATAATCAAAACCCCCCCATTCGTACTAACCACACTCCCCGTACAATTCTCATCCCTCAACACCCCCAGATACGTCTCCACCACATCCTCCACCCTGCCCACCCTCCCCGTCGCCATCCGCTTCTCCATACCCTCAAACATGGCCTTCTTCTCCGCCTCCCCCATCCGCCACAGCGCCGTGTCCACCGCCCCAGGACTCACCGCATTCACCCTTACCGGCCGCATATCCAGCGCCAGCCCGCGCGCCATCGTGTGGTGCCCGCCCGCATACGCGCCGATGACCGCCCACCCGGGCATCGGCTTCTGCGACACGGACCCCGTCGTGATGGTGTAGCTGCTCGTATAGCTCGGGCGCAGGTGTGCCGCGGCCTCGCGCGCGATGAGCAGCGGCGCGAAGAAGCGCACCATGCCGGCCTGCTGCACGAAGTCGAGCGTGATCTCGGGCAGCGGCTTGGTCATCAGCGCGTCGCCGGCCGTGAAGACGACGTGGTCGAGCTTCTCGGCGCCGGCGCTGGTCGCGGCCGCGAAGAGGGATACGATGGCAGCGTCGAGCGTTGCGGCGTTGGCGAGTTCGCACGCGTAGCCCGTGATGCGTGAGGCGGCGCTGGGGTAGGCGGATTGGAGGGCGGAGATGGCGGAGGCGATGCGGGTGGGGTTGCTGGAGGAGATGATGACGGTGGCGCCGAATTCGAGGCACGCTTCGGCGAGGCCTGGGGGGCTGTTAGTTGGAGGGTGGAGCGAGGGCTGGGAGAAGGAGGGGAGTACCGTAGCCGATTCCGCTGCTGCCGCCGATGATGAGGATGCGGGCGCCGTGGAGCTTGTTGGCGTACTTGACTTGGTCTGGCATTGTTGACGAGGGGGAATGGGCGCCGGTGTGAAGTTTTGGAGATTTGGAGAGAGAAGTTTTTATTCAATGAACAAAGGTTGGATGAGAAGACTAGAGCGTTTATTGAAGCACCTAAGTATTCAGTTGATAATGGATGCTCAAATAGGTTGTATGTGATAGAGTGTGGGGTTGATAGGTGAGCCTTCCACTACTTATACCCTCAGTAGGCCGAAGATAACGGGGTTAAGAGGGGATAATCCGTTTCGATCTTTTCGTGTTTGGTATCTTTTGTCGAATTGAGACAGTGTAACGGTGTTGAAAGAAGCGCGGGTGACGTACTTGATTCGTCGGAAATAGCTCGGCTTAACGCCGTTCGACCCTCTAACAACTGGGCATGCATTCAGATGAGTAAATTCCTACATGCAGGCTATCAGCTCTGCAGGTGAAACCCCCCTGATCATGCGAGTGCCGGGTCGAGGGAAGGCCACTTGGCCGTTGCACGAGTTATACGCGCAGGAGCAGAGTCTACGTGTCGTGAATCATGGAATACCACTTATGGACGCTCAAATTTGATGAGAAGTTGTCGCCGGCAAGCATTATACGGTGGCTGTCTGTGAAAGCAATGCGCTCGAAATCGAGCAGGTAGAAGATCTGCTTAATTCTGGCAGATGGAAGGTGAGGCTGAAGCCAATCGGAGCAGAGAAATGCGGAACAGCAATAATAGCCTAGGTACTAGACATAATCAGTTATTTATTACAAATAAACGCTTCTATTTGATTATGATATGGACGTAGACGGCCTCTATGTAATCTGCCACAAAGCATTAATTTGCTTTCTCTGAACCTGCACGGCATTAGCTCGGAAATGATAAGCGTTGGGAGCATCGGGACAAACTTACCAAAGGCGCAACAAATACAACGCCAACCCCCAATGCAAGCACAGTCGCCAACATTTGAATCTTGTTGAAGCCCTTCCCAAGCATGTCAAACGCGAAACTCGGGGCAACTCTCGTCCCAAAGATATCCAAGCCGTACGAAAAGACTAGGCTGGTGCTCTCAACGAGGGCCGAACTAGTGATAACATCTTTGACGCCAATGACCTCTAGGTTGTGGTTCAAATACCACTTTGGGTCAAATTGAAGAGCGGGATTATACTTCGTGATACCCTCGCTGGCTTCTAGAGGGGTTGGATCCCTCCCAATTGGTCTTCGGGGGTCTATGACATGTCGAGGAATACCGACTATCGAGTTACTCTCCGGAAGAACGATGAGTAGCTCACGCGAGGTGATGCCTTGACGAGTTTGCGTGACCGTCATGAGGGATATCTCTTCCGGGATCTGGTATGTCTGCGAAATGACATATGGCTTTGCAGCATCTCCCGAAGCAGACGACGGTTGGAAGCTGGAAGAATTGGATGCAGCGCCAAGTGGACCACGATCGTTGGGTAGGGCAGACTCGTAGAGTTCTGCAACTATAAGTTGATATCCCCTGGAAGTGTCATCGGTAGCAGCATCCAGAGTCAAGGAGTAACTGAACCAATGTTCCGATATAGCCGATGGGATAGCGCGAGAAGTATCGATATTGGGATGAGAAACTGCGTGCAGGAGATTGCCTGATGCAGAGTCGAGGAGATATACGGAGGCGGTCCGGGTTGAATCAACTACCGTGGTGACTAGAACAAGGTTTGGGTTTAGGTATTTATACAGAACGCTCCGGTCACCTAGGACTTTGCCAATAGAGGCCACGGGATCCACTACAGGCCTAGCGGTATATCCGACGATGCGCTCTCCCTTGGAAGGAGCGAATCCCCAGATTGGGTCTGATGATTTGGCGTCACCGAGGTAGCCTTTCAGCTCTCCATCGACGAGATCGTATGAGATCAGCTCATCAGCGACGAGAGCGATATTTTGACTAGCTCGGGCTACTTCAGAAGATAGTACAGCTCCGGTTGTCGAGTTGACGAAAATCGGAGTCTCCAAGCCCTTTGCGTTGACCTCAATAAGACCATGGGCCGCCCTCAGCACGGGATCTTGTAGGGTTGCAGCAGCAGCGGCGAAATCGACGCTCCATACTATTCTGCCACCAGACCCCGCATCAAGAGCAACCAGGCGGCCGTTGTCTGTTGCAACAACGACGAGTTTGTGGAAGCCGAAGGCATCTTGCTGAACTTCACCGGGAGTAGGAGTAGCACTCTTCCCGGCGAAATTTGCTACAACCTGTGCAGGAAGGCCTTGAACATAGGTAGGGAGATGTTTCAGATCACGAATATGCCGAGTAACCCTATGAATGTAGGCGGCAACTACGTTTTGATGGCCTTCGATGGCCAATTCGTGGGCAAGTGCTTCTTGCTCGGGGAGGTCCGCCCACACAGCAGTGAGTGCGTTTGCAAGTAGCTCCGGACGAGCCCAAATCAAGACCCCATTGCGAACAAGAGTCCATTGGCCGTTAGAAAACAGCACAGCAGAGCGCACAGCCTGGGCAGACCCCGATCGGAAAGCTACCTCAGAAACTCCGTGGACTGGATACGCGTTATCAATTAGGGCTGCCTTCTTGGCGGGCCAGCGACCGAGCACTGCGTGTGAGGCTGAAGAGACAACGACAGTCTCATCCGTCGTAATCCTCGTGAAGAACACATTTGCATCTGAAGTACTCGTCGTGAATGCTCCGTTGCCTGGTAGCTCTGGGAGAGAATAAGCCTTGACTACGGTGTTCTTCTGTGGGTCGGCATGATAGATTTCGGCTGAATGCGAGGTGGCTGTATCGTATTGGACGAGGAAGTGGGAGAGCGAATTAATGCGATGAGGAGCGTGCAAGGTAATCTTCACAACGTCTTCTGTGCTGGGCACGGCAATTGTTGTCGTGGACTTTTTCCCGAGGATGTTTACTTTCACGGTCTTCTTGGCCTTGTCTGTCCATGCCAGGAGGGGAGAGGCGGAGTTTGCTCCAGCGAAAAGGATGGATTCGGTAGAGGAAACGTCACTTTCTGAGCTCAACGTATACTGGTCCAATTTCTGGCCAGTCAAAGTGTCAAGAGACGTTACTTTGAGTTTTATGCCTCCTAGTAATGTTGAGTGGAGCGAGATGTAGTATATGCTGGTCGCGGACGAGGATACTTGGAAGGGAGAGTCTCCACTGCGCATCCATCAGCTCAGGAGTTCGCGCCCAGAGATAGTGCATTACATACCTAGCATCCTCATATGTCCACCTCACAACACCGGTCTTCCCATCTATTCTCTTAACCCCCTGTACACCCCCGCTAAGCAGCACGATCGCATCTTTCACATCTTTATCGGTCTTGCCGTCCGGAAGCTCTAATATCTCCAAATCTTTCGCTGTTGACCCCGGGAACTTCGAGCCCCACACGTATCTTCCATCTGAAGAGCTCCAAGCCGTGACTTCATCTCCTGCAGCGCTGATAACTGTGTCCTGATCCTCCCCCGCTCGGAGATAGCCTTCTGTGGTGTTCACAGACGACAACGGCTGTCGCCAGACTAGCTCTCCATCTTTCGGATTCACCGCGCCAATGACCAGCTTGTCTGAGAGGGTATAGATGAGGGAGGCTTTTGAGCCCGCAAAGGGCTGCTGGAAGAGGGTCGCATCCTGCTTCGGGAATCCCACCAGAGCGTAGTGGTAGTCGATGTGGCCCGCGTCGTCAGCGAATATGGCAAAGGAGCCGGCTACGAACAGCGCGGTCGAGCCCAGCACTGCATGGAGGCGCATCGTTTGGTCGGTGTGGGAGTCGGTGAGAGCTGCGCCTTGCTCGTCGTCGCCCGCGCCGATGCTGTAACGTTCCTGCCACTTTCGTGAGATTCGGAGCTAGTCGGCCCGCTCTTAGCGTGCACCGTTTACTCCCGAGGATAGTGGCCTCGGTTTAAGCGACACAGCGGCATGCAACAACATCACCCTTAGCCAATGACGCTGAGTGAGTGGCAGTAAGTTTTAACTACAGATTGCGCCAGCCTCGGAGACAAGTCTCATTGGTATCAGAGTAAGTCCAGGTGATGCAGGCCGTCGTATACAAGCTTACAAAGACTTATAGATAGGTAGTGTGCGCTTTCTTTTCAGATAGCGTCTCAAACACCGCCTGCACTGCCACTTGCATAATCTAAGCCGTACCGCACTGTGCCACTAGTAAGTTTTACAAGCTCTCGTTTAAGCGCGTCCTTCGCGAGTCCCCAAACGTCACCGTGCTGGGCACAGGTAGAGGCCTCTCCGCAAAACGGCCTGGCGTGCTTCAAAACTGGGTAAACAGCACCCACGAGGCAGTCGTTCCGCCATCCCCGTCCCTGGAAGTTGATGCCTAGCTGAAGAGCTTAATTGATCTTTCATCGGCCTTCCCAGCTGCCCTCATCCATGCCGTCGTCATGCTATGGCGGTGCATGGCTACATACGAAGACTCCCCAGCCTCCTGCGTGGACGTCACTGTCACTTGTGCTGTGGCCTTTTTACAGCTGCACGTCCCACGTCTCACCGCACAACACCACGGCCTGCCTCGGGTGCGACCTCCAGCCCTTTTGGTGATCGTCGTGCCATCAGGATCTCATGCTCGAGGATTGCAGGCCCTGGGAGACCCGCTCTGATCTCACGGCGGCCCCATCGACGTTGGCAGCCAGGGTGATTTACCACGCGGGATGGGGCCCGACCTGGACGACTGGGACGTGACGTGCTCCACCTGCAGTTCCCTCGTTCCCGCTGCATCGGACTGCCGTCCTCGGGTGTTTGGCCCTTCATCAGTCACCCCGGGCTGTTGGTGCTCAACAGCGCATATCTCGTCACAGTGCCGTGGTCCTGGTATCCGACGAGGCCCGGGCCGGCATTTGAGCGCCTCACTGCAATGTGACAACTGCGCGCGACTGCAGCAGGGCAGCTCAATGGGGACGCAGGCAGTGAAGCCGTTCAGCCATCAGCCCGTTCCGGCGATGGCTCCAGCATCGGATCCAGCTCTGTGGGCATTGGGTCCGGCGGAGCATAATCCATGCTGCCGGTAGCGCCGACGACGCCTCTGGGCTTTTTTTGCCGTCGTTGGCTGGGGGTGCTGTGCTCTCGCCGGAGCGTACGCGGATGCGCGGCTTGACTGGCTAAAGCTGAAGCGGTCGAATTTTCCGGCCTTGCGTGCAGCCATCTGTGGCCTCGAGAAGGTGCAAATGCAGCAGAGCACGCCAATCACGCCCTGCTGGCGCCGACGTCGAAGGGGCCTCGCCTGCAGCCAGCAGGTCCAGCGCATCGTTGCAGGCCGGTCGCTGCGATCCCACCCTGCGAAGCCAGAGCCGTCGCGCTCGCCTATCGACGAGCTGTCAGCCATTATGTCAAGTCAGGCTGTCCGGCGTGGTGGTGGTGGGAGCAGTGAATGCTACATAGGCCTCGCGACCTCCATGCCTCTCGCCGGCCCTCTGTCCCTGAAAATCCCTCTCTCAGCAAGCATCAAGCATCAAGCATCAAGCATCAAGCATCAGCATCGCGCAGCACGCCGCACGCCGCTCTGCACGCCCAGCAGACTTCAAACATCGCATCCCACCACGGGCCACGCTGCTGCAGCCCAACGTCCGTTGGGTCCAGCCTTCACGTGTCCCCAGCTCCCCGCACCAGTTTCGTGTCCGCCTTGCCGGCTATGTAATCGATAAAGCCATTATTTTCGAAAACGCTTCTGGGAGGTGCGTTCACAATTCGCGCACCAGCAATTTCTGAACCTGGCCGCGGCCGATCCCCTGGCCACCATCACCTGCTGAACACAGGCACACACAGGCCTCTCTCCATGTATAATATAGCTGACCGGCGCCGCAGTCCTGGTAGGTGGCCATTCGCAGCGCGAGCCAGACGGTACCCACACCGTACCACGCACCGTTGAACTCGCCGACCCACCGCTACAAACCTGTGGACGCGACATCCAGTGACACTTCTGAGAATTGCCGACACGAAGTGCTGTACATTTCTCTAACGCCGCGACGCGCGCAATTGGCTCTGGACTGACAGACGAAAGGCGAATTGCGGCCGGCCTTGGCCACTGTGGCGAGAGTTGAGCTGGCGCCAGCTGGATATACCCACTCACGCGGCTCCGACCTTGCTTCTGCTGCACGCCCATCTTAAGGCATGTCGCAACGTGAATATCACATCGTTGTCCTGGGCTCAGGTGAGTTACCGCGCCGCCGGACTGGGTCCGGAGTACATGGCACTGACGCAGGCGCAGGTGGAGTTGGGAAGAGCTGTTTGACCGGTATGTCGTATGTGCCGCGAGAGCAGCGCATCCAACCTTGGCGTTTGGCGAGCTAACCCCTCGAAGCACAGTTTGTCCAAAATGTTTGGATAGAGAGCTACGACCCAACCATCGAGGACTCGTACCGCAAGGCCATCATGGTAGATGTGCGTGCTGCCCGCCTCCGCGCCTTCGCAGAAGACTGACAGCTGCAGGGCCGGCAAGTCATCTTGGAAATTTTGGACACTGCTGGAACAGAACAATTCAGTGAGTGCTGCTGCCCGACGAGACGCGTTATTTCTTGTTTCTGAAACGCAAGCTGACGGCACCCCTGCGTAGCTGCGATGAGGTACCGCTCCGACCTACTCCGACCTTCTCCGACCTTGCCGCGTTGCGCCGCTGACGTCCACCGCAGAGAACTCTACATGAAAACGGGCCAGGGCTTCCTCCTAGTCTTCAGCATCACCTCCATGACGTCGCTCCACGAACTCGCCGAATTACGAGACCAGATAATACGCATAAAAGACGACATGAGGGTACCGATCGTGCTCGTGGGCAACAAGTCCGACCTCGAAGAAGACCGCGCCGTGTCGAGGGCGCGCGCGTTCGCCGTGTCACAGAGCTGGGGAGGGTGTCCATACTACGAGACGAGCGCGAGGCGGCGCGCGAATGTTGATGAAGTCTTTACGGATCTCTGCAGGCAGATTATCCTGAAGGATATGAAAGACGCGCAAGTGCGAGACTACGACCACAGAGACCGACGCCGAAATCAAGGAGGCCGAGATTCAGGCGGAAGAAGCAGCGGGAGACGAACTAGAGACCGTAACTCCAGAGGAGGGAAGAAGAGCGATAGATCCTGTACGATTCTATAGGGTTGGATTGTCCCTTAGCCCTCCGGTCTTGCGGGTGGGTCAGAAACAACCGGCCCTGCAGGCCGGGGCATTCAATCTTCCTTCAAAGAAAAAGCGATGTTTTGCTACGGTAAGATTTATGTTAAGACCGAATATAGAGGTATTAGATGCGCAGCTCGCAGCCTATGAAAAAATAATTTCTATTCGTATGTCTTATCGGATTTAGTCTTTGTCGGTGTCTCTCATTCTATAGGGACGAATCGTATTTCCCGGTGTTCGTCATACGTCAGTACGTCTAAGCCCCCCACTTCTGGAACTACCGACAGTCTTCTATCAACACTCTGCATGGCATCGGCTTCGGTGATCAGCTCCTCGAGCTCGCCGTACTGCCACCAATGCACTTTCAACCCGCTCTTAACCCGCAACACGTAGTCCTGTCCCACTGCGCATTTATCCATCCCGAACGGCGCCGCCTAGCGGTCTTAGCTCTTTCAACAACCTCTCTGCTTCTTCCCCCGTGGCACTTTTCAAGCTCGCCTTCATGGTCCCCAAATCCATTCCCATCCCCGGCGTCCTCGGGGTTTCGTACTCTTCATACGGCACTAGAGGGTCGCCAGGCGCCGAGCCTTCTGGTCTGAAAGACGTGGTGAATCTAAGAGGCTCCTGCGGCCAAAGTGTTGAGAACTGGTCGGCTCTGGATCGTGAAAGCGGCCTGGATCCTTGGTAGCATCCACTTCCTTCTCCGTAGGGGCGTCTGCGCCGGCCGTCCGGATTGATCAGGTCCACGCAGCGATTGGGGTGCGTTAGATTGCTTTCTACGGTTCGAACCGTCACCATGCCGGATGAGTTGTGCAATTGTAGGGTTATGGAGAGCATAGGCTGGTCTGGCGATGTGAAGGACGGAGATATGGACGACCGAGAGGGATGATTATGTCGACATAAGCCAGACAGGGCATCCCGAGAGATAAACCGTTTTTACGTGTCGCAATCCATTGCTGTAGAGACAAACAGTCTCGGAGCTAGACAGATAAGTTGGCTGCGTGGCTGCCTGCCACCTGCATGCATGCAGATTGCACAGCCCCCAGCCTCGTCACTAGAAAAATCTTCCAAAACCAAGGCACACTCCCACTTTTGAGCTTTGATGCGAGGGGTTTTCTAGCTATTCCTCCACCTCGTTGATCTAATTGTTCTTCCGATAATCTTCCACGGCTTACCTCTTCCGCAAGCCTCCTTCCCCGACTTGTTACCTCGACCTTACCAAGTCTCCCATCGGTTTTTCTTTAGATGACGGAAACCACGTCTAACCGTCTGTACTTAGGGAATCTTCCTCGCGACGTCACCAAACATGATGTTGAACGGCACTTCCAACCAATCGGCGGAATTTTTGAAATCAGGCTCATGAATGGGTTTGGTTTCATCGAGTACAACCATGCTATAGACGCACGAGCGGCTGTGACTACCCTCCATGGCTCCGAATTTATGGGGGAACGTCTGGTTGTTAATTTCGCCCGTGGCAGGACCCGCAAGAAGGAGAATGCTAGGCCCAGGGAGTGAGCAGTGCGCGGATTCGAGAAGACGGCTTTTTGGCTGGGTCTGAGATGGCGGTGATGGGGACGATGAGCACGAGGCTACTGAGGGAGTGGACTGCGTTGGTGCTATGGTCGTCCGTGAGATGATGCATAGCAGCCTGAGTGCTGTGGTGGCGTTTGAGGATGTAGATGTTCTGGGGAGGGAGAAGTGTTGGATAACATGATTGTGGATGCTGTCTGAGGATGTGTAGCGCACAGTATCGCTCTTTGTACGCTCTATACTGTTATGTGGTTTATCACATCAAGCATGGGAATTGTGGTCGATATCACGTGATGTAGATTTTGTCGAGCCACTAGCTCCTCCTTGACCAAGATCCCCTCTTTTGCTCAACGACCCCCAAACTCATTGTCTCGGCCTGCCCCGGTCTCCGCCATGTTTCAGGAGGTATACGTCCATGGCTTGTGTCAGCTCGTGTCATCATATGATGGAACGTTTCGTGTAGATGCCGAGGTCACCACTCGCACCCTGTCCTGCTCGATAGTGCTCATACCGGCTGGGCATCAAGTTCAGCACTGAGTCCGAGCTTTCCGGATGTCCTTCTCACGGCCCCTTTTCTGGGGACTGTCAAGCTTCCGTTGGACCGTCAGTTTCTGTCTTCACATGACAGAGGCTTCCGAGGCCTCTGGATCTTCACCCTCCCCGTCATAGCTTCAAGGGGGCTTGTTCGAATTAGAGCTCCCAAGATTTCCGCTCACGAAAACAACAAGCACTGCCGCGTAACTTGAGAGCAGGGTTAGTAAAAGTAAGAGAAGGCAAAGGATGGGATACTCACGCTGCAGTCGCCGCAAATACCTCCGCCCTCCTCGCATTTGTGAGCAAAATGACGCTGAGGGCGAACAGCGCTGTGAATGCTCCTATCATTCCCAACCGGCCTTTCGATGATTGCACGGCATAGAGGCTGGCGATGGCTCCTACGAGCAGCACTGAGGCGATGAAGGTGCTGATGACAGCTACAGCCCAGATGACATGTCGTTCTTGGTAGTGGCCTGTTCGGTCTGCGCTATTTTGACGACTCTTTGAACTGAATCAGCAAAGCTACTAAGATCTAAGAAGACAACTTACAGTGACAGGCCAATGATCTTGCAAGAACCTGGAAAGAAAGTCGTCATCCGCGGGCGTCTTGAGAGCTACTAGGTCTTGTTCGTTGTCAAGAACGTACTTTGCACGACCTCCGAGAACTGGATCAGGCTTTGGGTTCCCTTGCTTTGGCTTGCCGCCATCAAACCAGATGCGGAAGGCTTCGATGACTCGATTACTTGGACGCTCGAGCTTCGCGACTTGACTTTGGAGGAGCAGAGCTTCATCTAAGTTTATCAGAACGGCTTCGGTGCCTGGACCTTGCAAAGCAGAACTCACGATACTCTTTGATCCTTCCTCGGATTTGGATTACAAGCTCCATCATCTCGCCCTCTTCGTCTCGAGATTTTGCGTTCTTGGCGAAGGCTTCCCATCGCCTGGCCGAGTCTTTCAAGTCGAGATCTCCCATGCTTGCGACATGGGTATCGAGTTTTGCTAAACGTTGTTCTAAGGCAAGTAGCTTGCTTTGAAGATAAAGTAGATTCCGTGCGCTGAGCTGATCGAAGCGCCTGTATATGAATGTCTCATTGTCCGGGTCCCGAGCTATCCAGGCGGCTACGGCTCGGTAGCCATCGCAGTCTCTGCTGGAGAGGCGTCCGAGTTCGATGTTCATGATAGGATGTTTTATCCTTCAACGACTTGATGTGTATAGACATACACTACGAACCCCTCCTCTCAGCTTTGACTATCAGTGTTCCGGTCAAAAAAGAACGATACTGGGGCGTCGGCAGATGAGTTCGCTGCCTGCCATCACCTGCATGCATATGCACAGCCCCAGCCTCGTCGCTGTAAATCTTCAAAACCTCGATAGCCCCCACCTTTAAGCCAGTAGCGAGGCTTCCTAGCTATTTCTCACCTCGGTGTTCTTACCATTCTTCGAAGAACGTCCTTTGACTTGACTCGACCTCGATTTGCTGGGAACGAAAATCTTCCAGCGAAAACTCTTTTCTTCGACAAGCGTTGTTTTGTCTCAGCCTTCTTTCGCAGTTGCTGACTCGACCTCACGACCTCACGTGCCGTTACTCAAGATGACGGAAGTCCCTTCTACCCGTCTCTACATAGGGAATCTCCCTCGCGATGTCACGAAGCATGATGTTGAACGCCACTTCCTGGAACTTGGCGAAATCGTTGAAATCAGGCTTATGAATGGGTTTGGTTTCATCCAGTACAAGGATTCTATGGACGCACGGGATGCGGTTCCTGCCCTCCATGGTTCCAAGTTTATGGGTGAACGCCTGGTTGTTAACTTCGCTCGTGGAAAGACCACTCAAGAAAAGAAAGCTGAGCATAAGAAGCAGTTACAGCACGATTTCAAGATAAATAAAGAGGAGGAAGAGGTGAATAAACAAGCTGAACCCAAGGCGAAAGAAGTCTCGTCATATCTTCCGTCAGCGGGGTGGGAAAATGGGATGCCAATCGGAATTCATGGTATTACTATGATCGCAAGAAAGCTTGCTGGATTTACGAGAATGGTCTAATGATTCTGAATCGCGCAGCTTTTTCGATGCCGCCCAAGCGCAACCGGCTCCGCGCTTCCGTGCTGACCGTCGACACTGCCGACCCAAATATGCAGACAGGCGAATTCTCAGGGAGTCGCTCGGCATCTTTAAAGAAGCACTATGAGATCGAAGGCACTCTAAATGAAATGCCGATTTCCGCTTTCCCGGATACTGGAGCGCAGAAGAACGTCATATCACTCAGTTACTGCAGGAGACTTGGTCTTTCCATTGACAAAGGATCCGATTTAAAGTTCCAACTTCCATCTGGAGGAATTGTCGAGTGTATTGGTAGTATAAGATCGCGGTGGAAATTCGCCAACGAATCGAAATCTACCAGCTTGAGCTTTCAAGTGATCGCGGACTGCACCCACGACGTCATATTGGGCGGCTCGTTCCTAAAGTGGTCGAAAACTCTGACGCAATTCTGTCACCGCATCATCACAAGATGGCGGCCAATGCCACAGTGCCGAGGAGTCAAACTCTTGGGGTCCCAGAGGCAACGAGTCTCTGGATACTTGGACGGAAATTTCGTCGAGGCCATTCCAGATACTGGATGCGATGTGATGCTCATGTCCAGAGCGTACGCCGAAGAGCATGGCTACTACGTCGAAAGTGGAGGAGACTTCCGCTGCGAACTAGAGTTCGCGGACGGCTCCCGCGCGTATACTGAAGGTATGGTGACTGGCCTTGACTGGTCCTATGGCGACTCCGAAACAACGTCCTTGTGCGACTTTCACATCTTAGAGAACCTACCCGCCGATGTCGTTTTAAGTAACGATTTCCTTTTCGAGGGCCAAGCTTTTTCGAAGTATGAGGAATTCTTCTATGACATTGGCGCTTGAGGACGTACACATGTCCACGAGCTGAGTCTAATCAAACAGATTGGTTGGCTGAGTGGGATTTCAAAACATTATGGTAGGATGCTGTCGAAGGGTATAATCACCACATCCATGTGGCAGTTTCAAAGCTGATCATCACAGAACCTCCAGATATAGAGGTTCGTCGGTATGAGGATAAGGATGTTCGCAGAGAGCTCCAGCGTCGCGATGAGGCCGATGAGGTTATCGCGGGGCTATCGGGAGAGCAGCAACGTCTCGCTCAGGACATGGAGACTTTGATACGGACCAGATGGACTCCGGGAACATCGATTCCTACTAATCCATCGATACCGCCACCAAATACCTCGACTAGACATAACCGATGGTCCATCCGGATATTCCATGGGCGGCGTAAGCCCTCACAACCAAGAGACCCTCAACAAGTATCATCTCACCGAATTAGTGGCTAGGGAGTTGCTACGAGCTCAATGCGCATGGCAGATTAAAACCCACATCTGGAGTACATCTTCCGACTAACCCACATCCGCTCGATCCCGTCCGGGTCTCTCACTTCCGGTGCCGTGACTAGTAGACTGCAGGAACTTTTTCTCATAACCGTTGAAAAAGAGAAGTAAGTGGACAAGATTTATACCAACATCATGGACTCTGACATTTTTAGAATCCGGGTACCACCCGCTCAACTTTGCGTAGAGCACCCCGAAATCTACCTCCTGATCGCAACAGAAAACACCCCTTGAGCAATCAAAGTCATAAATCCTCGTTGGTGGGCAATGGGCTGGAATAGCGCTATCCAGACGCGGTTGTCTGCGGCTAGGAGCCCAACCTTGGAATCATGGAGTCGGGAGTCATAGATGCGAAAGCCGAGGCCACTAGGATGGATGGGTGCAACGGAATGAGATTGGGAGTATGCGGAATCTGAAGATAAAGGGACACACGATTGATGCGGCGGAGACATTGAAGAGGCTGAAGTATGTGTGGAAAAGAAGTACGGTGTTTCTGCGAAGGCAACTTGGCAAAGTGAGAACAAGACTTTGGGCATGAGTCATGACTATCCTTTGTTTGCGTCGAACAGAAAGTGCCTGTCCATGTATGTATGTACCTAATCATTCTAGAAATACCAGAGACCCTTCCGCCCTATTCCCGGCGCCGCACCCTTAAGATTTACTCGGCTCGGTGAAATCCTGCGCGCGTTTCATGCGGTTCTCAGAATAGACATCACTTCTGAGTTTGACAGTCTTAGTCAAGTACCTAGAACCCAGGAATGCGGCCTGGTGCAGAGGCTGAAACAGGTTCAGGCGCGGCATAATTGGCACAGAAACTTGTCTTCCTACTTGGGTACGGAGGACGGATTGAACCGCTGGAGCTATGAAGGCAGCGTGTGAGGTGGCCTGGGGTAAGATGGCATCGCAAGTCTTACGTTGGGAGACGCCACATATTGTTCATACCCTGAACAGCATGCCTTGGAGAAACAAAGAACGCACAAACAGGGACACAGGTGACGGAGAGCAATAGAAGCTGTATGTACGTACATTTTAACTCCATGAGCGAGTGTCCTCTATAGTCCAGCTATCTAAGTCGCGTAAAAGGAGATGTAGACACAAAGCGACAGAATCAAAACGTACATGAAAACAGAAGAACGCCAACAAAGTGAGAGCGCTACAAGCCCGAAGGGATACTGCAGGGAACGAAACCTCCCTCCAACCTTCCCCAATCGCTTCAGTCTGAGGCCTGATATCCAGCGGATCCCCCTGCTATTCCCCGCAATTTTGCCCCTCTACGAGTCAAAGATCGCTCCGTACGCCGCCACCCCCCTGCTCTCCATACCATACACCACCTTCTTAGTGACCTTCGGATTGCTAATAATGAAAACAGCCTCCGCATTGCACTCAACAAGCAGCTTCCAGACCTCCAAGACCATATCCGGATAGTTTCTTCCACTAGTATTCCAGATCACAGCATTCGAGTCCGCATTCAGCACCGTATCCACCACTCCCTGGCCGTAGGTTTGGACCGGGTCCCGCGTGCTCCAGAAGATGCGGCGCGGAGTCTTATTGCTGTGCATGAGGCTCAGACACGGGCCGATGCCAGAGCCAGTGGCCACGAGCACGATTTGACGGAAGAGGCGGGTGGTGTAGAGGAGGCCGTGGAGGGGGTAGCCGCGCGTCCACAGCTTCTTCGGGGGGTTCTGGATGGTCTTGCGCGTCCAGTCGCCGGCGTTGGACACGACGACGCTGAAGCCCTTGCCGTCGGCTGCGGGGATCGTGGCGAAAGCGTGCCATTCGAGCATGGGGCGATCGCTGATTTTGAGGCCGTAGAAGGGGGGCATGTTGCGATAGTCGAAGTGGAGACGTGTGGCGTGGGACGAGAGGACTTCCGCGCGTACAGTGCGCAGACGGAGCCGTGACCAGGAGAAAAAGGTGCAGCATGTGGACAGGCCGATGAACCAGAAGGAGGGCGCGGTGAAGATGGCATGAGCAAGAGAGACGTGGGTTGTGTTATACGTGTGGACGGCGATGATGAAGGTTTGCGCCCAAAGGGTGATGAGAGCCGACCAGCCGGCGAAACGGTGCACAGCTTCGAAATGGTCATGGAACTTAATGCGGATTCGTGGATATGCGCCTGCGAGAATGAAGATGAACATCATAACGCAGAAGTAGCATGTTACAACGTTTGCAACTGGAAGGCCATGAGTGGGATTCTGGGCGAAGTGGATAGTCGCAAGAACGGTGTAAAGGACGAACCAAAACACAGCAGCAACTCCACATCCAGAATGGACTCCTCCGTAGTGGTAGACCTTGGCGAGCTTCTTGCGGATGAAAAGAGGTAGTGAGTGTGGAACACAGGTAAAGAGCTCATACACAAGATTGACAGCATTTTCTTGTCTCATCAAAATTGAGGCTAGAATGTTGGCGGAGCATGCGTTCTTGGCATTGGCCATGGTAGGAGAGCCTTTGTTCTTGGCCATGAAGACGACAAGAGCAATCATGTTGAAGGTGAATATGGCCGCGAACATCTTCCGATAAACCGTGAAGAATGTATCTGAAAAACTAAGTTAGCATGAGCCATTGATAATGCTTCACAACGCTGGAACTACTCCTTTACGAAGACGATGATGAGAAGAACCATACATACGTGAAAGCCATCTAGTATGAGTATTTCCATGTTTTGGTGGCAGTGGAGGCGCTGGCCTTGCCACCTCTAAGCTGTTTGAGGAAAACGAACTTGACGTGAGCTTCTCAGAGAACTCTAGTGACACAACGGAAGGGTCTTCTTTCGTTTCCATGGCGTGAACACTGTCTCGACGAGCGACTTGTCCTACATCGGGGTTGTTGGTGTTGGGAGAGAGCGCAGCCATCCTGTGAATGTACTGTGACGCCGTCTTGGCAATCCTTTTACGGGATTGGAAACCGAGCCGCGGGTAGGCACCAAGAGACGCTCCGGCCTGTGGGAGCCGAGAAACTGGAGGAGAAACGTGCGCGAAGCCGCAGGGCACAGTGTGTGATTTGGAAATATACAGGGGTCAATGGTTGGGGTACGACCAATAACAGAACACTATGGCTTGAGTTTTACCACGAAAGGGTCAACCACGGGACGAGTAAAAAAGAAAGTTGATGGTGTAGATGCATAGATTTGAGAAAATGGTGATGAGCTGCAGTAATCGTCTACGGTCGATATGCATCTACTTATACTTCGAGTCGGGCCAAATTCGCCCCAAGAGTCCACGGTTTCATTGATGCCATCCATGGAATGTACCATAGTAAGGATCAGCAACACCGCTATGGTAAGTTCAGGATAGCCGTCGATGTGACGGTATTGGTGTGAAATGGACTGCAATACGGGGTTAGGACAGACGCATCACGACAGCTGAATGCAGCGTTTGCTCCGGGACCCACCAGCAGAGAACTGTATACGAAGAAAGAAGAGGCAGACCGGGAATAAAACAGGTTGGATACACTTGAATATCTCGGCGAACCTCTAGGATAGATTAAAAGCTGGAGATCAATTCTTGTGGAGTTGCTGATTGTGGATAGTCGGAGGTATATCTGATAAGGTGATCAAGGCCACCACATATTCGTATCTACAGGTGGTGACTCTGGCGAATCCCAAAGCATGCACACGGGTTAAGATATCGCTAAATCCTCGCGTACGGTGCATGGTTCAGGAGAAGTATGATGAAAGAGGCGCGTCGTGGAGGCCTACATGTGCCTAGAAGGCATCGAAATTCGAGGGTCCATGCCGACGATGTTGACGAAACGGAGTTTATTCAGATGTTGGTCGTTCGTAAGACAGACCCTGCATGATGAGTGCCGTTGTGGTCTTGAGTTGCCCTATTCGTGCCAACCTAAGCAGCTAATCACCCATGCGGCAGGTGAGCGGATGCTCCCGCAGCCAGTCGTTGACCTGCTAGAAGCGTCCTATCCGATTGACTATGGGGCCAGGCCCAGCAGGGTGATCATGCAGCTCTACTGCACCTTCGGTTGATTCTTTCAGTGGTTGGTTAGTTGACAATACCGTTTGCAGATCCTGCCGTGCTTCGGAAGGAGCCGAAATTCGAAACACTTAAACAAAGACTCCTTTTGGACTAGATTGTCACTTTGGAGGCCAAGCGAAATTCTCGTGTTCGCCTTAGACTGAGTTCTGCTGGCGTACTCATCAAGTCTGTCAGCTCTCAAGCTTCTCCGCACCCGGAAGAAGATTGAAAATCATAGATGCCAAGCAGTCTAAATTCAAGGAAATCAACACCAGCTCCTTCTAATACTGGCCCGATTATTTGCCAGCCAGCTGTCTTATCATACCGAGTTTACGGCCCCCTGGTAACGTTTCGTTTATAACTCTACCCATGACAGTGGTGAAATGGCTCGGCACTTCAATGTTTTCGGCATTTTGAACATACGAGGTCTCCACACACATGCCGTGACGTGATGATGCACGCAATCCAGGAGCAGCTCGGCGACCACCCGAGATGCTCACATGGTAGAAGTCGGATCGGCATGTGGGACTAGGGGTGGGGTTGCCACGCTGCCAGAACGCTGTGGGTCCTCTTTATTTGACTGACGTGTTGTCTTATCAATCGCCGTGATTGGAATGGTGATGAGGTTTTTCGGCGACTTGCGATATAGTTGACCCTTGCTATCATGATGGGTGAAACATCCTCGTCTCTAGGGCATGACAGGCAACCCGTTATCTGTTGATCTGAATGCCTGTCTTGTTTATTATTTAGATTGAGTCGACACTACGAAGGTGGGGGTGCAGATGGCAAATTCGTCGTTTCCTGCACGAAGGTCCTGGTTCGAGAAAGTTCCTGGGAAGACAGCGGGTGTCATGGCCGTCATGCTTGTGAGATTAGTGGTAGCTACTTTATGATTACCAATAACGAGACTGTCCGTTCTTGCAAATGAAATGACGCGGGTGTCAAGGATCATCGAGGAAGCTGGTCGAATGGAACACTTTCGGCTGTGAAGCTATGGATAAAATAGTAAGAGGTGACCGCGCTTGAAGTACAAGTATACAGCCGAAGAAGATTTGAAGTCTCGGACACAAACGTTCCAAACCGCCGAAAATTTACTCCCTGGCGCGCAATGTAGCATTCGACTGGCGTGTTGTCTTTCGGCAATCAAGTGATAATGTAGAAATGACGGACTTGGATGATCACCGAGAAGAGATTCTCTGAGCCGAGTCTCTTCAACCTTGTCCGTTAATCGTCGGGCTCCTCGTCCCACCTTTCTACGCCCTCGGGTATCTTGACCACAGCCCGGGAGCACCAAATATGCTTCGCCTTGCTCCAATCGAGCGCTTCAATACACCCGCCCTTGACACTGACAGTTTTGCTATTGTCTCGGCCAATGTGAAGTATCCGTGTCCCGCATCCGGTACAGAAGTAGCAATCGAGTGTTCTACCACTATCGGTTTGACGCGTGTAGATTCCAAGAGGTAGGTCGGGAGGCAGGGTGAAGGCCGGAAAGATCGCGGAGGTGCCGAATGCTGAAGCCGACTGTTTGCGGCATTCGGTGCAGTGACAGTGGAATATATCGAGAGGGGTTGCAGTCGGAGTTTTGAATCGGATAGCACCGCATTGACATACGACGTCCATGGTGAGGAAACTGTCGGTAAACAATGAAGGCACTAGAACAATTAGTGGAGCGATATGGGCTTGTCAGCCGCTCTTGGATAGTCCTTGAAAAAGGACATGAAGCGCCCGCCACGTCGATTGGTCGGGAAGGAGATTTTGTGAACAATTGGACGAAAGGTCGAGGTGGAGAAGTTTCGAGGAGAGAATAGGCGCTCGGACCCACAATTCTCCGCTCAAGCCACCGTTGACTAGACCCATCTTGAAAGGTTTGGACTGCAGCCTACCTGCATCTACCTATCCTCCATGAGCTTTGTTGAATTCGTCCTGTGAATGTTGAATCATATCGTCTCGACACGGCCCATAACGCGTTCTAATCTCAATAAAGATCCCACCTGCAGGCTGCTTCCGTAGATGTAGCTAGGCTCGCTAGGTCTAATTCTACCCAGCCACCGCCCAGGGGATGACTCCCAATGTGCACCAACTCATACACTGTGATTCACCCCCTTACCTGAAGATTATAGGCGCCTAGCTTTCTCTAAAAGAGTTCTAATGTGCTTTCTTTGAATCTGAGGCCTTACTTCTCAGTGCTGCCGGAAACTCTCGTTACTCTCAAAAACCTTGCAGTCCTCCACAAGACCTTCAACATCTCCATCCTTCGGCTTCAGAAAACCCTTGTCATGACTGCCGTGATACGTCTAAAGGGGACTACTCTCGAGGGTGGGGGCCAGCTCCTTCGAATCGCAGTCGGCGTCTCGGCCCTCACCACAATTCCCGTCGAAATAACAGACATTCGAGGCAATCGATCTGGTGGGGTGGGACTCAAGATGCAGCATCTAGCATCCGTCACGTGGCTCGGAGCTGCCTGTCATGCTCGATTGAGTGGAGCCGGAAAGAAGAGTAAACAGCTCCTCTTCGCGCCTGATACAAAGGTATGAGATCTCAGCTGCGATGTCTAACTTCCGGCCTATGAATGCCACTGTCAAGGTCACTTCGTAGAATTGCCAGAGCCTACGAAAGAGACGTATCTTATCCCTTCAAACTATCGATCCCGCATCATTATCTATGAGACGCCAGAAACACCATTTGTTTTTCTACATCAAGCCATTCGTCCAAGCACCCTATATATTAGCAACGCAGACTTCTTAACTAACGCTCTAGCCTGTACGCAAGCTGACATACTAAAGGGCCTACCCTCTCTCCTCGACTACCGTGAACGCGAACTTGCCGACGGCAAGGCAATCATCGAATCCCAGATCCTTCAAAGCACCCCCGGGAGCATCGGCTTAGTCTTCCAAGCTATTCTCCCCTTCCTCTTCTTCTCCGGTTCCTCGCTGTCCATCACACGCTCAGAAGACTCTGTACCCAAACCCATCCGCATCCGCATAACTGGCGGCACGAACTCCTCCCTCTCCCCCTCCTACGACTACATCTCCCAAGTCCTCCTCCCTACTCTCTCCCTCGTCGGGCTCCCCCCTATCACCAGCCAACTCCACTCCCGCGGCTGGACACACGGCGGCAACAAAATCGGCGGCATGTCCTTCACCGTCACACCGCTCGCGCCGAAAACCACACTTCCCGCTTTCACGCTCAGAGAGCGGGGCGCTATAACCCACATCCAAGCCACCATCCTCGCGCCGCAGGCCTGCGAAGCCCACTTCCGCGACGAGCTCGACACTGTCCTGGCAAAACGCTCTGGATCCCTCTTTGACTCCGACGCGGACATGGACATCGACGTCACATTCGAGGACAGCAAGAGTGATAAGCGCTTCTACCTCCTCCTCGTTGCCACGAGCAGCATAGGGTGCAAGCTAGGCCGCGACTGGCTGTATGACCACCGCGTCAAGGATGGTCGTATCGACGACGCGATTCGCGCGCTCGTGAAGCAGGTTGTTAATGAGCTGGTGGCGGAGATCGAGAGCGGTGGGTGTGTGGATGAGTATATGCAGGACCAGCTTGTGGTGTTCCAGGCGCTGGCAGAGGGAAGGAGTGAGGTGGACTGGGGTAATGTGCGTCAGGGAAGCTTGCACACAAGGACGGCGGAGTGGGTGTGTAACGAGCTTCTCGGTGTGGAGTTTGACGGTAAGGGTGGGTGCGAGGGTATCAGGCTGGCGGCGGGGGAGGTGTTCGCGGAAAGGTCTGAGGCAAAGGTGGCTATCGAGACAAAGACGAAGGAGCGGGGCGGAGATGATGACCTGGCTGAGGCGGTTGAGAGGCTAGAGATATGATACCTGGATGTGCTTGATAGAGATCGTGAAACCCCACAATAGAATGTAGATCTGTAGCTCCACAACACGTTGACGGAGACTCCTAGAAACCAGAATGTACTAACCAAATGCCCAGCTCAATTCCGTACTTAACTATTACCGCGTGGTGATGTTGTCCCTTTTGAATCTGCCCACCCAACTCCGCCGCTTCCATGCACTTTTCCAAGATTTAAGCACCATCCACCCAACCACTATATCTCCACAACCAGCGCCTCCATTCAAATTCTGACACGGTAGAAAGTTTCGCGTCAGTCTGTACATGTATTCAATAGGAGGACAAGTCCTCAGGACGTGTTGTTGAATTTATACGAATTAATTAGAAGTGCGGTTTGGAGTCGCTCTGTACTCCACACTTTTTGGTGACCAACTTGCCAGAAGCGGTAGGTGCACGGACCATGAGGAGGGGTAACGAAAGGAGTTCCCAGTAGAGTAATCCAAGGTTGAAAGTGCACGGATGCAAAGCTTCTGGCGACGATGTTGGATACGTCCTATCTTCTGTGGTATCTGCTTCTACGACATCTTACTGGATCAACCCACCCCTTAATTCCCTTTCCCCCCTCACAAACAGTACCTAAAGTGCGAACTCTCCTTATCCGTAACATCCTTAAACCCCTCTAGAATCGCCTGCTCATCCGCTCCATTCGCTGTCCGCTCCCCAGGTCCCATGAGCTTATCCCTCCGCCTATTCTCCCACATCATATAGAACCGCAAAAACACCGCTATCACAACCATCCCACAATAACTCACAATGAGGCCAGTCAGCGCGGAAAAGTAACGCGGCTTCTCGCGGGCAAAGAAGATCTGCGCGCCAGCGATGTTGCCGCCGGCGTAGAAGCAGAACCACAGCCCATTGGCGATGGAGCGTTTCGTGTGGCCCGCGATATTAGAGGTGAGCAGGTTCCAGGAGAGGATGACGGGGGCGCCGACCATATACTGGAGCCAGGTGCAACCGACGAGCGACCACCTATGGTCCAGCGACGTGAGCCTTATCCCGATCAGCCCTCCAAGCGGCGGGAGACAGATGATAGCGAGGATGATGCATCTCGTGTTCTTGAAATAGCTAGCCGCGAGACCGCACAGCGGCACGAAGAAGAACTCGAAGGCGCCGGTGGGCAGCTGCAACAGCGTGGCGTAGATCCCCGAGAACCCGAAACCCTTAATCAAGGCCGAGCTGAAGTTGGAGACGCCGCCGTTGATGACGCCGCACGCGAGGCCGATGAGCATGAGGCAGTGGACTTTGATGTCGAGGAGGGCTTCGACGACTTGCTTGGGTTGGAATTGCTTTGTTTTCACGCCGATCATGTTCTCGGCGATGCGGTCGATGGCTATGACGCGCTGTTTGTGCGTGAGGAATTTAGCGGTTGAGGGGGAGTCGGGCATAAACCAGAGCTGTTTATGTGTTAGTAAATGGATGCTGGAGAAGGATGAAGGCAAGACGAACAAAGACCCATGACCAGACGAAATTCATGAGACCGATCACGAGGAAGATCAGTTTCCAGCTGCTGATGGTGGAGGAGTGGGTGTGGCCTAGCCCGTATCCAAGTAAGGCTCCGACCATCGTGGCCATTCCGTTGAATGCGAGGAAGACGCACATCCGGAGAGGCTGCTCAGAACGCGTGTAGAACATGCTACAGATGTTCATGATAGCAGGAGAGATGGAGGCCTCAAACATTCCTAGCAGAAATCGCAGAACGAGGATGCCGGCGTAGTTCGAAGTCGCAGCGTGGCAGCAGAGGAGAACGGACCATATGAGGATCATGCTACCCGTGTATTTGGCGACGGGTAGACGTTGAACGAGAAGATTTGCGGGAATGGCCCAGAAGAGGTAGCCGAAATTGAAAATCGAGGCTACCCAAGAGTATCGTTGGCTATGGAAGCAGTTAGCAATCTAAGACGTTATTTCTCTCAAACAGCCAATTCTTATACTGGGCATATGGATAAGATAAGAAAGAAAGGGGATCAAGCATACCCTACAAGGTCCAGGTCTTCGAGCAGGGAGTACGCGGAAGCGTAGTTCAGAGACAGTTTGTCAAGGAATTGGATTGTATATGTTACGCAGATCTACATTATGGAATGTCAGATATCTTTTCCAAACTCTTGCTGTCTCTCCAAGTCTGCATGCCATTTACTGAGAGCGTTGCATGAAAGACATTGGGTCATGTGATTTTGATGAATCAAATAAGATATGTCTCGGTCTGCAATGATGATATGAGAGTCCTTGTGAAGCACATTTCTTTCATTGCCCTTCCCGGTACATCAAAGGAGCTGATAGGTACGAAATAGACTTACGATAGGCATAATAACCCAATCAATCTTCCTCAGAACCACCTTCCTCTCCGCTTCTAGTTCCTCTCGCGAATACTGCTGAACTTCGAGATACAGATCGGCTCCAATGTCCCGCATCTGCTTCTCAGTAGCAGTCTGGCCCTCTAGAATGCTGGGTGGCACTTGAGAAACCCCCCCTGTCTTCTCCTCGAGTTTCTCCGCCATGGTGAGGTGTTTGGCGGCTGTGATAGCGGCAAAGCGGGGAAGGAATCTGGTGTTGGTCTTTTAAACACTGTGAAACTGATACACACGACGTACGCGACCCAGGATATATATGCCGTTACCGCGGGGACGACCTCCACTCATGATCGGCGTTATCAGGCCGCCTTGAACCTGTTATCGCTCTCATCGGAAGACTCCTGCGAAGTAGACTTGCACCGTTGGTCAGGACAGCGGGGTTTATCATTGCCCTTGTCGATGTGAGATCGTCGTGTTGGGATGGAGGAACGGGTTGCTAGAGTGGGACCTCTTTTGTGGGTCTCACGAAGCTCGAACGAGTCTAGCTTTGCTAGGAAGGCCTCCTCGGGCTACTAGTGACGTTCCATCGCTTCTCCACCAAAACCCTAATCGTCACTTTTTATGCTATCTCAACTTCTTTACCCTATCATCAACTCAACAATCACAATCTGGAATACACCTACGCCGGCCTCGAATTTGAGCATTCTACGGCTCTCTTACAGCGGTATCCCACCACCTGTGTTCAACCATGAAAGCTCGATGCACAGGAACTTGCGGCGATTATATATCAGACATTCGTAGCCTCTCGTGGTGATCATGGGCTGTAAAGACCATTTCTACCAGTCTTTTCTCCCAGGGATCCTTTGTTAATGTGGCTTTCCTCCAACCAGTGGAGCGGCTTGGTACTTAAGCCCTCGCCCTGGTTGCTGTGATCCATCTCTATATCGCGCACTGTATCCAATCCAACCTTATCGATGATATCAGATGGACCATTACTCGCGCCAAACCATCCTTTGAAAAGCATGTTGATATCAGGGGGCTCTGCGACGCCTTTAGAATGGACATGAAGAGATTGAGGTAACAGTTCTTTTTTTCAATACTCAATCTCTCAGGTCTTTCTGCTACCTATAAAGGAGGATCTCGCTATTACAATTCTCATCGTCTTCTCAATGCTCCCACGTCAACTGTACCTTAAACTCTGGGGAAAACGCCCCTTCGGCTTCTTCTCGGAAGAGACTCGGCTCTTAACGTCGACGCTAAAGCTCGAAGTCACGAGACTTTAATGTTGATGTCCCTCTATACAACACTCTAACCTAAACGTACCTTGTACTCCGAGCTAAAATGTGACTACTTGAACAAGCTTCTGTGGAACATATGAAAAGTACGCATCTCAAGAACTCAGTCCAGATTCAAGTATGGTCTCTGATACGCATAGTATAGAGGTCCTAGCACGCGCCGAATGCAGTCCGTTTCAGATGCAGCTTGAATTCGATCTCTCCGTTCCTGGTCATGCTTTTTAAGCAGGGCTTCATCTTCGGTTTGCGGGGGCAGTTTGAGAAGCGAGGCCGCAGCGATCTAGAAAGCTATTCTGAAATTATCGAGGCTGCCGCAACGATGAGAAGAACATGATGCTTCGGTCTTTGCAGGCCTTTTCATCTCTTAATACTCTACATCCCTCGAACATGTTGCTCACTGCCGCGTTGACCGACATTTGGAATCTTCTTACCGTTATTGCCCTATTGTTTCTCAGTGTTAGCCATATTTGACTTCATTTCATTCGCTAGATTCCTAAAGTAGAGGCGTTAGCCTCGGCGTCAGGGGGTTTGGGTAAATAGGTAAAGAGGGACGGGAGTAGGCGCTCGAGTTGTCAAGATATTAGGCTGGAAAGGTAATGGGACACTTAAGAGGCTTGAAACTCTGAAGGGCAAAGGGTGCACTTTTCACGTAACCTGGCTCTGGATCATTCTAAAACATAAACATCTACTTCAATACATTTGATTGGCTCCTTTGTTTCTATAGTGTCTTGCTATAGATATCCGTACGCTTCCCTGCTAATGTTGGTGAGGGCCGTGGGGCTCTAGCGTACCTATATCATCCAATGGCAGACCATACACTTCCACTTTGCGTACACCCTGCTGACGCTGTCTGCGGTAGCCTGGCAAATTTACTCGTCGTCCACAATGCCGAAATTCTCCCTCGGTCGGAATGCTGATAACATCATGAAGCTCCTCAAGGCAGTTATAAACAAGTGTACGGATTCCGATGGCGAGGGATTGTATACAAGAGCCGCGCGTGCAACATGATTTAGCTTCTCCGCATAAGTTCTCTCAAGTTACGAGTACTGCTATGAAGTTCATGGTCCATGGAATCGGCACGAGGTATGGCCCACGTTTTATACATGGTGATGTAGCACCGGCCTAGGATTGTTGGATTCACTGAAGCACTACAGGTGTTGCAAAGATTTCTCGCAAATGATTATGAGAACCTATATAAGCGGTCATGTCGCGGCAGGGCTTCATCGCCCCAAGTCACGATTATCTAGAAATCCGACCTTCTACCCTATATAAATCTCACGCAGATCCCCCAACACCTCGCAACAACGGAACCGTATCATCCCACCACCCGCCCCCCAGCCCTAGACCCTGAGCCTACTACCACGTATCCCCCTCAGAAGTGTGCCCCCCTCATTAAGCGATACTTATACATCACCTGTATTCCCGTAAAATCGGCGATTGGGGGCCATATTAACTATTTTTCGTGGCATCTACTAATTCCTAAGAATTGCGACGATTCGGCTCTCTCGATTATCGGGTGGTTACCATAAGCCCTAATATCACCGATTTTTGAGATCGTACAGGCCTCAAAATCGCCGATTATGGGGTAGCACAAACAAGCCAAAAATCAGCGAGACTTGAGGTTCTATATACACGCCAGTATTCAACGAGATTTACCTACTCAGTCAGCAGTTAAAGGCCCCTAAGGTTACATGATCCATATAATGGAGCTACGGCGAAGGAAGCTACATCTTGTAAAGTATTGATGTAGAAGTTTGGGTCATATATGCTATATCGGAAGAGAAGTTTCATCCTTGGATCTAGCCCTAAAATTGTCGAGAATTAAGGTTGTACAGGCCCCAAATCGCCAATCGGGAGGGAACAACAAGCCTGATTATCGCCGATCGGGGGCGTGTACAACCTTAACTCTCCCTGATTTTGGGCTTGTACAACCCAAAATCTTGCTGGTCTTTGGCTAGTGTACCCCCGTTCATCGAGATGCGATATCGCCCCCAATCGCCGATCTTCCGGTGAAATAACTGATTTTCGAAAATCGCTTGATAGGGGGGCTCAAAAGCACCACCTCCTCTACGTCAACGAAGAATCTTTGGACCCCCAGATCTGGTCAATATGGCATCCAAGTCAACTGCCGATGACATCGATCCCGAGCGTGCCTCTCCACTGCTTCAGCTCCCAGCAGAAATCAGGTTGGCCATTTGGGGCCACCTTTTCCAGGACCCCGTTCACGTAAAATCCAAGCAACAGGATAAGTCCATAAATGCATATTATTTCGAGAGAGAACCATATCTAGTCAAAACCGAAATACCTAGGATAGCCGAGGAGCTTGCTGCTAGGTAAGTGAGCCTTTCGAGCTGCCCCCCAGGTTTGCAACCACGTTAACACTGCCACAGGAGCACAATAACCCCCGGCCTCCTTTCCACCTGCCAGAAAATTGCAAGCGAGACCCTGCCAACCATGGAAAATCTGCCATTTGTAATGGCATTAGCCGACTTTTGGCAGGTGATCACCCGGCTGACACGAGACGAAAAGCGACGCATTAAGCATGTCTGGATCACGATTGGGCCTCATGACTCCTCTGAGTTGCACGAAGCACTCTGTTATGGACTGCGGTACTTCTTCAAGCTTGAGTCCATCACATTTCTCCTTCCGCCTCCAATAGTTGCGCTCAAAGTAGCACATCCAAACACGACCCATCGATACCTCGTCAAGAAGGCGCAGTGCTATCCTAGGGATGCTGTTTATGACAATTTGCAGATACTCGGCGACAGGATTATAGAACTTACACGAGAGGAATTTCACCGGCTACTCCAAGACCCTGTCATCAAGGCCGCTTTTGCGAAGTACCCGGACTTCAAACTCGAGCTTGACGGCCAGGAGGATTGGAGAGCTCACGTATACAACCTGCTTGAAAAGCACCCCGAGGCCAAGCCTCTCTTCGGCAGTGACTGCGAAATGTTCATATTTTCTCGTTACCTCTATAAGCGTGGAGACGTTCTCGATATTGCGAAGGAGCTTGAGAACCTATCGCATTGGCTTCCGAACACATGCACATGGAAGGTTGTGGATTGGAATGATGTTGGCAAAATGTGGGATTGGACTCAATATGGTATTGCCAGAGGACAGTCACTTCAGTGACAACTGTCGAGCTCATAGGTTCCGGTTGAGGTAGAGGAAGTATTCTCCCTCCACTGGAAGGCGTGTCATTAGTATATTTCCTCGTCAGACCACTTGTGTGGATATATATTGCAAAGATCGGGTAAGATGAGGCTCTGGATTCGATCGTTCATCACTATGAGGGTTACTTCGAGCAGTTTTTGGAAGTTTGGGCGAGTGGTAATTTCTAGTGGCACCTAAAATAGACTGAGGATCAACTACTCAGCACTGATTCCTATTTTTCAATGACTTTCGAGGTATTTTATGAACCGGCTCTCGCCTACTGTGCCATTGAAGTATACATTTCTCCAAATTTGTCACCGAAGTCGGAAAATATATTGCCAAGAATACGGACGCACCATCCATGGTGCGTCGTTCTCACATACACACTGTCATTCACAGCAAATTTCTACCTCACGTTAATCCTACCGTTCACTAAGAGTGCTCCATAAGCCAATATCATAAGATCGAACTCTCAACTTCACCGACTTCATCAACCCCCTTCAACCCTTGATCATGTCTCTTCCCAGATGGACTGCCTCTCCAAGGATGGATGAATCTCGCATCAGCTTCCTCGACCTACCACTCGAGCTTAGAGAGCAGATCTACGATGTGTACCTCGTCGACTCTCGCGATTACCTCTGCACTAGCTGTAGCTACACGAGTTTCTTCGGCGCATTTTACTCGGGTTGCAGCACTACAACCTAGGGTCAGCAACTCATATGCAGTAACGTATCAGGATAACATGCTGATACAGGAGGAAGTAACAGGTAGTGCAACAGCAGTGCTGCAGCACGGTATCAGTACTGTATCAGGAAACAGGATGAATCAAGTAACGCGTCAGGAAGAGATACCACGTTATGCCCCCGGGGCTGGCCCCCCTCCTTCCCCTAGTATATAAACAACGAGCTAGACACCCATAGAAATCAGAGTTCACATCAATTTCAACCTGAGTATTTTAGTACTGGAACGGACAAAGTCTCGAAGAATTAAGCATCTGCCACCACACGAGAGCGGAAGCTACTAAAGTCATGAGCCGAAAGACTTTTGGAGACTTAGTCACATTATCGGACTACCCGTCAGATCCCATCGGTTATTATCAGGCGATGGCAAAGGACTTGCGTGCAATCACTCGTAGTCCTTCGGTCCGTCCGGCCTTTGCGAAGATTGTCACCAGCCTCGTCTACACAGTACACTGCTCCCACTTGTGTGATGGCCCTGCAGGTCGCTGTCTACACCAGCGTGCCCCTCTTCATGACTGGATAGTAGGGTCAGCGAAGAAAATTCGAGATAGATTTCCTGCAACTAGAAAGGCTACCTTGGCCCTGGCATGTCGTTATCGGGATTTATGGAGTGGAGGTCAATGTTTCATGGGACGGGAGTCAGACGAGGAGACTTATAGCCGAATAGAAAGGGTTGGGAAGGTCAACGAGTCAGCCAAGGTCGCCGCCAAAAAGAATGTCGCCAAATTCTGGAGTCACAATCTTGGACTCTATATGGAGATATTCCAGAATGGATGGACTTTGAGTTTCACCCACGATACATCGAGACCTATACGGTCTCCCCTAGCGTTGTGGTTGATTTGGATGAGATCAGGGATACTCTCAAGAAGGAACGAAGCGCCGTAGAAAAGTAGCCAACTAGACACGGCACTATAGTAGCAAAATCAAACACCGCTCGCAAAAGGCGTTGTCGGCTCCTTCATAGCTGTTGGCTTACTCAGAAGCTTCCTGTATATATTTCCTCCTTCCGCTCAATAGCTAGCTTCCTCACCATCATCAATACAACAGCTTTTGGCCCCACATCTAGTCTTGATTCGTTTTCCTTCTGACTACCACTCAGCGTGATCTGACTACCACTCAGCGTGATCTACCCGTCAGTGTCCTGCCTAGGTGCAGCTGGTAGTGTTGGTGGCTGGCCTTCGCGTACGACCGTAAATACGCTTTTCTCAACCACGGTTTGTCAGCCCTGGAACTATGATTGGGAACACGAAAGTAGAAAAGATCTAGAGGCGACGCACCTAAAAAGAAAATGAGAGGCACACTTGAATGCCACGTCAGCGAAAACTTTTGGGCTCCTTCTAGGGTCCTCTCAACCCATACCAACCCCGAAGATAAACTACCACTGAATACCTCGACTGAATACCTCGAACTCCTTCCAAGATGTCTCTACTCGAATGGAGGGAATCGAAAAAGATCGACGAGTCCCGCATAAGCTTCCTCGATCTCCCCGCCGAGCTCCGCATACTCATCTATTGCTCACTCATCGTCTTCCCCAAGATCCTCATCTTTCCCAGCCTCCGAATGTCACGACCTACCTTCATCTCTCAGAGTATAGCATCTGCCGCCAGATCACCGTCGAAGCCCTGCAAGAGTTCTACTCCCATAACACCTTCTGCGCTACGGACCACTACGAATGCGGCCCTAAATTGGCTCCAGGACTTCTCCATAAAAGCCGGCAAGTAAAGTGCCACATTCACAGGCCACCGGGATTCCCAAGGGCCGTCGAACCCAAGTACGCGCACCTGGTCCGGGAGCTGAGATACGTGGTTCCATCGGAGAAGTACTTTTGCGATCCCAAAGCGATAGACTATCGTACGGCCCGTACAGCAGGCTTTCGCCGGCTTGCGCAAAGCCGTCTTCTTGCTGCATACCAACTTCGATACGGCTGATCTTGCTGAAGAGCTTGGGCACCCGTCTTTCGATCGCAAATGCATTTCGGGTGAAATTAATGAACCAACTTTGATAAAGATCCAGCAGGAAATCACGGACTTGGTGAAGAGGAAGCTGGATATGTCGATTTCTGGGTCTGGCGAAACTCCAAAGGAGATCCCCGATTGGGTCGAATTCGAGTTCACTGTGCGCAAAACCAGTTTAGAGAGCAGTCAGGGATTGTGGGGCCTGGACTGGTGATTGTCGAAGTATTTGAACGCACCCTGGAAGGGACAAGAAGTATGTGCGTTGAAAACCCTTTATGAAGATGACGATGAATCTTGAAGCTGTGGTGGGACTATAAACGTCGTGTTAGACGTCTTAATAATCTGTAGCGGGACTCAATACGATTCATGAACGAGAAAACGGAAACCATATCCTCGGTGAAAATCTCAGTTTACAGTTTCTCTCTTCGCAGGTGATCTAAACCTTGCAATACTAGCAGTAGCTAGAGCTTGCGTGGGACCTCCTTGTTACAACTCCACCTGACGATATCGATCATCTAATCTAGGATATCGCTTCACGCTCTTGCCATGTAAACTTACATCAACTATCCTTGTCCCCAAAAGCTGTTCACTTTCAGAAGATTGAAAAGATGATACTCACTGGATTCCGAATCCTCACTACGCGCCACTCTTCCGCAAAGCCATTCACCAGTGTATTCTTCGACTTCACCCCACCAAGCTATCCCACAAACCATCGCGGTCTCTTCCATGAGGCTGAATCAGAGTTAGTTAGTGGATTCATGACAGAACATTCTGCAAGAACAAGGGCATGAGCTGTGGCGTGAAACCGTTTTTAATGTAGTTGTCTGTTTAGTTGTCTGTGCTTGTTAATATCAGCGTCATCCAAGCTGGAGCCACCGGCATCCTTTCATACCCACGCGAAGAAAAATCCAATAGGAGATCACGTGAGCTACTCTCTTTTCACGTGGTTGACGAGTGATCTCCACCCTCAAATCTGGAGAATGAAGGGCTGATGTCGGAAGATGCATTTAGTGCTTAGAGGAGGTACTCCGGGGGATGAGAGAAGCTTGACATTGCGTGACAAGCCCAGATTTGTGGACTAGGAGAACTCCAGCGAATATGAGTGAGAAGAATAGACGAAGGTATCCGAGATAGCGTATCGTCGTCTAATATTCGCAGTTGTTAAGACCACGGCCAAAAGCGAAACCTCAAACTAGATCGAAGAGACCATGTCTGAGCAGGATGAGAATTTATGGAACCAAGTACCCAGGAAGTCGATATGAACACTAGAAAGAGAAAAAAAACCCACAGAAACCCTCCCATCCAAAAGAAATCCCACCAGAAAGCCCGAAAGGCAAGTCCAGCTTACAAAACCTACTCGACACAAGCAACAAGTAGCCTCTCCTGGTCACCTCTCGTCTCGCCCTTGATCCGGTTGATAAGCGTCTTCTTGTACTTCGCCTGGAATGCAGCCTCGACCTGGTTCATATACTGCCGATTCCAGTGAATGCGAACAACACGGTCGATCAAAAGCTTGTCCTTAGTGCCCATACCAGCCATCGTAGCCTCTAGTTGCGCCGCATCGCTAGCTGCACGGTCGAGACTGCGGGCAATGATGAGACAGAGCGCGTCCTCCATGTGGCCACTGAAACGGCTTTTAATCATACTATCAAGCGTCTTCTGATATTTCTTATGGTAGCCCTGGGCGATAGCGCGGAGCTGGTTGTCGTTTCGGTTTGTCAATATATGGCAAAACTGGACAGGGTCCTTGTTAACCGTGCTGCCGAGGGAGCGCTGGAGCTCGGCGATGTCTCGGTCAATCTCTTGCGGGATCACGGGGACCGAGTCTTCGTTGCGGGTCGCTGCGACAACCATCATGTACATTTGCTCGGTGGCGCCTGAGAGATCGCCCCTGAGGTCGGCTTCGAGAGTCCTGTGGAAGAGTGTTTGATACTCGGCTTTGATGGCTTTGATGTCGGCGTTACTTCTGCAAAGAAGGACGTCATCAAGTACTGTTTCCTTCGTTCCCAAACCTTCTAATTTGTCAACTTAGCCAGATAGAGCATTTCGAAAGAAGGGCGTTCGCATACCCTTCATCGCTGAGTACAGCATGTTGGCATCGTGAGTTAGCGGACCCCAAACAAGGGCCACAAGCCCTTGCTCGAAGTAACCTGACACTTCCTTCCTGATCTCTGTGACTAGATCCTTCTTATACTTGGCACTGTATTGCAAGCGAATACTATTCATTTTGGCTGGGTCTGGTTTTGAGAGGACGCGGATGAGCTCCTTCTCATTGGTTCCGAAACCCTTCATAGCTCTGGCAAAAATGAGTTGATATCCTATTGCAGTTACAGAAAGATGCTTACTTCTCGATAGCCGTGACCTCGGCATCGGAAGGAACTTGGGGCAATTGGCTGGGTGCGTATCCAAAAGTTGGAGGCGTCGGGACAGCATACGGGGCTTGAGCTCCATAGGCAGGCTGTCCATACTGACCGGGTGGCGGCGCTCCATAAGCACCAGGGGGTCCTTGAGGAGGGTATTGCTGGCCATACGGTTGTGGTGGCGGCGCCCCATACTGTTGCGGTCTAAGACGTGTAAGATAATTGCTGAGAGTGCGACTACGCATGCAGGAACCCTAAACTCACGGCGCTCCATACTGGCCCGCAGGGGGCTGTCCGTATTGTTGGGGCGGAGGTGCCCCGTATTGGCCTGGAGGAGGCTGTCCATATTGTTGCGGCCTGATAGACTTGTGAGATTGTTGTCGCAATCACGACTGAATTTGGACTCACGGCGGATACTGCTGTTGCTGCGGAGGGTAACCCGGCGCCGGTGAACCTGGGTACTGGCCTCTGAATATTGTAAGACAGTTGTTGCGGCCAATATTTGCATTCTCGACACTCACGGCGGAGGATATCCTTGTGGCGGCGGTGCTCCATATTGACCCTGGGGAGGCGGGGGCCCGTAGCCTTGCTGCTGAGGAGGATAAGGTGATCCTTGAGGGTGTTGAGGCGGTTGACCGTAGGGCGGCTGCGGCGAGTCTGATATGTGAATGTTAGTTGAGCTTCAAAGACATTTGGAGTATGCGCGAAGCAAGGAAAAGAAAAGGTGGGTGCTTACGGCCCTGAGGAGGGTACTGTGGATAGCCAGACATAATGATGGTGCTTCGTATAGACCTAAGTCTTGCACCTGCAGGTAGCTAGGTAGTGCTAACCTGAAAGAAAGTAAGCATTGAGGCGTCGCAACTCGTACAGACCTCTAACTTACTATAACGTATGCAGTGGGCGCTGCTCACTGTTTGTGAAAGTTTACGGTGGGTGGAAGAGGGGACGTAGAGAAGATGTAGAGAAGGTGGAATCAAAAGAGCTGATGACAGAATTATTGGAGGGGCTTAATGACATCTGGGCAAGCACTGCCCCGCCGGAGCCATGGGGCGAACAAGGTGGCGGTGCTCGAGTTCCAAGCATTTGGCGCGTGGTTGCCTTCGAAACCAGAGCACGAGAGGAATGGTGGCCCTGGGCGATCCTCTCGAAGGGGCGAAGTCCGCCGGCTGTCGGCGAGAGGTGACAAGCTTGGGGTCTTGGCATTGAGGCTGGTGTTTCCGAGATCGTACGAAGGACAACGATCCATCACGTGACGGTGTACTGTGCCTCATGACGATTTGGGAACATTCAGTTCGTTCTCAAAGAGACAAGTAACAATCTTGAGAGCTGCTTTGTGTTGTTTGAGCTGTGGCTGACTGCTACCATGCTGAGATAGCTTCCCCTGGTTTGGGAAATGAGTAGTGAGCACTGTGACAAAAGATTCACAGTCTCCATATTTGGGACTTTAAACCCCAACATCATGCAGTCTTTTGGCACCCCATTCAGCGTGGGCAGAACAAGCACTACGAAGCTTCAAATAGCCTCCAGATCAGAGGGTCTTTGGAGTCCCGTCAGAGTTGTCAAGATTTATAAACGAGAATATAGGACTCGAAGGATAAAAAAGAGGATATGCAATAGCTACATGTACACTGCGCACTACAGAAAACCCCGAGCACAGATTCAAGGATGAAATCCCACTACTGCTCACTTATTCTTCGCCGCCATCGTCTTGACATGGCCCCAATCATAACTATCTTCACCCAAACTCCACGCCATGACCCCACCCAGCTTCAAAGGCTTCACGATGCTCTTAAACTGCTCCACCAACTTCACAGTGTCCCACGTCCAGAATAGATGCTCTGAAGCATCATAATAGTATTGGCCTCTCACTGTCGTATCGTTGACTCCTTTGACCCTCGCAATCGCCCACGACCCTAGCACATCCACGTCTTTACACCCACTATTTGAAAACGCGTGCTGGCAACCCCCTTTGCAATACTCATCACTGGTCCCGCAGTACCCAGCCTCAGAGCAGCAAGATCCCACAGGACACGAGTGGCCGTTCGCGCCGCACATACCGTCACTCGAGACCGTAATGCTGCCGGCGGCAGGAAGTGGTGCCATGTTGGCTTTTTCGAATGTCACTGCACCAGAAAGCTTGGTGTCGGCGCCGGTGATGGGATCTTCAGGTTGTGCGAGCGGGCAGCCGAGAGGAGTGGGACAGTCGCCCTTGGTGGTGAACCACTTGGCGTAATAGGCAAAACCGAGGTTTATCTTGGTAGCGTCAAGTTTAATGTCGATGTAGCGTTTGACGGAATCGAGGGAGTCTTTAATGGAGGTGTGGTGGCTGGTCGCGGTGTTGCGGCGGTTGGAGAGGTCGTAGGTCATGACCTACAAAATGCAGTGAGTATATGTGGCTTGGACGTTTTTCTAGCTCTTTGGCGTGGAGTACTTACATTGACGAAATCCATATGTGGCCAGATAGTCGGACTCGTCACATCGATGTAGGCCATCATATCAGTCGACATTCCGGGCACCGCAATGGACAGTATCTTCGTCCCAATGGCCTTACGGATAGCAGCGAGGAAGAGCGCAAAATTTGCGATCTCGTTCGCCGGGTTTCCTGCGTTGGTCTTGTAGTTTTGCCCATTGCCGCCAGGATACTCCCAGTCGATATCGACCCCATCGGCGCCAGTTTTCTGCAACATCAAGTACTCAGCCTTCGCGAAAGCGTCCATAATAGCCTGATCTTTCACTCTAGCCGCGAAGCCAGGCGCTTCTTCACCCCATCTGCCGATGGCGATCATAGCCTTAACGTCCTGACCGTACTCGGAGCGGATTGTATCGACGGATACGAAGGGATTGTAGGTCTCCGGCGAGTTCGCGTGGGCAAAACTAAGCACGACGTGCGTGATGCCAGCGCGGTCTGCGGCGGTGCCGGGGCGACTCGGATGCCATCTAAAGGGAGAGTCAGCGGATCGAGAGTGCGACACTTCGATAGACATCAATGTCGAAAATGACAAGTATCCAAAGAGAACAAGATGAAATAATAACGATGAGGCCGTAAAGGAAGAATGTACGTACTGGTCATGATACATCACAAATCGTCTCGGGGCCTCGCCGACCGCGACGCCCCAGATAGTCGCCACGGCGGCGAGGATGCTGGAAGAACGCATGTCGACGTCTCATTTGAGAGTCAATTAAGCTATGTTCCTTGAGAGGAAGAAAGTATGCCGCAGGTCCCTTTCCAAGGCACGGTGAAGGATGATATTGAGTTGGCTGAGATGCTCGAAGGTAGAGAAAGAGTGTAATATGCTTGGCCCGGTTTGAGCGCTTCAATAGCTATATAATGAATCCAGATGCCGTGGAGTTTGAATGAAGGAGATGATATCTGACTAGATCAAAGAAGATGTACTCCATTGCGTGCGATAAGCGTTCCTACTTATATACGATTACCTCTGACTTAACCGTCACCCTAGTTCCACAATATCACTACATCCACCGTAGTTGAAACAAGTTTTTATGATAAGAGGCGTTGTCCGGCCCGTACCGTGCCTTGTGGCGCATTTCATCTGTGCCATGGTTCACCCTCCGCACAAGGAGCAACGCGCTCGGTTAAAACCAAGGGACAACATGAAGCAGGACCTTGCACAAGAGTCATGTGTGTTGAGGACTACGCTTTCGTGTGACAATCTTGAAGATAATGAGTCCTTATGTTGCCATATCTAGAGGGTTATATTTGATGTTTTCCTGGTTTTGGATTGTGACTGCCTGAGTGCCTGGTGCAACAGGCAAAAGGAGTAGCGGTGCAATCTTAGGCGGCGTGGAGCGGGCCCTACCGTACCGTGACTAGGTATTCAAAGACCTAAATTAAAGCCCGAAAGATGGAGTTCGTTTCTAAGTTCTAGATACGCCGCCGGATGGTGGGGGCTTGATAATGGAGAGAAGAGGCACGAGGTCTGCAGGGAAGAGAGGACTAGGTTCACTAAAACTTAACCTTACTGATTTGGGCTCAATGCACGTGACCGCAATATTCCCGCACATAGTATCTGCAGAAATGATTTTCGCGGCTATTCATACTCTTTATAAACACTACGTAACTCCATCGTCGCAAGAGGAAAGTCGTTTAAGTAGGGCCGCTGTGTGTGCTGCTAGCCTTGGCTTCCGACAGCAGGACAGAACGTGCAAGTAGTAGTACATTTCAAGGTGATTACGAACCTGAAAAGCCGATTGAGCCTTCTGCGTTTTAGCCTCATTATAATCCTACGCTGGATGCTTGAAACAATACCATGTTTTGCAACTTGGTACACTTCATTCTATTAGCTAGGTATGGGCCTTGCGAGCAACAGCGCTGTTCACAGAGGCCACGCGTTGAACTCAAAGAGTGGTACCGTGATCATGTCTCGAGCCCACTAAGAAACGCCAGAGTTTCCCTTCCATTAAACCCTTCTTCTACGTCGTTTTCATAAGTGCGATTCAACGATCCAGCACGACTGCCTCCTCTTTCTTCACGTTGATAGATACACGCAAAGAGTCCAAGTAGAAACCCACCAAGCTTCTACAAACACCATGAAATCAGTCCAGCATCTCGCCCCCTTCGGCCTCGCGGCAGCCATTGCCTCTGCCTCCACCACCGTTCCTCGCGACGACGCCCGCCACGATCCTATCGAGATTGAAACTCTGTACTCCCCCATTATCATTACCTTCACCACGAGCGCTATCCTCGCTACTCATCTCATCGTCAAGGTTTCTACTACCACTGACACCGCTGCGCATCCTATCGTCATCGCCGTGACCCTCCAGACCATGATCGCCCGAAAAGACAACCATCGCGAACCTTACGAAAGCGAGCCTCTTTCGTCTATCGTTCCCACTCCTATCGCTACTGCTACTGCATTCACCTCCTTCATCACCTCCGTTACCGATGGTATCCATAATCACGGCCCTATTGGACTTGAGTACAACTCATCCAGCACTCCGACGCTCTCGCACCGCCGCCACTGCCTCTTCTTATCAGAGTCATAGCATACCTTTCAACGGGTGGGATTATATGCCATCTAACTAATCAGTCGGGTGCTGAAGTGGAAAAGTACAGGCCCAGTCCGTATAGAAGATTCAAAAGTCCGAGACAGGGCAGTCGGCTGAACTATGTAGCGCGGATTCGTCTTAACGGAGATGAGTTGAATATGGTGCTCGAGTGTTAGACAATTATAAACCGAGTTTCCAGAAAGTAGCTTGTACATGTTGAGGCATAGATTCTTACACTTGGCTTTCAGAAAGTTGCGTTTGAGATAAGAAACGCAAGGATGCCGTTCTTGGAATGCAAGCTCGTCCTAGGTGCTGTACTTAACGTGTACACGGCAAGCTTCTGCACGGGATCCTGGACTATCAATACAATCAGCTGCGGTACCATTGGGATGCCAGTATTATGGGTTGGACTAGCCGTCCCTGTTCATCTCCTCGCCATTCAAAGCCTTGGATTGAGCACAAGAACAACATAGGATGCGTCATAGAAGAAAAGAAGCTGGAGAAGCTCACTCTATGAATGGGATAAGTATGAAGCCGCCCCCTGTATCGCCCACGAGGAACTTGTTCTCAGTAAGAGGCTTGAGACGTATTCGTTTGTTGCTGTATCTTGGTGTACATTACATCTATCGTTGCTGTTACGCATGTCCTTCTATAGTACCATTGCTATCAGCTCTTTACAGTTCCTCGGTAAAGCTCTATCCCTTGCGAGCATGTGTAGAGATATCTTGCTAACGCGTTAAAGGGTACGTCGACAGTATCCAAATCATTGCCAGATTTATGGCTTCCACGATCATCTGCCGGGCAGTGCTCATGTTTGAGTGAGTTGGAATGCGGAATGCCTAGGAAGAACCAAGAAGAAGCGGGCAGCTTTTGCTAGGAGAGCTGTCCCACAGCGACTAAAGTATCTTAGCCGTTGAAGTAAACGTAAGGAGCGCCGTAGAAGTAACGAAACGGGATTCCATATGAGTAGGGGAATACATGACAACATATTTATGGAATAGCACGAAGAAAGGGGTGAATGAGGTAGAGGCGACCCCTGTTACGCGCTAGATCCAATTAGGGAGTGTGTTTACATCTTTCTCGCCTAGCGACCGAAGCCGAACCATGCAACTCCAACCTCACACCAACATCCTCATCGAGCCTCTCCGCCAGCAATAATGCCTCGCAAGCAGGTCTACGGCAAGCGCGCCCCGGCCACGTCACTTTTTTCGAATATTCTTGATTCCTCAAGCCCAGAGCAATTGGATGCGAAGCCACCACGTCGGAGGATGCCAGGAGAGAAGAAACCTACGAAGAAGACAGAACTTAGGTCGAAAGGTCTTGAGAATGAGAGGATACAAGAAGCTGGGGCTGCCAAGCAAGAGGCGGACAAGACAAAAAGATACGAGGATGCTGGGCTGGGTGATATTGAGAACCAGATGGAGAGCTTGAAGATCGAGACTGCAGATACGGACGCGCGAACGAGAGAAATATCGAAAGAGAAGAAGGCTAGGAAAGCTCTAAGGACAAAAGATTCGAATTCGAACCCTGTGGCTACAGAAGGAATTAAGCAGAAACGACGTATAAAACCTACATTGATCAAACCCGTGGATACGGACGCAGAAGCCCATACAGAAACTGTCCCGGCAGAGAAGACCCCAGAAGTGCTGGTCAAATTGGCGATACGCCCAAAGTCGTCCCATGAACAGCATTCCGTCCAAAGCCAGCCTCAGCCCCGACCCGTAGAATCTGTAGACAACTTCACACATATCCGACCTCTCCTAGACCTCTGCAGCGACTCCACTGCCCGACAAACTCCAACATCATTCTCGTCCTGGTCCTCAAAGCTGGAACCTCACTTTGCCGTCTCTAAAATCGCAGAAGCATCTTACGGCGAAGTCTACCGACTCTCCCTCAAAGCCTCGATCCCCGGCTTCACAAAAGCAGACGAGTCAGTACTCAAAATCATGGCGCTGAAACCGCCGCCGGAACACTGTCCCACAGCCTCCGAAGACGGTACAATGTCTAAAGCAGATCTTTCCCGCCAGAACAAGATAGACTGGATGTCATCGCCCGCCTCTGTCCTCTCAGAAGTCCAGCTTCTCCAACTCATGACACCCATCCCTGGCTTCACCAACTTCCGCGAGCTGCGGATATTACAAGGCCGCCCAGCACCCGCTTTCGTCACGGCGTGGAAGGCATGGAACAAGAGCAAGATCAAGGGCGAGAAGAGCGTCTTCCCAGACCCGAGCCGCAAAGCCAACTATGACGAAAATCAGCTATGGGCTGTCGTCGAAATGCAGGACGCTGGATGCGATCTCGAGAACATCGTACTACGAGACGTATGGAGCGTGTGGGACGTATTCTGGGGCGTAGCGCTCGCAATCGGCAAGGGCGAAAAAGGCGTCCGCTTTGAGCACCGCGATCTTCATCTCGGAAACATATGTATCCGCTCGTGTCGACCGCCATTAGAAGACGCCGAAAACACAGATCCGACGTCCGTTCTCACAGCCCCAAGGATCCACAATACACACCGTAAACTCGGCTTCACGGGTCTCGAAACTACGATTATCGACTACACCCTCTCCCGCGCTGACACTGCTGACTCCCCGTCTCCGACTGCACAGGATGTAGCTTTCCTGGACCTCGAGGCTGATCCCGCTATTTTCGGCGCCGACGCGACGTATGAGTACCAGTACGAGATATACCGCCAAATGCGCTCTGCGATCTACTACGGCCGCCCGCTCGCTTTCACCTCTCCGGACCCTTACACCCTACCTGCCCACCTGCTCGAGAAAACCACATGGCGAGATTTCCATCCCCTCACGAATCTCATTTGGCTCCATTTTTTGCTGCATAAGCTGCTCGAGAACGTCGTATGGCCATCTAGTGATCCGGAGCTTGAGACCACGCTAGCAAGAGTAGATGGGAAGCTCAAGAGGGCGGAGCGGAGGGCGCGGAAGATCGAGAGGGCTTTGGTGGCACTGAGGGACATGTTAGATCCGGAAGTGCTAGGGGATCAAGTGGATGAGATGGGGGTAGCGAGTGTTGGGGAATTAGTGGCGGTTGCGTTGGTGGAGGGGTGGTTGGGGGAGGAGGATGTGGTTGGAATTGCTGGAGAAGGGCCGTGGAAATGATGAAGACCCCAATAATGCTACAATTATTGGAGTTCGAGTGTGTTGAATAGATGAGTTGCTGCATTGGTTGGCGTTAGAGTCTTAGATGCTTGCATGGCGAGGGGTATTCAAGTCGGGTGCGTCTCCGTGATGGGAGGCTTGGATTAAAATCTGAAATGCATGGCAGCATCTGGTATTATCCCAGAGAAGTTGCAAAGTTTTACACTCACCTTCTCTTAGTCATCACTGCTGTCTCTTGTTGCTATAAAAACCCACCGCCTTCCCTTTACAGCTTCTTCTTTGCTGTCCTACTGGGTTTCAAATCAAAGACTTGGGACTCTGAGATCCCCATAGGTGTCCAGAACTTCTCGAGTTTCAAAGTGCTTGCATTTCATGGACTACTCAGATGAATGATGCCCACCACCTTCGCCCCTCCTTTTCTATGTCCATCTTCCTTTTCTGATCTAGCCCATACTCACCCCTCGATGACGTAGATTATCACCGATTGACCCCGAAGATGCCTCATCTCCGACGGTCCCAACTCGCAATCATCAGATGGCAAGAATGAAAGAATTTGATCCAACCACGTGCAGAGCCATGGATGTTGGTCGACATGAATATTGATATCCTGCCTCGATGCTGCCGACTCCTTCAGTTCTTGATAAAAGATTTGGAGGAGTTGGGGTTCTTGTACGTGAGGAAAGGTGAGGAAGGGGGAGGTCACGTCAGTGTCATGTGTCGAGATTTCTTGACGCCCGGAGGTCAACAAGATAGGAGGCGGTGAGATACCATTGAAGGTGACTTACAATGGGGCTCCTTTTCCTCCGATCTGTCTTTCGATCTACTCCTCTTCGCCGCTTTTCCAAGCAAGAAGGTGAACAGTCATCTTCTTCGTTGCCATGTCTACAAGAAACGACGACAGCTGAGGGACAGCTTTTACGTCCGAAGAGTTGCAAACAAAATACCAGCGGACATACTTGCTCTGTCCTTCATCTTCGTTCTTGCAAGATGAAGGTCTTTGCATCCCTAGAAGAATGCATTACTCCATCATCCAATTTCACACTTCTGACAGCCACCCCGAGCCCTTGCATCCAATTAGCATCATCCCCTTTCGTTATCCATCATCACATTTTCGCTGAACCCCCTCCAGCCTTCCAGACCCTCCACCACCATTGTTTGCTTTGTTGTTGATATGATTCCCCTGCCTCCACCACCATCAAGTGTCTCAATGCGTAGGCTGATCTCCTCCCCCACTTCCGCTTCTCCATCGGGGCTGTTTACCAGCGATTTGATCCCTCCTTCCTCCACCATCGCTTTCTTCGCTTTCCATTTTCGACCCTCCAACCATATTATTTTAGTGTTTGGCGTTCTGGCACATAGCAACGTGCGGTCTCCGGTCTTGATCCTCCAGCCATGGATTGATGTTGATGCAGTTTTTTACACTCCAGCACCACTCGAGGGCACTCCATCGCTCGCTGGATGGTCTCGTTTTCGATCCTCCAACCATCAATGGATCTTGCAGCGGTTTTTGCACACGAAAACCAAATCCACTCCCATAGCCAAGAGACTTCTTGGTTTCGATCCTGCCACCATGGGTGGTAGTAGATGCATATTTTAGAGAAACACCACTCCACTCCATACCTCTATCGTCTTTCCAGTTTGGATCTTCCACTCATCGTAAAGTTGAAGTGCGCATTTGCCACCAACACCAGCCCACTCCATCATACCCAGTCTTGTCCCGTGTTGATCCCCCACGACATAGATCAGAGCGCCAGTCGCTTTTGATCCACCCCATGGCTCTCGGGATTCCCACAGTTTTGATCCCCCTCCCCACCACCTTCGCTCCTCTGATGAGTTTCGAGGACGAGGTTGGGGATGGGCTGAGGGGGTTTTATACTCGAGCAGCTGGGAGAAGTTTGGGTGTCACGTGGTGGGGGGTGACGTGGACGTGGCGCGTGATTCTGGAAAGGGGAGGACGGAGGGCGGTGAGTGATAGCGGAGTGTATAGGAGCGGTTGGGTAGGCATGGGGCTAGTAGTTCAAATTAAGAGAATGCTGCGATATGGAGCTGAGGAAACGGAGATGCGGATGGGTATAGGTAGGAAGAATTGCAATGCTGTAGTGAAAGTAGAAGCGTAACCAAGAAATGCGTAGTAACTAACTATCAAGTATAACGCAAACCCTCAACATGAAAACAGTACCAATAACAACCAGTCACACTCACACAACCTAGATCTAGAGCGCGGTCAACACATCACCGTCACATCCAATTAACATAGAGCGCATTAGAATATACAACCGTCACAAGCTGCATGTATGTGTATTCGCAGTATTGTATCGATCGGCTGGTACCTGATTCCAGACAAACCACCCCTCATCCCCTTCACGTCGTGAAATCATTCCCAATCCGATCCAGTCCATAGCGACAACCCCGAGTTGTCAAAAGCAAAGTAGACCACCAACGCCACTATTCCATAACCGGGTGTCGAGAGACCGTGAACCCCCGAAGCAGAGCAGAGCAGAGCAGAGCAGAAGAATAAGAACCACCTCCATCGCCCACCCGATCTTATCAAATTGGGCGAGAGTAAGGCCAACCCATATCCGTGCTGTCATAGAGAAGGGTGGATAGGACGATGAAAGGTAGAGTGTATCGCAGTAGTTGTCAACGCGTCTAACCACCGAAACCGTAGAGCGTACGGCCCTGGCGCTTAAGCGCATAGACGACATCGAGCGACGTGACCGTCTTTCGCTTGGCATGCTCGGTGTAGGTGACAGCATCACGGATGACGCCCTCGAGGAAGGTCTTGAGGACACCGCGGGTCTCTTCGTAGATCACTACAGACACGGCACGTTAGCATGGTAATCTCAAACAGAAGCAGGTATAGGAGGGTGACATACTGGCAGAGATACGCTTGACACCACCACGACGCGCGAGACGACGGATGGCGGGCTTGGTGATGCCCTGGATGTTGTCACGGAGGATCTTGCGGTGGCGCTTGGCTCCGCCCTTGCCGAGGCCTTTGCCGCCTTTGCCGCCTGCAGAGAAGTGTTAGCATGATGTGGGAATATAATAGATACGTGCAGCAAGGGTGAGGTGTTGTGGTGGAGTAGTAGTAGGCGAGGTCGTGATAGGCCGACGTGGTGTTGATCTCACGCGCCGCGATCGCGACGGCGGCGGCGACGACGAACAACGACACGGTCGGAAAAGCGAAAGAGGGAGTTACTCACGTCCAGTCATGTTGGATAGGTGTTGGGGGTGGAGTTAGTTGATGAGGCTGATGATAGACACACGCGTCGGGACGTGTGGTGATGGATTTGGCGGGTGGCGGTTGGTGGATGGTGGTGAGACTGGGAAGAGAAGAAGAAAGAGGTGCAGCGAGTGCGGGCGCGCGACTTTAAGTAGGCGGCCGAGCGCGGGCGGTGATCCAGGCAGGCAGCGTCGCTGTGCGGTGGCGCTAGGCTGGTTGGGGCAGGGGCGGGCGGAACATGAATTGAATTGCCCCCCCTCGCGCACCCGAAACAACAGCGTCTTACGAGCTGCTGCTTTCCAGCGCTTTGAAAGTAGCCTTGGCGCCCTCTTTCTCATGCGCATTCTGAGCATTTCTGCGCTAGCGGCCGAAGCGGTGCGTTAGCCGAGGCGACCCTGTCGGAACATCAACATCGCCAGCGGCATCAGTGCGACGACGCGACTAGAAAAGGGCAGCTGCGGTCGGATACGCGAGAAAATACTATGGGATCGCGCATAGAGCTGGCGAAGTCACAGCCTATGGCTTGGAATTGCTCGCCAAACGAGCTTCATCAATCTGCAGCCTTCGAAGGGTCCAGCAGCGTCCTCAGCTTCCCAAAAAGCCCTCCAGCTCTGTCATCTCAAGCAATGAAAGGATTCGCATAGGTAAAGAGGGTAGCTCGTAGAATGTACTATCTAGAGCGCAAGGACAATCAAACTAGCGAACACGTTCTATCCAGCACGTTCTTTGTCTGCTCTCCCAGTCTCCCAGACCCCCCAATCTCTCACCCTCTACCCTCCTTCTCCCACCCAAACCCCCTCGCCACCCCTCACAGCACCTGTGACTCACTCCTTCGAGCCCCTCACTGCGAGAAGCAGAGCTAGCCAGGCTACAGTGTAGGCCTCGCGCGGCGGCTACGGCATCCCAGTCCGAACCTACCAACCTTCATACGCACTTGGCCTCTTCTGGTGCTGGATACCCCTTCTCACCTCCCCCCTAACTTCGTTCGTGCTGGTGCCCCGCATGTCCTTCACACGCTCTTCCTTAGGGTGTCTCAGAGGATAACAAAATGTCGCATATCGCTCAAGATAGGACTGTCCAGCGTCATAGAGCTAGCTTTCAGTGCCCCTCCCAATCTTACCCCTCTTACGCGCTCACACCATGGGGAGTTCGCAAACTGTCTAAAGTTGTCGTGCACGAGCCTAAGCTGTGATACAGTAGCTCTGCAAAGTATACTGCCGCTACCAGGCCGCCCCTCAATGTCTCCTGAAAGATGAAATGCTTGAGGATAGATATCGTACAAAATGTCGGGGTACACCGAAGCTATTCTGATGGGTTGCGAAGATGTGGCCGAAGGAAATACTCACGCCTAGCTGGGGAGGTAGACAATTATCGCTGGTGGTCTCTTTGAGAGTTTGTAGAGATGGCTCCATGCTGGTTGATAGGCCGCGTCGAGAGTGGATTAGCGCATGCTAAGTATGAGCTTCCATACTGGTAATCAAGAATAACCCCCCTGTAGAATGGTGTAGTGTATCCCAGACAACTTGCAGCATACTATGTCCCGGTCGAGATGATGGTCCAAGACCCTACTCACATCCCGCAATTCTACCTAGGCGTCAGGTCGGGACACGCACACATCCAAAACATGAGTGACACCCAAAAATCGCGCAATTCAGAAGCCCGAGGGGTCAAAATTGATATTTATCAAACTCGAAATCGAATGTCAACCTCCCCAGTCCTCCCTACCCATAACGACCCATAGAAATCAAGAAGAAAACCCAAAGAATAAGAGGAAAAAAAACCCAAAAGAAAACCCCATCTTACGCGCTCCACCAATGCTAGTCGTAAAAGTCATGTCATGACACGCCTCCCTCGCGCTGGCTTGCAGAGGAAGTGCCAAGCCTCACTCGCACGCTCCTTCATTCGTTCATGTTCGTCTTTCGCAAGAAGCAATGCAGCCATGTAGGCGCAAGGTCGAGTCGTCAGTCGTGAATATCGTCACTATGTGTCCGTGGTATCGTCTTCAAGCTTTCTGTTGCTGGCTCTGGAAGGGGTATACGCTAGCTGCACGGATGCAGCCGGGAATGCAAGGGAGAAGCAGCTGTTTGCGTGATCCAGGAACTCACCCCTCGATAGGGAGACGTCCTCTGCTCAATCAATATCGTCTCCGGCTGCTGTCATAGGTGACCTCTCGCTCGTAGAAGCGCTCATCGTACTTTGGTGGCCGACGGTCGCGGATCTCCTCACGCTCGAAGTCGATCGCCCGGAAGCGAGACTGACGCTTGCGTCGAATGTCGTCCGACAGTTCGACTAGTTGGAGAACGTCCTCCTGTGAATTTAATTAGCGATTATACATAGTCGGCTGTAGATGGCGTTACTTACGTAACGCAGGTATTCCATAACGTAGAAGAAGAATTCCGTCTCCTCGTAATCGAAACCCATGCTCTCAATAGCCTCCTTGATCACAAGATCCTTCGTAATCTCGGTCCACATGTCCTTCGTCTTTGGTTTGGACTTTTCTGGGACACCAAATCCTGAAGATATTTCTTCATCCTGCGCAATGAACTTGGAGCGACGCACGCCGTTATATGCCTGCCAGGTCACCTCCTGGGCACCACCGCCCTGGCCCTCCATGCGAACGCGGTTGGTTCCTGGAGGAACGTCGACAATCGCCCAGTCCTTGGTCGCACCGTTGTACGCCTCGCCTATGTATGCACGCTCGGCCATCTTACGGTTATAGAAGTCAGCCTCCTCTTCGAGATCGTCATTTTGGGTAGTGAAGCGACGTCTTGGGGCGCTGTACGACCGGCGGCGGCTGGTGCGGTCAATTTCCCAGTCGTCTTCTTTGCGTTCAATTGTCTCGCGTTCGTAGAGGATTTCTTTTCTACCTTCACCACCACTTCGACCCCTACGAGTGGTTAGACGGTTCACTGTGCGCGGTATATGGAGGTACTTACTCTCTTCTACGAATGGAAATCTCAAGAGATTCATCGCGAGGAGGAGATGGGGGAGGTGGGGGCGTTGGCGATCGGGCTCGCTCTATACCTGCAGTAAGTTAGTCCTTCACTGTTCTAGAAAACTCAACACATACCACGGAACTTACCATGATCAATATGACGGTGATGCGTGATGACCTCCTGGATGATGGGTGGTCGGATGATTGGTTCTGGTTCTGGAGGCGGGGGCGGTGGTGGGGGAGGGGTCGGTGAGCGCTGTTCCATTCGTCTGATGATGATTTCTTCCTTGACTTCGTCACGCGGAGGAGGCGGAGGCTCGCGACGACGGACGACAAACTCTTCGCGTTCTCTGGCAACCAGCTCGCCTCGTTCTCTCGGAGGCGGCAGGCTTCTCTCGCGGTTGCGGATGACGAGGGAATCTCTCTCGACCTCGCGGTCCCTCCCACCGCGGCTCTCTTCTCGTCGGAAGCTAATTTCATCTCGCTCGAAATCCCGTGGTGGGGGCGGTCTCTCGCGCTGGTTGCGAGAGATGGTGATGTCTTCTCGTTCAATCTCGCGCTCGGGTGGAGGTCGGCCTCCACGACGGAAGGTGATATCCTCCCGTTCAACTTCGCGAACCTCTCTGGGTCTGGGACGGGAGCTGTCGCGATGCTTGATGGTGATGTCGGTCTCTTCGACCTCACGAGGACGAGGTCGCTCACGCTCTTCACGGCGGATGGTGACGTCGTCTCGCTCGATCTCTCTGGAGGGTGGCCCTCGGCCGCCTCGGATCACGAGGGTGTCTTCCTCGACCTCGCGGCGTCGTGGAGGACCCCTCACTTCTTCGGTGTGCCGATCGCGCACGACGAGAGGGCCAGCGGAGGTTCTTCCATAGTCCTCACGCAGGAAATCCGGAGCGCTGCGGCGCGGGTTGCCGCGCTGCACGTCGATATCGATGTCGTCGTAACTTGCTACGCTGCGGCCGCCATTGCCGTAACGCTGGCGCTCCTCGTAGAGTTCGGCGGTGGGATAGCGTCGGGCAGACATTGCGGACAGTCTTGGTGGTGAGCCGTGCGGGCCGAACAGAGATGGGACGGATGCGATGCAGCTCGAGATGAAGAAGGCAGCGGGCAGGTGGCGATGGACGAGGTTTTGAAGGACGGGAGAGCTCGTCGGGCCACTTCAGACTTGGGCGGCGGGTGATGAGGCTGGGGCGTTTACAGAGTGAGGAGAGCTGGCCTTGGTGATGGGACTGTGGGACTGCCTTGGTATAGCGGGGCAAGTTTGGGTTGCCAAATGACGTCGCGCCATACTTTGCAGGCAGCCCAGAGAGACATTTCCTGCCCGTAACTGGGCTGCACAGCACCCATTCACCACACACAACCGGTCAGTCGCAAAAGCACGCATGGCGCCTGTCGCCGCCGAATCTGCAATTGTGTCGAGGGCGTGCAGACAGCCGCAAGCCAGCGTGCACATCGCCAGCCCGCCGGGGCTTCGCGGAGGGCGAAGCTGCCAGCATCACCAATGGAGGCGCCGTGCCCGTGACCGGTCCTCCACCACGAATCCTGCATCGTGCGGCGCAGAGCAGCACAGTGCGCCGGAGGCACTTCGCCGCTTCGCAGGAGCAGGCGTTGGAGGTCTCGCGATCTGTCCAGATGGATCGTCCAGCCTTCCCGCACGCAGCAGACAGCGAGCCTCCTCCCGGGCCCATCCGTCCTATCCGTCGAGCTATTGCAGCCGATCGGCTGCTGTACCACGGTCCTTCTTACGCATCGATTACGCCTGTTCGCTGGCGCTGTTCAGGGCCAGGCATCTTGGGGGTGGTGAAGAACTTGGCCATTATTCACCCGCCCACACCCACATGCAAATCCCTGCAAAGGATGACGTTGCCCCGTCCTAATCACAAGCTGACACGCCACTAATACTGGGCTTGAGCGTGTGCTGAGAATTGACGCTGTCTGAGGTCCCGAGAGCTTATTGCACTCTTGAAAACATTTCATCTAGAGCTTCCGGTGTATACAAAAACCAAAAAGCAATTATAGGCATGTATTTACGCACGGGTGTTGAGATTTGTGGCCCAGAAAGCGCAGTCTCAGCGATTTTCGATGCGCGTGACGTTGACAGTCGTGTTGTCAGCATTACCTACTGCCCGTCGGCCTATCACAATATCATTCCAAGATGATAAGTGTAGTGTGGATCGAAAAGGATATAGCGGCACATGTGCAGCCAACAAACTATCCCACGTACTTAATAGATACCTAGGTGCGGTCGTCTGGAGAGACCCAACGCTAGAGGATTAGATGGAGAACACTCTAACCTATCCTGACAAGCTCCTTTCTCAACTCAACACCGTTATATTGGAACGCTTCGAGCCCTACTCCATTCCTCTTCATCAACTTGAAACTCCCTACTCGCTCGTATGATTGCCCATCTTCTGATTTTTGAAGGACCAAACCGTTCAGCCAGTAATGGCAGTCGGCGACAACGAGGCCGATAGCTCCGCCAGGCTTCAATACTTTCGGAGGAAAAGAGAGGTAAAATTCGAAAGACCCGTGCGCATTTTCCGGCCAGGAATACTGTATGGGATCGTTCATATCAAAGACCTGTCCAGTTACTAATAGATGCGTTGAAGCGCACCCTGAAGCATCTTTCTTGAGGATTTCTTCCAGTGAGACTTCAAATGGCAGTATCGTACCGTCTATAAACTCGACAGATATATTAGGACATTGAGAGGAATTCATCGTAATGAATGTGGGGTCGGGTAACGCTATGTGTGCTTTGCTCCATTTCCATGCGGCCCAGGTCCAGCTAGGAAGGTGGTGTCGGCGAACACCGGTGCCTCCTTTAAGATGCCAATCAAGACCTCGACTGAAGCTTTTAGTTGAAGTCGAACCATATGAAGGGTAGTTGAATGGGACTCCGGATAGATGCGCAAGAGGGAGAATCATCTTCGAAAATCTCTGTATAATTCCGTAAAAGGCCTTGAGAGAATCATCGTCGTACGTCAAGTCTCGCTTGCTGTACTCGTTTATGCGATCGGAGATCTCCAGCGAATCTTTTCCAACGCCGCGAATCGGAAACGCCACTGGAATGTTGACAGCCGCTCGAAACCCCTCAAGATCTTTCGTGTGTAGTGAAACCAGCGGTAGGGACAATGATTCAAAACATTGCATGGCGCCGCACTGAAAGAACATGCCCTGCTCAGAGAACACCAACTTTCGCCTGGAGAGCAAGGCCTCTTGATACGTCCACGCTCGCGTGTTCCATTTGGTCTTTTGAATTTCCTCTACTAGGCTGAATGAAGCGACAACAGCTGAATGAGAACCAAGTTGGATAGGTGGACGAAGTTTCCTAGAAGTGCCGCCAATCCCTGGGAGACCGTGGGCGGGAGTTTCTCCGGCGGCGGCGATGAGGGTAAGTTCTGAGTTTTCGTACACAAGATCCATTTCTTGAATCATCCTCTGTTTCTCTGGGCCATGCTGTGGGACACAGTAACGATCCTGTGGCGTCAATCAGACAATTATGATCAAAGCCTCTGATAATCTTGACTAGGGAGACTCACCACCCAAAGATATCGGAAACCAAGAGCTTTGGTCACATGCACTGCGTGCTCGATAGTTCGAGGAACCCTCTCTGGTAGACTAGATTCATTGGGGGGATCTTCGTCCTCGCTGCTCTTGCCCCAAACGTAGCTGAGAGTGATGTAGTCGAGCGCATCTGTAGCTTGAATAATCTGTCGGGTTTCGCAGTCAATGAGTCGAAGTCCTGCAACGTGACGCTGTTCCTCGCGCTTGCAGTGTTTCCGATGATGGTTTTTGCAAAAATTGATCCAGTCTTTTACGGGGTCCCAGTCAATAGTGGCTTTGATGGGTCGGCCGGAAATCGTGTGCGCGCCATCTGTTGGGATCAAGAAGCGCTCGAGCTGCCGTGTTCTGCGCCGTGGCGAGACAGATATTATCGTCACATCCTTAGGGATGAACTTTGAGACTTGTCGTATAGCTGAATGAGCTACTAACTTCCATTTAAGATTCAGATCCGGCTCAGCGAGCAGGCTCATTTCTGCCTTCATTTCAGAAAACAAGTTGCACAAGACGCAATTTGAGTTTGAGGATACATGGGTTAGCTCGCAGATAGGAATACCGAATTCTTCATCTGTTCTCTCGTAGATGTCCGGCATTTTGAAGTACTTGTCGAAATCGATTTCTCTACAGAGATCACACAGAGAATTGCTGCCCCCCTCGGCGTGTTCAGTGGCCAATGGGACTTCTAACGCTTGTCGAAGCGTCTTTGGTCTTTCCGCGGCGGTAGACTCGTCCTGGCCATCTTCGAAGTCAGGTTGACGTGTTCTTTGCGGCATCATCGGAGAATTATTTGAATGCTTGCACGGTCGGAAATGGCTTCAAGATGATATGACATGAAGATTATTTCGCCGTATGCACAGTGGGAAGGTTGGGCGTGCCTTTGGGCGATTGTGAAGGCAGCCTAGCAGCCATATCTGCAGCACAGCCGCAGGGCTCAGCTCTTGCGATCCTGGCGTTGCGTTACGCCCATAGAGAAGGCGTTCTCATGGAGCCTGAGTGTACAAGACATTGAGTGCCATGATATGCGAGATTTTGCAAGGAGTATAATGATATCGAGGATGGTGGAGGCTGATGAAGGATGGACAAGAAGCACCCCGGACTTCCGAGGCCTTTGGAACTAGCGCGGAATCGAATACCTCGAAAGAAGAACACAATTTTCGAAATGTAGCTGCACGAAGACTCTGTAAGAGCTATGGAACAAAAAAGAAAGAGTTCCTGTGATCATCCTGCCGGATTTAAGAGGATCGTTTGTCTACGAAACATATATTGGAGAAAACCAGATCGAGACTAGTGGTATTTAAAATAGACAGGCCGGTTGTCTGAACCTTGCGTCAACTTCAAGACAGCCACCGTCTACTATGTGTAATATCATGGTACGAGTAGGTCTCACATCATTATCGGATACAGTTACTCAATCTCGCAGCGCTAGATAAGCCGCTGTCCACAGTCCGCGGATCCCCGCAGTGTCAGAACCACCACTTCCTGGCCCTCTGTCGCATACATAGTGTGACCAATCGCTTGTACACAACCCACGATAAGCTTCACTTTCGAACGGCAGTTCTCAGTACCGTATCTCCTCCCACTCTACCGGCTGCTATTTGCCAACGGTACGGAAACGATGAACGATCGCGGCAAGATGTCCGGGCATGGCAATCGCTGGATGGCTATGTAATGTAATCGACACGACGCAAGTGTTCTGCTTTTCTGATAAATATAACTCGTCTCCGTCATTATCTGAGTCTTTTCTGTGCCACTTTTGTTCCTTCTTTGCATCTTGTCAAGCATTGCTATTCAATATGTCTGCGTTTGAAGAGAAGCCGAAGGTGTTCGATGAGACGCTGAGCGAGGATGCTGCTCTTGAGCAGCTTGGGTACCAGCAAGGTACGTTTCAAGTGCCCCTTGCACAATAGTAGTAAGACTGATGAGAATCAGAACTCAAGCGTAGCTTCGGTTTGCTTGGCATGATAGGATTTTCCTTCAGTATCGTCACATCATGGACCGCTCTATCTGGGGTACTTATCATCGGTGTGGAGTCTGGTGGGCCACCGATCATGGTTTGGGGCTGGCTAGCTGTATGTATAGTCACACTCGCGGTTGCATATTCAATGGCAGAGATGTGCAGTGCATATCCAGTCGCCGGTGGCCAGTACTCGTGGGTAGCCATCCTGGCTCCGCAGAGATGGGCGAGAGGTTTCTCGTATATTTGTGGTTGGTTCATGCTGATCGGTGAGTAAACTTGATGCAAGATTATGCAAAATGGGCCTACTTCTATTAATTAAAAGTGAACACGAGTACTTATTCTATTCAGGCATCCTCGCTATGGGCGCAGTCAATAACTTCATCGGCGCGAATTTCCTCCTTGGAATGGCCAACCTCAGCCACCCAGACTACACCATTGAACGCTGGCACACCGTCCTGGTCGCCTACCTCATCGCCGTATGCGCCGCGCTCTCTAACATCTTCCTCCCCCGCTTCCTTGACAAGATCTCCCAAGGCATCCTCGTCTGGAACATCGTCTCCTTCTTCGTCGTATTTATCACTATCCTGGCCTGCAATGACCACAAGCAGCCGGCCAGCTTCGTCTTCAGCACTTTCCAGAACGAGACTGGCTTCAACGGGTCCTACTGCGCTATCCTGGGTATTCTCCAAAGCGCCTTCGGCATGTGCTGCTACGACGCGCCATCCCATATGACGGAAGAGATGCGAGATGCTCGTAAACAAGCTCCTCGCGCTATCGTCATGTCTGTTTACATGGGCGCGGTCACTGGCTTCATCTTCCTCATCAGTCTGTCTTTCTGCATGGGCGACATCGAGTCCACAGCGGGAACCACCACGGGTGTTCCCGTAATCGCCATCTTCTTCAACAGTACTGGCAGCGTCGGCGGCTCGTGCGCCTTGGCGTCCTTGATCGCAGTCATCGTGCTCTTCTGCGCCAACTCACTCATGGCGGAGGGCTCGCGAGCTGTGTATGCCTTCGCTCGTGATCGCGGCCTGCCATTCAGCAGTATCCTCAGCAAAGTCGAGAAGAAGCGCCAAGTCCCGGTCTTTGCTATTCTCTTTACTTGCCTGATACAGATCGCCTTCAATTCGATCTACTTCGGCACGATCACGGGATTCAACACTGTCATCTCAATTGCCACCATGGGGTTTTGTAAGTTCCGGCCCTCTTCTTTGGAGTTGGACGAGCTGACTTAATGCTTTTAGATCTTTCGTACGCCATGCCACTCCTCGCACGCATCCTATCGTACCTCAATAAGTCACATACGACTCTGGAAGGCCCGTACTCGCTCGGCCGGCTGAGCTTGCCGCTCAATGTCGTTGGGTTCCTCTTCCTAATGTTTTGTGTTATTACGTTCAATTTTCCGAGTGTCAAGCCGGTGAATGAGGAGAACATGAATTATACGAGTGCGGCGGTTGGGGTCGTAATGCTAATTGCGACTGTTACATGGGTATTCGATGGGAGGAAGAATTTTACGGGGCCAGAGGTTGGATCAGCAGAAAGGATGCGGGAGCCAGAGGTGGAATCAGAGCCAAAGGTTGAGTGATTTCAGGTTCAAGGTGGGTAAAGAATCGGCTGTAAGATGATGCTATGTTTGAATTAAAGGCTTTTAGGCTAAATTGGGACGGCTGCGGGTTCCAAGAGGTATCTAGGTCCTTCATCCTTATTCACCCCTCGTTTCCATCTAACTAAGCCTTCTTCCCACATGACTAGAGTCTCCAAAAGTAGTGAATGCCACTCCTACTATACATTTAGTTTTATTTTCGCAGCTCCACCAATCACACACGCTTAGAGGCACCAACAGTTCCACTCTCTACTCTCTTGGTCGAGCAGGATTAGTTATAGCTGAACATTTGCACTCGTATCACCTTCTGCCATCATGATTGCGCGGAAGATGCTCCAGCTGCACTTGTACACTCAAACCTCACCTTCCCGCAAGCTCATCAGTGCCATTTAGAGTATGAGAGTAGTCCCTATCGCTCTTCCAGTGTGTCATTCCGGAGCGCCCTTGAGTGTGTCCAGGCTTAGCCTGGGTTCGAATCATGCTCAGGGTGCTTCGTCTCTTTTCGCCTTTTGCTTTTTGGCCCTGCTGTCATGTGCTTTTGCTCCTCCCGTCATGTGCTTTTGCTCCTCCCGTCATGTGCAGAAGAGCATATATCTTAGGCCGACATCCTATTTTCGGGACAGCAAGGAGGAGGAGGTCTCTGACCCCTGAAACACGAGGAAAGCTATGGGACCATGGATCTGGAGTTCAAAACATCCACCGCGGAATGCTCATGTCTCCGGTGGGGCAGGGGAGCAGACGTTCAATTTATCAACATCGAAAACATCGTGATGAGTCGGGGCGAGCAAACCAACTGTATGCACCTCGATGATGATTCGTTCTATCATACCTCGAAGATATCAACAAGCTGTAGCATATCTCCATGAGACACTCCACTCTCCAGATGCGTTCAACATCACCACCCCAAAACCTCGGTCATCAACACCACCCCAGCTTCATTCACCACTCCCACTCCTATTCCCGCTCCATAATAGGAACGCCACGCCTGTTTTAACCCCTTCTCCATCGAAAAAAGTTACGACGGATTTTGATCCACTCTCCATACCACCACCTCCCTTGTCCAACTTTGACCAGATCCCGCCTCCAACGGTTTCACTCCATGATTCTTCGGTACATCAGATTCTGATCCACAGAGACGCACTCCATTCTGTTGTGATGTTAGTTTGTTGAAGCGCCGTACTCTTCAACAAACCCCAAATCCCGTCCATGTCTGACTTCCAAGAACGCAGCGCGGAGATGTTTATATACCCCTCAGCCCTGGAACGTGCGCCGCTGGCACGGGAGTGGCACGTGAGATATCTTCTCTCACGTGTCCGAGATTAGCTTTCAACTAAGTCAGGGGAGGTTTGGAGAACGTGACACCCACGTGAAAGCTGATAGCGCAGAACTTCGGTCGGGTATATAAGCTCGTCGTCCGCGAGCTCTTGGAGGGCAGAGAGGTTGGAGGATCGGAATCCGACAAAAGCGAGCGGGCACTGGGCCTAATGGTGTGCTGGGCTCGAGCTGTGGAACCAACAAGGGTTTTTTTTGAGTCCTTATGTTGGGGAGAGGTTGGATCAACGCATTTCTGGTGATATAATGTGTTGGTTGGGGGGGGAAGGCGGTGTTGAAAACGGCTGCCCTTTCTGCTTATGGTGGAGAGGGTCTTGGATCACGTCGAGCTCACTGGGTACATGTGCTGGTGGGAGTGGGTGGAACTTTGAATGCGCTTCGTCGAATGGGGAGCGTAATTGGGGTTGTGGAGGTGTTTCTTTTTGGTGATAATGATACGCATCAGCCTCCCGGAGTACGGGTTAATGAAAGTGGAATGTGGATATACGGACTAGTAGTTTCTGGAGAATGTACCCAGCAGCAGGATACGGAGGCTAACAGGAACGGCCCATCAGCTACGTTTTGTTCCCAGGATTCGACCGAACCTCTGCCCCATGAAATGGACACTGCGGTCGATTTGCTTTCCAAGCCACCCACTGGACTCCACACCATTGACGTGTGCCGGACATGATTTGAACAGCACATCCACTGTCAAGGTTCGCACCTTGAGTTTCCTTGTCTCTCGATGAAGCGGAGAAATCGAATCTTTATACCCTTTCTCTGCCGAAATCACGTGTATCACGGGATTTAGAAGGTTGATAGCTTACGCGCCGCCTCTTTCTAATAGTGTTGGCATCTGTGAGAGTTTCGAGCCCTTGGCCTGGGTTCTGGGAGGAAATAAAGACATGGTACTAGGACGAGCCTCGCCGGGATATAGTGATATAGTGGTTTGTCTCAGAAGTGCAAAGCGAGCATTTCCACATTCTCTGAGGGAGTCTGGCGAGTTCACCATTGCCAAAACGTCATCCTAACCTCCACGCCGCATCGAAGAACTCGTGATGGCTTTAGATACGCGTCTACAAAATTTTGTTTTGGCACTGCGTTTTTAAGCGCCTCTATCAGCATACGCTGACGTACACGGTCTATCGCCCCATCATCCATCGACGGTCTCAGTCCTACTATTTTTTCTTGAAAAAAGTTTGTCAGGTTGAGAAAGGATACTAATTGGGCCTAGCAAGCCCGATTGAGATTGTAGGCAGTAAGGAAGACGAGAGAAGAGCAACGCGGGTGTGGAGTGAGCCGCCGGCGCAGTTTAAGGGGGACGTGGTGGCGGGGTTTGAGGCGGGACATTGGCAGCGGGACGGGAGGATGGTGTTTGGGGGGTAAGACTGAGGACCACGAAGTGCTATGTTACGCCGAGGGAGGGGAGCTCGGGTTTTAGACATGCATTGAGATGATGTGTATTGATGAAACGGCAAAATTCATGATATGTCACGTGAGTCGCAGGTTTACATCACGTGACTATATGCCTTGCCCACTTCACTTGTCATCTCTGAGCCACAACTATGTGATGCGACAAGATTATTGGTACGAGGAACGACTAGTACTTGACTAGAGATAGTATGATGGTCGAAAATGATGATGGAAGCAAAAGAATGAGATGTGCATGAAAGAAAAGACGTCGACCAAGAACTAACTGATGGAAAGTTGGCATCTTTCCACAAAAGGAACTTGTCCTCGGGACACACTCCTATTTGTGGACATATCACTTTTCATCACGCGTAAGTGGTTGTTGCGGTTGTGCTGCTGCCTCGATGGTCATCTGCGGCGAGCGGTGTCACCCGCTTCTCATCTGCCGCTGAAGCCTCGAACAGCGCAATCCTCTCCCCTTTCCGCTGCAGCCTCGCCGTCGCAGTCAGCGCACAGCACTTCGAAACGTACTACGTGTCGAATGCGCCTGGTGCCTCAACGTGGGCGTTTCTGAGGCGGAGTCGCGAACTGGCTGGCTGGGCGGAGAACAGCGACATGGCCCTTGCCGCAGCCGTCGCAGTCGGCGGTGCCGCGTGCTCGTTGTCGCAACTCCTGCGCTGCGATTGGGCGGAGGTGTGGCGGTTGAGGCTGAGCAGGCTTCCAGATGGTTTCGCGGGTTCGGGCTAGTTTGGGGGGTGCCCGCGGGCGTCGTGGTCGAGTGGTGGAGGTCAAGGCAGCAGCAAAATGCCCCCTCACGGCTTATAGCCACCGATTCCGCCATGCCGACGCTCCAAGGCTTCTGTCGAGGGCTGCCGACTGTTTTCTCTTTTCTGTACAGTATTATATCGTAATTGCGACCCATTTCTGCTTCCATTGCCCCCCCAGACTTTACCATGGAGACTTTAGGCCGACTGCCCCGACGACTGACCAAGCTGTACTCCGACACGAAGACGTCCTGCGACGCCGTAATCGAGCAGGACACCACCGACACCCTCCCCGAACTCAGCGCCCTGAACCGCAAGTACCGCATACAGAAGAATCGGCTCATTGCCTGGGGTCTGGAATGGAGCGATAACGGCGCATCGGATCAGGGGGACATTGACGACTCGCTGGAGCGCGCGGGCCTGGCACAGACAGTGACGAGCGTCCTGGGCACAATTAAAGAGATATTAGACGAGGCAGAGAATATGCAGCCGCCCGCACACTCTGCGGGGGCGAAGAGCGTTGCTGAGGAGAAGAGCGGGGCGCGTCCTCAAAGTGCCGTCTCGTGGGCGGCCTCCGACAGATCGCGATATGAGGACCTGGCGAAGGACCTCACTAGTTCTATCGACACTCTGTATCAACTATCAGAGTCGCGGAGGGCGTTTCGACAGAACACGCGTGGACTTAGTCCTGGTCCTGTTGGGAAGCTTGGCTTAGAGGTCTCCAAGACCCCCTCGCCATCCGTCTTCCTATCCTCCGACTACAACGCATCAGACGTCACTCTAATAAACCCTGCGACGCTGCCCCATGGCGCGAACATATCTTTCAGATCAGGACTGCCCCCTAAACTCGACCCTTCGGATCTTAGTTTGCCAGAAGAAGAGCCTCCTCCATACGAGAGCGTTGGAGCGACCACTACCACAAAACTCATTGGACGTCTTCGCCAATCACATAGCTCAACAAACCCCTGGAAGACGGACGGAAGTAAGACCATCGAGACTCCTGTGCTAGTTGAATATGCTGCCTACGATCCTACCTACCGACTCACCGGCATCTCACCCTCTCTGGATCGTCTGGACTCCCTCTTGTCCATTCTCGTCAAGTTAGGATCTGAACAGTCCTTCCACGGAACCCTTCAATGTGTTGGATATTTTGAAGATCCGAAGCAGCCTAGATTTGGATTGGTTTTTGAGCTTCCTTCCTTCGTGTATTCCGGACCAGTCGACTCGCATAAGCGGGTCGAAGATATGAGACCGGTCACTTTACTGAGCGTTCTTCAGTCTGGCTCGAAGTCTATTCACAACTCGAACAGCACAACACCCCCTCTTGAGGACCGCTTCCGCTTGGGCTTCACTTTGGCTCTCACTTTTAGCAAGCTTCATGCAGAGAACATGGTTCACAAAGACGTCAACAGCAGTAACATCGTTGTCTTCCGCAAAAACAGGCCGGCTCATCAATCGAACAACAACAGAGCACTCGATTTCGCCCTCCGATCGCCAGTCATCTGCTCCTTCGATCTCTTTTCTGAGTACGACATCGAACCTGCGAAGACGATGTCTTCACCGAACATCTATCGACATCCAGAAGACCCAAAATTCACAGGTGTCAAGTCACAGGACTACGGTCCCCAATTTGACATGTATGGTCTCGGATTGATTCTTCTCGAAATTGGGCTTTGGACCCCTCTTTCCGATCTCTGGAAGGCTAAGTATACTCTTGCTGATTTCAAACTTCGCCTAGAAGAAATATACATTAGACGCCTGGCCTCCAAGTGTGGAACCGCTTACATGCAAGTCGTGCGCGATTGCTTCTTGGCTGCAGACCAACGAGCGTCGGGTCTCGAGACCTTTGAGACATTCAGCCAGATCTACAATCGGATGCTCTTGCGGCTGCGCCGATGCTGCGCCCTTGACGAATCCGATCCTCTGCCTGATTGGAACCAAACAAGCGCACAGTCGGCATCATCAGGCCTTATGCCAAAGCGGAAGAGCGTCACCCAAATTCCCATGGGAGGAGAAACGCCAACCAGCCCATCAGCTTACAGGGATGCGAAACGGTGGGCGATCGAAAAAGGTTCCCACATTTTGGAGAGAAGCACATCGCGTTCCAAACACGTATCAAAGCCATCATATGGCTCGTCACCGAATCTGTCGTCACCTAATCTGACGTCATTGTCTCGAAACAACTCCAAGTCTTCTCAGCATTCTTTGTCTCTCCACAAGAAATTCTCCCAGAGCATCCAGGGCCTGAAATCACCAAAAGAGCCCGAGACAGACACCATGGATTGGCAAACACCAAATCTTCGCATTGATCCCCTTGAGGAGTCAGGGACACTGGTGCCATCATCCAAGGCCTCAAGTCCATACCTCGATCACAAGGACGAGCTGTCCGTGTTGCGTGCGGAGCGAATGGGAAATGCAGCGAGCGTTATCCAGCGTGCATGGAGAGCGCGGAACCAGTCAAAGCAATTCAAAGACTACAGGGGTAAGATTGAGGTCATCCAGAAACACTGGCGCGAAAGGAAGACCAGTCGGTCCGGTTCCATCGCTGCTCTTGTTGAGACCAGCACCCAACATTGGCCAGAGGCAGGCCTTGGATTTCCGACAGTCGAGGCTCCTCGGGAGCCAGAAGCTCGTATAGTTGGAGCAAACCCTGATTTCGTGAGGTCCTCAATCCAGATAGACACCGACATCGAACCAGCTCCACGCCGAAAACTTCGCGTTCATCCAGTCAAGTTCCCTCCGATCATTGTGGATAAATGGCATATGACTATGCTTCCGAAACTCGAACGTCTGATTGCGCGAACTCTTAAGGATTCGCAGGAAACTGTCAGTATCGACCTTCTCGCTATTGGCGAAACTCAGACTACAACCCGGCCTACTATATTCGTGACGTGCACTAGCACTGCGAGAGTTAAGGGCGTCCTCTCTCGCAAATTTAAGTACGATGAATCAGTCTTCGACCTCAAAGTCCGACGTGGAAAGATCAGGCGTTCGAAGCTCACCAGGCCAAGCCGCAGAAGGAAGCAACCTCATCGATCAATGATGAACGATGAAGCGTACTCAGCCGACATGCAAGTCATGAATCCCTTTCACCAACAGCGCCCTCTCTGCGGGGCATCCATCGGCGCCTTCCGCGACGAGCATCTCCCACCCGTCTCCTATGGTGGCGTCATCATGGTAGACAACGAACCCCTAGGAATGAGCGTGCACCACCTCCTCGACGCCCCTAGCGAAGACGACGACAGCGAATACGGCGAAGAATATCAATCCCCCGACGAAACCACCCGCTCCAGCGCGCAAGGCAACCCCTGGCTCGCAGGGATGGGCTCCCAACCGGGCCTCGAAATCGGCGAAACCGCAATGTTCGACTTCGAGATCTCCGACGACGAAAAGAGCGACGACGACGACCTCGACCTCGCCTACGAGTCCTCAGAAGATCTAACCTCAGACTCCGACCTCGATAGCGACGAAGAAGCAGAAGACCTCGACCACTCTGGCGACATCGACGGCATCAACATCGGCGAAGGCGACGACATCGTCATCACGCAGCCCGCAATCGACGACGTCGACGACGACTTCTTCCCCGAGCCCGACGACCGCGACGATGACCACATCTCCTCCCACAAGCTGGGCCACGTGCACGCCTCGTCGGGCATCCGGCGCTGGAACCGCGGCGGCATCGTGCACGAGATCGACTGGGCGCTGTTGAAGCTCGACACGGAGCGCCTGCAGCCGTACAACCTCGTCCAGGGCGGGCGCCGCTTCTGCCCGACCCGCGCGCCGCCCGAGCTGTGCCCGAACCTCGCGGAGCCCGTGTGCCGGCGCCATTTCAAGCCCGAGGACGACGAGTACCCCAGCCAGGTCGCGGCGGCCGACGGGCTGGGCGGGCTGAGCGTGCACTGCTTTGGGCGCACGTCGGGGCTGAAGGGGGGCGTCGTGGGCGCGGCGATGAGCAGCGTGCGCATCTATAAACGGAAAACGTTTTCGCGGAGCTGGCATGTGGTTGGCGGGTTTGGAGGTACGTTTATATCTATTTCGCTTTTCTCCTTGCATTCATTCCTGAAGTGTGCATGAAGCTAATTGATGTGATAGTCGGCGGCGACTCGGGCGCCTGGGTCATCGAGAACAACCACGGCCGCGTGTGTGGCCACGTGCTGGCGTGGTGCGCGCGCAACCGCCTCGCGTACATCTGCCCCATGCAGGTGCTGTTGGAGGATATCAAGCGCACCCTCGGCGCGCGCCGCATCTACCTCCCCGGCTCGGACGACGACCCCCAGATCGCGGAAGAGGTCAGGGAGGTTATCATCGGCCGCTCGCCGGTCGAGTTCGAGCTTCCGGATCTGCAGAGGTTGAGGCTGGTGGGCAAGGAGGGCGAGAAGGAGATGGCGCCCGTGCTGCGGAGTCGGGTCGGCTTGGGGGTTGTGGGCGTGGGCGTGGGTGGGGAGAGGGTGAGACAGGTCGCGTGACTTGCTGGGGCTGTTGGGGAGAAGGTCAGGGGAGTCGGGGGATGGGTAGGGGAGTGGATGAGGTGTAGGAAGGAGAGGTGACGTGATATCCCGGTGGTCAGAATTGTTGTGGGAAGGAGGATGTTTGAGGTTGGTGGTGTATAAGTCATGGCTATATAATGAAAACGCAATTTCAAAGTCAATGCTCAGAACAGTGCGGTGCATCGTGAGGGATTTAGACAAGATATGAAGTTCGAACGAGGGCGGGTTGGAGAGAGGTTTCTTGGATTCTCGGCGATGGGGCGGCATTGCATTGATCAGGGTACCTCAGTATAATCTTAGTCCTCCAAGGGAGATGTAGACCCCTGAGAGCGCAAATTACACCGCTTTTTCCCTACCCACAACGCTAAAGGCTAAGTCTATCTACGCGCCCATCCTGCTTCGAAACGAAGTAAATGATAAAAGGAACTCAGCAGACGATAGTAAGTCGTTGGGTGGGGAACTCGTGAGCCGTGGTAAAAGAGAGGTTTTAGAGGGTAGAAATAGATTTGCCTCCTCGATCGTTTTGCTAAAAATGCGGTTCGGGACCTCGGGTTAAGAGTGTGGACTTGGGGTGCCGGAAGAAGAAATTGGAGGGTTGGGGAAAGAGGTGGAGAACTCAAAGCTACTGCCAAAATCAGGAGCGTAAAGTAGCACTGTCCGGGAGTCCTCTAGCTAGCGTAATACTTGAGGTATAAAGTGGGTTCAGGAGGACGCCTGATGCGCGAGCTAGAGACGAGGGGATCCACGTATAAAGTCTTAATTGAGCGGCTTCTGGCGACACTTCGAACTCTTAGTGAGTAGAAAATTGAGGATAGAGGTCTTGCTATTCCCTGAGTTTGATACTTAAAGCTGCGTAGATTTCTCCTTTGGATGGGAAGGGGAAGGATGACATCACGTTTGCTCTAGTTGCCAGAGATCCTAGGTTCTAACAGCTTTGGGGATAGTCGGAGCGCATCCAAAACGTAGAAGGTGTCCAAGTGGACTAATCCCCTTCCCCCTTTCCCAATCTCAAAACATTTAGTTGTGGGCAATCGTGGTCACGTTCCATTTCTCTCGCACTTAGCCGGGCCCTTGAGTTCTTTAGGCAGCGATCGTACCTATGAGTCCTGTATTGTCCTATCAGGATCTAGAACCCGTTATTAGAGGCGGAGACACCTCCGGTGAAGCGCAGTAGCCTTCAAATTTGGTTAATCAGGGTCCTTTCAGTGATCGGCTTTGCCTGCAGTAGTCCTAAGCTACTGCGAGTAGTACTGAGGCGTCGTGGCGTGGGGAAACTTTGGGAAACAGGGGAACCTCTTTGGTATTGGTTCGGCTGAGGTGAGCTCAGTGGTGTATTCTGCTGTAATTGGTGTCCTGGGGCTGCGAGATCTAGGTGCGGACACTAGGAAAGGGGAAGTGAAACATGGCTGAGTTTGGGATAGACGGGATGTGGTAAAATATTGTGATCATATATTGAAGCGTTTGAGCGCTAGGGGAATACGTAATGACTGATTGACGATGGAGGTAGGATAATGAAAAAATAAATACGCAAAGCAAGTGTTGATAGTGATGGTTTTTCAATATAGATGAATTCAGCGTGTATGTACACTACCGTGTCATGACATCATGATCAAATTAGTCTGAACATGAAAATATACAAAACCTCAGCCTCATTCAGCATCTATCTCAAGTCTCTTGAATGGACGAATGACTCAAACTCCTATGCCGCTTCGCCTATGAAGCAGCTGCGGAGGACTTGCCGTGGAGGTCGCGGCGCTTAGCTAGCACGATAACGCAGCCTCCCGCTATCTACAGCCTAACAAGTCTCTAGAGCACGGAGTCAGCGGCTAGTGTTGATCGGTACCGGACGCCATACTAATAGAAGCGCTGTCATTGGCTTCGGTTACTGAGGCGGCCACCGACAGCTCGGGAACGCGGCTGGAGGAAGCGATTCCGTAGCGACTGTCCAGAATCTAGGGTCCCAGCCAAGATTTCTTCTATCCAATGCCTAGGCCTGCACGTAGGACAGCGCGCGGCAAGCTGAGAAGAGCTGACGTGGGGAGGCGGAGAGAGTAACAGACAAACGAGATGGTTTTGAGACACGCTCTTTGCTTTTTTCTTCGATCATGCCATGGCGACAACTCGGCCTTCGAAGGCTAGCGGCGCTAGCAGAGGAGGAACCATACGCAGCGGTTGATATGGTTACGAGTCGAGTAGGCGAAGCGTCCACTTGCCCAGTGCGGGCTGGCTGCAAGTCTGAGATCTCGATCGCGGTCACGCCAACCTGCGGTCGACACATGCGGTGCTGCAGCTGCTCCAGCCGGCATAGGTTCCCGGGCCGCCTGCTTGTCCGACTGACAGCCCAGCGGCCGATGCGGTGCGGGGCTCTCGGCAGCGAGCGGCCCTGCCAATCATCCTCGTTGGTGAATACAGGGGCGTCGCATCCGGGAGCAGCGTCTATGTAGGTGTGGGCTCACATAGACCCTGTGGCGTTTGTCCAGAGCGCAGCTCGATCTCTGCCCTGCCGGTAAGGCCATGCGCCGGCTGAGGATTGCGGGACAACGTGGACAAAAAGAAACTAAGGCCGAGCTCGTCAGACAAACATATTTCGCAGAGGGGTGGCGGGCTTCAGGGTCTAAGAAGCACTCACGATCTGCGGCATACCGGGCACTAACGGCTTCATAACCGGCTCTATAGACTCACGCTCTGCTTCCTCCACGCCCCGCCACTTTCCTCGCCGGTGCAACCGTCCTTTCTGTGCTGTGCTGCCTCCGATTCACTGCGAGCAGGCCAGGCGCAAGCCGCAATTGCTCGGCAGCAGAACCGCGGCGAAGGGCAACGAGCGCCGCCTATACCCACACGGCGGCGGATTTCTGAATTCAGGAGGCATATATAAACCCCCTCCCTACCCCCTCCATCGAATCGTCATCACACTCTCTTCAAACACCTTCCTTCATCACACCACACCTCTTCAACCACCTTCGCTTCAGCAACCAATTCCTTGCACTCAACAATTGCCAAGCATGGAGACCGTTGGACTTCGTGCCCAGTTCCTCCAGGGCGAGCCTGGCCTTGCCAAGTCTGTTCGCAAGTTCGCCCCGGCCATGACCCTCGACTCAAAAGTCAAGACTGTGGTCCAGCCGGGCCCGGACATCGAGTGGGATCCGTCCTTCTCTACGTACGAGAAGCGTGTTGCTGCGCTCGCTCAGCAGGGCCTGCCGCGAGCCAAAGAAGTCCCGGCGGGCTTTCCTGCGCAGGTCGATGCTCCGTGGGTGTGGTCGGGCGCCGACTTGGACGAGGCCAAGTACGTCGTGAAGCTGGACGGCACCGAGATCGCCGAGGTCGAGAAGGCTTTGGAGCACTTCAAGAGTAAGTCGTTGTCGCCGTCCATGATGGCGATTGTGTGATGGCATGTGCTGACGTTGATTTTAGATCTGCCGGGAAAGCTTGGCGTGGGCCATGTCTGCCAGGAGACGTTCCCGCTCCCAACCCTGCGCCCGATGCTCGAGGGCCTGGCGAAGACGCTGCACCTGGGAATTGGCTTCAGCGTGATTCGTGGCCTGGATCCGAAGCGCTACACGCCGTTGGAGAACGCGGTCATCTACCTTGGCATCACTGCGTACATCGGCGAGAAGCGTGGAGTGCAGGATGCTGGTGGCAGCATGATGAGTAAGTGGACGAGCAGCAGCGACGTGCCAGCAACGCGGTGGCTAACAAGGCATAGTTCACGTCAAGGATCTGGGCAGCCAGATCCCCGGCTCTGAGCTGCGCCAGGCGCCGTATGCGCGCAACCCCCAGGTATGTATCAGTGTGCCAGTGCCAGCTGGGCGAGGGATGGCCTGACGTGCTGTTAGCCTTTCCACAATGACGTATGCGACATCTTGGCGATGTATGTGCAGCAGCAGGCAGCGTCTGGCGGCGAATCCATGCTGGCTTCATGTGCGAAGATCTACAACGAGATCGCCGAGCATCGCCCCGATGTGATCCATACACTGGCAGACCCGAGCTGGATCTTTGACAAGCAAGTGCTTTCGTATTCTCTAGGGGCTGGTAAACGTGTTGCTGACCGCGACCCCCAGGCACACGACGCCCGCTTTCTGGCACAAGCGCGCCCTCCTCTTCAATTTCGCCGGACATGGCCCGGGCTTCTGCTTCTCGCGTCGCCCCATTACCGCATCGCCCACCTCCCCGCGCTCTGCTGGCGTCCCGGCCATGACCGAAGTGCAGGCCGAAGCCATTGATATGGTCCACTTCACTGCCGCCAAGCACCAGATATCGATGCGTCTGCAGCCGGGCGACATCCAGCTCATCAACAATCTAGCCTGCCAGCATGCCCGCGCGGGCTTCACCGACTCCGCTACTGAGCAGCGCCACATCATCCGCCTTTGGCTTCGCAACGAGAATCTGGCGTGGAAGACCCCGGACGGTCTCAAGGCCACCTGGGCCGAGAAGTACGGCGACGCCTCGGAGTGGCGCAAGATTGCCAAATGGAGCGTCGAGCCTGGTGCGACCCGCGAGCGTGTCATCTGCCGCAAACACAGCTGCTCCTAAGTCTGTGGCCTCACTTGCGAGTGACTCTTGAGACTAGTCAATCTGCAGAGTCCTTCGGTCTACGACTTCGGATGGTTTTCTGCGGGGTTTTCAGCGGCTCTGCTATTTTCTTTGCATTGTGATATTCCCTGCCCGGGCTCTTTCGGTTTCCATCTTTCAATTTGGCGGTTGGACTGAGGATGCATTTTTCCGAGGGCTGGTCTTGACGAATCCCCCTGTTTTTTTCTCTCATCATGATATCTGCGCTGGTAGAGGCCTGCATTGGGACGGATACTAGTGTGCTGGAGTTTCGGTGTCTGCAGTCAGGGGCTGTATTAGCTTCTGGCTGGATGGGATAAATGGGGGTGCATGGCCGGATAGGGAAGTTACATACTTTTTACCGATACAGGTAAATGTTCACTTTGGTTTCAGGTTCATACTTGGATAGCTGAAATGCTCGCTGAGGCTCCTCGCGAGGTTAAGCTCAAATGCGTATTTGGCCCTGGTGTTGTGAGAAACCGTTCCATTGAGAGCTTCGATTGAGCGTGATGCTGCCGCAAGGTCGAGAATTGGCACCCTTCTCCTGTCACTACACAATCGAATGGACCATTGTAGCCATCTCGGCCTGTGGAATGGAAAGGGCCGTTGTAGCCATCGCGGCCTCTAGAGTGGAAAGGGCTGTTGTATCCATCGCGGCCTCTAGAGTAGAAATGGCCATCGTAATGATCACGGCCTGTGAGGAGGTAAGTGCCGTTTGATGGAGAAAGAACCATTCCCCGGAGTTCTTCTTCCTGCCTCTGCCACTTCCTCTGTCTTTCTAAAGGGCTGATCACGGCCCCCAGCTCTTTCGGGTTGCCGTCATCTCTCAAGCAGTACTCTTTGCTCAAGTATCGGACTCTCCCAGCTCTATCGCCTCTCCCATCGAAGGCTGGCTTGAATCTGTTGATGGTTAGCGTTTGCCAATGAGCTGTAGTGATAGACTTACTCGACAGACTTCGACGTCTCGAGGATTGCTGGCTTTTTCGTGGCCTTGGACTTTTGTTCAGAGGCCACCGAACGTGGCTTCTTCGTAGGCATTCCGGAAATCGTAATCTGGAGGCTCGAGGAGGGCTCACTTGAGGGAGAAATCCACGCTCGTACCATTTTGATGTTTGAGATTCTTGAGATGCTGAGGGCTTTGTTGACTGAAGAGTAGGTTCAATGTTAAATTTTTGAATCTCAAAGCTTTACTGATGAAGGGAGTATATTCAATTTAGATGCGAAAGCTAGATATGCTCCTACTCGATCGCGAACCGATATTCTTATACCAACTTACAGTAGATCCACTCCATCATCCCTCAGCTCCCAGGCTTCCTTCCTCGAGCCTTCCTCGACGTCTAGACCTCAGCATCGGGCTGACTCTCAGCACATCGAGCCCCGGCATCACCAAAGTGGAGCCCGGGGATCTGACGAACTGCATCATTGCTGAGAGCTTGGCGGCGCGTGGTGGTGCGCAGTCAAGCTGCGGCCTGGGGTGGAGTCCAGAAAGAGCTGCGTAGAGCTGTGTGAAGAGGTGGAAAGCATCGTGTTTCGGGGTCTAGACCTTTGTTGAAGTATACCGGACGCTCCACGTCACTGGAGGCACGGTGTGTCAACGCCTGACGTTGAGGCGTCGCGGGTCTGTAATATTGTTGCGCATAGCCCCGCAATGCTGCCAGGGCAGCAGGGACTTCATGCAGGACAAGCGCCACCAATGTCATCGAGGTTTTCCCGGGTCTTTGCACCTGACGCCGGACCCTGAAACGAGCCCTGCGCGCTGCGAGTTTGAATTGGCAGTCGGACGAGACGAATCAGAGACATCTCCGTTGCCATTGGCGCGTCTTTTCGTGAAGATGGCCTGCTTGAACCAGAGGGGACGTAAACCATGGCCGCCAAGACCACGCTCTCCAGCTCTTTCTCGACATTGACGAAGACTGAAGCCACAGAGACAAAACCGAGACGGAGATACAAACGTTCGCCCATGGGACTTGCGAATACCGAGATGGCCATGTTCAGGCATTGTGCTAGTTGAATGCCCCAGCCTACGAGCTGGCCGCCCGCGCCCCGGCGCTGGAACTCTGGATGCGTAGCCAGAATCTGGAGCTGGAAATGGCTGGCACCGAACTGGCTGTCGAACAACAGCTTCTTCGACGCTGACGTCGTGTCTGTCCAGGCCTGCATCCGTTTACAGTCGCCGTCCCGTCTGCGCTGCCGGAACGGAGGCCTGTGAAGCACTACCGAACAGTGAGCTCTTGCAACACAACCGCAACTCTCAGATTCACAAACCATTAAGATTCTTTTCAAGCTGGATCTGCACGGTCTTCTGCTTGCGGATGTTTTTAATCTCCCAAACCGCAAAGGCGACAGGCTCCCGCGAGTCCTGTGCGGGTCGATGCTCAGCAAGCATCACAACCCATCGCTCGTTCTGATCCTCCAAAAACTCTCTATACCGCATCCTTGTGTACTTTCTAGTATCGCTTGGATAGGCCCTCCGGTGAGGGAACCGGTAGTCCCACTGAGGATCCATGGGCAGCGCAGCGAGGGCGATCTCCAGCATGGCCTCGAGGTCAGCAACGGAGGCGCGTCGCAGCGAGAGTCGCGGTGAGGGCTGGAAAAGGGCTTTCGCTATGGGGGCCATGCTTCGCCGGGCTGATATCGCGATTTCACGACGAGTAATACTTTGCAGGCCCCCAACGCCAGAAGGCAGATTTATTGTCGCGGTCTGGACCCCCCGCCTGCTGCCAGAACGCACAATGACGCAGTCCATATACGCTGCTGCCGTGGAGTATGGGGTTGCCTCTACCATGGAGACAGGGGCGCACCCAGCCAGCAATGAGGCGTCCGGCGACACGAACTGGGTCTAGCTGCGCGGTTCTCAACACCACTGCCGGCTCCTTTTCGCCGACGCGGCTGTATCTCCTCGCGTGCCTGCCACCGACGCATGAGTGCTGCGTCATTGGCACCACCGTGTCCGCTTGCACATACAAAGCCACGATGGCATTCTCAAATCTCACCCATGGCCTTTTGCTTGCCCCGTGCATGCCCTGAAATTGCCCGCCTCGCGCAAGGTGGCAGCATACGACCGCCCAGGCTCTGCATCTAACCCGCAGTACCGACGCCTGCAGCTTTACCGCATGGAACATTCTCAGCATAGGCACCGCTCCGCTGAGACTGGCCGCAATGATGGACGCTGCTCTGCAATCCGGGAGAGACAGAGGTAGGTAGCCTGGCAGCCTTTCGCCCGAAGTGGTTGCCGATGCGGATGCGGCATGCTGATGTTTTTGCAGCATTCCTCTTCCAGGATGGACTGGACGACTTTTGTTATGACGCGCTCGACGGGTGGCGGAAGGACCCCTCGCTATACGAGGACTTGCAGCCGGTGCCGGCGGTATGGTCCTCGTTCGACGTGGGAGGTGGCGTGAACGTGAGTGCTGATGAAAAACAACGGTAAGCGTTTGCCATATGCCTTGCAAATTCAAACAACCAAAACGTACTCTCACGCATGAGTGTGAAGAAGGAGCTTCGGCATGCTTTTTTTTGCTAATCAAGATGCCAAATAACTGACTTGCTGAAGGCTGGAGCCAATTGCACGCGCCGTAGGACCAGCTACATACAGCCATTTGAAATCTCAAGCAACATCTCCGACCATCACTACCACTTCACCTAATACAGCCAATATCTACCAAGTCGTAGCCAGCCACATATGTGACGACAGCTTCGCCTCGTTTGGACTGCAAACATGCGCCGACGTCGCTTCGCCAGAATTATGTTTCCAGTGCATCAGCCATTCATATACGGCTTTAGGCCAACAGAGCCAGCATACAATTCATGATAGACGCGAGATTTCAAGTCAACCACCGACGCAACCTTCGGTATCGACAAGGCCTTCCTTTGAGCAGCATCAATTATCCTACCTCCATATGTATTCCACGCCATCTTCACCATCTATTGCCATGCCACCTGTGAGCTCCCCTTCAGACGGAGACCATAAATATGCGCAGCCTAGGTCGTTCAATGCTTCAATCCGGTCCTCGCGGTCCAACGTCTTCTCAAGTGATCAGCTCACATACATGCCGGAAAACGTGCCAGCGACAGAAAGGGTTCCGACGTCAAGTACTAGTCGTGCATCTTTCTCAACTGAGAAGCCACCAGGCCTACCAAATATATTCGAAAACGCCATCTTCTCCGCTAGAGCGGCAAGCAGTACCCCGTCGGAAGTGCAATCATCATCCTTTTCAGCCGCCACACCCTCAACGGTAGCCTCGCCAGGAGCTCAACCCCCTGCTAAAGCGAAAAGGAAACGAGACGATTACAATTTGGACAATGTGAGTGACTTGCATAACACCTTCCTGGCATTGACCTGACTGTGATTGCAAGAAATGCTCGGAAGTTGCTTTCAAGGACAAGTCAGGAGCCGTCGCAGCCTACACTCAAGTGTTTGGCACGGCTAGAAACCTGCGACAGGCATACAGCGAGGGCCAGCGCAAAGAGATCGCGCGCACCCGCAAGCTTGGGGCGTGTGACAGGTGCAAGCGATTCAAAATGAAGGTGAGTGGTGAAACCAGACCTCCTTAGTATCTTCTCCCTACAGATGATGCGCCAGTCTCTACCAATAGGTCGTATCATTTTGTTAAAGCACTAGCCGAGAGGATTAGACAGCATTGATCCGGATTTTATTTTGAACTTCATAGCTGATTTGTTCTTGTGTGTAGTGTCACCGCCCAGACTCTCCATACGAGCTTTGTTTACGATGCGTCATGTCCAGCCCACAGGTGCTGAACATGCCATGCTTCCTTGCCAAACCTGTCGAGGCTGAGCTCTTCCGTGATAGTAAGTTGTCCAGCGAGCAGAAATACGAGAAACCGAACGCTGACATGGGTCGTAGAGCCCTCTATCATGCATCCCCTCCAAACACCTCGAAGCGAAGTATACCGCCTCATTGATATCGAAGCTCCACATCATCACTATCTCAAGCTTCAGCTTACCCAGGACATGGGCGTGACACTAGAAGTAAAGGTCGCCAAATATGAACCTAGACCCAACGAAAAGACATCACACCCATGGAAAGACAGATCCGGAAACCCGAGGGCCTTGCAAATGCCTCCGTACTGTATTGCAACCATGACGGATGCGCGCCAGCAAATGCTAAACTACATAAACGCCTTCCGGGGCGCGTTCCTTTCCAAATTGCGGATGTCATGTAACGAAATCACGGGGAAGATTATCGATGAAGCTCGACGATACGCAGCCTTCAACCCAGTAAGCCACCCTAGCACATTGTCAATATCAAACCTGCTCACATACCACAGAACTCCACTGTCCGAAAAGCAATGGACCTCTTCGCCGCCACCCGAATAATTGAACACGACTGGAGGATATGTGGCCGCAACACCTTAGGCATCAACGTCGTCGAGGACGAAGAGAACCCATGGTTCAACAAGATCCCCGTCACGCCCATCATGGACACCCAGCTCGACCAGATAGTCATCCAGGGCTTCCTCAAACCTCTCCGCGACCAGCTCCTTCAAGAACTGCAGACGAAAATCTACGAGAGCAGGAGAGAGAACTGGTTCGAGATCTTCCTCACGACCTCTATTCTCCTGACCAATGCGGAACTGCTCCTCTCACACTCGCGCAAGAATGCGAAGCGGTATGGCGCTAACGTAAGCTCGCTCTTTTCATTGCTCTGCTCGGCTTGATCACAAACTGACTGCATGCTCGCAGCGCCGCTACAACTCCCTTGAACGCGCCTACAAGTACTTCCACACCTGTAACCTCCTCATCGCGCACTTCCACTTCGTCTGCGTGGGGTTTGCTCCCTTGAAGCTCGACTGGACCTCTGCCAACGTCTCGTCAATGGCGGTGCTGGATCTCGACCAGATGGCGTTTATGACACAACTGCAGGATATGATTAAGAGGAAGGAGGAGCACGTGTTGGGGCTTCGGAAGAAGCGGGAATATGAGGAGGAGCTGTATTGGTGCCATCAACTGTTCTTTGAGAAGTGGGAATGGGAGAAGCCGAGGATTGAGGACGAGTGATGGATGGGGAATTTGGGTGCATTTTCTGCGATTCAGCGGGTTGGTGGGTGTTTGAGGCATTTGGGTTGGGAAAGGCATTCGATTTTGAGCATGGGCTAGGTGGTCAAGTCAAATTAATATGAACTGGATATCTTAAGTTATTGATTGCACGTTGCCTTTTTCAAGGACATGCCAAAAACGTGTACAAATAGCACGGATTGGTTGTTCTTTATACGTCTCGCGCGACAAAAAGTAACCCTTTTCCTTTGGTCTGATTCGTGGTATCACGTCAAAGGCATTGCGAAAGTGGGTGGACATCAAGCGTTCGAACAAACAAGTCTCATCATGACTTGGTTACTGGACCGGCTCCCGTAGATATATCCGTCTTCAATGCTTCACTTTTCGGTGCATCTGATTTAGGAGGTCTGGCAATAATATGCCGAAAACAAGTCTCAATCGCACGGACTGGCTCCACTTTATGCTTCTTGAAGGTGTGGAAATAACCTATTTCCCTAGACCAGATACAGAGCGTCATGCATTTTGCATCTTACTTCCAGTGTAGATTTCGGCTGTGAGCAGATGTTAATAGCTAGCGACGCAACTGCTGTATATTATTGAATTGGTATTGTTGATGGACAGACTCTTAGTTATACTCCTCGGCGATACACTCTTACACTTTACAGGTATCGCCGCTATCACGAGCTAAAGTGCGGAGTCGTGAATAACCCCGGATTACCGAGCTACACAACAATGACGTTGGACGCAACCAGCAACTTTATCACGACGACGCCATCGCGGCGCCCCGCGTGAAGCTATCACCATGATCCCCCGTGGTTCCTCTTTCATCTTCCAAACACCCTAATTACTCAATCCCACGGTCCTGCAGTCAACCGCCAAAATGACCTACGTCTACAATTCCCAGCTGGTTCGTCCTCTCCCTCCACCGCTTGCCACAACAGAACAAAATACTAATCTGCTCAGGACGCCTTCACCCTCTATCACATCCAAGAAGAAGAGTCTCCCTCTCGATCCTCAATCGGCCCCGCCCTCCCCGCCCTCGGCCACGCCCTCTCCGGCGCCGCAGGCACGGCCATCTCCAAGCTCCTCATCTACCCCCTCGACCTCGTCATAACACGACTGCAAGTCCAAGCGCAATTCCAGGACCCCTCCACTCCCACCCCTACCTCCGCCGACTACACCAGCCTCCTCGATGCCGCCACGAAGATCTACAACAACGAGGGCGGCATCGCCGCCTTCTACAGCGGCGTCGTCCCCGACACCGCCAAGAGCGTCGCCGACAGCTTCCTCTTCTTCCTCGCCTACAACTACCTCCGCAGCCGCCGGCTCACCAGCCGCGGCAGCGCCCGCACGCTCCCCGCCCTCGACGAAATCGCCGTCGGCATGCTCGCCGGCGCCTTCTCGAAGCTCTGGACTACGCCCGTGCAGAACATCGTCACGCGCAAGCAGACCGCCGCCATGGTCGCCTCGCAGGACCCCATGGCAACCGCCTCCCCGGACCTGAGCCTGAGGGACATCGCGCTGCAGATCCGGCACGAGAAGGGCCTGCAGGGGTTCTGGTCGGGGTATTCGGCGAGCTTGGTGCTGACACTCAATCCGGCGGTTACGTTTCTGCTGCATAAAATTTTGTTGAGGGCGTTGGTGCCCAGAGCGAGGCGCGAGGATCCGGGCGCGCGGGTGACGTTCTTGGTCGCGGCGTTGAGTAAGAGTGTGGCGTCGGCGGTCACGTACCCGTTCTCGCTCGCGAAGACGCGGGCGCAGGTGTCGCGGCAGGCGCCGTCTGAGGCTGTGGGGCAGACGTCTGAGAGCGAGAAAAAGGTGGTTAAGGAGGGGGAGGCGTTAATTGCGGCGAAGGCGAAGAGGGCGAGGCAGAGGACTGTGTTTAGCACCATCCTTCGAGTCGCGAAGACAGAGGGTGTAGCGGCGCTGTATCATGGTCTAGGGGCGGAGATGCTGAAGGGGTTCTTTTCGCATGGGCTGACAATGCTGATGAAGGATCGGATCCATGGGGTCATCGTGAGCTTGTATTATCTGCTGTTGAAGGCTGCGAAGAAGTACCCTGGTCCAGACGAGATCCGGGCGATGGCGTCGAGACGGGCGAATGGCGCGTATGAAAGTGGGAAGGAGTTGGCGGGGAATGCGTCGCAGTATGCTGGGGACGTGGTGGCGAATGGGAGGAGCCAGGCTGGGGAGTTGTTCGAGAAAGGGAGGGAGTTGGCGGGGAGTGCGGCGGAGCAGGCCAAGGGTGTAGTTGAGAAGGGGACCGACGGGGCGAAGGGGATGATTGGTAGTGGTAAGGAGGAAAAGTGATGATTGCTGATGACTTCTGCACTGTATTCTATGATGGAGACTGGGTCAATCTTCTGTACATATGGGTAGGATGTTTGATTGCTGGGAGTTAAAAGCTGCTAGTTTGTGCTTTCATGTTTCTCAGCGCTACTTTCTACGCTGTATACTCTCAAGTTTCAATCATATTTGGCAAGAACTTGAAGCAGTTCTACGCACTACACACTGTCGGCTGAATGTCCCAACGAGAGGCGGGGCGAGTTCGATAATTAAACCTTGATCCGTCCACTACAAGACGCCAACATTTGAACACATCGAAAGGTAGTAACAAGAGCTAATCCGTGTAATTCGCATTCAATTCTGCCATATCCCTTATCCCATTGCGCAAGACTGAAGATTTTGGAACATCGTACTGAACTTCGCTGCAGTTCTCATCACTCAAACTCTCCATTGGTTGTATCCTTATCGATAACGGGATACTCAGGCCCAGAGGCCATTCCAACCCCCCCCCCGGTGCCCCCGCCTAGTTTGACTTGGGCATCTATCCCTCGAATAGCGCGACACTGTGTGTTCCCCTGCTCAGGTACACATAGGGGGGCGCGGCATTGAGACTCCTCGAGGCTATAGCCTCACTTAGCCTCTCTTAGGTAGGTAGCTAGCAGGTAGGTTGCATCCTCGACTCCGCACCGCCACTCCATAGTGGCTTAGCCCGTGGGGGCCATTTTTACATCGTGGACACGGTACATAGCCGCTGAAGCGCGCTCTGAGGGCTCTGGTGCAATGCTGTCTCAAACTTCAATACGCCCCTGATGAAGGCCGTTCCCAATGCTGGATCCTCTCACCGCCATCGGCCTTGCCGGCAACGTCGTCCAGTTCGTGGACTTCACAGCGAAACTCATTGCGGAGGGTAGAGCGATCTACAAGGCTGGCGCTACGAGCGAGAATGAAGACCTCGAAGTAATCACCAGGGATCTCATTGGCCTCAATGGGAAGCTATTGTCGGTTTCTCCTCCTGATTCAGGTAGTGTACAAGAGTCGGAGGACGAAGACTTGCAGCACCTAGCCAAACGATGTGTGGAATTAGGCAAGGAGCTCCTTTCTATCCTAGAGGATCTCAGGATGAGTGGCTCTTATACAAGATGGGATAGCTTCCGAATGGCTACGAGGACTGTGAGGAAGAAGGATAAAATTGAAGGCATCCAGAAGAGACTAAATGATATTCGGGCCCAATTAAACCTGCATTTGATAGCTTTACTAAGGTTCGTGAACCACGCACCTCTTGAAAGACGCATACGCTAACGAAATAAATATAGTGACCGGCAATCCCTTGTACTTACGACACTCAATGCGCTCGCGAGGGATAACAAAGAGATGGAGATGGATCGGACGGACCAGCTCATTCAGCTGAAGGACGAAATCCTTATGGCAATACAGGAACTATCACAAAGGGACAAACGAGACAGACTACAGAAAAAGCTATTAAGCAAGGAGCAATATTTGCAGCCGGAAGCAAATAACGTGCAAGATCTGAGCGCGATCTCTTCAAAACTATCGGACCTGAGCCAAGAAGGCGAACGAGTCCGACGCGAACAGAGAGTCTTATTTTCACTTCGGTTCCGATCCATGGACGTAAGGCATTCGAAGATTCCGGAAGCGCACAATACGACCTTCAATTGGATATTCGAAGAAGCTGCCGAGGACGACTCGCTTCCCCGAGTTGAATTCATGCAGTGGCTCCGATCAAGTGGAGATATCTACTGGCTATCCGGAAAAGCTGGGTCGGGAAAATCGACTCTGACGAAGTTCATAGCTTCTCATCCTCGCACAATGCAAGCACTGTCCTTGTGGGCGGGGCAGCACCGCTTGTTTACGGCGAGCCATTTCTTCTGGCATGCGGGGACAGACCTGCAGAAGTCTCAAGAAGGGCTACTTCAGACGATATTATACGACATCCTTCGAAAGTGTCCGGACCTGATCCCAGCCGTACTCCCGTTTCGATGGCAAGCATATGGCTATTCATTTGAGAACCCAGAAGCATGGACACTTCCTGAGCTCCTAACGGCACTCCGCCGGCTCATCGAACATGATTTATCTGCCAAATTCTGCTTCTTCATTGATGGCCTCGATGAATACTATGGGAACCACGTTGAGATCATAAGCCTTCTCAGGGACCTGATTACCTCCTCGAACATCAAGATATGTGTGTCCAGCAGGCCGTGGAACATTTTTGAAGATGCATTTGGAAAGAATTCTTCCCGCATGCTAGCTTTGCAAGATCTCACCAGGAATGACATCCAGCTCTACGTACAAAACCATCTAGAAGAGAACGAGCACTTTATTCGACTAAAAACTAGAGATCCCCGCTGTGTAGATCTAGTGCAAGAGATTGTCGACAGAGCACAGGGAGTCTTTCTTTGGGTTTTCCTAGTCGTGCGCGACCTCGTTCAAGGACTGACCAATTCTGATCGGATTGTCGACCTCCAACGACGACTTCGACGGCTTCCTACCGACCTTGAGCCATACTTCAAGCACATTCTTGACACTGTTGAGGACATATACAAGGACCAAACTGCGGAAACTTTCCAGCTTTGCCTGCAAGCTAGAAGCCCGCCCTTACTCATGGTGTTTTCCCTGCTCGATGAAGAAGACCCGAAATTCGCCTTGACTTCGAGCGTGTCGCCTTTATCCGTAGACGAAGTAGCTGCACGCTACCACGAAGCTCACCGACGTCTAAACGCTCGTTGCAAGGGTCTACTTGAACTAGTGGGAGATCCTATTCATGATTACTTCTGGGAGACGTTTAGTGTCCAAGTAGACTACCTTCACCGGACGGTCCGAGACTTTCTCCAAGGGTCTGAGATGCAAGACTACCTAAAAATGAGCGCAGGCCGCCATTTCGATGCTCACACCTGCTTAGCGAATGCCTCCCTTGGACTTATCAAACTGCTTCCTGCCAATCTCAAGGTATCTCTAGATACCGAGCGATGTCGTCTCTTCGATCTAGTCGATGACTGCATCCACTACGCGCAGGAAGCAGAAGCGGAATCCGGCGTGTATCCCGGTCCTCTCCTCGACGAACTGAGTCGCACATTCTCCATCCGTATAGAAAGGGAACTAAACAGCGATGTTACTACTCGCCGTTGCTTGTTCATCGCTATTTCCGAAGGTCTATGCGTCTACGTCCGCGAGCTATTGATCGCTAAGCCGCAATTGGACGTCCCCCTGCTGCTCGTTGCTCTAGTTCCCCAGACCCAACATCACCACTGGAATCCGGAGATGGTCCAACTTCTGTTAGCTCACGGCGCCAATCCGAATGAGAGACACAACGAGTCCACGGTTTGGTCGGCTTTCCTCCAGTACCTGCACGCTCACTACGAGAAGCTATCGCCGATGCAGATGCGAGCGTTGTTCAAGACCACTAGGGCCCTCCTGAGTAATGGTGCGGATCCGAATCTGAGCATTACCGTGGATGGAGAGGCACGGCGGGTCATGGAGGTGGTTGCGGAGGTCTTTGGCGCACAACTGAGTGGTGAGCAGGTGAGGCGGCTCAAGCAGAAGCCTGCGGACGCGGAGAAGCCTGCGGACGCGGAGAAGCCTGCGGCCGCGGAGAAGCGGAAGTCGAGAGTGTTTGGGTGGCTGAAGCGGAGCAAGAAGGACAAGACGTGGAAGCAACCGGGTTGAAGATGGCTTATGGAAGAAACGACAGCATTACGACAGAATTCTCGGCAAGGCGACTGAGGCAAAACGCCACGGCTGTATCATCGAAGACGCCAGCGATCCAGGGGAGATGAATTGAGTTGCGGAGTGCTCAACTACTCCTTGCTAGATGCGTGTAGCCGATAAGCCTTGGGCGAGAGACTCGCAAATGAGCGTGCGCTCTCGTCCTCGCGAGTTTTATGGGGCCCGCTATAGACTAGTCTGCCTGCGCCGCACCGAGTCCTGCATTCTGTACCGACTAAGCACTGCGCTCGTAACCTAAGAACCCTCCAAGACAGGAATACTCGCACCCACAATACCACCGGTCAGAGCTGGAAGCTCACGGCCGAATAGTCGCACTAATATCCCGCAATTTTCGAACACTTTGGCTCTGGCCCTCCATCTAGTCAGCATAATCACGAATCATGTGACGAAGGAATGCATGCTTAACGTCTTTCTGCGATAGATTGAAACAAAGGGACAGTCTCGATGCCAGCCAGAATAGTGGACTCAGTTAGGTCTAATCCTCGATCGGCTTCATTCTCTAAGTTGTCTCTTTTATAGAAGGTTAATTTTCTTGGGAAAGCCTTATTTAAAAGGAGCGAGATCTTACGGTAATGTGAGCGAATGCCACGCGCTCTGTACTACAACGTTTCTTATGCGCGCACTTCTTTATAATCTGCAAAGTCTTTTTAAGATTAAATCTTCTATGCGTAGAGATTTAGGCGTCTTGAAGCCAAAGGGAGGAAAAGCTCGGCTACTTATATGCGGCAAGTACCGACGTTAGTGCAGGCCAGCGGCTGTAGAGATGTAGTAGACTTGACATCGGAAGGTAGACAGTTCACTTGTAGTGCTCCGGCTGAAGAATCCAATAAGAAGATCAAATGGTATGAGGAGGTGCGCGTTTACCAAAAAGGGGGTACGAGACTACTAAAAGGGGCCGTGCATTACTAGTTCCCCATAAAAAGAGATGAAGGAGAAGAAATAAAGTCGCAAGTAGTGTCCTAGTCGTAGCCTCCGCGGGTTCGAATGCATTATGCGCGTAGCTCGATCGATCCCGAGTCAAATACCGCAGAAACTTGAGGGCAGGAGAGCATTAAGGTGGCCGGAGGTGGTGGGAACGGGTAAGCGCTTTAGACAAGTGTAATGATGCTACTCTCGGCTGCTTCATGCGGCTGAACCACACTTTCCACATGATCGTCTCTAACATAGAAATATCCCAGCCTCTCGAAAACATTACGATTCTTATGATGCGGTACTAGTAACAGGCCCTCTGCACAATCGTGTTTATCGTCTTCATCGTCGTTATAGGGGCCTTCGTGCGGACATCGTTGTATGATGATCAAATGAACATTACGCGGTTGCTCATCTGTGTCATCTGGAACGTCCACTGTAATTGTGGTATAAGCTCCCCCTCGCTCCAAAGCGATTGAAAGGTTCTGCTTGGTGTTTGCAAAGGTCAGATCTCTTCTCAATATATTTCCCTTCATGTCGCTCTGTTTGATAGAAGCAGGAATAAGTTTGCATCGTATCCGCATGGAAGCATGCCCGTGCACAAGTTCACCAGAGGGCTTGGTCTTGATGTCGAGATCAACAAGTTCCACCCAGATCTGCTTGTGCTCGCAGCACCCATGAAATTTGCTCGTGTTGCTAACCCAGACTTTGCCGTTCGTGCTGGCCCAGCTCCAAGTGGGAGCCCTCCATTTCAAGGGCCGCGTGGGAAGTGTCTCGTTTTTAAAAAGGTGTCTGCGCCAACACAGTTCTTCAAGTATTCGGTTACGCCAAAGCCTAGCGACTAACTCGTCGTCCAAGGCTTCGGCTACATCTTGTGCTATGTCACGAACTGCGACTAATTTATCCTCTTCGTTGGTTATTTCACATTTGGTGTATGAGATTCTGAAGGTAGCCCACCGGTGGTATATCCTATGGGGTGGTATGAAATCTTCATTTAGATCATAGTCGAACGATTCGTTGGGGTCGCGACTCTCTAATGCCTGAGTTGGTCGTTCAGAAGACCGGCCAGCTTTCTGTTGTTTGAAAATCTTGAGACTTCGAGCTAGAGAGCTCGCATCTTCAGACCAAAAAGGCATCGCCCATTTTGGCAGACCACCAGGATATGTCTCGCTGGCTGTGCACTGCTGGCATTCCCAGAACACTCGGCTAGCGGCGAAGTGGAGAATCCTTGGAGACAGGTGCCGCTCCTGACTGACCCATGCTCTCTTATTCAAAGGGGCTTCTTCGACGCATTCAGCCCAGACGCGTAATCTATTGCAATAGTAGGATCTGGGTGGAAGTTCTGAATCGTATGGATCTTCTGAGTCTACGGAGTCTGGCTTCAGAGTCCAAGCTACTTGTAAGCGGCGAGGAAGCAAGAACGCAGGGTCTCGATTGAAGAATAGGCCGGCGTCGCTATCTTCAGCGGCTGTGGCTGCGATGTTGCATGCCGATTTACTGTACACGTCTCTCAAACGCCCTGCCTCGACCGACCAGTCGTCTATATTGTCCTAAAATATGCACCTATGTAGGATTGAGCAGAGGCTTCTACCTATGTAGCACTGTTCACTTACAATGAGTCAATCCATAGATACTTGACTTGGAAGTATTGGGCAACAAGAATGGCATCTTGGAATGTTTTCGGTAGTTGAGTGATGGGTATACCGGCTTTCAGTGTTGAAACTGTGTCTTTGGTAAGACGAAAAGGGTGTGATTGGCCCCAACAGTGGCTGAGAGTAAAGTATGGTCCTTGGTCACCGAAATTTCGAGTCTCGCGTAGATGAATTGGATCGCCTGTATTTTCCATTACTCCTACGACTGTTGATAGATACCATACCGAAGAGGGGAGGCGTGGACTGCATTGAACATGTTGCTCTTGGCGTTCTCGGTATTTGGTGAACAGAAAGCCAAGAGCTGAATCCGAACCAGTGTTCTGCGAAAGACGGTCTGGATAAATGTCATTACTCATAGCTGTGTCCGACGTTAGTATTGAAGGAATAAGATACATGATGATGGCAGTACGTACTGTCCCACGGGACAATGCACAGCCTCGCTCCCTGCTCCCCACATATGAACACTATTTCCCATTCATTGGCATCGCGGCTGTATCCTGGCCGGAAGTAGTATTCCGTTTCGAAAGGTATGGACTTCTGTAAGCTCTTTTTTTCCTGCCAGACCAGCGAACACAGTGCACAGGGCAGTCGCAGTGCTTCTTCGAGGGACTCAGCATTAGGGTGGTGTGAAGCTGCGCATCATTCGTATTTCTCCACCTAGGAGCTTATGGCATGGGTCGCAGTATTTCTCGTCGAACATGATGCTGAGAAACAAAAGCGATGTAGTTTTCGCTCAATTTCTTAGGTCTTCACATTATATGAGCAGCGGTTGCCTGGAGCGTGAAAGTGAGGCGAAAAGTGCGGGGCACTCGTCGAATTCTCAGTGAAGGGCTCACAAAAGTAGAAGCTGCGATCTGGCAAACGGCGGTTGAATATGCATCTTCGGTGTAGGATTCATTCGGACCTAAGTGGCTCAGAGTGGGACGGTAGTCCGTCACCGTCCAGCCTGCCCCAGAGGTATTCCATGCTGTTGGCTACGCCAAGGCTCCCGAAGCGGATGAAGACATAGAAAACCAACCAAATACAACGACAGCTAGAAGCCGTTAAAATAACATGTTAGCCATGACTAGCCAGACATACTCTTATAAATAGTAATTCATAGGTAAGGCTGGCATGTCGCAGATTGTTTCTTCACGGCTGAGAGGAGATTAGCGGGACTCCAATGCGAGCTGGCCGAGGAGCTGCCAAAGAATCGACTTGCATGACCCGCTCTGTGGATGGGCGCAGCATCCTGGTCAGGGTATGCATCTGTCCTAATATTCTAGATCCCGAATTAAACATTGCAAAAACTTTAGATTAGGACCTCTCTTTCACGAGGCATTTGATTCTACGCATTTAGCATGCCAGTGTGAGTGCTCGATATGCAGGAATATAGAATGTGTTGTACGTGGTGTCGGTGAGGCCAGTTCCGTACGACGAAAAGATATAACTAACTACACGGAAGTTGCTGAGTAATCAGCTACACAGCAAGTCTCCCTGCTGAATGTGGCGCTATGTCGCACCGCGTTACCTTTATTACGGTGATATGTAGCCTATCACCATGGCTGTGCATCACCACTTATTCTATGCTAACAGCAGCTTTGAGCATCCTCACATCATACTCAATTTACTTTCACTTGAACCATGCGCGTTGACCTCAGCGCCCTGTTCGAGCAGCATCTTCACCACGTGTTCGTAGCCTCCGGCTGAAGCTGCATGGAGCGCGTTGCCGTACTCTCCACCCTGCGCGTTAATGTCAGCGCCGTTGTAGACCAGCAGCTCGACTATCAGCTCGTGGCCTCCAGCTGAAGCTGCCTGGAGTGCGTTGCCATAGTATCCTCCCTTCGCGTTGACGTTGGCGCCCTTATCGATCAACAGCTTGACTATCTGTTCGTGGCCCCCAGCTGAAGCTGCTTGGAGTGCATTGCCATAGTATCCCCCCTGCGCGTTAACGTCAACGTTCCTGTCGAGCAGCAGCATCACAATCCGCTCGTGGCCTCCAACGGAAGCTGCCTGGAGTGCGTTACCGTACCGTCCCTCTGGCACGTTGACGTAGGCGCTCTTGTTGAGCAGCAGCTCGGAGTGCCATTGATGATACTGTTTATGCAATGCGCGTAGTCGATCTTGGAGTTCTTGGAGGTCTCGAAGCAGCTCGGCATACCATTGACGATAATAGTCATGCAATCTCCGCAGTTGTTCTTGGAGTTCTGGGAAGTCTGGAAGCCCTGGATGCTCAGCAATGCTGGCACTTATTCCATCTTCAGGAGGCTCGACTTCGGGTTTACTTGGTGCGGTTGGGTCATGAGCTTTCCCCTGCTCTACATCCTTTATCGCTCCCATTAGTTCGTAGTACCCTACCAAGATGAAGAGTACGAGGAGGATGCAGATGAGAATGTTACGATAATCCACGCCACCTGGATTGGAATGTAGTCGCCACATAAGGCTCGTATATAGGATCAGGCCAGCAATAAATGTGATCCATGAAACTGTCAAAAGCTCGACTGGCAGCTGAAGCACGCGAATGGCGGAGATAGAACTTCGTATTGGCTTTCGGAGTTGGCCGTTGCTGAGCCAGCGCTTCAATTCCGTTGGGCCACCGATGAGGTATAGTTGCCGTTGTGTCCGTATACAAAAGACCACGGAGAGAACACTTGATAACAAACTGACACTAAAGGCAGCTCGTGCAGTCCAGTGGAGATCAGAAACACTATCCAGGCTAAGAGCTGTAATGTTGACGGAGGCGAGTACACTCCCCTGGACGATTTTCAGCATCGCTAAATCATATCTATAGACAAGCGAGACGTCTAATTTTGACTTACTGCAACAGCAATCCCGTTGAAGCTGCCCAGCAGGTTCTCATTCCATTTCAATAACTCCATGTCATTCCAGTCATTGATGATGTCCGAAACCTGCTTTAGCAGGTCCATATCAATGAGCATAAGCCGCAAAGCCCATCTTTCCCACCAAGTACCAAATCGGTCCTTTGCATAGGTATCACTCTTAAAATAAATATTGCTCAAGACTGTACGTGGGTCTTCTGACCGATTTTGCGCGATGCCGAAAATCAATGTGCCGGCGATGAAGAGTGCTCGTAATGCGCCGGCAATGACTGCTGCCATGACAATTTCAGATCAAGAGGGACGACGAATCTTGCTGATACACGACTTTGGAAAACATGAAAGCGGCGTGAAGAGACCAAACCCATCTTTAGCTCCGGATGAAGATTTGTTGATATGCAAAGGTCAGCTCGGAATTTGACCAATGATGAAGCGCCACGAGAGACTGCATCAAGGTGCCGAGGCTCCACTCGAGAGCTGCATACGGTCATCGCTGGTTTTCGATACACTAGGTGTCTTGAGTTGACATCTCTGGAGAAATGTTGATCTTGAACTTCTACACCATCGCCAACACGACCTCTTTGCTATACAATGCTGTTGCGTTGGTCCCAGGGAGCCTCTCACTAAAGTTTCGAGTCTTGCGTAGATTGATTAGATCACCGGTATTTTCCCCTACTTCCATAAATCTTCATAGATACCATGCCGAAGAAGAGAGACGTAAACTACATTGAACATTTTGTAGGAGAGCTGGAGTGCTTATCTATAAGTCTGAAGTCTCAGTCCTTCGGACTCGTTCAATTCCAGCCTGCGCCCCGACGCAGTAGGTAGTTTAGATAAGTAGTGAGCGACAGTCACAGGGAAGCGGATCAAGACAAGGTGTGTAGCCAAAAGCTGTATTGATGATGGTGAGGAAGCTAGCTAATGAGCGGAAGAAGGAAAGATAGGGTGCTGAGTAAGCCTGATAGAGAGGAAGGGGCCGACAGTAATGTTCGGCTTCCACTACGCTAATCTAGTAACTATGGGCTCGCGCAGCTCTGCAGAGTATTTTATTGTATCATATATTCGTACTTAAATTCAGTGTCGTACATCGTAGAGCGAGCTAGTTGACTAACCAGAAAGTATTCCTGCGTAGCTCTGATTAGCTGCGCTAACATTAGCACAGATTCCAAGTCCGTGCAGCTGGTAGAGCGATTTCTTAAGAGAAAGCGCTCTTATAGTAAGGCCAGAGTTTAGTTCATTCTACACCCTTCAGAGATGTCGTGATCAGATCTTAGGAAACTTCAGCTAAAAAGAGCCTGCGTATGTCGCTTGGATGGCGCGCTACGACTCCACTAAAGAAGTGCGCCCGAAACTCCCGGTGCTTGAAATTCTTCGTGACGTCCCTTCCCGGAAATTCGCATCGTAGACATCGCTGTACTGCATATCTGCATATCCATACATGTCCCCAACATCTAGGTACACCTTGTTCGTTTGCGTTTCCGCAATTTTATAGTCTTCTAACACCGTGGTTGTTACGCCTACCTGCTGTGTTCCGGCTCCGCTTAGGCTTTGGCTATAAATCTGGCTCTCACGCCGTAGTTCCGCGAACGAACGATTCAAACATAGCTTAATGAGCAGAATGCCCAACGCGAAGAGCGTTTTGTGGCGGATAAGGCCTTCTTGAAATTGGGCGGCTGCGGAGAGAGGCGCGGCTGCCGGAGGGCAGAACGGTGGGATATACAGGTATTTCCTAGGGACTCGGGCTGCGCGAGCGCACCGCCATCGTCAAGTATGAGCTGAATCTCGTCTTTGTCAAGTTTCTCGCTAAGCCACGCGGAGTCACAAAGAAGTAGGACGGCCCAGGCAGCTGATGCAGCGATGCCGAAGCGCTGTTTTCGAGAGAGAGCTAGCCGGGAGCGGACTTGTTCATTCGATGGGGATAGGAGAGAGTGGACGGGTATTATCTTTGGGAAGTACTCTTTGGTGGCTGTGCTATGAATTTGGATTTGCCGCGAAGTAGAAGGGTCTGGATCCGGAAAGTAGCCAAGATAGTCTGCGGCGGCTGTACAATTTTGCAGGAGTCCGCAAAGACCAGAGATAGGAGGGGGGATTGAAGGGCGGGGGGTTGGTAACGTTATTTTCAACGAGGATGAAGTCTGCGATGACGAAGCTACGCTAGAAGTTTAGGTATTTGATGTACTTGAAGCAATACGAATGGTGCGATCATTACTAGAACGGCCGGATTTAACGGATTTGACATCGGACTTTGTCTTGGTATGCCTCCTTCTGAACAACTGACTAAAACTCGTCCGTGTGGAAGGAGACGGGGGACTATTTGCTGGATCACGTACTTGCACTACCGGAGGAGTAAGAGAGGCTGGTGCAGATAGTGGTATTTGTGCGGCAGCCTTTTTGATCCTTATTTGTATCTCTTGCCAGTATTCGTCTGATGGATAAGGGATCCCAGTTTGGGTTTTCTTATATGACAAGGCCATGTTGAATATAGCAGGATCTAGCACTTTGTCATTGTGCCATCTTAAATAAAGGTTACCACCGTGCGTCTGCGGGAATACGCAACCCCAGCCCGACTGTATAGCTTCGTGGATGGCTCCGGCGTTGTTTCTAATGGCGTCGCATTGCTTCTGGTCGAATCGGGCTTGCAGTTCTTGGACCGTTCGGTTTCCTTCATCGGATGGGATCTCTTGCTTCTCGAAGCAGTTCTTGAGCGCAGTATTCCAGTACTGCAAGTCCGTTATCAGGCTCTGTCGCTCGTTTCTGCCAAAGCTCCGCTTTACGCGACGCCATTCCCATTCCACACGGTCAGGGGCGACTTCTTCCCACTTTGGCTATGATCTGGCTCAGCTTCAATCGGATAGACTATGCGCAGGGACTATTGGACCGGAGAAGGCAAGGAGGATGTATTGCATCGAGAGTGCAATTGGGCAGAGGCGGCTTTGCACCACAAATGTGACAAGTACGTAGATAAAATCCGAGTCAATATACCTTGCCTTTGATATCGATATCTAGCTTGTCCATCAGCTTTTGCACAATCTTATCCATGTGCCCGAGGAAGTTCATGAACGAGTCGCATTTATCCGCGTACCGCCTACGGAGGTAGAGTTCGACCTCGGTCAAGAAGGCACCCTGCAGCCCGATGTTGCCGAAAGTGGCATGCAGTTGCTGTTGCTCTCGATGGCGCGAAGAGTGGAGTCGTACCGCAAGTAGTCCTTGGCGGGGTTCAGGGCCTTCCGGTAGTTCTCTAATGCGAAGAGGATGAGGGGAATTCCTCCTAGAACGACGCCGGCTACCTCCATCTTTGGCTGAAAGGTACAAAGGGAAAGATTCAGAGGAGTCAAGAGAAGATAGACGAAAGACTGTGAGCTGAGATTCGCAAGGCAGAGAAAAAGATGCGGGAGTGCCCGAAGCTCCCGCCCCGTCCAAGTGGCCCCCAATCTCACCGGTGACAGACCTAGCGCTAATTTCAAGCCACAAATTTGGCATATAAAGCAACATTTCTGGACGCTTCTAGGGAGGAATAGCAGCCTTCTAGCCAATCTTTATTGAAGCCACTTCAACATTAGCCCAGAAAAGGAGATTGACTAAGGCCGACTCAATTTCCGCGCTAGGCCATCGGACGTGATGATATGCTGTATTCTGCGAGACGAAATACACGGCCCGTATTACTCTATGGCCTGGCCCGCAAGCTGAGATATCCAATGCAAGTCTATCATACAGCCTTCTCCGTTTGTAGCACAACGCATGCTGTCAGCACAGCCCCGCATCTGCATATTCGACATCCACACAACTACAAAAGGCTGAAAGTACTGGCCAGGATCGCTTCAGTGGGCAAGCCACCTGCGCTTGCTCCAAACGTCTACGTTGCGAGTCCGTTGCAGCCCTGGACTCCAGACAGTACACAGTACCATCTCGCACAGCCTACCCAAGTGTATGTTGTCTGTGCACAAATGTTATGCTGAACGGTTCTTTACATGCTAGCTAACCATATTTAAGTTCGGCGTGCCAACGAGAAGAGGACACCACAGGCTAGGAGACCGTGAGCCCTGAAAATGGACGAGAACATCCCGCAGCCTGGTGCTTTCCCTAGAACTCCCGCAACTGGAACAACGTCCGCGTCCGAACAGCCAGCTTTGGCTGCGTCATACTGAGGATGTCTAGAGTTGTACCAGCGCCTCCTCCGTCTCTTAGGAATGAACAGCTGCCATGTCGTACATCTGGAGCAAGTAAACGTGGGCAAGGTCCTTGAAGAGTATGGGAGATTCCGAATATAGGGTGATCAAACACGGGCAGCACTTTCCGAAGGGACAAGGCGCTCACTTGATGATACTCTTCAGAATGATGAGAGCTTGAAAAACGCGGTCAACAGCATCCTCGGCCAGCTCTCTTGGCTTCTGTCCATGGGTAGGCAATGCGACATTAGACTGTTCACACAACGCTTACCATTAATAGCAATCCCGATCGCTGAAAAGAAATACGATGACTCTGCTCAAGATTCTGAAAGCAGCCTGAGCGCAGATTCGGACTCTGACTTGGACTCTCAGTTGGATTCCGACCAGGATGAAGTCTGGACTAACGATGCTCCCAACCGTCACCGCCCAAAAGTATTAAGAGTCTCGAAAGTCTCCGTACTCGTAAACCACATGTTCGAGCAGATCCAGCCACTCTACAATATGTCAATGTTGCTCAACCGACCAAGATTGAGTGGAAGATATCTGCGGTCCACCAACAAAACCGAAGGAAATTCTAAACTCGCTTATTTCGCGGATCTCGATTATAAGCACATCCGCGAAAAACTACACCAATGGAAAGGCAAGTTGAAAGTCATTCCGGATGAGGAAGGGAAAGTGGAGACCGCTACAACCGCCGCGGATTTAGAAGAGCATAAAATTAGGGAGCCATCCGCCGTAGCCACAATAGAGATCCTGTGTCGCCGGCTGGCCAAAGCAAACACCAGACACAGGGAGCAACTCCAGTACTGGATACGCCGCCCTGACAGACCCGACGTGGTTCGATGCCAAGATTTTAATTCTGACGTCGTTCCCGAGCTTGGTAAAGTATCGGGGAAGGTCAAAAGTGGAGCTACTAAAGCGAGACGTCTGCTGTCAAACTAGCAGAGCAAAAGACAGTAACGGGGAGTCAAGCTCTTAAATCAACGACTTCAAAGCAGAGTTTCTCGACTGTTGCGGCATCTGATGTTTTTGATAACCAAACGAAGACGAGGACACGAACCATTTACGCGCAGTCAACTGTGGGGAACAAGCCATCCAATCGTGTGCCAGATGCTCCGAAAGCGATCAAGACTTGCGTTACTTTCAGGTGTCCGTACTGTAACTTGATGCTGGAGTCGAAGGTTATGGCAGACAGAGTGAGCTGGAAGTAAGTCGCTTTTACTGTGGTTACTCATTAATGACAGAATAACTTATCAAGTATCGTAGGCGTCATGTTTTCAAAGACCTAAGACCATACGTTTGTACCTTCCCAGACTGCCTCAGCCCCGAACAGCACTACCTCACCCGCCATGACTGGATCTACCACGAGCGACAAATGCACCGTCGGCAATGGGTTTGCAGTGGAGATTGCGACCAGAATTTTCCTACCAAAGATCTCATGATGGAGCATCTCCGCAACAACCACTCAAGCTCCCTGTCCCCGCAGCAGCTGCCTATCGTAGTTGCAATGAGTGAACGCCCAATCGACGAAGTCGAAATCCTTGCCTGCCCTCTCTGCCCCGACGAACTCTACCTAGGCAAGCTCCAAAACCACCTCGCCGAGCATCTAGAGACAATATCACTCTTCGTCCTGCCAGCTGATGTAGATGAAGATGAAGATGAAGGTACAGACTCGAACAAAGTCGCCGTAACAGATCCAAACCCGACCAAGATGAGAGTGGCACTCAAGCCACGCGTAGCAGTCTTGGATTCTCGCAAACTAGTGAGAAGAGCCAGAACAAGGAAGGCTTTTCAAGTTTACTCTCGATGGAAGTAGTGAAAGGCGAAGCGAAATGCGAAACATGGGGAGGTACTGAAGCAATGTCCGCAGCTATAGAAGAGTCTGACATGGATGACGTATCGATCAAAAACGAGTATGCTAGGGAGCATCCCCGTACGCTTAGCAGCATGGCCAATCTAGCGTTAACTTACAATAATCAAGGGCGGTGGAAGGAGGCCGAAGAGCTGGGAGTAGAAGTAATGGAGACCATGAAGAGGGAGCTTGGGCATGGGCATCCAGATACGCTTAGCAGCATCAGCAACCTTGGATTAGGGCACATAGAGCAGGGCATGTATAGTGAGGCAGAGGAGATGTACCGGCGGGCGCTGCAAGGAATGGAAAAGGTGCTGGGAGCGGAGCACCCAGACAAGCTGACTAGCATGGCCAACCTGGCATCGATATACCAGATGCAAGGACGGTGCAAGGAGGCGGTATACCTGCTAGAGCAGGTAGTCGCAGCTAAAAAGAAGGTGCTGGAGGAGGTCCACCCAGACCAACTAGCGTCACAGCATGCGCTCGCAAGAGCATATCAAGCAAATGGACAGATAGAAGAGGCAGTCAAGCTTCTAGAGCAGGTCGTTGCGATACGTGAGCAGGTGCTCGCGGAGGACCACCGTAGCCGACTGGCGTCGCAGCATACGCTCGCAGAAGCATATCAAGCAAACGGCCAGACAAAGGAGGCAGTCAAGTTTCTAGAGCAGGTCGCTGCAATACACAAGCAGGTGCTTGCAGAGGAACACCCTGGCCGACTGGCGTCGCAGAATGCGCTTGCAGGAGCATATCAAGCAAACGGACAGATAAAAGAGGCAGTCAAGCTTCTAGAGCAGGTCGTTGCGATACATAAGCAGGTGCTTGCGGAGGACCACCCTGGCCGACTGGTGCCGCAGCATGTGCTCGCAAGAGTGTATCAAGCAAACGGACAGATAAAGGAGGCAGTGGAGCTGCTGGAGCATGTGGTCACGAAAGCGCAAGCTCTTCCAAACGACCATCCTTCGCGGCTGGCATCGCAACAGGCGCTCGCAGACTTGCATGCAGAACTGACGGTCAGTTCAGACTCAGCGTGATTCACTATGCCTTTCAAAGTTCTGGATTTGTAGTCCTGCACGCTACTCTCCCTAAAAGCCTACAGGGTGACTCGTTGCAGACTGAGGTTTATCCAATATGTAAACGAGTTTCTAGGGCGGAACAAGCACAAGCTTGAGCACTGTGGTCGCTGTGCTTTACTGTTCCCTTTGCTGCATAAAGGGAGTTGAGATGCGAAGGCCTATTTCTTAGCGATGTGTAGCTATAATAGATGATTAAGTGGTACATACACGGCCTCACCACTGCTGGCAGGAAGGGCGGCCGAGCCGCGACGGCCATACCCTTATGAGCTCAAACCAACATAGATAAGTACCCTCTTGCAGAATATCGTGGCAAATCACATGCCCACCGAAATGGCGCTTTGCCAGATATGTAAGGTGGTGTGCCAAGACGATTATTTAATAGTGGGATAGAATTGTGTTGCAGCCGCATTTGATACAAAGGTAGGAAGCTGGTTTTGCTGGCAACTGTACCGCTTCGCGTGCGAGCGAGCTGTGGTGCTGGGTTGGGACGAAAGGTTGGCTCGGGACGAGGAGCTCGTTTGAGACGAGGAGGCCCGTTTGAGAAGCAGTTTGATCTGGCTGCAGGGTCGCTTTCCTAGGTACCTTATATATATTTCTAGGAATTGACCTCTGGAAATGACTGTGTTTTAAATCAATTTGATACTCTTGATATCCTAACACTAAATAGAGCCAGTGGACCTGATTTGGGTTGAGGATCTGGAGACTTGCTGGTGTTCTCAGCGTGGTCGACCAGGTATGTGTAGGTCAGAACGACTTGGATGAACGAGGCCAGCAAAGCTCGATCAATGGGTGATGTGTTCTCTCAGCTCTGAAATGGACAGAGTTATTGTATGACTTAGGGATATTACAGATGAAGTGACAGATGCATTTACCGTGCTCGATCAAAACCACTCAGACTTTTGGATACAGTCCAAGTCAAACAGAAAGTCCTCAATTCAAGAAACAAGGGAAGCTGTAACTCGGAGAATTGTTGACCCAAGTCCTGTGAACGAGATTAAGTGGGAGCCCGTCAGAATCTACTGCGATGCTCAGTTCCATCATCTGTGGATTTACCAAGAAGTTGCAAACGCAAAACGTGCTGATGTGTGGTCATGCCGAAATGTCCTAGAGCAGACTTTCTGACGCGCTCAGGTATTTCACGTACCATAACCTGACTTCAACTTTCCTCAACTCACCATCTCAAAAAGGGTACGAATGGTACCTGGGTACCCCGGGAGTCACTCAGATATTCGAAACTGTCAGTCTGAACTCCATCATTCTAGCCCAGATTTCAATTGAAAATTAGAATATCATTAATGTAGCACGCTGGACCAGGCTGTAGGAAAGAGTGTCCATTTACGCTTACACTCGGGAGACAGCCGAGGACACAAGTGATCGATCAGTATATTTGACATACGATGTGATTTAGGCAGAGCTAGGACGAGGGGCGTTTCATAACCAGCCATCTGGTTGATGACCAGATCACAATAATCAACCAAAGTGATCAAATGTATCGAATGAGAGGCTAAAGGTCGATGCGATGTATCATTTCTCATTTGGTTGCTGTGCTACAGGCAAAAGAGTGAAACAGTACTTGATGGCGGTGATGTCGTCACATGTTCTCCGCGCTCGCTCGACCCCAGCGCCTGGACAACGCAAGCTGCAGGGCTGGACGCCACCGCCCGAACGAGAAGGCTGGGCGATCAACAAACACCACCGCCGACGGACCCCTCGACTCCATCACCACCACGGCCCCGGACCCCAGGACTAACCGCACAGCACCAGGAGGAGGATATTCACCAGATACTGCGACGAGGAAGAGCCGCCCGGCATAAGGACACCGACGACACCACACACAGCCGCATACCAGCCACTCTGGATCTGAAACCTCGACTCCACGACCCTAGGAAACAACGACCACGCCGCCTCCCGCACCCTCGACGACTCCGAAAACAACCGGACCGCCATCATTTAGGAATAACTGCCCGCGGGAGTATATATTGCGACGAGCGCTGCCGTCGCGACAGCCACGAGACGCTGAACAGCCCCTCCTGAACCCCCCGGACCCGCTCACCGCAAGAGATCACCGCTGGCTCCCCCTTCGCGATGCCGTCCGTCGGCGAGCCGCCCTCGTCGCCACCGCCCGGCGGTTGGAACAGTGTGGACGAGGAGTTAAGATACTACAAAGCGCAATATGAGACACTGGAGTCAGAGCTGCAAGAGTTCCAAAACTCGAGCAAGGAGTTGGAGGCAGAGCTCGAACGGGATATTGAGGAGAGCGAGAAGCGGGAGCGGCAGCTGCAAGAGAAGGTCGAGAGTTTGGGATTTGAGGTGAACGAGTGGCAGGTATGTTGTTCTCCTTTCTTGAACCTCGGGTGTTGTTAATGCGCTGCGGGGTGCAGGTGTCATTCCGGGGCATGTTTTGTGTTGACAGTTGCTAATATTATGGTTACAGACTAAATATAAGCAAAGCAAGACAGAAGCGAACAATGCGCAGAATACGCTGCAGAAAGAGATAACCACACTCCGAGAGTCGCAGCGTGCGCTACAGCTCAGACTTCGCGATATCGAGGTAGCAAACGACGACTTTGAGCGCCAAGCCCGCAACACAACCTCGTCGCTTGAAGACCTAGAATCGAAGTACAATGTTGCGATCGAGCGGTCTGTAATGTTAGATGAAGAAATGAGGATTGGGGACCAGGAACGAGAAGGCCTCAGGATAGAGAACCAACGGATACGGGACGAACTCTCGGACCTCAGGATAGAAGCGGAGATTGTGCAAGAGAAGTTGCGTCTGGCTGAACAAACCATACAGTCTCACCACGAGCGCAAGACCTCTCATCACTTGCTCTCTACTGACAAGTTAAGGCCGCGGTCACCCGTCTCAGAGACGTCTACCTCGGCGACTACACTATCATCACCAACAGCGTCTACTCCGCCGCCAAAGTCAGATACATCGGTAGCAGAGTCCACGCCGCCTTCTCCACCAATATCCGAGGCCTCCGTACAATCGAAGAAGATTCCTGCGACACCACTACCGACTCGTAAGCGGTCGCTCGCGCCTATGGACTCAGCAGCAACACCACGACCAGGCTTTTACTCATCTCGACCGCCTCGGCATTCGCGTGGCCCCAGCATACCAGTCTCAGCGACGCCCTCAAACGGTCGCTCAACACCATCAATCCGGCGAACCGGCGCTCCACCCTCAACTGCTCCGAGGCCGAGCGTGGGTACCAATGGCGGCGGCCTCCCCCGATCTGGTTCTCTATATCAGATCCGTGGGCTAATAGGCAAGATGCAGAAGCTCGAAGAACGGGTGCACTCCGCCCGCTCGAAGCTCCCAGCACCGACCTACTCCCCACCACGGGCCAGCCCGCGCAACGCCAGCCCGCGAACGAACAGTGCTCTAGGCCAAAACATCCCCTCCACCGTCACGGTGCGGAGCAGCCGCAAGCGCCCCTCGCAAGCCTCCGCCGCCTCCTCGGTCGCAGACGGTACCAGCAGCGTCAGCAGACTCTCCTTCGGCATCCCGACCCGCGAAGGCGGCGGCAGCAGCAGACCCTCCAGCCGCGCCTCCGTCACCTCGGGCCTGCAACCACGCCCATCCTCGCGCAGCAGCATGTCCGGCGCCCGCACGCCCCTCGGCCACTACGCGTCCTCCTCCATCTCGGGTGTCGACGGCCGCATCGCGCCGCCGCGCCCGCGCTCGTCAATGAGCGGCACCTACGCGCACTCCCACGGGCACTCGCAGTCCCTCTCCATGGCGTCCTCGGTTATGCGGGAGAGCTCTGAGGACGCGGGCAGTGATGGCAGCGCGGGACTCAGGACGCCGATGCCCAGGCGGACGAGCACGGCGGGTGCGGGCAGCGCGATTCCGACGCCGAGTGGGTTGCCCAGGCGGCAGAGCGCGGGGCGGAGGATTAGCGCGGGCGGGGAGGGCGAGATGGGGCCGCCGGAGCGGCCGCCGCTGGGGGTGGGGAGGAGTCGGAAGTTGAGTGATTTGGGGGAGACGTATTAGAGGGTGGAGGGTGGAGCGGGATCGAGAGCGCACCGCAGAGGAGAGGAGCGGGAGATCAGCTGACTGGGGCCGGCTTTTGAAGAAGAGGTACGGCGGCGATTGGGTCGGGGATTGAGCTGGCCGCTGGATCTGGAGCGGGCTAGGGGCACGGCGGGATTGCAGACGCTACGCTAGTTACGCAGCGGATGAACGAACGGAAGGAAGGAAGGAAGGAAGGAAGGAAGGGAGAAGGGGGGTGGGGGTCACTTTGCACACTATTTTTTCTTCCATTTGTAGATATGGGTCGAGCGGGACTGGGGTGTTGGGGGTGGGGATTGGCACGGGGCTCGCGTATACCTTTCATGCATTTTCGGGAGTCGAGCGGGAGCAGATGGAGGGGTGCGATTAGGGGTGCGAATGTGCATACGAGATTGGGGTTTGGGAGAAGAGGATGAGCGAGGTGGGGAGGAGGGTTGGTAGAAGCAATCTATGATACCACTTTTGATTTTGTGTGGTGTTGACGTGAGGTGAGTGTGTGAGTGAGAGACGTAGGTGTGAGGCTATGAGTTGTTTAGCGGGCGGGAAGTGAGGGTGTGGGTTGTGCTGGTGCGCTATACGCGTGGGTGGGCTGGCTGTCATGACGAGAATGGGGTTAGAGTGTGATTATCTGATGGTCAGGTCTGGACTCCCTATGGTAGTAGATCTGTGCTCGGGGGTGACCTGCAGGCGTGGCCTGATTCTGGTAGGGCTGCGCGCGGGTGCCTGGAGTTGGTCTCAGATCTACGGGGTAGGTGGCAGAATGGGAGGGATGGGCAACTTTGATTTGACTTCAATTCATCAAGGGGTTTTGTGGTAGACAGTTTGAGGGGTATTTTGGTGGTATTCTGTATGGGTCATGGGGGTTCTTGAAGCCATAGGTGTCACTTCCTGCTCTCGAAATCGGGGTTTCTGGAGAGGGTTGAGGAGATTGGCGGGATCGCACTGGCGATGGCTCGTTGATGCGGCGTGCACGGGCCCATGGTGTTGAGTTTCTTGCAGATGTTCTCACGTGGAGCTTTTCTTTTGCTCAATATGCTACGAATTGCGAACCATGATTGATGCCTTCGGAAATGCTACTATGAGCATCAGGAATTCCACTGTCTCCCCGCTATTGAAGGGCTGAGATTTTAGTGCTGAGATGCTGTCAGATGCAGCTTACACAGTACTCCGGGCGCATCGAAGAAAGACGAGAGTCCATCGCGAGCCCATCCCAAGTTACTCTGTGCCGTCTTGAGCTTACCTGCCCCTATGAGATACCGCTGAATCGTGAAGCAGCCACGCATCCATTCTTCAAGATATTGATGACATCGGCGTCCCGCTCGGCATCATCAACCTGTACGAGGACGGGAGAGCTACCCGGAACCAGGCTGGCAGGGCTATTTCAAGACCTGACTTGCATCGCTTCCATTGTGGCGCTGGCTTATTACCTCTTCGCACGCGCATCCGTGATTGGCCGGGGCACTGGCACAACCGTGGGGATGGGGACGGAGTCCGAAGGGCATGGGAGTGGAGACCCGAGTGCTGCAATTTGCCAATTGAGGCTTGCGCGGACCTCCTCCCTCAGGAAAAGGGATGCGCTTGGCAGCGAAGTGGGTGGGCAGTTCCCGGTCGGGTTCCTGAAGACAGCGGCCGGAGTGGTGCGGTGCTTGACGGCCTGCCGGTTCGTGATGCGATCTGCTAGATGCTGGGATGAGGATGGACGGCGCTAGTTGCGGGTTGCTGCAGCCACACTTTTGTTGGACAGCGACGTGCAGCAGATACCGGACGTCTTGCTCAGGGCCATGGCAGTCGCAGGAGGGAGGACTGGTGGAGTTGTGTCTGCGGACGGATGGGACGGCCTGTTATTCATGTTGTCTCTGGCATTGGGACGCAGGCATCAGTGGCGCTGTTGGCCGGCGGGATGGCTTCCCCAACGTCAGTGAGAGGCTGGCGCAGGGGTCTTCTCCGCAATCATCGCCGCGCCGTCTCAACAACTTTGCGGTGTTCACCCAGGAGGACTTTGGGCAGTTGCAGCAATTGCGCCTGGAGCTGCGTCGACAGCGGACAATCAATATGTATGCCGTCAGTGGCTCCCCGGCGGCGTCGCATTCGTCTTCGGGATCAGTCTTCGGCCAGGTCGGCAGCCGATTGCACTGTGGCTGCGGTGCGGTCCCACGCACGGAGGTTTCGGTGAAGCATTGAGGGCAGGCCAGCGCGCCTTACCGCAGTCGGCAGCGTTGGCGATGCTCTGCGCCGGCTTCAGCTCAACAGCTCGGGAGAGCTTGGGGGTCGCCGTAATTAGCGTGCATTGGCAAGGCGCCGTGCGAGGGTCAAGGTGTCCGAGAGAATCTGCGATTGAATAAATACACTCGCCAACAGCCCGCCGCCCGAGTTGTCCAGTCCGTCTGACATTCCTCGCTGCCGCTCACACTTTTCCCGCCGCGTCCCTGTCATCCCCCCTCCTCCCCTTCGACGTGTCTTCTTCCAACACTATCAGATTTTATTACGACGCCCGGGCGCCCTTCCGGTTGCTTCTTCTCCCCGAAGCGACTGCGACGGCTATAGACTTCTTCTCTACCTAATAATTGCTTCACGCGTCCTCCCGCGTGATTCCCCGAGCCAGATCTACAATCCCGATTCGCCCGTCGTCACTCTGGCGCCGCTCTCCCTCTAAACGGCAGTAGCTTACAGCGCCCCCTCTCCCTCCTTCCCAACGCCCAAATCTTCTTCACTGATTGAAAACTCGGTGGATGGGGCTCACTACCAACACAATGGCCGGCGCTGCTTCCAATGGCGTCAACGGGACCCATACCAATGGCACTCCCTCCTCCGCCGCTGCAAAGTACGACCTGCCAGCTCATTTCATCGGCGGAACACATCTCGCGGTTGCTTCGCCAGGAAAGGTGAAGGACTTTGTGGCTGCTCATGGCGGTCACACGGTCATTACGAATGTGAGCCACTTTTCTCCTTGTTTGTAGATGATTCGCATTGTGGGAGAAGTTCTACGGATGGGTGATATGTAGAGTTGGGGTGCAACAATAGCTGACGCCTGAAATAGGTTCTCATTGCAAATAACGGAATCGCGGCCGTCAAGGAGATCCGCTCAGTACGGAAATGGGCATACGAGACATTCGGCGATGAGCGGGCGATCCAGTTCACCGTCATGGCCACACCGGAGGACTTGCAAGCCAACGCGGAGTACATCCGTATGGCGGACAAGTACGTTGAGGTGCCGGGAGGCACCAACAACAACAACTACGCAAACGTCGAACTGATCGTCGACGTTGCGGAGCGGATGGATGTACAGGCTGTGTGGGCAGGATGGTGAGTTTGGCTCGAAGTTTTGGAATATTGAGACTTAGTAAACTAACTGCTATCAGGGGACATGCCTCAGAAAACCCAAAACTCCCCGAGTCGCTCGCTGCCTCCCCCAAGAAGATTGTCTTTATCGGTCCACCCGGTTCCGCTATGCGGTCACTCGGGGACAAAATCTCCTCCACAATCGTCGCACAACACGCAAAGGTGCCCTGTATCCCGTGGTCAGGAGAGGGTGTGGACGAGGTCGAGGTCGACAAGAACGGAATCGTGACTGTTCCTGACCATGTATACGCAAAGGGCTGCACAACCTCGCCAGAAGAAGGCCTGTTGATGGCGAGAAAGATCGGCTTCCCCGTCATGGTCAAGGCTTCAGAAGGAGGTGGAGGCAAAGGCATCCGAAAGGTCGACTCGGAGGAAGGCTTCGAACAGCTCTACCGTGCTGCTGCTAGCGAAATTCCCGGCTCGCCCATCTTCATCATGAAGCTTGCGGGAAGCGCTCGACATTTAGAAGTCCAGCTTTTGGCCGATCAGTACGGCAACAACATCTCTCTTTTCGGCAGAGATTGTTCCGTGCAGCGACGTCATCAGAAGATTATCGAGGAGGCCCCAGTCACAGTTGCAAACCAGAAGACTTTCCACGAGATGGAAAAGGCCGCGGTTGCTCTAGGAAAGTTGGTTGGTTACGTGTCTGCTGGTACCGTCGAATACCTCTACTCCCATGCGGACGACAAATTCTACTTCCTGGAACTCAACCCGCGTCTCCAGGTCGAGCATCCGACTACGGAAATGGTCAGCGGTGTGAACTTACCCGCTGCCCAGCTCCAGATTGCGATGGGCCTCCCTCTACACCGCATTCGTGACATTCGACTTCTCTACGGTGCCGATCCCCATTCGGCCACCGAGATTGATTTCGACTTCACCAAGGAGGGCAGCGCGCAGAACCAGCGTCGACCCACTCCCAAGGGACACACCACCGCCTGCCGTATCACATCCGAAGATCCGGACGAGGGTTTTAAGCCATCGAGCGGTACTATGCACGATCTCAACTTCCGAAGTAGCTCAAACGTCTGGGGTTACTTCTCCGTTGGTACTGCCGGTGGTATTCACAGCTTCTCTGATAGTCAGTTCGGTCATATTTTCGCTTATGGCGAGAATCGACAAGCGTCGCGGAAACACATGGTTGTTGCGCTAAAGGAACTCAGCATTCGTGGTGATTTCCGAACTACCGTCGAATACCTCATTAAACTTTTGGAGACCCCGGCTTTCGAAGACAACACCATTACAACTGGCTGGCTCGACGAGCTCATCTCCAAGAAACTTACTGCTGAGCGACCTGATCCTATGATTGCCGTCATTTGCGGTGCTGTCACCAAGGCTCATGTGGCTAGCGATGCGTGCATGACAGAGTACCGGACAAGCTTGGAGAAGGGTCAGGTTCCGGCGAAGGATGTTCTCAAGACTGTCTTCCCCATCGATTTCATATACGAAGGCCAGCGATACAAGTTCACTGCTACGCGATCCAGCATTGACAGCTACACTCTCTTCATCAACGGATCAAAGTGCGCAGTTGGCATTAGGGCTTTGACCGACGGTGGACTCTTGGTTCTGCTTAACGGCAAGTCCCACAACGTGTACTGGAAAGAAGAGGTTGGAGCCACTCGCGTCAGTGTAGACGGCAAGACCGCTCTTCTCGAGCAGGAGAACGACCCCACTCAGCTCAGGACGCCCAGCCCTGGTAAGCTGGTCAAGTTCACAGTGGAGAATGGCGAACACATCAAGAAAAACCAAGCCTATGCGGAAGTTGAGGTCATGAAGATGTACATGCCTTTGATCGCCGCAGAAGATGGTGTCGTCAATCTCATCAAGCAACCCGGAGCCGTGCTCGAGGCCGGTGACATTATCGGTATATTGGCTCTGGATGATCCCAGCAAAGTCAAGTCTGCGCAACCGTTCTTGGGATTACTACCAGATTTCGGCCCGCCACAGGTCATGGGTAACAAGCCACCTCAACGATTCACGTACCTCAATGGCGTGCTCCAAAACATCCTACAAGGTTTTGACAACCAGGTCATCATGCAGAGTACCCTCAGGGAGCTTCTCGAGGTCCTCCGTGACCCGGAGCTTCCTTACGGCGAGTGGAATGCTCAAGCATCTGCTCTCCACGCACGCATGCCCCAGAAGCTTGACACCACCCTCTCGCAGATTGTGGATAGGGCACACAGCCGAAAGTTGGAATTTCCCGTCAAGCAACTTACCAAGGCCTTTCAGAAGTTCTTGGAAGAGAATGTTTCGCCTAACGATGCGGACTTGCTGAAGTCATCCCTGACACCTCTTACCGACGTCATTGCCCGCTACGCCGACGGTTTGAAGGTCCACGAGTACGCCATCATGACCAAGCTCATCGACATGTATACCGACGTGGAGAGCCTCTTCTCCTCTCGCACCTCAAGAGACGAGGAGGTCGTTCTCAAGCTCAGAGATGAGAATAAGGAGAGCATCATAAATGTCGTCCACACAGTTCTCTCACACACCAGGGTCAGCGCTAAGAACAACCTCATCCTTGCCATTTTGGAACTGTACAGGCCCAACAAGCCTGGCGTTGGCAACGTTGCTAAGTATTTCAAGAGCACTTTGAAGAAGCTTACAGAGCTCGAGTCTCGCCAGACTGCCAAGGTCTCGCTGAAGGCTCGTGAAGTGCTGATCCAATGTGCCATGCCATCTCTCGAAGAGCGTACTTCACAGATGGAACACATCTTGCGGTCATCTGTCATCGAGTCCAGATATGGAGAGAGCGGTTGGGACCATAGAGAACCAGACTTTGATGTCATCAAGGAGGTCGTGGACTCCAAGTACACCGTCTTCGATGTGCTGCCGCAGTTCTTCGCTCACTCCGACCCATGGGTTGCTCTCGCTGCGCTTGAGGTTTACACCCGCCGCGCATATCGTGCGTATCAGCTGAAGGAGATCAACTACCACACCGACAACGAGACGCCTTTTATTCTCTCCTGGGACTTCTCGCTTCGCAAGGTTGGCGAGTCGGAATTCGGCCTCCCGGTCGAATCGTCTCATCCTTCAACGCCGGGTACACCGGGCAGCTCAGCTGGGTTTCCGAATCGTATTCATTCCATCAGCGATATGACTTACCTCCAGTCCCGCATGGATACAGAGCCCACGCGCAAGGGTGCAGTCGTTCCAATTGAATTCCTTGATGATGCTGAGGAATACCTCAGCAAGGCTCTGGAGGTCTTCCCATCCACGGCTCCCCGCAAGAAGACATCGAATGCCGGTCTGATGGCCGACTTGTCCAAGGCACGCAAGCCCAGCGCCAATCCGGGAACCAAGATCGAGAACGAGGATGAGTTGACTGGTGTCTGTAACATTGCAGTCCGCGACTCTGAGAGCTTCGACGACGCTGAGATTCTCGAGCGCCTCCTTCCAGTCGTCAAGGAATACGCAGAGGAGTTGTTCGCAAGGCGGATTCGACGTCTCACGTTCATCTGCGGCCACAAGGATGGAACTTACCCAGGATACTTCACCTTCCGCGGGCCGAAGTACATCGAAGACGAAAGCATTCGTCACATCGAGCCTGCTCTTGCTTTCCAACTTGAACTTGGCCGTTTGAACAAGTTCCACATCAAGCCGGTCTTCACCGAAAATCGGAATATCCATATTTACCAAGCGACTGGCAAAGGTGCTGAAAGCGACAAGCGATACTTCACTCGTGCTGTTGTCAGGCCTGGCCGTCTTCGGGAGGATATTCCTACTGCAGAGTACATGATCTCTGAAGCTGATAGGCTCATGACGGATATCTTGGACGCCATGGAAATCATCGGTGACAACCAGGCTGATATGAACCACATCTTTATCAACTTCTCAACCGTCTTCCCTCTCGAACCTTCAGAAGTTGAGGAGGCTATTGCTGGTTTCTTGGAACGATTCGGCCGTCGTCTTTGGAGGCTCCGTGTCACTGGTGCCGAAATTCGCATCATCTGCACTGACCCAGCTACTGGCGTTCCCTACCCTCTCCGTGTTGTCATCACGAACACATCCGGTTACATCATCAACGTTGAGATGTATGTGGAGCGCAAATCGGAGAGGGGCGGTCAATGGCTCTTCCACAGCATTGGTGGAACCACGAAGATTGGCTCCATGCACTTGCGACCCGTTTCAACTCCCTACCCAACCAAGGGTGCTCTACAGCCGAAGCGATACAAGGCTCACATCATGGGTACTCAGTACGTCTACGACTTCCCTGAGCTCTTCAGACAGGCCGTGGAGAACAGCTGGACGAGCGCTGTTTCCAAGCATCCGTATCTCAAGGAGAAGCAACCTACCAAGGGCGAGTGCATCGAGTACTATGAGCTTGTTCTTGACGACAACGAGCAGCTGGCTGAAGTTAACCGCGAGCCCGGTGCCAATATAATTGGTATGGTCGGCTGGATTTTGACAGTGAAGACTCCAGAGTATCCCCGGGGCCGACGCTTCATCATCATCGCCAACGATATCACCTTCAAGATTGGTTCCTTTGGCCCACAGGAAGACAAGTTCTTCCACAAGTGCTCTGAGCTCGCTCGCAAGTTGGGCATCCCCAGAATTTACCTGTCTGCCAACTCGGGTGCCCGTATCGGTCTTGCAGAAGAGCTGATTCCTCACTTCTCCGTCGCCTGGAAGGACCCGACCAAGCCAGAGTCTGGCTTCGACTACCTGTACCTTACCGAGGAGAAGCACAAGCACTTTGTTGATGGCCAGAGAAAAGATGTGCTCACGGAGGCGATCAAGGTTGACGGTGAAGTTCGACACAAAATCACCACTATCATTGGTCAAGAGGATGGCCTCGGTGTTGAATCCCTACGTGGATCTGGTTTGATTGCTGGTGAGACTTCAAGGGCTTACGATGATATCTTCACTATCACTTTGGTCACTTGTCGGTCTGTTGGTATGTATCACCCGCTTTTTCTTAATACTTCGCTAATCTATCTCTTCAGGTATCGGCGCTTACCTTGTACGCCTTGGTCAACGTGCTATTCAGATCGAGGGCCAGCCCATCATCCTGACTGGTGCTCCTGCCATCAACAAGCTGCTTGGCCGAGAAGTCTACACTTCTAACCTGCAACTTGGTGGCACTCAGATCATGTACAAGAACGGTGTGTCGCATATGACTGCCAATGATGACTTCGAGGGTGTCTCGAAAATCGTCAAGTGGATCTCGTATGTGCCCGACAAGAAGGGCAACCCCGTCCCCATCTCGCCTACCACTGACGACTGGGACCGCGATGTCACTTTCTTCCCACCACTTAAGGCGCCTTATGATGTGAGGCACTTGATCGCCGGTAAGGAAGAATCAGAGGGATTCCTATCTGGTCTATTCGATCGCGACTCCTTTGAGGAGACTCTTGGTGGATGGGCCAGGACAGTCGTCGTTGGCCGTGCTCGTCTAGGCGGCATTCCCGTTGGTGTCATTGGCGTTGAGACCCGATCAGTCGAGAATGTTACCCCAGCTGATCCTGCCAATCCGGATTCCATCGAACAAGTCACCTCCGAGGCTGGTGGTGTCTGGTATCCCAACTCAGCATACAAAACGGCCCAGGCCATCCGCGACTTCAACAACGGCGAGCAGCTCCCTTTGATGATCCTTGCCAACTGGCGGGGTTTCTCCGGTGGCCAGCGCGACATGTACAACGAGGTCCTCAAGTACGGCTCCATGATCGTCGACGCTCTCGTCAAGTACGAGCAGCCCATTTTCGTCTACATTCCCCCCAACGGCGAACTCCGTGGTGGCTCCTGGGTCGTCGTCGACCCGACCATCAACGCGCAATACATGGAAATGTACGCCGACGAAGACTCCCGCGGCGGTGTCCTCGAGCCCGAGGGCATTGTGGGTATCAAGTTCAGGAAGGACCGCCAGCTCGAGACCATGGCCCGCTTGGACCCGACCTACGGCGACCTCAAGCGCAAGCTCAACAACGCCGCGACCCCGCAGGCCGAGCTCGCCAGCATCAAGGCCAAGATGACGGAGCGCGAGCAGCTCCTCCTCCCCGTCTACGCGCAGGTCTCGCTGCAGTTCGCTGACCTCCATGACCGTGCGGGTCGCATGCATGCGAAGGGCACTATCCGCTCTGCGCTCCGCTGGCAGAACGCTCGTCGCTTCTTCTACTGGCGTCTTCGTCGCCGTCTCAACGAGGAGTACATCCTCAAGCGTGTTGCGCTTGCGGCAGCTCCTTCCTCCAACGGTGCAACCGTCTCATCACCTGACCCAGCTATGCGGGCGAGGGGCTTGGAGATGCTGAAGGCGTGGAGCCAGATCCCGAAGTTCGACACGGACGATCGGAGTGTCGCGGTGTGGTATGAGGAGCACCGGAAGGAGGTACACAACAAGGTTGAGGGCCTGAAGAGAGAAGGTGTGGCGATGGAGGTGGCGAGTTTGTTGAGGAGGGATCGTGAGGGCGGGTTGAGGGGAGTTGTGCAGATGCTGGCGACGCTGCCGACGGGGGAGAAGGAGGAGGTGCTTAAGGCGCTTGCGAGGGCGTAGAGAGGGAGAGGTTGAGAGTGGAGATTGTATAAAATTTCTTAGTTGTGTTTTGTTTGAGAGAGCAGTGTGGGTTTGAAATGGGAGTTTGGGTGGGATGGGGGTTGTGTATCATTGTTAGCGTGTTCATTTGATTGAGTTTCTTCATTCCTGGGGTTGTTTTGTTGGTGACATTTTGGAATGGTAGATGGAATCACGTCTTCCTGAATTATCCCAGTCACCTTGCAGTGAGTGATAACGAGTTTCGTGCTTAGTAGGTATAGTTACTAAAAATCGCCTTTATAAGTATCTAGGATTGTGTTAATATTTTTAAACGTTTCATAATAATCTTTCAGGATATTACATTGCTAATAGTAACTTCTTAACGTCCTTAAGTGTATATTCAAGTTGTTGCACCGTTCTATATACTCCTTAAGGTTTTGGCGGAGACATTTTTAATGACACACGCGAATCTATAGCGATCCTTGCACACCTCACAGGTAATATCTGCAAGGCTGACTGCGGCAGAGTTTATACCAAAAACCTTAGCCATAATTATAGACCTTCCGGATTAGGGCGGACCCGAGCTGGGGGGCTCTGCTAGAACGGGAAGCTCTGCAAGACGCAGGTATTATGCGCATACCTTAGTAAACGCGGAGTAAGTTAAAACTGGAAGCTGCGGGAGGTTGGGCGCTCTTATTACCAAGGCATCCTCAGCCTCGTGTAACAGGGCAAAGCCACGAACACTAGAAGGCAGCCCAAGGCAGCCCAAGTGTTGTATATGGTTGTTTCTATCCGGGAGAAAGCGATGGAACTCTAAACAAGCTCGTGCATGAGCTTGTTTAAACGCGCGAGAGAACCAGCGAGCACTAAGAAATCTATTTCTTCTGGCTTGCTATTCTAGCTTTTGTATGAGGCTCGCATGTAGAAGGCAGCTACGTAGCTTCCTCCTTCCTCATACGCAGGCTCTCGTTGCCTCGCACGTTTGTCGCCTCACGCGTTGTTCGCACTAATGTCCGTTCATTCACACCCTCTCTCCCTACAACCCCTCAGTGTTGTAATTAGTTGTATTTCCTTACTCCTCACAGTCATAGCGGACGGGTATGTATGCCGCAAATGTATGTACTGGTTTTTGGCCCACGGCAACTCATTATACGTAGTAAGAGCCTGGCTGGCACGCCAGAGCGCAGCATCTAGGTCCTACTACGTATGAAAAACCACCAAAGCTCTCCTAAAGGAGGCACCATCCAAGGGTGGTAGGCGGGTGAAGCTCAATGCTGTGCAGCCGGTGCTGGAAAGGACCACCAGCGAAGGCCTCCGTCGAGGCCTTACGCGCGGTGGTGAGCAGGAGGAAGGGGGAGAGTGATCGAGCCGTGTTTGTAGAACTCGGCTAGCTCCACGCACGTGATGCGCTGGAAATACACCCATCATCCATAGCTTCTGCAGTGACTGCAGCATTTCTAGCCAGTCCCTTGGCCCTCACAAGCATGCAGAATCGTACGCAGGTGTCGGCCTGGTCTGTAGACAGGTGAGCAGCCAAGATGACGAGCTGGTGCCCAGCTGAGCCTTTGCGAAGTCCTTTACGAGCATCGTGATGCATAGATGACGCCCATTTTTAGACCAAATCAAAGGGTGGCGCCGTTTCGGCATAACGGCCATCCGGCGAATGAGCAAAGGACAAGATTAAACCGAGCTAAGCTGGAGAGGTGAGGTGAGGTTGTGCTTCCTGAGCAAGTGGCAGCTCGTGCCAGTTGCTCGCTTCCACATGACAGGATCTACGCGTTGCTTGGGCTTTTTCCACCGTCCGTGTCAGGTATTGTGACGATTGATTACAGTCGGGAGATAGCAGAGGTGATTGCTGAGTTTTCTTCTGCCGTCTCTCAATAGATCGGCCGAATTGGAGATAAGCAAACGGTGTCCGCCGTTGGGGGAGGCTGATAACAGAGAGGAGTTCCATGGGACTGCGAGCGAAGGAGGGGAGCCTTACGAAAGTTAAGGATGGCGAGAATGTAGGAGTTGTTGGCGGACGAAGTGATGACTAGCAGCATAGCCGTGCTTCCTGGGCGCCTTCTACATCTCTTGGCGGCTGGCTGCTTCAACATGGCACCGAATCTAGCTCGCTCAGGACGCTAGCGCTGCTATTGTAATGGTGCGAAGTGTTGGCCTTCAGGAACAGTACGTTCGGCCAGAGATTCGAGTTGGTACAAAATCAGAGAATCAGAGCTAATGTCCGTCCCTGGGTTGCGGAAACCCACCGTGCCGCAAAATATGAGGGGTACCTTAACTTTAAGCGACTATAGCTCTGCGCACATGTTGATACTTCCTATGCTTTGGTATAAATCATGTGCTATGGCTACTTTTAAACATTCGGGAGCCCTCCTACCTATAAATTACGCTTTGCATCATCGCCTTTACGCCTGATTTGCGGAGAGCATCCTTTTATAGCATAATAGAGTTCCTTTATTATAGTACTATAAAAGGGCCTTATCTAAGCTTTAGAGCCTTACTATTATACTAGGAAGTCTTTATTAGCCTTATGGCTGATATCGCATGCAAATTCATTTAAAGTCACCGCGCTAATTGGTACCTCTAACCGATGCGATCACCAATCCAACCAGTGCGAAACAGCCTACATAATCATCACTATGTAACTTAATTTACTTATAGTGGCTATTAGACTTGTGGCTGTGCGCAGTCTTAGTAAGCAGGCCGACCTCAGCCCTGCCGCTTTGCAATCCAACTCAACCTTGGCCATGCCTTTAGTCAACTGAGTCAACTCTCTGAAATACCTATAGAATTCGCCACCTTACAAGGGTGTGGCCGGTGCGGCTCGGCTGTCCTCCCTAACTATAGCAGCGAGATCTAGTAGCAAATTATTCTCATTACTACTAAGTATTACTAGTAAGCATGCTTACGTAGCTTAACTGTAAGACGAAATGTCACGGCAGGGGGCTTGACGATGGAATCGATGATAATCGGCTGTACCGGTATGTCGAATGACAATAGAGAGACGAATCCTTAAGGAAGCGCGGAGAGCGCTCCAGAGAGGATTCGGATGTGGGCGTGGGCCTTTGGCGAGCACGTGCTGCGAGGCACGTAATACGCATGCGGTCGCAGGCGTCTCGCAGGGCTCACGCAACTATATACTGGGTGGTGCATCTCGCACCTCACAGCAGCTCAGTTTTTAGCTGCCACCGGTCTGACCTCTCCTGGACGAAGCAAAATGCAACATGTATAGAAAAGAACACCAGCCTCCCAGCATCTCAAGTCCTAGCCCAGTAATATTTTGAAATTCTGACTACGGTATCCACTTTCAAGTAAGGTCAACGAATTGAACCTCAAGTCTAGGTTTAGGCCGAGGGTATGATGTTTGTTAGGGTAAAGAAAAATATTCCGACATGTTATACCAGAGTCACTGTCTCCAACTTGAAATCATCCTCCTTCCATCGGTATCCTCGCACGACTCCTATTCGGCCATATTTACCTTGCCCATACTTTTCAAGAAGCAGTCCATAGGTTCGCGTCAATTGAAGCACATGAACACGAGGATTCGCCATTCCAAATCGTTCCCAAGGAAAGTCTAGCGTGGCCCAAGCAAATTCTTTTCGCAGCTCATCCGTGCTTTGCCAATATTGTACCCCCTGTTTTAGTTTTTCCAGGGAGATCCGTACACCTTTTGGGAGAGATACCTGTTCGTACCATGGAGGTAGTAGCGGTTGGTACCCACGAATTGCAGACCAGTCAATCTCTTTCACGTACCCTTCTACTGTTATTCTCGAGCCACCGTCCTGGAAATTAAACCGCAAGATACTGGGCACAGTTTGATACTCATGATCAATGACTGGGCGCATACTGCGAGTATCTTCCATAAACGGCGGATTTAGGTTTCGTCATTCTGTGAGCAGGGCTGCACTGGCCCCTTGATAGATAGCCAAGACCAAGATGGAATGATTAGGTCTTTACCGCGGTGTAAAGGAGACCTAATCCAAGAGTCTGACCTTCTGTTGCGTCTCTCCCAGAGCAAGCCACGAACTATGTCTTCCTGCCACAGGCCATGGTAGTAATTATAACCAGTAATGAGCTTGACATGATTTACCAATCCTTGGATTGCGACAGGACGATCCGTCTCATAAGTTAAAGAGCGTGTCGAATAGTCAGTCATGGCAGTGTACCAATTGCAAAGAATTCGCTTGACTTTGTCCCTGTCGGCTCCGATATCAACCAGACGGGTTTGATAATGTCCTGGTTTGGCTTCAGAATGAGGAGGACCAAACTCCTGAGGCCCTCCAAGAGCACCCATATAGCAGCAACACTCCCACATCATCATACCGGACTCCATGAAATGGAAGATTCGCGGCGATAGCTGGCGTTCCTGGAGGCACCAACCGCGAGTCCCAAGTTCGCCACCTTCTAAAAAGCCTTTCCATATTTCGCCCGTATCTTTCCATTTACGAGAGGCGAAATAGTCGGCAACCCAGCCATGGGATGAAAGCTCTTGTGAGTAGCCGCATTTCGACCAAAGAGGTCGATCCGGTGACTCTCTGATATTAATAGCTATCGTGCAGAACGCGTTGCGGTAAATAAGAGCCATCTGTTTAGGTTGGACGTCCCAGTCCTCTTTCGAGTCATCCAAAACTTAGCTTTCAATCTAGAATCGTCATTGCACTGGCATACCTGTATGATGCAGAGTGAATCAATCCAAATATAGCGAGTACCCAACCATCGGCAAGCACCTATTGCAAACTTGAATGTCTTTGACAACCTTTCCTCCTCAATCCGCTCCAGCTTTTTATTCAAAGAGTCATTTGTTGTTCGAATATCCATTTGATGCAAATCCTGCGGTGTAGGCCATCTGTGACTTAACGCTATGTACCTCTTATCGACCATCTCAGTATCCGCGGTAACAATTAAGCGAGGACTGAGCTGATCGGTCCCATTGCCAATGTCGACGAGACGAGTTGGTAGAGCTGCATGATCACTATGATGGGTCCAAGAGTTGCAGTCATCATGAGATTCAAGACACCATTTAAGCCATTGCTTCGGTTCATCCGGATAGAAGTGCGAGAATGTGATCCCACGTATAGTTGACCACGGGTGACTGACTTCTTTCGGTGGATAACTTGTCCGTTCTTCCGATACATAGTCAACGTATTGATCCAGCATTGGGTGGAGAGCTGTCATATCTGTAAACGAGCCACCGGTGGGTTTCTCCACTCGTGGCGACTTCTCGGCATATTTCTTGCAAAAGATCTTATGGCGAGGCCAATCGGTCGCTTGGCATTCTTTGGAGCAATATCTAATGCTTCGGCAACGAGCGCAGAGCGATGTGGATTTCGAGGTGCAAATAACGCAGTCAGTCGAGGCGTCGGAAGAACTCTGATCTTCAGCCATGGAGAGGCCTTGTGTCTTGAACGCGGCGGGGAGTATGAGCTTCCAGGAGATGATATGCTGATGTCGAGAATCGAAGTGCTGCAAGCAATGATGGAATGTGAGAATGGTCAGAAATATGACATCCAAGGTAACTCACGCTCGCCGTCACGAAAAGTGAGACTTTGAAGCACCGTGCGCCTCGCTAAGCGGAGTCTCACTTTTTGTGACGGCGAGCCTGCCCGATCTCCTCTCCTCCCCGGATAATCCTATTTGGGTAGTAAGGATCACACCAACCTCCAAAAACCAAGCTATGATCGATGTCTGTCTCGCGATTACGATTACGTAGGTAGGCATAATTTGGTGAATCGTTGAGTATTATTTTATGATTTGCGAAGGAGACTGGTGTATACTTCATAGATATGTTCGAGAAAAGCTGGAGTAACGGATAGCTACAATTTGCTACATCGCTATCCCTCACAACGTGTTGAAGCTGATGTCCGTCTCAGGTCCTTTACTCAAGCTTTTGCCTCAATGACTGCTTTTCAAGAACGCAAGAATCCCCTCAACCACGATTTCCGGCTGCTCCTGCTGGGGCCAATGTCCCGCATGCTCTACAAACTTAACCCCACGAAACTTGGAGCATGCGCTATCTAGGTTCTCCAGCGCCCCAGGCTGCTGATAGTTTCCCCAATCCTTCTCCCCACTCAGAAACAGCGCCGGTACCTCAATCTTCCTCCTGGAAAAAAGCTCCATATCCCTCGCCATCTTCGGATCCGTCTGGCTCCGATACCAATTCAACCCCCCTTGAAACCCAGTCCGCCCCCACTCTCTCACATAGACATCCAAATCCTCCTCCGACATCCATCTCGTCGTCTTCTTCTCATCCTCACCCTCCATTAACTCCGCCACAACCTCCGGCATCGAGGAGTGGAAAGGCATAATGTAATACCCCGGCATCTTCGCCAACTCCCCCGCCTCCCACGCCGCGAGCGGATGCGGCTTATTACCCTCCCAATCAGCGCTCTTAAGGTGCAGATACCCGCGCAGGAACTCATGCAAGCCCTGCCCCGGACACGCCCAATTAATCGGCGCAAGCGAGGTGGAATTATACCACTTATAATGCTTCCGTGGCTCCGGCAGCGACGCGAGCTCCTTCTGAATATCCCTCGCCTCCTCAATCTCCGCATCCGGATCACGGATATTGAACGGCAGCGGACCAGGCTCTTTAAACGGGTGGCTCATCGTCACGACCCGCTCGAACAGATCCGGCCGCATAAGCGCGCACATGCTCGCCACGACGGCGCCGAAGTCGTGCCCGATCACGCAGTGCACCTTCGCGTAGCCGAGCGCGGAAACGAGGATGACCATGTCGCGCACGACATTGGTCATGGTGAACTGGGACAGGTCGACGGCGGAGAAGGAGGACTCGTCCCAGCCGGTCGTGCGGCCGTAGCCGCGTTGGTCCGGGGCGACGACGCGGTAGCCGCCGGCGGCGAGGGGGAGCATGGTTTTGCGCCAGGAGAAGGCGAGCTCGGGGAAGCCATGGAGAAGGAGCAGGAGGGGTTTTTTCGGAGTGCCGGCTTCGAGGATGTGGTAGGTTAGGGAGTTGGAGGGGCAGTGGATGTAGGACTGGGAGATGCCGGGGGGGAGGGGGAGGGGCGCGAGTCTTTGGGTGCTGGATTTGGAGGACATGGTTGGGGGGTGGAGTGGGATGGAGTATAGCAGAAATGATGTGTAGATTTGAATTTGAGTGATGGATGATGGAAACGATCCCTTGCGGAAGTTTGGAGACAAGTTGAAAGTAAGAAAGGACGAATTGATTCTAGTGGCACAAAAGCCGCGATTGTCGAACTGCCGTTAGAGGACTCGTTAACGGCTCGTAGTATGCTGTGTATGATGCTGTCTCTTGGCTAGATTCGTAGAGTGCAAAAAGACAGCAAGCGTGTTGGAGTGGGATGTTGGTTATCTTCATCGTCAGTTCAGGTGAGTCTGTGGAATGATCGCCAGCACAACCGAATAGGGGTAATAGACATCGAGCTTAAAATAGGACAGTCTCACGAAACCTATCTATTCAGGCGGGCCACATCGTTCAAGGGAGATACGATGTTGAGTGGTCCAGTCAAATAGACTTTCGTTGAAAAGTTCTCCAGTCTATTCACTGTCGATTTTAGTAGTGTCAAGAATTGACCTTCCTGAAGAATTGCAGGATCAATAGCGTTCAGTACTCCGAGTCATGGTCACACATCGAGAACGACGAGGTCGACCAAGCGAAGGTCTCTCATCTGGACAGTCACGGGAGCGTATTTGATACTATTAGTTTACTAGTGTCTATTGAGCCAGACAGTTAGGGATTCATCAAGGCGCGAGCTATGCTATGGAAGTTCATCACCTTAGCATTATCAACTGGGATATTAGATGGTTCAAATTCTTCCTAATTCGTTGCTGCGCATATTGGGACATTCCAGGGCTACTTACAGTCGGTTCTTCTTCCATGCGTAGCTCAGAAGGCACTTGAATCAGGACCTCGATACATTAGACCTTCACAAACTCCCAAACAAGCCCATCATTGCCCCCATCCCCGATCTTCGCCAATTTCTCCACCCCATGCTCTTTCTTGATACCCACGTGCCAGAGCCTCTCAAAATGCGTCATTAGCAGGACATATCCCCCCTCCGGCCTCAATCTAACGCAGAAGTTCTCCCATCCTTGATGCCGCCCGGCTGCGCAGCGCAAGTTCCCCTTGTCATCATGACCCAACAGGCGACCCGAGGCTTTGTTCCGGAAACCGAGCCAGCCTTTCGTCTCCATGCATACCCAGTGGATGGAGCCGCGGCCGCCTATTGGGGCCAGGATGATCTGTCCGTCGACCAGCGTGATCACGTGGCCAGATGAGGTTGAACGGATGATAAAGGTGGAGCCCGGCCAAGGAACAGAGGAGTTGGTCTTGATGTCGCCAAATGCATAGTCTTCGTCCATGAGGTCGGCTACAACGGTTTCAGGTGGCGTGGCCGCCGTGCAGACGGTGGAGTTGTCGTCGTCCGGGATGGCTTGGGGGTCGATATGATTGAGGACCATGTTGAATGGTTGCTGTGTCGTTTTGATAATCGAGAGACTGTCTATGGTATACTCATGGATATCCTCTAAGAGGAGATGGTTTGAGTTGAGTGCGATCGTGACACTCAGAGGATGTTGTCGATGGGACGCGACGTTGCTCACGCGAGTGGCAGGCGAAAGCACCCTATTGGAATACCTAATTTTAGGGGATTTCGGCCCCCTACCTATACAGAGGTAGCTTCCATCCACCACCGCCCTTCCACTTCTTATCGGCAATAGACTTCACAGTAAATACTTTGCTTCAGCGGGTTTGAGGTCCCTTTAGACTGACTTCGACTGGTGCACTCCTCCGTACCGGCCCTCGGCACGGGGAATATCGAGATAACACACTCGTCAGCCCTCATCTTAGGTCACACTGAAGGATCATCAGTCCGAGCCCCTCAGCCTTACAGTAATCCTGGTTAAGTACTGGATCGGGTGTGCTACAATCGTGCCACATTCTAGTCGTTTCAGCTGCTGCTAGCACATCGGATTCAGCCATTTACAACACTACCATCATCGTCATCGTCATCGTCATCATTCTCGTCCTCACCCGTACATGTTCTGAACAACTTTCAGTACCTATCATGTCTGCTCAAAATTTCGGTCGCAAATTCGGCGACCTGTACTCATCAATCAATCTGGATCATTCCAAGCAAGAAAGCCGGCTGATAGTCCTTCAACCGGGCCATCGCGCCGATCCATTACAATGCATCTTAGAGTCTATCTCCTTATTGAGCAAATCAGAGTATGAAGCTCTCTCATATACATAGGGGAAATCATCCCAACGAAAGACGATCTTAGTAAATGGCCATATTTTCTCAATCACTAAGAACTTAGAAGTTGCCCTACGACATCTTCGAGACCCGCACATACCGCGCAGACTTTGGGTCGACGCAAAATGCATCGACTAGAGCAATATCGAAGAGCGAAATTCCCAAGTTCAGTTGATGTCTACGATATACCGCCAGGCTTCACGCGTACGGATCTGGCTCGGGGATGCGATGATGGACTATTTCAAGGACCTCCAAAACGGGACCGCACAGGAAAGACACCACTGCTACCCAAAGGCGATATTTGCAAAAGAATGGTGGCGCCGTGTCTGGGTACCTCCAGTACAGGAGCTATCCGTAAATCCGAAAGAGCCTCTAGTCGGATATGGCAACAAATGGGTTCTATAGTCATCCCTCCGATTATACGGGCACATTCAAAGGCATCTTGAGTTGAAGCTTGGTCGATACATCCCGGATTCAGACTATCGACGCTTCGAGATGGCAGACAAGATCCGGAATTTCTACCAATCGAGTCCGAACTCGGGGATGCACTACTATCTCCACCATACCGCTGGATCACTGGCCATAGATCGTAGAGACAAGGTGTTTGCTATCTTAGGCCTTGCTACGTTGGGCCAATCGTCATTTATTCCGGACTACACGAAGGCTTTGAGCAGGTCTGCAAGGAAGCTGCCGTGCACATTATCCGCAGTCAAAACTCGCTAAACGTGCTTTGTCACTACCGTACCTTGAAGAAATCGCGGCTTCCTCCTGGCTTCCAAAGTTCATCTCTTCATCTGTTGACGATGACATCGTACCGCTCCTAGTACCAGAAGTGAGGAGTCTCTACGCGGGATCCAGGGCCTTGGCGCCAGTGGTGCACTTCTCGAACGCCCTAAGCCAAATGACGGCTCGGGGTCTGCTTTTCGACACCGTTGGTACCGAAGCAACACCAAGAATTTTCCATGTCCATCAACAATCCACGCTAGCTCCAGATAGATTTCGTCTTCTTGAGGATATATCTGGACCCCCCCTTGGGGAAGAGATACCTGGGAACGACATGCGCTCACAGCTAGACCGGTCGCATTCTGTCTTGCATATACTGATGGGGAATGGCACTGGACCCAAGGCGCTGGAAGACAAGCAAGAAACCGACATTAAAGTCTCATTCGACGAGTGGCAAGATATGTACAATTACTTTTTAGGGCGGCGAACACCCCACCTCCCCTAGGCTTCGATCACGATTCGGAAAGCTGGAGAAATCATTACACGTACCCATTCCGCAAAAAGGCAACTGAGACTTTGAGTGGCGGATATCTATTCACGACCATGACGGGGTTTCTCGGCGCTGGACTCAAAGGTCTTGAAGCTGGCGACGTCATAGCTATTCTTTGTGGCGCAGATGTCCCATTCATCCTTCGTGACAAGGGTGATTACTACGCGTTCCGAGGCGCTTGCCATATCCAAGGCATCATGCACGGAGAGATGGTTGAAATATATGAGCAAGAAAAAGGGAAGCGGATAGGTGTTGAGGAGAAAGACTTCATTCTACATTGAAAAACACCCTTACTAGCTACCTCGCCACTCTTTACAACGCCGAAGAGATGAGGACGTGGGAAGAGGGCTTAGATGAAATTGAGAGCTTCAACTGGAGCACAGAGATCGACAATATCCAGTGGGAGCAAGACAATGGATCTGAAGGCCTTCGCAAGAAGAACACAGCAACGTTACAGTCTACCGTCCCTCCAGAGGTCGAATAGCAGGACACCCGAAATGAGGCCGTGTCTGCTATGATTATCGGCGAGCCTCCAGATCTTGCCTAATTGCGCATCACGGCTGTGCACCCAGCAGACGATGCCAGGACCGCCAGCGCTGACAACTCGGCAGGACGATGATGTCAAGGACGACATCATGCAGAATGATACTCTCCCTAGTCCTCTTCCACCCCTTTTCCTTTCCCATCCCGATTCCACCCTTCATCCCCACATTCCCCGCCTCCCACTTTCAACCCGCTCAAGTACTTGTTCGGCTTGTCAATAGCGGTCCAATTTCCTTCCCCCACCTCACCAATAACTAACTCGCACGTCCTCCGCCCATTGACCGGCCCACCGGGGAAATACGGCCAGTAGAAATGGAAGCCCGCACACGCTGCATCCTTCATACAAGCTAGCGCACACTCGTTTACGCTAAGCACATCACCAATAGGCTTTTTGGCAGTCGGGGGAACAGCAAACTGGTTCGTGCAAGAGAGTTTGAACCTAGACGTTGCTGGATTTCTGGTGAGCGGATCGAGCGATGACGGCGAAAACGGCGTCGGCAGCTGTGGGTCAAATGCCCACACTTGGTTGTCGGAGCCGGGGAGGGGGCACAGCATGCCAGGTCCGAACGCGGCGCTAGTGTGGTTGAGCGGGACGGCGGCGACCTTTTGGTAGCCGTTGTCCCAGATCTGTGATGCCGCATCAGCACTTCAATGCCGTTAAGATAACGGATGGCATACGTAGGGGAGCGCGTCCTTTGAGTACACTACCGCACACGCTGTCGTTAGAGGGAACCACGTCAGTCCATTGCAGTCTAGGCTGCCGGCATGGCAGTGCGCCTCGCACTCTGCCAGGCTCTTGGACGCTGGCAGCCAAGCCCAGGCACCATAGGCGGCGTTGAAGCAGTAGAGATGGTATGCGCGGCCGTTGATGGTCCGGACGAAGCCTTCATATGGGGGGCAGATTAGAGTGGGGCCTAGGTCAAAAGAGAGCGAGATGGATAATTGCGAGAGAGGAGATTGCGGTTGAGAGGAGAGAGCGACGGCAGAGTCGGTGAGCGAGTTGAGAGGTGGAAGAGCTTGAGCCACGGCTAGGAGCAGAGCGAGGGCGCGAGAATACATGATGAATGTAAGAGAGCATTAGGGGAAAGGAATTGAGATGGTGACGAATTAATTGTATCCTCAGCTAAGGACAGGCAGATGTGTTGGTGAGGGGATTTTGGATATTGACTGTGGCTGCTGGTTGCTGTGCGCAAGACGCTTTGTGCAGTACTAGGTCGTAAGTATGGACACACGGATATATCACTGCTGCGGCTTCACTCTTGCTCCCTCAACGTTACTGTAAGGAGGACAACTTGACATCGTGCCTAGGTTTCGGCAAATCCATGGGGCTACCCCAAGCAGTGGTAAAGGCGTGTGCACAGACTCGTGACCTATCACTGTAGCTGGGTTGCTTTGATTCTTCTGCTCACTCACTGAAACAGTCAACTTGATGTCGATGGAATGGACTGAATATACTATACCAGTTCGATGTCAGCTTCTAAGCAGTTCACGGCTTTCATTCCAGTGACTGGTTTTACGTAACGAAATATTAGTAGTGAAAGCAGCTTTGCTACGGTTCTGAGGCTCGAGACAAGAAGTCAATAGGAACCCCAAGTCATGAAACATTCGTGGATAATGAAACAATTGCCATTCAATAGAACTTTTGCGCTGATTCGGTTGCCCTTTGAGCCCGAGTGATTGTAGAGTAGTAGAAAGGGAGTTGTTGAGATATGGAGTATGGAGAATCTTGAGTGCGGGGATTTGGAAATTTTCGCCGAGAAACTGGGGAAAGATGTGCCGAAAGCTGCTACTTCGAGACAGGATATGGCCACAATACTTTCTGATACAACAACATCTGTATCTTCATAGACCGATACTGATATTGGCATCTAGTTTGAAGCCACGTCTTTGATCTTGTCAACCTTGTGGAGAATTAAACCTATATTTGACTGGACTAGCTATACATTTCGTGTTATCACAAGTCTGAGAATCTTCAAAATTACAAAATGGCCACTTAGCTTGTTCTACTGAAATTGTAGCAAACACACGCCATGTACGCTGAAGTATCTAGGACATATATTAAGTCCACCAAATCGAACCAAACTCCTCAACCACGGGTCGGCAACCATAGCGGGCGGGCCGGAGAGAATGCCGTCACTCGCGGCATCTACAAAAGTAGAAAGGAAAGTCGCGTTCGCCGATATTTGTTATAAATACTTCCGTACCTCTCTTTCTCCCTTTTAATATCCCACAAACCTTTCCCATTCGACATGTCTCCCCCCAAAGCCCTCCTCATCGGCTCCCTCGCCCACGCCAACTCAGAATGGCAAGCCCTCAGCAGCATCGCCACGCTTGTGGAATATCCCGAGACCGGCTCACGTGAAGACTTCATTTCCAAATGCCGCTCCGGCGAATTCGACGGCGTGGTAGCGTTGTATCGCAGTAACGACTCGAACAAGATCACTGGCAGCTTTAGTAAGGAGATTATTGATGTGCTGCCGGAAAGTCTGAAGTACATTTGTCACAATGGCGCAGGGTACGACAATATTGAGGTGGAGGCGTGCACAGAGAGGGGTATTAGTGTGTCCAGCACGCCAGTAGCTGTGAATGATGCTACAGCGGATGTGGCGATCTTTTTGATGTTGGGGGCGTTGAGGAGGATCACGCACAGTTGGACGGCGATACGGGAAGGTATCAATGCTTATTTTTCATATCACCTTCCTCCATGCACTCGATTTTGTAGAAATGAGGCGTTTCTTATATTGACACAGTGTAGGTAAATGGCGCGGCGGCTCAAACTTTCAACTCGGCCACGATCCCAGAAACAAAGTCCTGGGTATCCTAGGTATGGGCGGCATCGGCAAAGCGGTAGCTACGCGCGCAAAAGCCTTCGGTATGCAGATCCAGTATCACAACCGGACCCAACTGTCCGCCAACGAGGAGAACGGCGCGAAGTATGTCAGCTTTGAGGAGCTGCTCAAGACGTCCGACGTGCTCAGTCTCAATCTCGCGCTCAACCCTTCTACGAAACACATTATATCAACGCCGCAGTTCCAGATCATGAAGAAGGGCGTAACTGTTATCAACACGGGAAGGGGGCCGCTAATCAATGAGGAGGCGTTGGTGCAGGCGCTTGAGGAGGGGATCGTGTGGTCGGCTGGGCTGGATGTGTATGAGCTGGAACCCACGGTTCATGAGAAGCTGTTGTCGAATCAGAATGTTGTTTTGCTACCGCATATAGGGACCGCAACGGTCGAGACACAGGTAGGAGGGGCTTCGATGCTTGGTGTGAGTTCGCGCTAATTGATTCTAGTACGATATGGAGGTGTTAGTGCTCGACAACATCAAGGAGGCTATCCAAAAGGGTAAGCTCCTGACGCAGGTTCCCGAGCAGAAAAAGAAAGGAGGTGCGTGAAACTTGTGAGCTATTGGTGTGTTAGATAGATTTAGATGTTTCGCTCGGTGCAGTCTTAAGATCTCTTGTGGGTACTTTGTAGAAGGAACTGAGTCCGGTTTCAAGCCAATCTACTACAATGATATGGCGCGGATTGTGAATTGGTAGATGAAATTTAATGGGGTATCAGTGAATGCGCACCGTCGTTGAGCTCTGCAGTTTCAAGGCTGGAGAAGTTGGCGCCAAAGAGCTAAACCCTTTTAGCCAGACGCCTTCTTCTCCTGAAACTGATTTCTATCGAGAGTACCATGAAAACCATCATCAACATCAAATACTACTATCCTTCTAGCGACATCCACTTACGAAGCAGCATGTCAAAGCTACGCCAGATAAAGGCATGTAGCGATCCGACATTCACACCGGCCCGACTCTTAGCCCAAGAGCCCGCTCTCAAATGCCGCGGCTTCTGAACATGATGCACTAGGCTAAGAATATTTCCTAAACTCTAGGGGCGTCCCTCTGGCGCCTCTTCTTGAACAAATGTTGCGACCTGTTGTTGTCGCAGAAGATAAGGGATTGGTATTTCCAATACCAATTGGAGAAAAGGCCCCGCGGACGGCCGTCAAGGGCCTTAGCTACCGTTGACCTCGTCAGCGCCCATAGCTTGCCGCGCCAGCCAACTGAGTATGGAGGTGTCCCAAGGTCAAGAACATTATTGGAGTCGTAAGTCACACTAGTAAAGGTAATGGGCGTCTGCTGCAATGGCTTCGGAGACGCTTTGGCGAGCTTTCCGTGGACAGTTCCGCAGGAGCTGACAAGGTTTCTCCGAAAGGACATTAACGTTTAGCATTTTCATTGAATCTTCATTTTCAAAGTCCGTCGAGCAAAACTACAGAATATTTCAGGCAACGTTCTTCGCATTTCTGCGTTGTTGTGATGCGTATCCCCAGATTTCACCCACGACTTCCGGCGGGAGCCTTTTCCGAGGTCTCCACACGAAAGACGGGTACGCGGCACGCGGAAACAAAGTGGCTTAACATAGCTTGTGTTTGATCTACACGCTTGAACAGAATCAGCAATCGTGCATCATGAGAATATAAGTCTCAGGTCCCCGGATTACGTTTCGTAGTATCCATCAATTTCGCCCTCCTGGCCATCCGAATCAATGTTGCTCGACGTCAGAGACAACGACGATGACTTCGAAAAGAAAAGAGAATACGGTTCGGATCGTGGCAATGATCAGTACTCAATTCGAACCGCAGGCTCCACGGCTGACGTCAACGCCGTGGCCGAAAAAAGAGGAGGAAACGTCGCAGTAGACGTTGAGGCTCAGGTGTCTATGCCATTGGGCGACTCGCCGCCACTCATCCTAACAGAATCGCACACGACGACGAGACCTGGCCCCAATGTAGTCACTTGGGACTCGCCAGAAGACCCTCAGAACCCACTCAACTGGCCACCATTGACTCGCTGGACTCTCATCATCCTAGTCAGCGCCGCCGCCTTCACCAGTGGCCTGGCGTCAAGTATCTTTGCGCCTGCCGTACCAACACTCATGGAGGAGTTCAATACGACCAATCAAGCACTTGGGACTTTCGTCGTGACAATTTTCGTGCTGGGCATGGCTACTGGTCCCATTCTGTTTGGTCCGCTCTCGGAACTCTACGGACGTATGATCGTGCAGCATATCGGAAACATTGGGCTTCTTATCATGACGATTGCTTGTGCTGTTTCTTCAAGCTTCGAGATGATGATAGGCTTTAGGCTCGTCCAGGGCATATTTGGGGCTGTGCCTCTTACGAATGGCGGTGCTCTCATTGCGGACATGGTCCGTCAAGAGAGACGAGGGCGAGCTATGGGGTTCTATACCGTTGGGGTACTTCTGGCACCTGTCGTCGGTCCAGTGGCAGGGGGTTTCCTCTCACAAGCCAAAGGATGGAGATGGACCTTTTGGCTTCTTGCCATTCTGGTACGTATACTCTAGACACCAAAATCATCTAATTTCCTCTGAATAGGCCATGATTTGGAACTAACTTGTTTTAGCAAGGAGCGTTGACGTTGGTATCGTTACTCGTCTGGCGTGAATCCTACATGCCGTTGCTCCTATCCCGCAAAACGAGGCGCCTGCGCAAAGAGACGGGGAACCAAGCTCTTTATACCACGTTCGACAAAGGCCTGTCCCCTCGCGCGCATTTTATGAACGGCATACTTAGAGCTGGCAAAATGCTAGTCTTTTCTGCTATAGTTCCCTCAATCTCCATCTACATCGGTGTTGCATTCTCATACTTCTACCTCCTACTCGCCACGCTGACGCCAATATTTGAAAGAATATACGGGTTTGGCCCTGGAGTGGTTGGTCTGGTTTACCTCGGACTGGGAGTAGGATTCTTCACCGGTCTTACCTTGTTTTCTCTTTTCAGCGATCGGATTCTCAGGGGACTCGCGGCTCGAAATGGCGGCGTAATGAAACCAGAGTTTCGGCTTCCACCTGCTTTCCTAGGAGCGATCTCGACACCTATTGCGCTCTTCTGGTATGGATGGACGGCACAGGCCAAGACGCACTGGATTTTGCCCATTGCTGGTACCGGCTTCATAGGACTCGCCAACTCGTTGCTCTTTGTAAGTGCGCCAGCTTGATGTAATGGATGGACGCTAACATATATAGATGAGCCTCACAACCTACCTCATCGATGCTTTCACGGTCTATGCCGCCTCTGCAGTCGCGGCATGTGTAATAGTCAGATCGATCATGGCAGCTGTCCTTCCCCTGGCTGCACCAAAAATGTATGACTCTCTAGGGATTGGTTGGGGGAATTCTCTACTAGCATTTCTCGCTCTCGCAATGGTTCCTGTGCCTTGGGTCTTATTTATCTACGGCGAGCGGATACGAAACTGGGACGCAGCGAGGGTCAAACGATTATAGCCGCGCTCGGGTAGTGCTCGTGGGTTATGATTCGTCAAGGTCATCTAGGAGAGCAATGTATCTTTGGGCATCACCCAGAGTTCAGCCAATGAAACCATTTTCAACGATACCCCACGCAGCATTGTACTGGGTCGGGAAGGTCGCAATCACGACACAAAGGCGTTGGTTTGCTGTCTGTTCATATGGTTTGTACCCCGCATTAGCTACCCCACGTCCGCTTTTAGCACGGCGGCCGAGGAACGTGGGAGAGCGACAGAACCGACCAGCACTCGTGACGCAGCGCCCGGCGAGCCTTATGAACCGAGCAAGCTCCGCCGTCGCGTGTGTCGTGTGAGCTCTTCTTTCTTCCTGCTGCGTAACTGCATCGACCGCGCATTGCGAGAGCTGGGCGCCGGGCATTGAGAGCGAATGCTGTTTCTTCCTTCTGCTGCACACCTCCACCCCCTCTCTACTTTCTCCTCCAGCCAGCATGTGGACACCCGGCATAACGCTGCGTGCAGGAGGCTGCAGCACGCGTTTGCGCCTGCAGAGCCTATCGCCAGCCGTGCGCCTGTACGCCTCAACCCGACAGTCACACCCACGTCCGACGTCTCAGCATGCACTGCACCGAAAGGAAAAGCTCCAGCAGCGTCTCTACCTGCAGCCGCCTGCAGCAAGCCTCGGCGGCCGCCAATCCTCGCCGCGATGGGCACCGCTGCAGACGCAGGTTCCGGCGACTCCTGCAGTAGCCACGCTCATCAGACCAGCATCCCATGCTCCCGACATCGACCCACACGCCGAGGAGATCCCCTCCACGCCCCCCTTCACTGCAGGCCCCTACAGCACCCTTACCGTCGGAGTGCCGCGCGAGACCTACCCCTCCGAGCGCCGCGTCGCCATCACGCCTCAAAATGTTGCCCTCCTCTTGAAGAAGGGCTTTTCGCGGGTCCTCATCGAAAGAGGGGCTGGCGTGGAAGCGCAATTCACGGATGAAACCTACGAGCAAGCTGGCGCTCAGACCGTTGACCGCAGAACTGTCTTCTCGTCCGCAGATATTCTGCTGAAGGTCAGGGCGCCGAGCATTGAGGGCCCGGATGCGGAGGTCGATGCGTTGAGGGAGGGGGCGACGGTGGTGAGCTTCTTGTATCCGGGACAGAATGGGGAGGTAGTAAAGAAGCTGGGGGAGAGGGGAGTGACGAGCTTTGCGATGGATATGATACCGCGGATATCGAGGGCACAGGTGTTCGACGCGTTGAGTTCGATGGCGAACATTGCGGGATACAAGGCAGTGCTGGAAGCATCCAACCATTTCGGTCGTTTCCTTACCGGTCAGGTCACGGCAGCTGGGTGAGCTTTGATGATGCTATTGACATCCCAATACTGTTAAATGTTTGCTAACACAGTTCTCAGAAAGGTACATACATTATCATTGTAACCATTGTCCTTATAACATCCTAGCCAACATCATCGTAGATCCCCCCGTGCAAGGTTCTTGTCATCGGAGCTGGCGTTGCTGGCCTCAGTGCTATAGCCACGGTAAGTCTCTCCCTACCCCCTTAAGGACTATAGCAAACGTTGCCAGGCACGCCGCATGGGCGCCATAGTCCGCGGCTTTGACACCCGCTCCGCCGCCCGAGAACAAGTCGAATCCTTGGGTGCCGAATTTATCGAGGTCGCAGTAAAAGAAGACGGCTCCGGAGCTGGTGGATACGGAAAGGTTATGTCCAAGGAATTCATCGAAGCCGAAATGAAGCTTTTCACGGAGCAGTGTCGCGACGTGGATATTGTGATTACTACGGCCCTCATTCCTGGAGAGCCGGCTCCGAAGCTTATTACCAAGGCGGTGAGTAACATCTAATGATAATCTCTACGTGTGAAATGGTAGGCTTACGAGTTGTGTAGATGATCGAGGCGATGAAGCCTGGATCCGTGATTGTGGATCTTGCGGCTGAGGCTGGAGGGAATTGTGAGGCTACGGTGCCTGGACAGCTTGTCAAGAAGAAGGGGGTTACGATTATTGGTATGTTTTGCGCTTTGAGCTTTGCAGTCCTTCAAAGTACTTCAACCACACACTCTGGTCCATACTAACATCTTTCCAGGATACACCGATCTACCTTCAAGACTTCCTACCCAGTCATCCACACTATACTCAAACAACATCACCAAATTCCTCCTCTCATTATCAACAAAAGACAAATACTTTGACGTCGATCTCAAAGACGAGGTAGCACGTGGCTCAATTGTGACCTACAACGGCAAGATTCTCCCCGTCGCACCTCGTCCGGCGCCTCCACCACCAGCAGCTCCAAAACAAACATTCGTCGAAGCGGAAGCGGAAAAAGCAGCAAATGTAGTGGCTTTGACACCATGGCAGAAAGCGTCTAGAGAAGTTGCCACAGTGACAGGTGGGATGACAGCGGCAGTAGTTCTCGGAAAGCTGACGGGTCCGATTTTCATGTCGAATGCATTTACATTTGCGCTTGCGAGTTTGATTGGGTATCGAGTTGTGTGGGGTGTCTCTCCGGCATTACACTCGCCTCTTATGAGCGTGACGAATGCGATTTCAGGTAAGAAATCTCCCCCTGGAAAACGCTGAACGATGCTGACCTTTTGGACTAGGCATGGTCGGCATTGGAGGTCTTTTCATTATGGGTGGTGGTATATTACCTCAAACATTTCCTCAGGCTCTAGGCGCTCTCTCAGTGCTCATTGCATCTGTGAATGTTTCTGGCGGCTTCGTCATTACGAAACGCATGCTAGACATGTTCAAACGTATGTTCCTCTAAAATCCAAGACTCCACAGTAAAATCGAGCTGACATCCGATACAGGTCCCACTGATCCACCAGAATACCCGTGGCTATATGCCATTCCAGCCGTGGTATTCGGTGGTGGATATATTGCAGCTGCGAGTACGGGTATGGCTGGTCTAGTTCAGGCCGGCTATCTAGTCAGCAGTGTCCTCTGCATGGGTAAGTTAAGCATAATCCTATCAGTATCATAGCTGACGTTCCAGGTTCTCTTTCTGGTCTTGGCTCTCAGTTGACAGCACGCCGGGGCAATATGCTCGGTATACTAGGCGTTTCATCCGGAATAATTGCGTCTCTTGCTGCCGTTGGGTTTCCCGCGGATGTACTCCTGCAATTTGCTGGAGTTGCTGGTGTTGGTAGCATTATTGGTGTGAACTGAACCTTCAGCCTTAGAGGTGTGTACAATGCTAATTCCATATGTAGGCATGGCAATTGGTAGACGCATCACACCAACCGGTCTCCCCCAGACCGTAGCAGCATTGCATTCAGTTGTCGGTTTAGCGGCTGTTCTCACCAGCATTGGCAGCGTTATGGCGCACATTGGAGATATTTCCACGCTTCATATGGTCAGCGCGTACTTGGGTGTTCTCATTGGCAAGTCTCGTGCGCCTTTACCATCACCTACCGCTAATCGTATATGCAGGCGGAGTTACTTTCACAGGCTCCATAGTCGCCTTCATGAAACTTGCAGGCCGCATGTCCTCGAAACCCAGCATTCTCCCCGGCCGCCACATCATCAACAGCTCCCTCCTCGGTGCAAACGTAGCCACCATGGGCGCCTTTCTCGTCGCCGCCCCGGGAGCTCCTATGATTGGTGCCGCGTGTCTAGCAGCCAACACCGCCCTCAGCTTCGCGAAAGGCTACACCACTACAGCTGCAATTGGAGGCGCTGACATGCCTGTCGTCATCACTGTCCTGAATGCGTACTCCGGTTTCGCCCTCGTGGCTGAGGGCTTTATGCTGGACAACCCGCTACTCACGTCTGTGGGCGCACTCATCGGTGTCAGCGGCTCCATCCTATCTTACATCATGTGTGTAGCGATGAATCGGTCGCTCACGAACGTGCTCTTTGGAGGTATCGCAGGACCAGCGGAAAACTCAGTCAAGATCGAAGGCGAAGTGACAAAGACAAACATCGATGAAACAGCCGACCTCCTCGTGAACGCCGAGAAAGTCATCATCGTGGTCGGGTATGGCATGGCCGTCGCGAAAGCCCAGTACGCCATCTCGGAAATAACGCGCATCCTCCGCGCCAAAGGCGTCAACGTCCGCTTCGCCATCCACCCCGTCGCTGGGCGCATGCCAGGCCAGTGCAACGTGCTGCTCGCCGAAGCCTCGGTGCCGTACGACATCGTGCTCGAGATGGACGAGATCAACGACGATTTCGCGGACACTGATGTTACGTTGGTGATTGGTGCGAATGATACGGTCAACCCGATTGCGCTGGAGCCGGGCTCAGCGATTGCGGGGATGCCGGTGCTGCAGGCGTGGAAGAGCGGGAAGGTGGTTATCATGAAGCGGGGGATGGCAAGTGGGTATGCGGATGTGCAGAATCCGATGTTTTACATGGAGAATGCGAGGATGTTGTTTGGGGATGCGAAGGAGAGTTGCGATGCGATTCTGAGGCAGCTGGAAGGGAAATGAGTAGATGGGAGGGAAGGGTAGTTGAGATCGTGAATTGGGGGTTGGGATAGTGAGAGAAGCGATTGATAACACTGAATTGTCTCTCTTTATACATTCACCTCGTCTGAAGGCATGCCTTGATTGAAGTGGTGCCTCGGTGGCGTAGGCACGTGATTTTCACGTGACTGGCGAATCTGATGAGTAAGCTGTGCTTGGCAGCAATAAACGGAGCAAGAGCCAACGCTATAGAGAGGAACATTAGAATTTTCGTTCTTAGAAGATCATCTGCCAATACCAGTAGGTCTGAGAACATGAGCCTCGATGATTGCGCCCGTCCTTAGACATTTCCGGAGGTCTACCTGAGACTGCGGTCGTCAGCATCCTGCAAGGCAGAATTCGCCAGGAAGAACTCCTAAGAGATCGGTCGGTCCCTGCACTATTGTCGAAGAGGCAGTTGATCGTTAACAAGAGCGTTTACAGGCGGCCCTCGGAGACGGCGAAGGCTGTGCTCCTGTGCTCCTGTGCTCCTCTGGCAAATTCGCAACAGTTACCCAGCTTTACGAATCACAGATGGCCTGAGCGTGATTGGATGGTAGCTGCTGCAGATAAGCTTCGGGCAATCTGGGGGGCTTGTGCCACACCCGGTAGGTTGTTCCACGGCGCCTCGGGCTGTGGTTCGATTCAGCCTTTCAACCACTCACCGCAGACGCTCCCCCACAGCCGCACACGGCCGCTATGCCCGGGTCGGCAGGTCGGGCTATCCGCCTCAAGAGGGGACCTGCGTCTCTCGTCATGGCCGCGGCGGCATCGCGACCTCCTGCCCGGTCGGGCTGGCACAGCTGGTGGACTCGACACTGGTCCCGGCAGGCTTCCTCATGCAATGTGAGTTCGATCAATGGACGGCCTTTCTGGCCTCAACGCAGTACGACGACTGCACCCGGGGAGCAGCTGGCCCGATCCCCAGCACCCATGCTCCAATCGGCTTCAACTGGCCTCATCGAAGCTACGGCCAAGAAGCTTGGGGAAAGCTTGAGAACAGCTGCCCTGGGCGGCTGTGGCGACCGGCACCGCCATGGCAGCCTACGAAGCTTCCAATCCTTCCCTATAGCCCGCTTCCTATGTGCTACAGCTCCTGCTATATTGGGCAAGCAGCTGTCTCCCGGTCCACCAACCTTGTCCATGCGGATGAGATTCCGTCATGATGTGCTTCCTTCAAATACCGGGCCCTCCTCGTTCTCTGCGGTTTTTCTCTCATCCAGCCTCTGTCCATTCCTAGTACTCCAAGATGCGGTTCTCACTTGCTTGCGTCGCTACGCTCTTTTGCGCGTCTACTGCTATTGCCGGAAGCACCCCCCATGGATTTGGTGCCTTCAACAAGGTCCGCAGTCCTACCATTGAGAAGCGGGAGCCTGGACAGCCCTTCCACAATGCGAAGCTGCAAAAACGTGCTTCTCGCTGGTTGACTGAAAAGACCAAGGGTAAGCACTCTCTTCCTTTCAATTGCGAACTCCAATTGAGTATTGTGCAGAGTTCGCCGTAAATGGTACGGGCATTCCCGACGTCCCATTCGACATTGGCGAGTCCTACGCCGGTCTGCTGCCAATCTCGGACGACCCAAATGAAACGCGAGAGCTCTTTTTCTGGTTCTTCCCGTCTACCAACCCCAATCCCGGCGAAGAGATTACCATTTGGTTCAACGGAGGCCCAGGCTGCAGCTCCCTCTCTGGTCTTCTTACTGAGAACGGTCCATTCGTTTGGGATGCGGGCACTCTTGCTCCCACCCCTAACCCCTACACTTGGGTAAACTTGACCAACATGGTGTGGGTCGAGCAGCCCGTTGGTGTCGGCTTCACCCAGGGAACTCCCAACATCACCAACGAGGTCGAACTTGGTCTTGAGTTCATCGGCTTCTACAAGCAATTCGTCGATACCTTTGACGTCCACAAGTGGAAGGTCTATCTCACGGGCGAGAGCTATGCTGGCTTTTACGTTCCGTACATTGCGGACGCCTTCATCACTGCCGATGATACCGACTACTATAACCTCGCTGGTGTTGGTATCAACGATCCCATAATTGGTGACGAGACCAACCAGCAACAAGGTAATTTTGATGCTCCCAACAGTCGTATCGGCTAGCTAACATGCCATAGTTGTGCAATTGGCATTCGTCGAATACTGGAACAATCTCTTCTACCTGAATGAGACTTTCCTAGATGAGATGCGCGCACATAACGAATTCTGCAACTATACCCAGTATCAGGAAAAGTACCTCACTTTCCCTCCTCCTCAGGAACCCTTCCCGGTTCTTCCCGACCCCTATGCCTCTGAGGACTACACTTGCGATCAATTCGACAATTTCTACTCCGCCATCATAGCAGTCAATCCTTGCTACAACATCTACCACATCACCGAGACCTGCCCGCACCCCTACAGTGTGCTCGGGATAGTCAACACCGGCGACTACAGCCCACCGGGAGCCACTGTCTACTTCAACCGCACCGATGTGCAGAAGGCCATTCACGCGCCCGTGGGCACCAATTGGATGCAGTGCACCGACGTTAACGTCTTCGGCGACGGCGAGAACAACAACCAATCCCGCAGCGACCAGTCGCTCGGCCCTGCGCAGAATGGCGTCCTCGCCCGCGTCATCGACTATACCAACAACACCATCATCGGCTCCGGCAACCTCGACATGCTCCTCAACACGAACGGCACCCTCCTCGCCATCCAGAACATGACCTGGGGCGGCAAGCAGGGTCTGCAAGAGTACCCCGGCACTCCCCTCTACGCACCGTACCACCCGGAGACCAACCTGGGTTTCCCGACTGGCGCTGGAGAGCTTGGCTTCTGGGGCTCTGAGCGTGGGCTCACGTTCTACCAGACCCAGCTTGCAGGCCATGAGCTGCCGGAGTATGCGCCTGGTGTGGCATATCGCATGCTGGAGATTCTGCTCGGCAGAATCGAGAACTTCAGTGTTGTGTCGGACTTCACAACGCAAAGTGGGAATTACACTGGTAACAGCACCATCTACCGTCGTAGCATGGAAATGCCGTCGTACTTCCAGTAAGTGAGGATGGTAGAGCGGATGGGTAATGATGGAATGGCTTGGAAACAAAAGCGTAATCTGTAATTTTAAATAAAGGGTTCCTTGCCTCTTGAACTTTCTTGCTGTTTACATGGTGATGTGATGATTTGAAGCGTTGCAAAGGACGCAGTCTATATGAACGTCGAACCTTCATTGAGGGAGTTATTAGACTAGACTCGATACCCTAAGAAGAGATTGGTGGATACCCGTGTTTCGAAGCTTTATGTAAAGTCAACTTGAAAGCCCGAGATTTACCAAGTACGGCATTTCACCTCGGGCAGCACAACGCGAGTCAGGGAGCTCGCAGCCCCGCCCACTAACCCCTCATAATCAGGGCAAAGGGAAACCCCGCAAAGCCCGAGCTTCCCCTGCAACTCTCGGCCTCGTCATTCCGCTGCTCCTTCGTCCTCTTTTCTGACCAGTCTCGGACCATGAAACTTACAAAGGCAATCACGTTTGAAATATACCGCGATATCTAAGTAAAGTCGTTGAAGAGGCTGAAACCTCCTTTTTCCTAGGACTGCAGCTTCAATTGATGCTTGAAAGAACAGCTCATCCTTCCTTTCACATCTTTAGATCTTTTCATATTTCCATGCCTCAATAACAGCATCATGCTGCCCTCTCTTCTTTTCAGACGAGCTTGCTTCCGCTCCTCTTTCCGGAGCTGCAGACGCGGCTTGCTTACCCAGTCGTTCAGCGTCGGGCCGTCCGAGGTAGGTCCTTAGGCCTCCCATTTGAACGCCAATACTCAAGCTTATAGCCACCACTTCTCGAGCAAACTGTCGGTGAACACTTCGCCGGTGTCGTGAGGCAGCATGGGGATCGGACTGCGTATGTCTAAAACCACTCTGAGAGAGCTCGAAGCTAATTAAGATTTCTTAGAGTGATATCACGACACCAACAAACCCGCCTCACATACGAAGCCCTCGACCGCGATAGCAATGCTCTAGCTAGGGGCCTAGCGGCACTTGGTGTGCAAAAGGGCGATCGGGTGGCTGTGTCATTGGGGAATAATATTGAATATGCGACGGTATAGAACCTATTCATGAATGGGTTGTGAAGCCGTGCAAGAACTGATTGTGATGGAAAGGCTACGTATGCTGTGTTCAAGCTCGGAGCGATACTGGTATGAACCTAGTCGCTTTTCTACTGTGTATACTTCAAGTGCTGACGTGCGTTCTAGGTCCCATTGAATCCAGCTTTCAACGCTATGCAGGTAGTATCCGCAATGAACCACCTCGAAGCTTCCCAGCTCATAATCGGCGCTGAAACAAATCTTCCACGGAAAGATCCGAGATCTAATATACCTCTTCTCACACACATGGTTCCGGATTTAGAGGGTGGTCGAAATGAAAATGTAGAATCCGATCTCGTCCCATCTCTTAAAAGCGTCATCATGGTCAACAATTCCGACGGCCGAATTGACCCCTTAGACTACAAAAGCACTACTCGCTACGAGGACGTCCTCGAAGAAGGAGGTTCAGGCCACGCTCTCCCGGACCAAGGACTCGACCGCAATGATATCGTTAATATCCAGTTCACCTCCGGCACAACGTCTATGCCAAAAGCTGCATGTCTCTCACACCGCTCTATCCTCAACAACGGTAATAGCATCGGTGATCGCATGCTTCTGACACCTGAAGACGTCGTCGTTTGTCCCCCGCCCCTATTCCAGTATGTCCACCCCTTCCTCCCCTTTCCCATACTCATCCTCCTAACACCCCCCACAGCTGCTTCGGCAGCATCCTGGGCTACATGGCCACAGCTACGCACGCCTCTGCCATCATCTTCCCCTCCGAATCCTTCAACCCCCTCGAAACGCTGCACTCCGTGCACGAATACGCCGCCACCGCCCTCTACGGCGTGCCCACCATGTTCCTCGCCGAGCTCGAGCTCCTCGCCGCGGGCGCCGTCCCCTACACCTCGTTCCCCTCTCTGCGCACAGGTATCGCCGCCGGCAGCTCCATCCCCGCCGAGATAATGCGTAAACTGCACAAACGCCTGAATCTGACGGAACTAACGATCTGCTACGGCATGACCGAGACCTCCCCGGTGAGCGCAATGACGACGACCAACGACCCCATGGACAAGCGTATCAACAGCGTCGGCCGCCTGTTGCCGCACATCGCCGCCAAAGTCGTGAACCCTGCCGACCCAGTCGAGATCCTGCCGCTCAACGCGCGCGGCGAGCTGGCGGTCGCGGGCTACAGCGTCATGACGGGGTACTGGGGCGACGCCGAGCGGAGCGCGGAGGTGCTGGTGCCGGATGCGCAGGGGCGGGTGTGGATGCACACGGGGGACGAGGCGAGTATGGATGAGGAGGGGTATGTGAAGATTACGGGGCGGATCAAGGATTTGATTATCAGGGGCGGCGAGAATATTCATCCGCTGGAGGTGGAGAACTGTCTTTTTGCGCACCCGGGGGTGGCGGAGGTGAGTGTGGTGGGGATGCCGGATGAGCGGTATGGGGAGTGTGTGGGGGCGTTTGTGGTCAGGCATGAGGAGGCCGGGGGGGATGGGGTGAAGAGGGTGACGGCGGAAGAGGTGAGGGAGTGGGTGAGGGGGAAGTTGAGTCATCATTTAGGTGAGTGGTGTTCTGAGGGAGGGGGTTAAGGGAGGGGGAGTTGGGCTGGGCTAACGGGTGTGGTTGCAGTGCCGAAGTATGTGTTTTGGGTGGATGGGTATCCGAAAACCGCAAGGTATGTCCGAATAATGATATGGGTGTGTCCGTCTAACGAATGCTAGTGGGAAGATTCAAAAGTTCAAGTTGAAGGAGAGAGGGTTGGCGATGATTAAGGAGGGGATGGGGTTGGAGTAAGCATCTAGATCCAAGAGTGAGATTCGCAACTCTAATCTACATCGTTTCAACCCCACAAAGCCAAGTGATATGAACGAACAATCCTCTCTTGCGTAGCGAGATGAAGTCCCTTTCGGCAGCCGTAAATCGGGCCTTTGTTGAAACTTGCCTGTCTTAAAAAGATACTGCCTCTCATCCACATATACGCAGGGGGGTTGGCAACGTCCGAGTAGGCACGAGAAGCTCATCTAATGTTCCCGGGGGTATGAATGTTATAGCGTGTGTGAACGTTATGTCGAATGTCAGTGTCCGCTAAATATTAGAACGGTAATCGGAAGGTAGAACGGTATAGCGTATATTCACGGTATGTACATCATGGACGTTATAACGAGCTCTTTATGTAGTTATAAATTAGCTGAACTAGGGTGCGGCTGAAAATACCAAGACCAAAATCGACGATCGGCGTCGGGAGGGGTGAGTTATTGCCAAGGTATATAGGCAGGGCAACCCTTCTGGCTTCCCACCATCGCAACTCCGCGAAATATCAGGTCCCAAGGATGTCTGACTACGTTGCTGATATTGCCGGATCGGTCGCCGAAGTTGCATCCGTCGACGAAGTGGAGTATGAGCAAAACAATGATCACATTCTCACATTCGACCCATAGCATCCATGTAGAACTAGCAAGCCAGACGACGACCTTCGACCCAAGGCTGAAAGTCCACCGGGAAAATTTGGATATCGTTGCCTCCACGCTCTACGATAATGGGGAGGATTTTAAGCTTCGTGTCATAACCACCTCAAATCCCCAAACGTCGAAAGGCAGCGACGTTAAAGACACATAAACGTTGGGTGTAAGTGCGGTCGATTAGAGGCTCGCCTAGCGTCTGACTTGGATCAACCAGACATTATCAAACAGAGAGCATATCCTTTGCAGATTTTGAGGTAACGCCTTCGTCCTACTTCTATCGTGTCCGCTAATGATTGTCCGAAGATATTGGTTAAAAATACCACTTTAGATTATCACGACGATTTCATCCCAGTCGTCCTGCGCTTGCTCAAAAAGGTCCAAGAGGCCTATGAGGAAGAGTCCGCTTATGGAAGCTTCATCCAGCCCGGGACTGTGCTTCGAAGTGATGGGACGGACCCAAGCCGTCCAGACCCCTTATTTCGACATCGGCAAGTGGAGACCGCCAGAAGCGCCAGACGCCTCGCTACATATTCCAAGAAGCGTGTTTCAATCATCATATACCCGAGAAATTGCATTGGACCGAGATGGTGACCAAATGTTCCGAAAGTTCAGGGGCGTAAAAATCGATCAGTACCTCCGTGTTCCCCAGCTCTAGGTTGTAATATTGAAATCCGGTTTGGGCAGGTGGTGCCGTTGCTATTTGGATTGTCTCTAATACTGGTGATAGAAACTGTAATCACATGTGGGCCGTCACCGCTCCGAGAGATGTTCGGCAAACATAAAACTATTGAATTCGTCAACGAAGAAAAACTCTTCGCCAATGGGCCAAGCATGGTGCAAGTGACAGACTTTCTGAGAAGAGTAACATACCTCCCGATTGAAAAGTGCAAGACATTTCTCGTATGTATATTCGCAGCCTTCCTCTAACCCGTATCAAACCAAGTAGGTCTGACTACCTTCAGGGACTCAAGCAAAGCATCAAGCAATACAGCCTAATAGACGCCGACTTCGCGATAGGAGATTGTATACTTCACTCCGGACATAACACGGAAGAGCTAGATGATCGGCAATGGCCAGGTCTTCTACGAGCTGCAAGGTCGGTTTTCGTCTATGTTCGCCTCAGCCGCAAACAGGCCGATTTACCACCTCCTCCTTTGAATGTGGAAGCACCGGCTCCAACTCGTTTGATTGAATATGCTGGGCTTAGCTCGGATGAGAGCAAGGACGATCGCGATAGAATGACCGTGGCGGTGGCACAAGTAGGGTATGACTTTACGACACCACGGAAGAAAGGAGCATACTGACATTTTACAAGACGTGGAGGGACAGTTCCCATAGCTGCCGGCCATGACACCGACCTAGCCAGAAATGTCGAAGAGACAAAAGAGCGCCTCCAGAGTCAAGGCTACGTAGTGAACAATGTAAAGTCACTGGAGCGCAATATTGAGAAGCCAAGAGTCTTCTTGCGTCCTAGCAAAGCCGAGTCTTCTAGACTAGAATACAGCGAAGCTACTGCATTACGCGCCGCTGCACGGAAGCACTCCTAACATTTTCTACGCAATCGACAGAACCCAGCGCCCGATGCGATAGGGAAAGCTCCGATCGGTCTTGAGACTAGGGAGCCTTCTTCCGTGGACATACGATCTAGAGGTTCTCTTATTTCCGAGAACAAGCACTCAAACCCGACAAGGATGGGGTCCATTGACGATAATGGGCTACGATCCAAGAGCTCGAAATCGAATGGGCCTGGCCTCGAAGACCAGAAGAGCAATACTTCGCCGCTATCGTTAATAGGTGATCACCAGCCTTTAGGACACGAGAAGAGCATGTCCGACTCTTTGGAATACAATGATGAGACTAACGAGGTGTATCCCGGTGACGAAGATGATGCACGACATGACGCCTTCAACGCCAGCTCCGGTAGGAAAAGCCCATCAAGTAGCTTCGATTCTTCGACCGATCAGCGTCAACGAATTACGAAGACCGCAGCCTTACAGCCTACGGTAGATTCAGACCACGAAGATATGGAACCGGAGCCTTCGGTTTCCAGAGATTCTCCTCCTAATGCGGACCAATCTAGAGATTCCTATGTCGAACATTCGGAAGGGAAAGGCGATGAGCGTTCGGGTCTTGCTGTCCGAAGCGCAAGCCCTATTTCTGATCCATCTCAGGCATTAGATGGCACGAGGGTCTCAAAAGACAAGACGCAATCCACACAGGCTACCCTGGGAAGCGAGACGCAACCGCTCGACCCGGCGAATCCGGATCTTGAACAAGTTATCAAGAAGGGTTTCGAAGCATTGAAGGCCTTAGCGTTGAAGGGAAATGCCGACGAAGTTGAGACCGAAGTCCAACAACGGGTCGAGGAAGAAATGGCAAGACAAGACGAAGTCCGAAGACGGATTGCGGTAGAACAGGCAGAAAAACTCCTACTCTTTGAGCGTCAGGAAGCCCAAAAAGAACCATTAAAATGGCACAAATACCATGTAGAGATTGACACTTTGGTTTGGTACGATGTTCCATTTGAATATGATATGTACGACCATAACTACATAACCATACTTCAGCAGTTGGACGAAAAGCAGAAGAATATATTGTTCGAGCACACCCGTCGGCTGCGAGCAAGGCGCCTCCAAGCCAAGGCTCCGAGTAAGAAAACCCTGGCTGAAGAGCAAAATAAGACGAAAGTATCCGAATATGCCCATGTTCGCAGGCCGAAAACGCGTGGCAAGCCCGTTGGCCACCAAAGAACAGATCGGTACGACAATTCCGTTGGGACGAAACCGCTTCCCGACACAAAGAGATGGGTAACTGGGCGAAAAAACACCGACAAGAAAGCGTCTGCGACAAATGATGCCCGGGACGCCTCTCCGCCGCCTGCAATAAGAGAGCTCAATATCAACTTACAAGTCCCACCGTTTCTCGCCTGGCCAAGTGAGTTAGAGGAAGACAAGGAAAGTTGGGATTCGGTCACTCAGACTCCACCACGTGTCGAAAACGATGGCGCTCTAATTCAACTTACTCTTTCGGTGATCGAAGAACACATTCACAAGAATGGAGGAGACGATGCAGGCCTCCCGGCGACCTCTCAGCATCCCTTCTTGACACCTTACAGACTTGGAGAGGTATTTGTGGAAATTCCTGAGAAGGCCATCAATGATCTCGAATTCGAGTTCCAAGGGAATTCGGCGCCCCTTGATATTCGAGCCGAACTTGCTTTTCTACAGAAAGGGCGCGGAGGTACTAGCAGCGAGTCGAAACCAAAGGCAACGCACCTTCCCAAACGTTCTGCCATTGGCAAAACGAAAAGCAATCCAATTCCGATTAGTTAGGTTAGGCGCGTAACTTAGTGGCAAACGTCGAGACTGTGTACTGAAAGGGTCTCGCTTGTTTCAACCGCGTAGCAACTGATAGAACAATTCGTGCCTAAACACTATCCTCACCCATTGCTGCGAAAGTGTTGGGGTTCATTTGATGCTATAAACAAAGTAAGTAGTTATTCCCGAGGTCTTTCTAAACGATGCACGTGTTTCACGTTTGTTGAACCTTAGGGTTTTTGGCTTTGCTTACTGAACGTAGATTATCGCGCGTATCTGTAAAGAAAATGAGGTTTTGCAAAAGCAGAACTCAGCCAGCAGCTCCACGCACATCTACGTCGTGGACGATGTTCCAGATAAAGAATACATGCCAATGTACAAGCTGGAAGAATTCGCCGACCCACTCGAAGATTGTGCGTCATGTCTCAAGTCGGCCCGATACCCAGACATCGATGATGCGTTGCAACAATATCCAGCACTTTCACCCTCCAAAAAAAGACAATTCCAGGGTAGAACTTTACAAGGCGAACCTTGGACATTGGCTTGTGTCAACAGCGGGTTTAGAAATGGAGACCCGAAACACTGAAAGACCAACTTGATAGGCACGCTTAATCGGCGGACCAAGAAGCTCCTGTACAAAGCCATACAATTACGTAACAGTGTTGTGAACGAGAAGAACAGTAAATCTAGTAACTACCTGCTTCCACCCGCTGCAGTCAAATCAGCCGAGAAGTTGTTCCAGTTCATCTATACCGCTCTTTACACCGTTCGGTTTTTAAACGACTAAAAGGGTGTCCCACAATTCTCTGCTTAGTCCGAGTTACGCGATAACATGGCCCTGGCGGCACACTATGGGATCCTGGCCGACAAAGCCTTGTCAAAAGCAGAAAACGAAGTACTGGTGATGGCGCATACTGGATCGAGTGATGGCACTTCCATCGTGTATACGATATCTAGTCCTCCGGAAACCACCGTCCTCATTTCTCTAAGCTTTCTTATAGGGAGAGCTCTACATCGAGACATGGACATCCGTCAGCTTTACAGCGCTCATTTATCAAGCCTCGTGAGTACATTTTCTGCTCACGAGGGACCCTGAACATCATATGCTAATTGCCCTAGCGCTATAATGCTAGCCAACGTCCTTCTAAGCGCATACTTCGGGAGCTCTGTCTCTTAGAAGAGGAAACGGAAGTTATCGGCTCCATCTTCTCGCAGCAGAATAATGCATTGAAAACGCTCCGTGAAGTTCTTGATAACAGTAGTTACCGGATTACGGATCGCGTACGCATAAATGCCTTCGAGCGCATTGAGGAGCCGCTCTTCGAGGGAATGGCGGCGGCTTATTGCGATACTAAGAAAGCGATCAAACAGCTTCAGGATCAAATTCATAAAGCTACTCAGGTCCTTCGATATAACATCGAAATCGCCGAAGAGGGGAGCTCCAAGGCTATCATGGCCTTCACCTTGGTCACGCTCGTCTTTCTCCCGCTTTCCTTTGTTGCCAGTCTCCTTGGGATGAGCGCGGCCGACATAAGAAGCATGAAGAATACGCAGCTATTATTCTGGGAGATTGCGCTCCCGTTAACCGCCGTCATTGGAAGTGTTTGTCTTCTCGTTGCTTATAGAGGAGCGGAACTCGGCGAGCGAATTGGGGAGCTCCGTGAAACCATGCGAAAAGGCAGATCTAGGAGGAGCGAAATGGCCCTCGCGCCTACACAGTCAAGGAGACGGACCGAAGAGGATGCTGATGGCACTATGAGCAACCCGCTTAAGGCGCCCAGTACCTTGAAGCGACGCAAGACAGCGGGATGAAAATTCATGATCCCGACAAAAGCCCTGCAGCGATTGTTACACAGAAAGACGCCCAAAGTTCGTCTTAAGAACACACAGGTCAACTGAAAGCAAATCAGCTCCAGGCCTATTTAGAGGCTTCTTCTGCAGCCAGCACGACGTCATCTCGCCGCCATCATTCACTTACCAAATCCAAATTTCGTAGTAGTCCCACTTGAAAGCACGTCGAAAATGTTTGAGAACTAACCTTTTCTCATCCGTCATTCTTCAGATATCTCCTCAAATTTACGTTTGACTATGATTTCAATTTGTCTCCACAAAAGCTATATAAGGCTGAAAAAGAATTGAAACCACGAATAGAGAAAGAAATAGACGAGGCGACAGGGGCGTGGCCAATCCATGCTGAAGGATTCTCGTGTGAGTCACGACGATCACCCATGACATCAGCCAGACTACAACATCGATATCTCAACCCTTCCTTCTCTCTACATACATAGCTTTGACATTTCATTTCGAAATAGTATATGGACATTCCGGAAACCGCAAATCTGCGCATCACGATTGATTTAACGACCGAAGACGACGCTAGACAAGATGGCGCCCACCATGCCCGCCTTCCGGATGACCACAATACTAGCAATTTCACGAAGGATGATCGAGTCCATGACGAGGGCGTAGACGATGCTAAGCCGGAGGATATATTCCGCCACAAGAAGAAACGCAAAAACGCAAAGACCGCGAAATCGCACGCCCTCGTCGCTGCGTTCGAGGCCCGCCTCCGCCTCGTACCCAGCCCCGCGCCTCCCACGCAAGAACTGGTAGATCCGAGTTACCCAGATGTGGCGACTGAAGTGAAGACCACGGCATTCCCGGACCCGGTTCTCGTCCATGTTGGACGGAAGAAGACCATCTTCACCAACATCGCGGAAATAGCCAGGTTTGTGCGGCGGGAGGAGGCGCATTTGTGAGTCACGGCGTGATTCTCGTAGGGTAGGTAGTTCATGTGAGCTGATATGTGTATCAGGACCGCATTCTTGTTCTGGGAACTTGGGACCAACGGAAAGCCGGACGACGACGGGAACCTAGTCATTAAGGGGATTTTCAAGGAAGCGCTGGTTGGGAAGGTGGTTGGGCGGTATCGGGGGTTGTATGGTAAGCCATGGACACACACGATCACAATCTGTTCTACCTCTGCAAGTTCGATAGGCTAATAATATTGATCGTTCTAGTGACATGCAAGTCATGCACCTCAGATGATACTCTCCTGACCACGGAGGATAATCCACTCCAGGGGCTTCAGCAGCCACGGCCGGGGAGCACTCATGTTGTCACGGTAAGCACGTTCCTTGGAATGACTAGGTTGCTGGGTCTTCACTGACTCTCCTGGGAAGTGCAATGCTTGCGGAAGTGAAAGCACTGTTCCGGTGAGTTTTGGATGGCTGTTTTACTTAAAACGTGACTGATATTCGCAGCGCATTCGTTCTAGTGGATGTCGTGGGCTCACGGTCGGAAAACGTCGAACGGTCTAGAGCTAGTAGAAAGAAGAAAGCAGGTTTTTCCTTTGAAACATTCACTACTGGTAGGTGTGAGAGTGTTCCGAGCATGCCGGACGTGATTGGGGTCTGATGGACGTAGACGATATTTCATCATCAGAGTAAACCAGAGCTCTAGCATCTACGTGAAGTCCTTATCCATAAGTCCATCCGCATACTCATCGCATTGTCCTGAGCAAGTGCAAAAACCACCTCACGAGCTACCTCACGAGTTGCCCAGCAAGATCGCCCGAAGGAACTATACAGAGGACGGCTCTATAGCGGAGGTCGCAGCAATAAAGTACGTATTTAAAAGTAGTTACGCTCTGGAAGGGGAGTCGGTCCGTTGATCTAGCTAATTAGAAAACGGTAAATTAGCTAGGAAGAGGTTGGTGCGTCTAGCAAAGGGGGATGGTGTGTGTAGAAAAAGGGGTCGGAGGGCCACGGTGCGTAATCGTTTAGCAACGGCCCTAGCATATTGTCAAAGGATTCAGAGATTCAGCTATTAGCAGAAGCATGATGTTTTTTGTTTGAAAGAGTAGATTCACGAAATAGTCCAAGAATGTCCCCAAAGATGCATCTCCAACAAGCAGACAATACTCATTTTCCTATCTCTTAGGTCAACTCCTGAAGCTTTTTTGACATGATCTTACCACCATCACGACATCCAAGATAGGTTTTACAACTACATCGATGACTTGGAATCTTGCAGCATCCACCACCCGGAGCTAGGCTGAACTGTAGTAAGCCGCCCGTCAGTACGTACGCCTTCCATGCCCACCAAGCCCGCGATCATCGTGGTCTGGTACTGAATTCCGCTGGCAAAATCCTGGAGTTTGACCGGAACAAAAACAACACCGTCAGGAGTCGCATTTGGACGGATGATGGGGTAGGCAACGCCGTCCAGAACCAGCTGCTTGCGATCTGTGCCGTGCAGGCTGTTGGAGAAACTGCGCACGCGCTTAATTTTGTCATTGTCATCGTTCCAGAAGCAGAAAGCCGTGAGCCAGCCAGAATAAGTCTCAATGTCACCACTACCATCCTTGCCAATGGAGTGACAGGCGCGTAGCCAGAAGTCCTTGAGCTCCTGAGACTCTGGAATAAAGAACGTCGCAATGAAGCGCTTGATGATGGGTACCAAAAGTTTGCTCCATTCTTTCGCCTCTTTGCCGTACCTGGGAAGCTCCTCAACTCTGCGGAGGATTTCCTCCCAATCAGAAGGCTCGCCCAGCAGAGTGACGGATGGAAAACCGCATCCCCCCCTGAAAGCGTAGTCGAAGTAACGTTTCAATGTACCCATCATCACCACAGCAGCAATAGACTTGTCATTGTGGGTTGTGGTAGTAAACCGTGGCATAATCCAGTCCTTGAGTTTTGGGTCTACAACATGGTCGCTGATCAGATCCGCCATGTGCTGCGACATCTTGCCGCAATCGAGATATGCCACAGGCTCCGGACGAGCATCAACCACGAGCTCTTTCTTCCCCTTGTGACTTACGAAGAGAGACCGCAGTTCTTCGGCGTTGGCGTTGACGTACATGCTGAACTGCGTGAGGATGCAAAGCCAAGCATCGTCCGGTCGTAGTACAAGATGTAGATCCTGTTGGAATGCGCGAATGATTCCAGTGACAAACCCGTTCCCATACGGAACGATGACGGACGAATTCCTAGTAGCGAGGTCGTCAAAAGAAGATCTGAGGATTGGTCGACTCTCTGGATCCGGGTAGTGTCGTTCTCGCAGCCCTCCCCACGCTTTGGATGCTTCGCGTAGAAGAGCTTGAGTTGAGTCAACAGATGGGTCAACGTTGAATCCCTCGCTTTGGGGACTTGGCTTGATGGTGACTGGCATCCTTTGGTAATTTGGTCGTGTTTCTGCGACCTACCGTGGTTGATACAAGCTGGAATGAGATTCTGAATTGTGAGTGGGCCCAATGATGAAGAGGGACTGGAATTTATAAAGTACAAGGCAAGGCATCTCGCGGAAGTGTCTAGGGCTGCCAAAAATCCCAAACTGCATACTTCAGAGTTTGACCCTAATCCATTTCGCTTCCCTTCGGGAAGATGCAGGTTTGAATCAAACCAAGAAGCCCGAGATATGCTTCAGTCGCTTGTAGTCTGGCTAATAGAGTGAAATAAGGGGTGGTTAAAATATACAAAAGACACGCCTGGAAACAGCGACTCATTAGCGAAAGGCTACGAATTTGAAACCGATTAGATACCACAGATATCTCCGGTTGGCTTTGCGCACTCCAATATACTTTAAAAACACCTCTCACATCGTTGAGTTTTAGATGCACGTGATGTCATGTTCTTGAGGCCTTATACTAGAATGCCGTTGGTAGCTAATCAATTAGGCCATGGAACTGATTGGGATCAGATATCACAGCTCATTTCGCACATTCCGATATTCCTTGAAGACACCCTGGAGGCATCGTTTTTGAATCAACGTGATGTAATGATCGTGAGAGTGCATATCAGACCGACGACATTGGGTAGAAAGTTTTACCATAGTCTTGAAAGCCGCTGTGAATTACAGTTATTGCGAGTAAGATCTGCACACAGTCATACGCCATCAAGACGCCCCCGGGGGTCTTATATTCAACTCGACGTGATGTAACGATCTTGAGAGTGCATATTAGACCAACTGCGTTGAGTAGAGAGTTTTGCTATAGTCTTGCGTTCCAATCTGAATCCCAGCTATATTCTGTGAGAATTGCATACATTCATACACTCTGAAGATACTCCCGGAGGTTTCATATTGAGACTACAAGATGTAATGATCCTGAGAGTGGGAATTAGACTAACGGCACTGGATAGAGGATTCTACCATAGTCCTGACAACCACTGCAAATCAGATCTATTGTCTACAAGAACTGCACACCTTCATATGCCTTAAAGGCACCCCCGGGGGGGACTATAAGATGTAATGGTATGAAGAGTGCGAATTAGAGCAACGACACTAGGTTGTGGATTCGCTATATCTTGACTGCCACGGCGAATCACACCATTTGCCCATACGACTAGCACACCTTCCTGCGCCCTGGAGACACCCCCGGAGGTTCCATTTCTGAGACTGCATGATGTCACGATCCTGTGAGTGTAAATCAGAACTCACTCCTCGCCAACCCGAAACAAAGCCTCCACAACCTTGACATTCCTCCCACACCTCTCAAGCGTCTCCCTAACCGCCTCTCCCACACTAACAGCTTCCACACCGACGAGGTCATTCTCCACCAAATGCCAGAAGTCCGAATGGCTCTCCTCCTCGTTGAAGTTCGAATTGACCGTCATCCCTTTCATCCACTTCCCCACCTCCCCTTTCTTCCCCGCCTCCTCCGCTTCCCGCTTGATCTTCTTCACGTCCACGTGCGTGACCTCGAACTTCCCAACTTGCTCCTCCAATGCCACGAGCAATGCATTCTGCGACAGCCCCTTGACGCCAGAAATAAAGAGCGCCCGGTTGAGAAACGGACCCGGGTTCCGCAGCATGTTTGCCGCAGCGCGCCCCATGACAGGCAGCGGCGTCCAACAAGCCTGATTGTCACCAGTGCCGTAGACACGAGCTAGGCGATTCGGAATATCGAAACCCGCTGGACCTTTCGTGAGCCCTGTGACACATTAGAACAAGTCCTTAAGCCCCTTAATCCTTACAACCATCAAAGCAATAGTAGTGATTACTACTCACACATATCAAAAAAAGGCCCGCCGTTCAACGCCGTCCAGCAGATCTCCCCCTTCGCACTCCGCTCCTCCAACATCGCCCTCACTGCGATCTTGTCCCCCACAAACTGCGCCGGCATGGCGACGTATGCTGGATTGCGGATGTTGGAGACATACTCGTCTGCGAAGAAGAGCTTAACGCCTGCTGCGATGGCCGCGTCCAATAACAGCTTCTGGGAATCGAGGCGGACGGCGCCGCCGGGGATGCAAATGGCGATTGCATCTTGGCCTTTCAGGGCAGTCGTCAAAGAGTCCAAGGAGGTAAAGTCGACCTCTATGACTTCAATAGCCGCGGACTGAGGCGTGTAGGGAGAGTTCGAACGGGTTAAGGCCGTGATGGTGAATTCGGCTGGGTTGGCGAGGAGTTCGGTGATCAAGGCGGTGCCGACGTTGCCGCGGGGCTGGGAGCTGGGTGGTTAGATGGTGCGTGAGATACTTTCCTGTGGTGGTGAGCTTTTACCCCGACGATGGCGATGGTTTTGATGTGCATGGTGATGGTGGTGATTGAATTAAACTAGGAGATGAACAGACTGATGAGATGAAGAGACGATTCTGGATACTTGGGACGCTTTGGTTTTATATTGGATTGTAGTGTAGACGGTTTAGTCGCTCCTTGTGATGCCTGATGGTTGCCTGAGAGGAATGCTACACTGTATAGAAGCTATTCCTAACGCGGTGCGCTACAAATTTGGAACGGCCGAAACCCGACGACAACGTCCCGTACCCTCCTATCAGCTAGTTTACATCAACGGACTAATATGCAGTCTCAGGAACATAACATCGCGTGTTTAAAATGTCGCACCCGCGCGAGGCGCCTGGGACTGTATCAAGCCCCCCAAAACGAAAGCATGAAAATATACAATTTGGAGTGGCTGTCAAACTAACAGGTTCAGTATCATGTCATTTCTATAGGTCTAATCCACGGGTTCGAGAACATGACATTGTGTCGCTGGAAATCTCGCACCTGTGTGAGGCGCCCGGAGCCGTATCAAGCCCCCCGAACAGGAAGCACGAGAATATACGAACTGGAGTGCTTGTCAAAAGGTTAGGTCAAGTATCACGTGAAATCTGTAGCCCTAATCTACGGGGTCGAGAACTTGACATCGTATTGCTAAAATCTCGCACCTGCGCGAGGCGCCCAAAATCGTATCAGGCCTCAAAATGAGAGAACGAGAGTATACAATTCAGAGTGCTTGTTAAACGGATATAATAAGTGGTATGTTAAATTTGCAGATCTAATTCATGGCGCTAAAAACGTAATATTATATGTCTATTAACTTTAACCATGTAAAGGGCGTCTTTAAGGTATATCAGGGTGGGCAAAACAAACCATGAACGGCTGTAATAACTTGCCATAGTCAACTCCATGGCCTTATTGCCTAGCTACTCCCGGCGTTCTGATATACAGCCTGAAGAACATATCATACGTGTATCTAGACTTCAATTAGGTGAGGGGTGTCTTCAAGACATATCGGAATGTGCAGAATAAACTAAAGATAGCTGTGATATCTGATCCCAGTCAGTTCCATAGCCTAATTAATTAGCTACCAATGGCGCTCTAATATACGCCTTCCGGAACGTTACATCATCCCTAGGTGCTACTTGAGCGTTTAGAGCGCTCCGGACGGTGCTATCGTGTTGGAAAAGTGCTGGTGTATCGTAGTCTCTGATATACGGACTCCAGAACATGACATCACGTGCATGCAGACTTCAACCACGTAAAGGGGGTCTTCAAGATATATCAGAGTGTACAATCCGAGATAAAGATAGCAGTCATTTCCAAGTAGTATTCACAGCCATTGAATGAAGTTCAAACAAGTAACAAAACCCCATACTATCCCTAAAGCCCCTACGTGTCGTAGCTGCTACCGCAACCACTCCTAGGGGGTCCATAAAGTCATAAAAACAAGAAGAAAGGCCCCAAGACGTCCACTAGAACCCGAAAAACTCCCCAAAGACGCCGCAGATCAACCACCCAAACCAACAAAAGCAAGCCACCAGCTGCCACGACAAGCACGAAGCCTCCCACAACATCTCAAACACCTCCTCCAACACCTCCCACGTCCCCTGCCACGCCGCGGCCACGAACAAGCCCACGATAATGGCCTTAAGAGCCCCCAAAAGCCACAAGTTGTGCCTGAACGCCAACTCTGCCCGGAACGGTGCCCTCAGCGCGCGGTTCTTCTCCCACCTCTCCCGGGACATCACCCCCTTCTCCACCCACGCGCTCTCCGCTTCCTCCAACTTCTCCCACTTCTCGAGCCCACCAACTACGCCCCGTGCCACACAGACGCGGAAGTTGACGTCCACGTCTGGGTGGCATGAGGCGTAGTGCAGCTCGCGGGAAAAGGCGACTTCAGCCGCACAAGCGTGCGAGCACGTCGTCTTGGTGCCGGTGGCGGCGAGGGCAAAGAGGTGCAGCGCGGAGGGGCGGATCTGGCGGTTGCAGTGGTAGCACGCGATCCTCGGTCGGGAGCGGAACGGGTCGGTCCAGAAGGCATGGGCGAGGGTGGCGACGACGAGGGCTAGGATGATGGCGATGATGAGGATGAAAAGGGCGGCGTCGGTGTTTTTAACGATCCAAGTGACGACGCGGAGGGTGGTGAGGATGTCGTCGACGAAGGCGGAGACGTTCGTGATGAATTCTTCATAAAGGGCAGAAAGCGTGGCATCAAGGGCGACAAAAAGGACCGAGAGGGCGGCGACGAAGGCTTCGAAAAGGACACTGAGGGCGGTGACAAAAGCTCCAAAGATGGCCGTGAGGGCGACGACGAGGGGGGACACGACGTGCCGATTGAGGAATGGGAGCGCGGAGAAGCAGCCAACGACATGGCCCTTGATGATGACAAAAGCGGCGAAAGAGGCGAGGAATTGGTCCATCTTCGAGCGGAAGCGGTCACGCTTTGCTGGGACTATGCCAGCGAAGCGGCAGAAGAGGTAGATGGTGGCGTGGAGGAAAAAGAAGTTGATGAGGAAAAAGGAGACCCAGTCCTCGAGCCACATTGCGTGCTCAGGGTACGCGTACGCCAAGAAGAGACTACCAGTAGTCTAAATTCTGTCAGAAACGTGCGAATGAAGCTGCTATGCCATGAGGCTCTGAGTTGGAACTTACGTCGAAGTCGTCTGGTGCCATTAATCCAGCCTTGAGGGCGTTTCGGTACGATACGTGGGTAGTCATGATGACGAGGCTTTGAAGCGGGATTGAGAGCTTGAAGAAGATAAAGAGAGGCGAGGGTAAGCGAAATGAGACCAGATCAAGGAGAAAATGCTACTACTATCAAGATTTCGAGGAAACTCAGGAAGTCAAGAGATGTAGTGCGGTACGAACGGTTTCAAAGAGATGGAGGGAAGCTGAGAATATATAGTCCAAAAAATTGAAAACGGTGCTAAAGCACACAATACCTATTCAACTCTGGCTATTGTCGAGGCGGGAAGGTGAAGTGGGGGAGTGGTGAGGTTTTTGAATGGGAGGACAATAGAATTGTTGCTAGCGTGAATTGCCGACTCACCCTCTTGTTCGCGAACTTTACTGTCAACCCCCAACAATACTGTGCACACTCTTTCGCCACTGGTTGGAGTACCCCTATGGGGTCTCAAAAATCCAGGCTTGATATCAAATTCGATGCAGCGGGATCTGAGCTGCCCTTTGGCCGGCATGCCTCCCAGCCACGAGGCTCCTCCCGACAGTGGTGTCTAGCTTTCAGAGGTGGCAGTTAACTAGTGGTATTTCCGTGGTGAATTATCTTCATGAATGGATTTCGGATAGCTTCTGGGCGAATTTTGGCGCATCGGTGAAGTGTTTGAAGGACCCTAGGATCAATGAGTATCAAAGGAGCGTGATGTCAAATCGATGCACCTGTGAATCAGAAGCAAATTCAAGGTGCTTCAAATCAATCGATATAAAGAATTACATCGCGATACCGTCTGAACAAGGACTGGACTCTCACCAATTTGACAAACTCGTAAACTAGCCGAGCCACCCTATGGAGAATCATTCACTTTCCCCAAGGCCTCCAGAAAACCCAACTCGACGGTTCCCTCTCAACCGGTACAACATTCCTCTGCACATCAATTCCGACCCTCATTTTCCCGGACTTCCCCCGCACCACGCCCAATGCGAATTGCTCGTTTTCTAGCGAATGGAACCCACTCTTCTCCCCACAATTCGCGACCATCTCCACTAACTCGCTATCATAGATCATCGTCATGACGTTGGCAGGATACAATACATCGAGCCTCGTCCGCCGCTTCCAGCCCGGCCAAACGAGGAAGATAGAGATGCCGTAGAGGCACAAGATGCCGACGCCGAAGTAAAGCGGCACCATGCTGACGACAGCCAGCGTGCCCAGCTTATGAGCAATCACAATGGGCGGATTCGCGTGCGGGGTAGGTTCGAGAAGGAAGGTAGAGCCGTCGCCGTCGAGGTCGAGACCGGCAAGTAGTGCGAAAGCGGCGGCGTAGGTTTCAGAGGCAGCTGTGATCATAGTCTCTGGATCGAAGAGTGCGAGCGTACTTCGTGTCTGGTTGAAGACGGTCATCATGCTGAAGTAGTCCAGGTATTGGTAGTTGGACAGGACTTGCAGCTCGTTGCCGAACGTGTTATTGAAGAGCTTAGAGACATACGACACGAAGTCAGTGCTTGGGTCCGAGGGGCTGTGCCAGTAGTTGCGCGGGAGCTCTTCAGAGGTGATGGGTGCATCTTCTGCCACGAGCAAGACGCCGCCAGAATCGAGATCTGTGGAGACGTGTAGCTCGACCGTGTCGTTGTAAAAGCGCGGGGTGCATAGCAGTGACACGGCTTTGCTGATGTTCACGATACTCCAGTCAGCTAGAGTGCCCTCAACGCCAAAGATCCACCATCGGCCATTGTCAGCCGCCCCTAGGCCTGAACACTGCGCGGACTCGAGGTAGGTCCACGCCATGCAAGAACTGTCGCCAGGCACCGCTCCGGATAGCTGCACAGAATCAGGCACGGCGCAGGCCGAAGACCAGGTAGTCCCAGAGCAAGCACCCTCGCTCATTGTGACATCCCAAGCAGTAAGACCATCGGTTAAGTTGACCTTTTGAGCTTGAGTAGTCACAATCTCACATGTGAGATTGCTAATAAGACCAGCCAGTGTCATCGTATACGGAGCGTTTATCGAGACCGCCGGGAACCAGTAAGACAGGTCGTGCCAGCCCGGCATGGATTTGTAGCCGTATATGGCTCGAGAGAGTGCGAACTCGCGCAGGTTTGTCTGGAACGCGTCCGTGTTGTTCTCCGCGAAAGTAGACGTTCTCCAGACCTGCTCGTATGGAAGCTTTTCATCTTTATGTGAAGCAACAGCTTCCATAGAGAATATTCCAGAGGCACCAACGACCGCAATTTTGATCAGAGTAGTGACGATAGTGACGTAGAATAGCTTCCAATGGTGGTTTTTGAGTGCTTTTAGTGAAACTACAAAATGGAAGTCGTGCATGTAGCTAAGACATACGGATAGTCTTCCGGGTCTCCCCGCGGCCAGAGCATAGTAAGGCTGGCTTGCTCGGTAATACTCCTCGATAGTTTCCCACCAGAGCCTTACAATGACTAAAGTCAACGTTGGCGCGCCGTGGAAGAAGAGTTTCTGGATGTCGGCTGGGACTCCGCTCTTCCAGTGATGAATCCAAGGTGGTGTTTCTGAATCCCACATTTGGAAGCTGTTTGTGTTTGCAGTGATGATGAACTTGGCAACGACTCCAACTATTATGGCGGTAGCGGCCAGGACCAAGAAAAGTACTCCGGGATGCAGAAGTTTCGGGGTCCCTCCGTAAACTAGCTTTTGCAGATTTGGAGTTGGTGTTGCAACTGAAGGTTCGTCATACTCAAGGTCTACGCGATGTCAGTACTTATACTGCAATGAAAAGAAGACTATATGAGTCACCTTTCAGGCTCTCCTCAGGTTTGATGAAGGCAGGCGTATTTCCCTGCACGTGTCCTGGTCGTAGCCATCTACGGAGCAGTAACTTTGTGTTAGCAAATCGACGTTGGCTTTGATCTACAGCTTCATCCGCCTCTATCACATCTAAGCCTTCGAATAGACGTCGCGCCGATCGGTCCCTGAAAACGGAAGCTAGACCGGCGATTGAAGATGTAGGTCCTTCCAGACCAGTCCGATTTCGGGGCTTTCGTTTGAGGCAGGGAATATTCCATTCGAGGGAGCGTTCGCGCCAAAGTATAAGGGGAACTAGAGCATAGAAAAACAATGTGTAGGTCAGACCAAACCCAGAAAGATACCATCCAGATGATGTGTAAGAAATTGCACCTTTAGTCTTCTGCCAATCATCGAATGGAATGTACAATGCTGTAGCGGACGCTGTGGTAGCAACCAAAAATGGCCAAATATCCGTCACTGTTCGCAGCAGCATACATGCTGTTGACTTAGTCCAATCTTGTAACGGGTCTTTTACAGTCCCACAATCCCTGACTGACGAGTCATTGACTGCATAGTCCCAATAACTCACGGAGTTATTCAGTGGTTCTCCCCAAAACGTCCGAGATAGGCCGGGGGCAGTTGCGTTGTAAATGCGATTATTTTCGAAAAAGTTCACGTCTAATGGATGTTTCAGTGTGTTGGTCTGACCGTCACTATCACGGCGCACGACGCCCCAGGCTACCTTGATTTCTACCGTTTGCCCGGCTGACTGGCTGTATGGATAGACCTGATAGTTGAGGACATCCTTGATGGAGTAGGACGCTGGTTCGCAGCTGATGGCGCCCCATCCAGTAGTATTCTCGTCCGCCTCGAAGTCGTCCAGGCTCTCGGCAGCTAGAGGACCTGTGACGATGAGTTGCTTATAGAGAACGTTCGGACAATCGTTGAGTACCCTAGAATTGTTGTTGGCAGACGAGTTGGAGAATGTCAACCAAAGCGCGAAACTCCCATCCGGTAGAAACGGGTTACTGAAGCTTGGTGCTTGGTCACTGGAAACGGACGTCCAAAGCCCTTGATAGACGCATCCTTCTGCATCTTGAACAAGCATTTCGAGGTCCGTAGCAGAGCGAGATGAGCCGGACACATGAACTTTGGATGCAGTAACGCTGATATTGTTGACTTGAGTGCAGTTCGGCGAGCTCCAGATTGCTGATGTTGTAGCGTTCCAATATTCGCTTTCAGCAGCCGTGGCAGGGCGAGTGATGTCCTCAGAATCATCTGGAGCGTAAGGCATGATTCCGGCCCAGCCAGCATCGCCAGTGTTGGGAGAATCTAGATCGCCATACACCCACTTATATTCTGACATGTTCTGACCGTGATAGATTGCGTCCATAGCGATTGACGGCAGTCTTGTTCCTTGGGCTACGGTGACCAATTTGTCAATACTAACTGCTCGAAATTCAGCTGCTCTCGATTTGGTAACGCGGCCGCTCCCCGTCGTGAATAGACCCGACTGAACTGGAATCAACAACACACTACAATACAGGGCTAAGAATCCTATAGGCTCCTGAAACCTTCCCCGAACTGGAGCGGTCATCTTTTGCCATACTACTTTGAAATTCATTCTCCAACGAGTCGGCTCTGTGAGTTGTGCTAAAGACTGTTTTCGGATGGCAGCACCGGTCCTAGATGATAGAGCCATGAATGGAAGAATGATCTTAAGGTCGCCAGCTAGGCGGCCAATGATTTCGGCAACGATGGTGGCGAGGAATGCGGGACCAAATCGAAACGCCCAGTCCCACTTGGGACTAGACTTGACAACGTAGGTATGATATTTAGACCTCCAGTATAGAAGCGCGTAAAAAATGAGCACTACAGCGATGAATAGGGTTGTAAACGTCGAGGCAGACCTCACGAACCTGGGCCTCCAATTTGGCAAAGAGCTAATCGGCAGCGGCTCTGACGGATCGATGGGGATTTCTCGGAATTCCTGCACACCTTTTTTTCCTTGGGCGTCATGCTGGAAAGTGGGCTTGTCATCTCCTAGAAATCTCAGGTGTGGCGGCGATGGCTCAGCGTAATGTATCTGGTCAACGTTGTTATTGACGGTGCGTGGATTCTGTGGATGCGGCAACTGATATGTAGAGGCCTGGTTGTGCTGGTAGGCCTGACTCTGTCGGTAAGCTTGGCTCTGACTCTGGCTATGCTGGTAGGCCTCAGTCGGCTGGTACGTGGGAGTTTGCTGGTAGGCCAGGCTTTGCGTGTAGGCTGGGGAGGGTGCGACTTGTTGATATTCTGAGCCATGTGAGGTTCGAGGTGAAGATCTCTGTGGCCGTTTGTTCGCGGTAGGCGGTAGCACGCATGTTGAAGTAGAATAGTCGTACGGAGTATCACTAGATCGAGTACTCTCGACGACCGTTGGGTCATTGTATGAATCTGTGAAAGACGTTGGAGAGGCGGCATGTGGCGGGAATCCAGTTGCTTGCTCGTCTAACGGAGATGGCGGAGCGTCTCTAGACTGCAAAGGAGAGCTACTCGAGAAGGTCTCGTTGAAAGCTGAGGGTCTATCGTACTGATCGATTGGATGGATTGGACGTGCGGTCTCCCGTGGAAGTGCAGCATAGCTTTGAGGGTCACTGCGACGGCCTCGAACAGGCTTTTAGTACATGAACAAGATATCGCAAGTATTCAGGAGAATGTGCTTCAGATGGTACTAGAACTCAAACGGAAGCTACTGACCTTGATTGCGCACTGTCCCAGACCCGACAGGCTTTCTTGAGATAGAAGAGCGTAAAGAGGGCCCATCGATGGTGCCCCATGAATTATGAGAGTACAACGCAGGCGGCTCATCTTGCGGGATATCAGAATATCCCGCCATGTTTGCACGCAGAATGCAGTTTGACTTGCACAACAAAATGGGGATTACTCTGGATCCATTTTTTGAGAACAAGGCTGAACGATATGCGAGATAAACCGTGCCGGAACCCCATCACGGGAGCCCAACTATATTTGTCTCCTGCGGGGAAACAAGGCTGAGGCTCTGCTCTTCCCCAATCATGGATGGGCGACGCCCTGGTCTAACTATTTACAGTGCGGTCATGGACGCTAGACGTTTATTCATCGGGATCCATGGTGGTCAAAGCATGGTGGCTTCAGAGGGAGACTTCTCCTTGGACGACAGCGTGGTGGTTGCATCGTGATAATGCACGAGAGCTTTCCTCGGCTTCGAGGCGTCTGCATGGATTATCTGTCTTGTGCTAGATACGGTTTTGGTCCCGCTCTGATTGGAGGCGCCGTTTTGGGGGCCATGATGGCTGAGGAGGGACTGCAACGTGGATGTGGTGGAGTAGCTTGCTTTTTACTGTCCACACCACCTTGCATGGCCTGGGCAAAATCGAACGATGGGAAATATGATACGATGGCGACGGCGCGTTGCTGAATGAATGCTAGAGGCTGAAGGATGGAAATGTAGACGTCGGATTCCGGTGTATCCAGATAGCGGTGCCAAGAGCTATTCACGTGGCTCAATCCAGAGTAGGATGTGCAACCCCTGAGAACTCATAGAATGGACTAGTACTTTACATCACATCCTAGAAGTGCATTGGCCTATGTAATAATTGCTTTAAACTGCCAGAGCGATGGTTCCTGTTACATCGAGACCATAGTTCCACACTTATCGAAGCAACCCCAGACATAAACTCCAAAGCAATGCCTTAGATCCCAAACCCCCCTTTTGCGCTCACAAGAATGATATTCGAGTAGATACCTACTCTCGGTACTCCTTGTTAAACGCCCGCCCTATCACCATCCTCCTAACCTCGCTCGTCCCAGCACCGATCTCATACAGCTTCGCATCTCGCAGCAACCTCCCTGCCGGAACCTCATTCATGTACCCCATCCCACCCATGAGCTGAATAGCATCTAGGGCGCATTCTGTCGCACGCTCAGCAGCATACAGGATGGCGCCCGCGCAGTCCTGAGTCAAGATAGGGCTGCCGTTGTCGACCGCTGCTGCAACGGCGTGGGTGTAGGAGGAGGCAGCTTTGTACTTCGTGTACATATCTGCGAGCTTGCCTTGGACGAGCTGATTGTGGGCGATTGGGGTGTTGAACTGTTTGCGAGTGTGGGTATACGGGAGAGTGATGTCGAGAGCGGCTTGCATGAGACCTAGCGGACCAGCGCTCAGAACGAGTCGCTCGAGGTCCAATCCCTCCATCAATACGCGCACGCCCTTGTTCAAGGCTCCCAGTACGTTCTCCTTGGGCACAAATACGTCGTCGAAAACTAGCTCGCCGGTATTTGAACCCCGCATGCCTAGCTTATCGAGTTTCTTCGCGCAGGAGAAACCTTTGGTGGTAGTTTCAACGATGAATGCCGTTATACCCTTACTTGCTGCGTCCGGGACCGTCTTTGCGTAGACGATGATATAATGTGCATCCGGGCCCTATGAAAATCAGCATTGTCTCCTTTCCTTAAATCACGGCCCACCCTACTCACATTCGTAATCCACATCTTCGTCCCATTAAGCAAATACCCCCCATCCACCTCCTTCGCCGTCATCTTCATACTCACCACATCCGACCCCGCCGAATGCTCCGACATCGCCAACGCCCCAATCTTCTCTCCCGCAATCAGTCCCGGCAGATACTTCGCCTTCTGCTCCGGCGACCCATTCAGCATGAACTGGTTCACACACAGCTGTGAATGCGCGGCGTAGGAGAGCGCAATGCTGCCCGACGCCCGACTTATTTCCTCCATAATCACACAGTGGGCTTGGTATCCCATCCCCAGCCCGCCGTAGGCCTCATCTGCGGTCACGCCGAGGAAGCCTGCTTCTCCTAGCTTTGGCCATATCTCGTTGGGGAAGGCATTCGTGTGGTCGGTTTTTTGGGCCAGGTCTTCGGGGATTTCGCGTCCTGGGGTTGCAATTAGCGTAAATATTACATGAAAAGTGGACTTCGGGGGCTTACTTGTGAACTCCTGCACGCTCTCCCTAAGCTCATTCAGGTCTTCTTTCGTTGGCGGGACGAATCCCTTCGGATGCTTGGAACTAGCCGCTCGCCGCGTGTTTAGGGGTGTGAAAGCTGGTTTCTGGCGACATAGCTGGCGGACGCTGCGCGCGAATAATCGGGGCGGTATTATGGCGGCCATTGTGGTTGTGAGGGCTGACACGGCGAGTTGTGATGGAGTTGCATCTTAAAGATGCGGAGGCCAAAGTGTGGGGTCGGCCAGCGTCGGCGTTAGCTTTTCGCAATTCGGAGCGAGGCTGAGAAGTGTGAATTACCTGCCGGATACCGGATGGTGCTGGATGTTTTCTATGGTCAATCGGGTGGTGCCGTGTCATCCGAGCTGCGTTTACGATGATGAAGTTTGCTTAGAATTTAGTGGAGTTAGATGTATCCATGGATTTATCTAACCACAACCTTGGAATCAAACAATTGCATGTTTGTATGCCAATGCGAAGAGATATAGACCCGACAACTTCGAATTGATACTCTAGAATATCATCCCATGCGCACAGCCACTTCTCAGAACTACCCGCAGGCATATCCCATTCCTCATTGCACCAAACCTCCCTCCTTTCCTTATACCTTCGCCCTTCACGCCCCCTTCACAATCTCCTCTACACTCTTCATTTTTACCCCATTATTCTCCCCCACATCCAACGCCACCAAAAACCGACTCACACAATTATACCCCGCCACCACCGCTGTCAACTCCACCACATCCCTCTCTCCCAACCACTTCTTCAACTCCCCAAACACCCCCTCATCCACCACAACCCCTCTAGTCATCTGATCCGTATAAGCCACCACGGCCCACTCCCTCTCCGTCAATCCCCCTTCTCCACCTTTGCCTCCCTTGCCCACCTCCTCCCCTCTCAAAACTGTTGCTAGCCCCTCGGCTGTTATCCCGGCTTTGAAAGCGAGAGGCGCGTGCGAGTTCCACTCATGCACGGCGGAGTTTAGAACTGCGACGCGGGAGATGGCGAGCTCGCGGATGGAACCGTCCAACTGGGTTTGTATGCGCAGGGCGCCGATGAAGGAGTTCCAGCCATCGGCCACGGGAGGAGAGTGGAGGAGGGCGAGGTCCAAGGGAATGAGGGGCCGTGGAGCGCGACGGGCGGCGATGCGGCTGTAGATGGGTTCGAGGGAGGGAGATGGAGGGGTTTTGGGGGCATAGGGAAGGCGCATTGTTGATGTGGTGGTTCTTTGCTGGATTGGTGTGGTGGGTAGTTGAGAGTAGTGGTAGGTGAGGTTCAGAAGGATAGAACTTCGGAGGGAAGAGCGAGACGAGGTAGGATCTAGCTGAGTTTAAGTACTTGTAGTTCGCGTGCGTTAGTTAAGAATCGGCATTTGAATATGATTGTTGCGGCATTGAAGGAGCATGAAGCTCCGATATTCGGATTGCTGAGATCCAGGTAGCCCGTTCTTGAGCTGCCCGTTTCGAGGGGATGAGAGCCCTGGATTAGAGTTTCGGATAAGGTCAAAAGCAGAAACTCAGATATCATTCATATACAATATTTACACGATTGAATGAAGTACTCAGAGGGGAGGGAAATCGTCAGAAGTCGCTCTTCAGATGGCTGACTAAGCTGTCCGATCCAAAATCAGATATCAAAACACAAACTCCGTGCAAAAACCATCGCTACAATCACCATGTTTTATCAACCGCGAACATTTCTACAACCGAGCAACTCCTTCCAAGGGCGCAGTATTTACTTCCCGCGGCGCCAATCTGATGTTGTATTCGAGATCAAGTTTGGCGTTGGGATCCTTGGAGGGGTGGAAGTCGATGAGCAAATCGTCCTTGACAGCAAATACAGTATCGTTGGAAACATATGGGTCATCCCGGGGATATAGCTGGGTAGTCACGGGCTTGTACCCTTCCGCAGTCATCTGGAAACGACACAATCAGCAACGCTCAAGTCACATGCAATCTGGAGTCACTTACCATCAAATGAATATGAGCAGGTCTCATCGGGTGGCGGTCTAGTGCTCGGAAAAGAGCACCAGCAGCACCATCAGTTGGCAGAGAGTACGCAGTTGGCTTCAGGCAGTAGAACCAGTATTCGCCCTTTTCGTTAGACCTGAACTTGCCCCTTAGGTTGTTGGGGGCCTGGTTCTCTGGGTCTTGGAAATCGTATTTGCCATTGGCAGATGCTTGCCAGATGTCGATGACGGCCCCGGGGATAGGCTTCTTGGTGTCGAGGTCGGTGATCACTCCGTGCATAAGCGTCTTCTGGCCATTCGGAGGAGGGTTTATGATGATAGAACCGCCATTCTCGCGGAAAGGGGCATTGGGACTCCAGAAAGGGCCCAAGATGGAGGAGGAGGTGGGCTCTTCGCCGTTTTCGTTGATGTGTTTGTGTGCGATTTCATCCACCAGGCTTCATCACTGTCAGCGAAGTTGCAACTTTCCAGCCACGGATACTCACGATTCAAGGCCAACAACGTCGGAGATACGATGAGCCTCGTTTCTTGTGGCAGTTGAGGTTTGACCAATCAAGTTGATGAATTTAACACCGGCCATCCACTCGTCAATGGTAAGCTCGACCTCTCGGGTGAAGTCGTGGAGATGCGTGATCAATGAAGCCATGATCTCTCTGGTTCGAGGGTCGGTCTTGGGCCCCATCGCGTCAATGACGCTCTGGGTAAAGTCTGGGTTGAATCGCTCGGATCCGGGCATATCTGCGGTATTGAGAGTTGGAGGTGTGGTAGTAAAGTGGTATGAGAATTGCTGATGCGACAACTGTAGGTAAGGGATGATGTTGAAGTATGAATGCGTTGTTCGAGGACCATTCCAGGACCAGCCTTCTATATAATATTCCCTCCCCTCATGGCACAATCCCGTCCCTCTTGGCCGGTGTCAGGTCACAAGTGCCACGAATCGTACCTAGAAGCTGGCGGCACATCAACCGGCTCTTCGACGGGATCCCTTAGTCTCTCGTGAAGACCCCTCGATCCCCAGAACCCCACATGTAGGGCAGCTAGTATCCAATGAGCAGGGCTGTATTGGGGAAGAAATAATCATCCCTGGATGAAAGCTTTGCCGGTCGCATTCCCGTCCTTTCACCCCGCACCCTAATTAGCCCCCCACTAATGACGCGGGTGCTAATTCGGTATATACCTTTTTTCTACACGCGTTCTATTTACTTTTCAATTCCGAGTCCAGTTTCCGAGTCGGACTCTCCGGAAGTCAAACCATGCTGACATTTTTGGTCTCAGGATCGTTCTGACGTCCCCAGTGCATTGCTCCAAAGCTCAGAAGAATGAAGCACCATTTGATGATAGGGACTTGGACCCCGCCTGGGAGTATCTATACCGTAGAATTTGACGACGAAGCTCTCAGCCTAACATTGATTAAGAAGACCAGTATTCCAGAGGATGAGCCGATATCATGGATGACATTTGACGTAAGCTACTCTTAAACACATGCGGCAATCGCTAACATTCCGCAGCATGCGCGAAAGAACATCTATGGAGCTGCGATGAAAAAGTGGTCAAGCTATACCGTGAAGAGCCCTTCTGAGATTATACACCATGCATCGTACCCCCTAGGAGGCCACCGTACGTCCAACTTGGCCCCTTTCGAAGTAATGGCTTGACTTCAACTTCTCCCAGCGAAAGCGGCCTCTGCCGACACCAAAACACGGGCTATATTTGTCCTTGCTTCAAAGAAGCCGCCTTACCATGTATACGGGAACCCATTCTACGATTATGCGGGATACGGCAACGTCTTCTCTATAAACAAAGATGGAGGTCTACAATCGAATGTCCAAAACTACGAGTACTCAGAGAAGTCAGCAATTCACGGCATGGTCTTTGATCCTTCGGAGGCGTACATATACTCCGCAGATATGTGGGCGAACAAAATATGGACGCACAAGAAGGACAGTGAAACAGGACACCTGACGCTCGTTGGCAGCGTTGATGCGCCAGCTTCAGGGGACCACCCGCGCTGGGTTGAGATACATCCAAGTGGGAAGTACCTGTATGCACTGATGGAGGGCGGAAACAATCTCGCGGTATACGTGATTGATGAGAAGACATACATGCCCGTGTTCACACACATCACGTATCCCCTCATACCGCCAGGTATGCCTTCCAAATTTCCGGGCTGGATTCAAACTGATAGTGGTATAGGCATCTCGAATCCCAAAATGTACCGCTCCGACGTCGTCTTCCTCACACAGAGTAGCGAGTATCTCTTCGCGACCTCCCGCGCCAACTCCTTCTCCCTAACCGGCTACATCGCCGCCTTCAAACTGAACTCAGTTGGCGCAATCGAGCGCCAGATCTGCCTGAATCCTACCCCGACCAGCGGAGGTCACTCGAACGCCGTGAGTCCTTGTCCGTGGACTGACGAATGGCTGGCTTTGACGGACGATGAGAAGGGTGGTGTAGAGATTTATCGATGGAATGAGGAGTTCCTTGCGAGAGTCGCGAGGCTAGACATACCAGAGCCAGGATTTGGTATGAATGCTATTTGGTATGATTGAGGTAGCTTAGGTGTGTTGTTGGCGGCCTGTATAGAGTCGTTGAGGGTTGCTCTGTACGCTTTGAGCTCGATGCTGAGCTGCAATGATACCATGTGCACAGTAGTCTTGTAGAAAGTAAGATATTAGAACTAGTGAAGGGCACGATTGTTTACTTACTTGGGTGCTCGAGTGCCCCAGTGCCTTACATCTCCCCTCCAGATTTCGAAAGCCTGATATATACTTTGACATTGTGTATTACACGTAATTATACGGTCACTCTGATAAGTGTCATTCATCAATAGTAAAGTGACCACAGCATTCATTCAATATTCCCCACCAACCCTTCACCATTTTCGGTAAATCCACCCTCCGGTCGGCAACAAGCCTCCCTTTCAAAGTTCCTGATCCGAGTAAGCCTGCAAGCTCCCATCCCAGTTGATCAACCTAGGTACTGAAATACCCCGGAAACTCAGAAGCCGAAGCTAGCCGTCCCCGCGTTTTCACGATCCATCAAGAACAACTTCGCCCTCAACCCAACCTTTACATTTCAAGCTTCAAGCTTCTACTTCCCTACAGCACTCCTATTCTCTCGGCCCTTCGCAACAATGGCCGCCGCAATCCCCTCCCGCGAGCTCCTCCACCTCTTCCGCTCCTCCCTCCGCGGCACCTCCGCCCGCCCTCACCTCCGCCTGCATCCCCGAACCTGCGCACGCGCAATCGCAACACATACGCACTCCCAGCATGCAGAGGCTATCTCCATCCTTCCGACAGCCGTCGACACCAGCTCTGCGGATTTCAAAGAGAACAAGCGGCAGATGGACGAGCTCATGGCCAAGATGACGGAGCTACACACGCGGATCGCGAAGGGCGGACATGAGAAGGCGAGGGCGAAGCACGTAGCCCGAGGAAAGATGTTGCCTAGGGACCGTGTCACAGCGCTCATAGATCCGGGGACGTCGTTTTTGGAGCTCTCTCAGCTGGCGGCGTATGAGGTGTATCCTGGCGAGGATGTGCCGGCGGGCGGGATAGTGACGGGGATTGGGACGGTAGAGGGCGTGACGTGTATGATTGTCGCGAATGATAGCACGTAAGACGTCCAGAGGGTGTTTTCTGGGGAGTGAGAGCTGACGTGGTGTAGGGTCAAGGGTGGGACGTATTATCCCATTACAGTGAAAAAGCATTTGAGGGCGCAGGCGATTGCACAAGAGAACAGTGTGTTAATTGATTTCTCTGGGATGGATGACTTGCTAACGTGTGTAGGACTACCTTGCATATATCTTGTTGATTCGGGAGGAGCCAATCTGCCTCATCAGGCGGATGTCTTTCCTGATCGTGATCATTTTGGCCGTATTTTCTTTAATCAAGCTAGGAGTATGATTATTTTCTTCTTTCTTTCAAGCTTCAATGCTGATATCACTCAGTGTCATCCGCTGGAATACCCCAAATATCCGTGGTAATGGGACCATGCACAGCCGGAGGCGCCTACGTCCCTAGCATGTCCGATGAATCTATCATTGTCGCCGAACAGGGTCACATTTTCCTTGCTGGACCTCCATTAGTAAAAGCAGCCACCGGCGAGGTCGTCAGCGCAGAAGATCTCGGCGGCGGCAAGCTTCACAGCGAAATCTCAGGTGTGACCGATTACCTGGCTGTCGACGACGCCCACGCCCTCGTTCTCGCCCGCCGGAGCATCAGCAACCTCAATTGGATCCGAGGCCAAGCACCTCCTTCGTCCGCAGTCACCAAGACCTATAAAGAACCCATCCACGACCCCTCCGAGCTCTCCGGCATCGTTGGCACCAACCTCCGCCGCCAAATCCCCGCCCACGAAGTCATCGCCCGCATCGTCGACGGCAGTGTCTTCGCCGAATTCAAGCCAAACTACGGTTCAACCCTCGTAACGGGCTTCGCGCAAATCTACGGCCATCGCGTCGGCATAGTTGCCAACAATGGCATCCTCTTTTCCGAGAGCTCGCTCAAGGGTGCTCATTTCATCCAGCTCTGCGCTAAGCGACAGATCCCGCTCGTGTTCCTGCAGAATATCTCGGGCTTCATGGTCGGCGCGGATGCGGAGAAGGGCGGCATTGCGAAAAATGGCGCCAAGTTAGTGACGGCGGTTAGCTGTGCGGAAGTGCCGAAATTTACCGTTGTTTTTGGGGCTAGTGCAGGCGCGGGAAATTATGGCATGTGGTGAGTACCTTGTTGTTTCTTTCCTTGTCTCGATGCTCTGTTTGGTTTAACTGCATCTGCCTTTTGATGGAGTCAGGTGGCTGACGTATTATAGTGGTCGCGCATACTCTCCTCGCTTCCTGTGGACGTGGCCAAATGCTCGTACCTCCGTCATGGGGCCTGAGCAACTATCCTCAGTCATGGAAGCTGTAGGTAAATCAGTGGATCCAGATCTGAAAGCAAGAATCGAGCGCGAGAGCGAGGCGACGTTTGGCTCGGCAAGGCTCTGGGATGACGGTGTCATTCCACCAGAGCACACCCGGAGAGTCCTCGGAATGGGATTGCAAGCTGCAATGGGCGGACAGGCGAAGGAGGTGGAGACTACCTTCGGCGTGTTCAGGATGTAAAGGCCATGCAAGAAAAGAAGCGTATTTATATCTCATAACAGTACTTGGCGGGGCTTAGATCATGCATATCATTATGCTTTTGCATCTCAGAGGAAATCTGGTATTTAGAGAACGGTAATCGGCAGCGATAGCCCGCCCTGACTCCATTCAACGCTCTTCCTGTCTCCAGCATCTCAACTCTCATTAGTCACTCATGACCTTCTGGCCTTGGAGCTTTTCACAAGTACCTTATCAATGTCTCTCTTGAGCTAAGTATAGTCCGATCAATATGCACATTCATTTCTTACTCGTCTTGTTGTCCTTGATTAGACAAGTTCCTAGTGGGTGAGATAAGATGGCGAGGGAATTAGGGATAACGATGAAGAAACGCAGGTACAAAGAACATAATCTTTCAATTTGCTCTAACTAGCAACATCCGAAGGTTTTCATTCCGTCTCATATGAAGAACTTCCGAACAGGTCAAACCGCCTAGCACAAAACACCAATCATTTTCTCGGCGTCGTCTTCGCTGATAGAAACCAGTTCCTCTAGGGTACTCTCTCTTTTGTAGCCATATCTCACATCCCTTCGCTTGTCCATATTGGTTTTCAGCATAGCCCCGCTAAATACGACCGAGAATCCGTTCGCGGCCTCAAAGAATAACTCCGCTCCAGTTGCTTCCAGACCGGTCCTCAGTACGAACTTCGACCGGTTCGAGCCGCTACGTCCTTGAACAACGAGGATGAAGACAACGTCGGATTCCTTCACGACGGGCTTCCGTGTTGTCTGGTGGTAACGCGGTGGGAACCCTCTGATGATATTCCCTGGGTGACATGTATTTTCGGGCATGCCAATGCCTGACTTGCTTCGCATGTTACAAGGCAGTTGGTAGCAGGAGTGATCGGAGAGTTGGCGAGTGATGATTGTGGTTGCATCCAAGCGTCGTTTTGCCCGTGACGGATGACGTTGATGAAGCGCTCTAAGTCGATTTGAGACATGTCGTGCCCTACGATGTAGCGAGGCTGGTCGCCGAATTCTGGGATGACGGATGCTATGTCGATTTGAGAGCCGGCTCTTTGGAGGAGGTCGGAGCCTTTGCGGACGTTGTTGCGGCCCATAGTGATGATAGTGATTGCTGAGAAAGGAAGAAACTTTTGGAGAAGACTGATTGTCGGAACGCAAAGCGATCTTGGTAAGGAAGCTTTTATAAGCAGAGGCCTAATCAGTCCCGCGGAAAGACTCTCAACTCACTAGCGGTGAGATTACAAGCATATGTAATCGTTATCACTCACGTACATCCAAGCACCACGAGTCCATAAGTTCAGGCGCTCATTTTCTTGCAACTCGCCGTAGTCTTGAACTTCATTGGCTTGCGATATGCACGTTCGCTTGGAGACACCCAACCCAGGCCGCATTCAGAACTTTTGAGTCCTTGAACAGGGATGTCTAATGATGTTGCATGGGACTCTGATTGTCGGGTCGGCACCGGTAGGCAGCTAACAAATATATAAGAAGACAATAGTTCGTCGCTATGGAATAATCACTTCTTCATTCTCTCTCGACGCTCACTCTGCCCGCGAACTTCAATCGCGCCACCGTTTCTCCTAAATAATACTTAAGGAGCTGGCCTCCGTCAAGTTCCCGGCGCGAGGCCATAACACTACTCATTCATTATATACGCTTGTTTTGCAATTTCCAAACCAACCTTGTTACTGCGACCCTGTCTTACCCACTCTCGAAGTCCTTTCGACTGACCAACCATCCCGAATCTTGAGCGAATTCAGCACTAAACATAACCAAACCGAACCCATTCAAACACACCATTCTGAATTAAGCAGACGAGGTGAACACGCTTCGTCACATTCGGGATTTGCCACAGTCCGGACTCGCAGAGAAGGCATCTGCACCATTGTCAACTCCTCCGTCCCTCCAAACACCATCCACTACCGGCTCTCTTCCTCATTATGCTTCAACTTCACCCAGTGATTCTCCTTTCACGCTCTCTTCAGAAGTCTTCAGCCAATCGGGCAACCTTCTATGCAACATATGCGGAAAGACCTTCATCAAGGCACACGCGCGAAAGTAAGTCATATATCGTTCACTTTGATGCCACCGCTTAGTCATTACCCCTAGCCAGCACCGCAAGGGTCATAGCCGAGACTGGAAGTGCGCCGAGAATGGCTGCAACCACGCATGCGATACCAAAGCTCACCTCAAAAAGCATGTTCACGAAAAGCATCACGCGGACCCAACGCGGACATACGTATGTCTTGAACGGTCTTGAACGGTATTGTCAGAAGTACGGTCATCCATATGACCGTCGGGCCAACTACAAGCGGCACTGTAAGGCTTATGCGAAGTTCCATAGGCATGAGCTCGGCTGAACTTGATGCTGGTGGAGGATTTGATTGGAGCTTGCTTGGCTATAATGTCTGACATGACGCTCGTTGATGAATGAAAGCCTATTTGATGCTAATTCGCTTCCAATTCTAGCATATGTCTCGATGGCCGAACTTCTTTCAAGATCTACCGTAGCACCTTCGCAGATCACCTCGCACTTTGCGTCCCAAAAGAGTAATTCTCGCAACAATGAGCACCTATCAACCCACCTCTTTCAGCTACATAGCCCCGCGCTAAAATATTCCCTTAATTACAATTCCCCTGACTTCACCTCTCTATATAATATTCTCCCTTCCCAACCTCAACCCCTTCAAAATCCCCCTCAACCTAAACCCACCCACACACCTTTCACTCTTCAGTCCACCTCCCCAATCACTCCACAATGTGCCTCCTCCTCCTCCTCCTAAAGTGTTTCAAGAAACCCGACAAATCATCCGACACCGCCACGCATCCACATCCACAGATGCAGCACGCTTACGCTCAACCACCGCCATCCAGCGTTCCACCCCCGCGATCGCGACTGCAACGCCGGAAATACGAGGACGATGTTAGGCAGTATGGTCCAGCGGTTGCGCAGGCGAATTGGGAGCGAAGGAGGGAGGCGGCGATGAAGGCTTTGGGGGGAGGCGGGTGAGTGATGCTTCTAAGGTAGTGGGCGGAGGGGTGCTAATGGAGACTAGATGTTGAGAAGAGGTTGGTGGGCTAGGAATTGAAAGGGCAGGGTGCGGGTGAAGAGTTGGGAGAGTTCGGTGGATGTGCGTGAAAGGTGCTGATTAGGTAAGAGGCGTTGAGGATGGGCTCTGTTGGAGCGAAGGGGGCTGAGAGTCTAGAGAGGGCGTTGGGGGTTTCGAATAATGTGGCTTCAGTCGATTTTAGGAGATAGAGTCTGGTGTTATTGACATACAATGTCGACGCGCAAAACTTGAAAAAGAAGCGACGTGCCCCGAAGAAGTACGAATCACCTACAACTCTAATGCCTTGGAATTTATGCGATTCCAATTCTCGGCGAAATTATTTTTATCAGACGTGAATTTTGGCAGAATTACACATACTGCCTTCTGGTTCAAACACTGGCATACAATAAAGTATGATGAGTTCTTTTGCAGCTTCAGCTTAAAAGCGGTGTCCTTTCGTTCTCGAGCGGGCCCTTCCTCTCCTTTCGTAATTCTGACTTGACATGAAATATCGTCCAAATAGCCAGCAGACCTGCAAATGGAAATGGGCCAGCCCACCCAACTACATATACAGCCGCTTTCGGCAACGTGAACACAAGAACTGTAAGAAGAACAGCAAAGACGTAGAAGTATAGCATCCATACCACGCTCAGGTCCCAGATCATCCTGCGGAAGATCGGGCTACTGTCATATCGCGCAATGAACGCTTTGCGATACTCTAGCCCGCCGCCGCCGTCCACCGCCACAATGTCTTCGACAATGTAGAATATTGCTGGTCTCACCACATTTCCAGCGTCCAGACTGCCAAACCGGAACGGCAGCTTCAGTTCAAGGCGGCTGAGAGCCAATGACAACAAGGCGAGAGTGGCCACGAGGTACATGAGCACCGCTGCTGGTAATGAGATCAAACGAATCTGCAAATCATGGCCGTCCTGATCCGCGTCCCCTCTCGCGAGAGCAGAAGTGATCAGGGCGGAAATGAGGATCAAAGCCAAAAAATAGCCCCATTGGAAGATATCGAGAGCGTGGCGTGGTGAGTTGAGTGGACGGTATTCTGGTGAAGAGCGAGTCAGTTTCCAGACGCGGTCGACAATAGCGATAGCTGTGAAGATCCCGAGGACTGCCGTTGGGAGTGTCAAAACTGTGTTACATCGATTTGTTTAGCAATCACATTCTTTGAATTGATACCTGAATGTGGAAGATCGTACCGTGCAGGCGATCTATTTCTGGCTTGCCATACCAGAGACCGTAGAATAAGCCTAGATTTATGAAGACGGGAGGGATGATGATGACAGTCCAGGCAATTGCAATAGATGCATACCGGCTGTGAAGACTGTACGGGAGCTCGACAACCATTTTTAGCTTGTATTCAGAGCCGCAAATCAAAGATGAACTGGATACTGCTTCTTGTGGAGAGGGAGAGGGTGTATTGACGAAGTGGGAACGCGGGGCGTAATTTTGCTTACAAATAGGGGATACGGCGCTAGTCCTATTGTATATAGCCCTTGAAATAGTGGATCTCAGCGTCCACAAGTCGCCTCAATCTCAACCTCACCCACGTCCCCCCTACCCGCCAGCTCTTTCCGCAAGAAAATGAATCACTAAGGCCTAGCTCTCTACTTAGAGCCAAGTGCTCCTAACAGACAGCAGTAGGTGTGACTCGCAGCCTGACTGTTATTGCTTCGGAGCATTCGAAGAAGAGGACGACAGCAGGGGCGATATAGAATACCTAGGTAGTCGATCCAATCTCTTCCCAATCAGGTATGTTATGTAGATTTCTCAGTTGACATCAGATGCTTCTAACGTGCTTTGAATTTCTCGGGTCGGGTCAATCTACCTAAACCAACAACCCCGTCTTTCGTCTTGCCGCAGCATAGTGACCAACGTTCCAAGGCCCAAGGAATTGCAAGCATCCACACTAAGACAAGATCTATATACACTCAGACATCCTTAATAGTGAAAGCAAGAGTAGGAACACGCTCGCCATTTCCGTCATCGCGAAAGACGATGACAGACTTACAGTCTTCAAACCAAAGTCCGCCTTGTGACTGATCAGCATCCATGCAGTTCTCCTCCCGTTCGCAGACGCAAGCAATGCTTGGCCCTCCTGTGTTGTTGCCGCAAACTCGACTCGTTCTGGCCATTGTCCAAGCTGTTTGCCGTTGTTCGCAAGCGCTTGTTGCACGACTTCGTTGGTCTCGTCGTTCTCGACCGGAGAAGAGATGATGTAACGCAGACTCTTGACCTCGCCACCAGCAATTTGCTTCCACTGGAGCTAAGATACGTCGGCCCATTGCGCGAGAGCTGGCCAATCGCGTTGTGGGACGGGAGGATCCTGCTTCGGGGCTTTGTATGCGCAGCCGTACGCTCCGAACATGACGATTGTTCCGCTGGCAACGTTGTAGAAGGAGGAGTACTCCGCGTGAGTCGACTATAAAAAAGCATTGTCAGCGTCGCTTTTCCGGATGCCGTCCCCTGATCGCCAGAAGTCATTCTACTATCTCATCACAACAAACTTACAGCACGTGCATTCCCATCCACATCATACTCCAACTCATGTTCCCACACGATAAAGTGGTTGTCGCCAGCAGCACCCGCAAGCAATTTCGGATTGTCAAACATGGTGGTCGATATCCCGAGCCCTGCAAACGCCCTCAGGATAGAGCAATTGACCGTCCAGGCATCCGGGTAGTATGCACTGAAGTCGGCACTGTCCCATCCCTACTTCTTCAAATCGCTGAAGTCGTTCCATTTAACGATTGTAGAGGGGAGACCTAGGATCTTGGCGGCCTCGTCGTCACTAGCCGCCATGGCTTCCAACATCTTCGCGCCCTTGCAGGCGAGTTCGTCGAATCGACCGTCTGAGAGAGCCGGTGGGGGCCATGCTCGGGGATGCAGGAGTCTCTGAGAGATGTTCTGTAGATCTACCTTGAGGTTATCGATGGGGGGAAGGTGGTCCGAGGGAGGTGAGTATGGCTCTCTCGACACCTTTTTGATAGTTTGTTTCAGGGAAGTCAGAATAAAGACGCAGAGGAGTGCCACAACCAACATAATCAACCCACGAAAGTAGCGCATGTTGGAAAGTTGGGATCTGCGATACTTGCGTAAGTGCATGCTGATTGGTATAATACACTTGGTGTGATGGTGGTATAATAACGCTGGTGTGTTAAGTCGTCCGAAGAGTACCAATCACCTAGAGGACTATCATGAGTCCGTCCTCAATTCACCACGTTTAACCATTGAAGCCGCTGTTACCCCCCAGGGGGTCCTCCTGACTTGTGGTTAGTTACTTGCTTATTTACGCTTAGCCACTGTGCATCGTCAAAAGCCGAGAAATGATATACGACTTTCACCCATTCCGAACATGTAAGTCTCTCTCAGTACATAGCCTGGCAGTCAAATTTATGGCCTCGTCTATATTTAAAGATTCATATCCTCTGTTTGTCACGTGAGTCAAGTAGGTACACGCAGTGCATGAGCAAGCAGTTGGTTGTGGTGTTTTCTATACCTTCCTAGAGCAAGAGAGGGAGCTGTGGGAGCTCCTGCCTTGCATGTCAGGGGCGTACCTGCCAGAACCGTACCTGCCAGGGGCGTACCTGACACCATTCCCGATCCGTTTCCTTCTTTCTCACTCTTCTTCTTCAACAACTTCGAAAACAATTCCGATCAACAAGCACTCAACAAAAGCTTCGGAATGTGGAGGTTCGTAGCTATTGCCCTGCCGCTGACAGGCACAGCAAGCGTTGCAAGTCTTGCGAGTGCGCTCGATCAGGTATGCATTTCCAACGCCAGTGCAGTGTACCTCGTTCTCTTTCTTCTTTTCTGGATAAGAGCTAATAGTGTCCATCTTTTAGGGCCATGAAGGCTTCAGAGCTGCAGATTCCCCTCGCCGCGACTTAGTCTCTCGCTCAAATCAATCGATTGCCCACCAGGATTTCTCCATTTCCCCCCATTACCCATCGTCGACATCTCCGCCGATTACATTCTCGGCCAGATCGCCACCAATGAGTCTTCCGGTAACCATCAAATTGGAAATGCCACTGGCTTTTCTACGCTCGTCGATGGTCCAATTCAGTGCGGCCCTGGCAGCCCTTGTTTCGACGGGTCTTGCTGCAATAGCGATGGAAAGTGCGGCTTCAAGCCCGCTCACTGCCACCCGAATCCGCCGGCCACCTGCATCTCCAACTGAGATGCGAAGGCAATGTGCGGCGTTGACTCCGAAGGCGGAGATAAAAAGTGCGGCTTGAACCTTTGCTGTTCATACTACGGATGGTGCGGCACTGAGGCGGTTCACTGCGGGGACTACGACTAGGACGGCAACTCGACTCCATGCCAAAAGGGATTTGGTGGCTGTACGGTCAAGTCCTCTCCAAGCTGTGGCCCTGGTAGTGGAACTGTCAGTGGTGGTAGGAAGATCGCCTACTACCAATCTTGGAATATCCGCACTCGAGCTTGCAATCGCATCTGGCCCGAGCAGATCAACACGACTGGTCTTACGCATCTATACTTTGCATTTGCCTACATCGATCCTGTCACTTTTTCGATCGTTCCAGCCGAGCCTGCCGACGTTGAGCTCATTCCACGATTTACAGCTCTGAAAACCCAATCCATGCAGACATGGATTGCCGTTGGCGGATGGTCATTCAGCGATCCTGGACCGACCCAAGGGACGTGGTCCGCTATGACCAGTTCCAAAGAAAACCGAGCATCGTTCATCACGTCGGTCATCTCTTTCATGAACTAGTGGGGGTTTCAAGGCCTCGATCTCGATTGGGAGTACCCTGCCACAGACGTGCGAGGAGGCCATGAAGAAGATACCGCAAATCTCGTGTTTCTCGTTCAAGAATTGCGGGCAGCATTCGGAACCCGATACGGTTTAAGTGTCATACTGGCCCCGGACTACTGGTATCTACGAGGAATGGACCCTAAGGCCATGGAACCCTACGTAGACTGGTTTGGCTTCATGGGCTACGATCTGCATGGTGCCTGGGACGCAGCTGTGAAAACTGTTGGGCCTATCATTCGTCCTCAGAGCGACATCCGGGACATTGACAAAGATCTTCTGCCGCTCTGGTTTGATGATTTGGATCCCCATAAAGTCAACCTCGGACTCGCATACTATGGCCGAGGGTTCACTGTCAGCGATACAAAATGCATGTACTTTGGATGCACCTTCACTGGTCCCAGCAAAGCGAGCAACTGCACTCAGACTGAAGGCTTCATGAGTGATCGGTAAATCCAGCAGCTCATCGAAAGCAAGGGCCTGTATCCAGAGATGATCCCGAACACTACGGTCAAGCAAATCACTTGGGATGACCAATGGATCGGTTACGACGATGAAGAGACTTTCGCCATGAAGGTTTCTTTTGCCAACGATCGCTGTCTCGGAGGCACCATGATCTGGTCCATCGATTTCAACTCTGGAATTGGAACCGGAGATGATCCTTCTGGTGGGAACGATCCTGGTGCACCTAAGGACTTGACTGGGGACTACTACGTGGACAACTCGGTGTACAGGGGCCCCAATCCTAGCATTCAGTGTGTACCTCCATGCACTATTATATTGCCTCCATACCCGTTACCTTCGATGACGACCATCAGTTGGCCAGCATTGACAACCACCTTTCTATCTCTCTCCGGTGGCCAGACGTCAACGATTACTACGGTGAATCCGACCCTTGTCAATGATGCCCCGACACCCATGACCGAGACGGTGCTTTCAGTAAATGGTGGAAGTATATTGACCGTAACCACCACGATCAGCGTTCCTCCGTTCACGACCAACGAGATCAATTTCTGGCCAGTCTCGGTTGAGTCAACAGACGCGCCCAATGCAACATTCTATCCTCTTCAGAGCGTCGTTCCGCTTCCCATAGTCTGGACGCTTCCTCCCTGCGAAACCACTTTCCGGCCAAGTCACAATCCCGAATTTGAAGGAGGTACCACATCTGAGCAGCCGGTACCAACCATTTGCCCTTTAGGATCACAGACTATTACGATGCAGCTCATGCCTACGGTATCGATAAGTGTCCCACCGAAATCTTGGCCAAGCATGACCGGAATTCCATCAATAGCGTCTGAAAGCTTTCAATTCCCCTCCACAGTCTCGGTCGGACATGGGCGGCCAAAGCCTCAGCAAACCTGTACCCAGAATTGCGGCTCTAAACACTGCGAGAAGTTCGGTTGCGGCTGCGGCCCCTTAGGTCTATCGAGCGGACCCGGCTGCAACAATGGTGGTAAAACGTGTGGTCTCTTTGGCTGCGATGGCGGATGCGGCATCTTTGGATGCGGCGGAGGTTGCGGGCTTCTGAAATGTGGTGGCAAATACGGTCCTTGTTCGCTTGAAGAATGCGGAGGTCCAGGATGTATTGATGGTAAATGCTCCTCTGGCTGTCCCGGTGGTGTCTGCCCTCCCGTCAGCTCTCCAGGTAGGCCGTCGGACTCTCCTACGTCTTGCGAATCGTCGATGACAGCAACGAACGTCTTCGTCTCGTGCACTGAGGTGAATCCAACATCGACGAAGTGCACGACGACGGCATCGAGGCTCACTTCGGGCTGTCTTGTTCGAGGCAGTACAATGACATCGACTGGATTTCCCTCCTGCCCGCTCGTCACAGTAAGCCCCGATGGCTATCAGGGTAACGATGAGGACTACACGCCGCCGGGTGGTTGGCCTCAGCACCCGCCCGCGGTCGATCCTCAGCCAACAAGGACATCATCGTTGCATCCGCCTGAAATTGACCCTCAGCCGACCACGACATCGTCACATCCGCCCGAAATTGACCCTCAGCCGACTACGACGTCGTCGCATCCCCCTGAAGTCGACCCTCCGCCAACGTCAACTTCGAAGCCAAATCAACCTGAGATCGACCCTCCGCCAACGAGCTTGATAGTGCCGCTCCGAAGCATCCGTGATTGTGCCAGTCCAGTTGCCAGTCCCCGCTACAGCCGCTTTGCCAATACGATTGCTGACGAATTCGTGCACGCCGTTTGACCCAGTGCTCTGTCTGCGTACGCTAAACCGACCTCCTGTGATCATGATCAATAATGGGCGGCGTGACTGCGGCACGAACACAGCCTTAAGAGAAAGAATTACGCAAGGTGTCTGTGTGTCCAAACCAGGTGGCTACGATTACGCAGGAGCTTTAGAGCTCACAGATCATCATTTAGGAGTTAGCGTTCATATTTTCGATTGTTATTCTACGGTTGATAGGGGAACTGTGTGCCGATAGGGCGACGTATCCAGACGCTCTACGATGTATGCATAGGCAACGAGCGAGACAGCTGTATAGATAGGATTGCAACCTTTTCCATTATGGTTTTACTCTTCGCAACCTTCCTTAAAGGTTGCACACTCCTAAGTGACCGGTTTGCTGATTGCCATCGCGATGCCAGCGATCTCAATTCCAATTCAAAAAGCCAATCACACCTCCCAGCTTCCATCCCGTTTGGCTCCAACGCATCACTTCCCCTAACCCACGTATTCCTTCGCCACCCTCCATCCTTCACCCATAAAACCCCATCTCCCCTCTTAGTTCCTCTACTCCCTTCTTAACTACTTCAAAGAACACCACACCACATCCGAAATGTCCTATTGGCTCCCGCAATACTACTAACCCCCCGACGGCTCCACCCCCGGCCTGCGAAACGGCCAACTGATCAACGGGCTGGTGTATCCGCCGGGCTGGGTCGTACCGCAGGATCCTGCGCAGCAAATACAGCACATTCAGGAAATGAGTAGGGATAAGTGGCCGGGTGGGTACCAGGGGCCACCGCAGCAGGGAGGGGGGGTGCACCCGGCCTTTCTAGGGCGGCAGCAACAAGGAGGGGGAGGGGGGATTCAGGGATTCTAGCAACAAGGAGGTGGAGGCGGAGGAGCGCAGCAGGGTGGTGGGTTTGAGTGGGCGCCTAGAGGCACGGCGGCGTATGCGGATCAGTTGAGTGCGGTGCTTTTGAGTGATCCGAATAGGTTTAAGGAGAGGAATTAGGGAAGGATATCTGAGTTGATTCTATTCGGGGGCGAGCCGAGCGAAATGGTAGAGGTCCACTTTAGTGAGATTTGTAGGAATGCGTTGGATGGGTTAGGGGAGCGGTATGAGATTTTATATAGATGTGTGGTGAAACATAGAAGAGCGTCTGATGGTGCCTGGAACAGTGGGTTTGTGCACAGGAGTTTTACGTATCTGCTCTAGATTTACGACATTCTGGTCAGGACCTTTAAGTGAAGGGTTGCACCGATATTGTATTTTGTTTCTGATTTCTGAAGTAGCGTAGGTGACACTGTCAAGTGCATTGTCTGTTTACCCAGCGGCGGCTTTGCGATTTTCACACAAGTTCAAAATGAAAGTAGCCGAGTGACAAACCTGATTTTAATACAGTGAAGAAGGAAATCGAGGAGTATGTGGAATTTCCTCGCCGCAGTATGCAAATATTATACCCACAATGTGCCACTCCCATCCCCAGAACGGCCCTAGTACTACAGTATTGCCCAACCTAGCACCAAGAGTAAAAGAAAGCTTAGAAGATAAGCAGGCGGCTAAAGTTATGAAGCGCATCTTCAGGTATCGGCCCGCTGAATATCTGCGCATGCGTGATTCCAGTGTCGACATATTCGAAAAACATAGATAGTCGAATGCTCTCGAAGATCTTCCGCATCTCGCGGTCAAACTTGTGAGCGCTTCTATGTGGGGGCGGCACGGCTGCGACCACCTTATCGAACATGAAGTCGAGTAGGCTCTGCTGGCCGTCCCATTCAACTCCCTGAAGATACACGCGTTCGGTGTCGTAGGCGAATCGGATGACACGGTCCGTGGCTTGTTCTTCGGGGCTGATGCGAACACGGAGGGGGTAAAGGGCGAAGAGAGCGCGTGTGTTGATCTTGACGAGCAGTTGGAGGTTCAAGCGCTTGAAGAAATGCACCCATTCTAGGGGACTGATGGGAAAACGGTCGAGTTTGCGGGCATTAAAGAAGTCTGGGCGATAGAAGCCGTCGCCTTCCATGCGGTAGGTATTGCTGTAGATGGGAGGGAGGAGACGATTGACGGAGCGTGCGTAAAGGTTGTGCAGCTTGCAGCTTAATCGATGAGGTTAGTAAGATATACGCCGAGGCGACCTGTACGAAGCTCTCACTCACCGCAGCTTCTTTGACGTCTTGGATAATGCGGCCGTAGACCTTAGAGCACGGTCGGCGCGCAGTTTACGGGTGCCCTCCCACCAATCGATGCACAGGAAGATCGTATCCATCTTCGCAGAGCACTCCCGACAGGGACAAATATGCATGCTCCTCGCCAGTCCCATATCGAAGAACAAATCCGGGTTCATCGCATACGCCCGATCCAGCTCACTGCCCATCATATCCACCGTGTTTACAACCGGATATGGCATGATTTTGTCCTTGAGAAAGCGGTATCGCAGGTTGATGATGTCACGGGCGATCTTCGATTCGTTGACTTTGACCAACTCACGCAAGAACTTGCAGCTGGCCTGAATGCTAGAGATGTCATCTGGCGGGACGTATGAGAGGATGTTGCAAAGAATTTCGTTGGGCAGCCGTTCGAGATCGCCGATTCTGCTTCGCAGGGGTACGTCCTTTGGGGGCGGCATAGGAGGCAGGGGGGAGTAAGGCGCCATGATGTCGACTTGCGATAGTAAGCGACAGTTGGGTAGCAATCTGGGGGCGAGAACTTTTGGGGTGGATACCTGGGTAGACAAGAGTTGCCAAGAGATTGAGAATCACGTGAATGTCCAATGACGATGAGGGACAGTAAGATGGAGAAGCGAATTCAGACCAGATGTGGGGCCAAAAGCTGCTGCATTGATGATGGTGAAAAAGCTAGCTTTTAAGCAGTAGGAGGGAAGATGTGCACAAGGTGCTGAGTAAGGGTGTAAAATAAGGAAGGGGCCCGACAACGAACGTGTTGAGTGTTGGGGATTCACCTGACGCGAAACCACATGACGCAATAGCTCACCTTGTTCGCTTTGGACATACGGCTTAACTTGTACGTGCCCGCTTCTGCTTAAGGCTCTCAAGTCAACTCCCAAAAATCGAAGTGAGATTGAACTTTATCAATGTGTGCCAGACCGCCTCAGGCAGTGGCAGATAGGTGCCGTGCACAGACCAGGCGTGCGACCTATTACCCCGGCTTTAAGGAACTGCACAGCTCGTCATGGAAGAACCAAAATACAAGTGATGACAGAAAAGCTTCTAGTTTATCCGTAAAGGTTTTGATAGTGAAACGAGACCTAATAAGATGAGGGACAAAGGACAAACCTAGATTTAGCACAGCAATTTTGATCTAGTCAAAATTCGTGCTATTGATGATATGCTCCCACTCCTTGCAGATGGCCAATGTGTCCTCACACTTCTTCCGCACCAAGTCGAGCGCATCGACCCCGAGCGGCAGCCTTTCTGGCATTGCCTTACCCGCCGCAACTCCCTCTCCTTTGACGACGTCAATCATCACCTTGATCCCCTTCTTCGGATCGCCAGGCTCGTTACCCTGCAGTGCCTGCAAAAACTCTGCGGTCCCGGCCCTTAACGCGTCGTAGTCGCCGATCTCGCTTATCCGAGATTTGAAGTTGTTCGGATGAAGCACCTGCGTCCGAAAGAAACCTAGTTCGAAGATGATGGACTTGATGCCAAGATGGGCAACGCTTTCTTTGAGAGACTCATGAACTCCTTTGTGTTTGATCTTGCGTCAGCACTTAGCTATTGGAACCATGCTCTCTAGTACCTACCTTCGAGAGCAAATTTGGAGCTGGCGTAAGGTAGTCCGCTTGGTAAACCACCCCAGCCGTACATAGAACCAATGAAGACTACCGTGCCAGACCTTTTCTGGCGAAAATGCGGAAGGAGAGCTTGGGTAGCTTTGATCGACCCAAACAGGTTGGTCTCGTATTGAGCGAGAATCGTCTCACGACTAGAGATGTCCCGTTCAGCATATGCTTTACAGCGTTCAGACTAAGAAAGTGAGGCACGAACCTGGATTCTTCAAGGGTACCATTCTCCACATAGCCCGCGTTGTTGACCAAGACATCAATGCCACCATTTTCCTGGATGATCAAAGACATGATGGAATCGACCTCGAGTTTGGGAGCAGAGACATCAAGACTATATGTACTGGCGCCGGCTTCTTTCAACTTCTGGATCCTAGATATTGGGCCCCTCGACGTCGCAATGGCCTTGTCCCCTCGCGAGAGGATGCCGCGGATGAACTCCTCGCCAAGCCCTGATGAGCAGCCAGTAACAAGCCACGTCAACTGAGTCATCATGCAAATAGACTTATATCGTAGTTCACGGGGAAGCTTTATAGAACAATCAATGGCGGAAATCTACTCCCTTAGACTGACGATTTCTTTTGGGCGTGGATGGCGTAGACTTTGAGCAGGAAAGGGAAAGCTTTTGTACTAGGAACCTTCTAACTAATCTAGCATTCTAGAGCACGAAGAGTGTGATGAACGTACCTAGGCTGAATTCCACGTCATGGCTAATCAACGTTCAGCTTGCCGTCAGGGCCTGGTAAGCGCTACACTAATCACGTCAAGCTTCGGTCCGTCTGGCTCGAATCGCGCTCAAGAATGGAAAAAAGTGTTCTCTCGGTCGACTGAGAAGCCTCCCTTGGCATGCTAGTAGATCCCCTAAATTCAAGAGCATAGAAGATTGGGTAGTAGCGAAGGTGTCAAGCCGACCCAGTCGCGGGCGGCCCGCAATTCAAGTAGCTGGCTCTGACCTGATACGTTGAAAATCTATGCTTGAGATAGCGTGCCAAGGGGGGCGGCTCAGTTGACCGAGAGAACATGGTCAATATGTAAACAACTTCTCATGTTTATTAATCAAATAGTGGAAGTACTTGAATGTTGGGGAGCGTGGGCTGACTTTACAGCTCCTTGCTTGTATTCCTCAACCGTCTTCTTCCGTAAGCCCAGGTCTTGAGATGGAGGTTGATGGCGGTTGACGGAAGAAGAATTCAAGAGTGGAGACGACGATTGCCATCTGAAGTTGGATCAGAGAGCTAGTCTACATCGAGATGCTTGGCATCGCGTGAATAGCATGTGACTACCAGAAGTCTCTTCCAAATCGTGCAAGTTTAAGTGACTATTGAATTGAACGGGAACGTTATATATCAAATATCATATCTTCAGATATCTCTTCGCGTCCCCAGCTGCATCATTGCTCGACGTCCATGTAATGAACGCCAAGCTCCAAAACGGAGCATCAATAACCCCCTTCGCTTCTTCCAAATCCTCCGCCTCGCTCTCAAAACCCCACTACTCTCCGCTTTAGTCGCTTTAACGAGCACACCCGTGTTTCACGCCAATGGCTCCCTAAGCCGCTCTACCCTCCAACTTCCCCACATCCTGCCAAAACGCCGTGGCCTTAGTAAACTCCATATCCGCGCTTTTCGAAGCACAAACCAGATTATCCAAACCCCTACGCCCTCATAAACCAGGGAGAGCTCCTGTCCCGCGCTCGGACGCATCGTGTGTGCCGGATTACCTAGCAGCAACATTCTCCCCGTTTCTAAGGTTCGGAGCGTAAGGTTTCGCATTACGGCGAGCGGCCGCCGGACGCATGTGATTGCCATTTCCAATGCCTTTTAAGAGTTCGAGATAATTTCTGGCGTCTTTGAAGGTGTGAAGCAATTCGGTGTTGCTGCTGTCACGGGAGGGAGTCAGAGGTCGCGCTGATGGCGAAAGAGCTGGACCAGGTCTGGGGCGCGGAGGTGAAGGCGCAGCAACGTAGGCTTTGGGAGCTGTGCAGCTATTGACGCTAGTTCCGTGATTCGAGGCTTGTAAGCCGGGTTGGTTCGCAAGTTCGGAAGCGGAGAGCGAGAAATAGTAGATCGTGATATCGCTCGAAACAGGTTCGGTGGTGGAAGCGGAGGGAGTTGGACAATATGACGTCCAGTGAGAGAGTAGAGAACATCAGCTACCAGAATCAGGTCGGCGAAAGCGTGATGCTATATGAGTGTGAGAGTCGCGCAGTCTGTGTCATTCGGAACCGCAACCACCTCTGCCGCAAATGTAATCGCCGCTTCAGCACCAGGAGCCGTCTCGAACAGCAGCTCAAGAAGTGGTGTTCGACGCATCTAAGACCCCGACAATCGCTTGGGTCAGACAATTGCTGGCCATCTGACTTCTCCAGGTTTCGAATCTCTGGTGAGGCGAAGACATCTCGTTCCTCATGCTCTTCAAATCTGCCTCCAAACTCCAATTGTCTACCACTCTGGTATCTCAGGGTCGAATTGCAGTGTCGCTACTATGAGGTGATAGAGCAGGTCTTTTCTCGAAGACTTGAAAGTGGTGGTTTTATTGCGCAGAGCGAAGGGCGGCGCTCAGCCCGCTGCGGAAGTGCGCCTGTCACGATGAATGTAGTAGAGGGGTTTTTTTTTCTTACAAGTAAGCAAGACTCCCGTCGCAGGTGGCATTTGAGGCTCAGATTCATTCGTGGAGAGATAAGTGGAATGCAGGTGGCTGGTACATTAGAAAGAGCGTGAGTGAGATATGAGAGTAAGATATCGGCGGACAGTTCCCGTGGGCACGTGTGTGGTGTGAGGGTTTGCACAGCAGTGCAGCGATCCTAAGGGTATATATTTTGAAATATTTTGGCAGTTCTCAAATTATCTTTGCGGGAATGCGGAATGCGGGATGCGGGGTGCAGACATGCTGGAGATTGTGCAGTGGTGAACACTAATATCTTCTCCATAATACAGGTACAGCGCTGAGCACACTTGTCGGTATCTGTCGGTATCTGTCGATATCTGTCGGTATTGATAATTTTTTGATTTTTGTCCCTGGGTGTGGGCCTGGGAATCTTGGACAGTGCTTGCTTTTGCCTTTTTACTTTGTTTTACACAATGGAAAATCTATAGATAATAAGCAAGTCCTGACCCTGAATCGATAGGACTAAACCGAAGCAAGTTGAATTGGCATTGACCAACGGCTTCTTGTATCGGGCAGGGTGATTGAAAGGGGGCTATAACGACCGACGGAGGAAGTCTTGTTCGGAAATATTTCGTGGACAAGTGGGAATGCGTTTAGTGAAGATTTCCTGCAAAACTGGACGAGGCGACTGCCTTCCTAAACACGCAGTAGAATGCAGAAAACGTGGTTAGGAAAGGCGAAAAATGACACAGGTTGAAAGGTTGATTTAGGGTTCGGCGCACGTGCCCTCGCTCCACGTGAATTAGATGAGGTTACCTATTTCCGTCCTACATTCGAGGTTCGGTAGTCCTAAAAATAGACGAGGAAATTCGAAGATTTGTAACCCGCCACGTGCCCGCTTGTCCCCTATGATGAACGTGTAGCCACCCGCTTTGACCGACGAACACTGCCTACCGAAATGAAAGTCCTGTTTGCTAGTTCTTTTGCAGCCTCCAAAGCCGAATCCCGGCTGGGCAGCTGAAGAGAATTCCACGGTCGGCCAGGACAGCAGTATCCCAAGAGAGGATAGCCTGAGGTGGTCTCCACTTTCATTCCCTTCCCTTCGCGGCTCACCTCTCAAACCAGCTGGGCAGCAGCCCCCAATCACGAGAAACACCAGAAGCAATCTCGCACAACTTTTACACAACCATTTCGATGAGCGATTAATGGCCCCCAAGTATTAGTATCACGCAACACTAGTACTGCCTTCATGAAGGATGCCAGCCGATCAGCATTCAGGTGCCCCGGACTACGTAGCCCTTAGTCCCTTGTTCGTCATCGAAAGTGCGAGCCGGCGAGAATGATAGACCGTGATTCAGACATGAGGTGGCTGATATCGAACTGCGCCCTAAGGCTACCAGAAGCTGATGTGAGTGAGGCTCCAGCCGAAGCTGAAGATCTCGGTCGCTTCTGCACTTCAGCCCTTCCAGTGGCGCATGGTCGTCGAAACAACGTGGAGTATCCCGTCTAGACTGCGTTCTTAATGTTTTAGCTCGGTCGACCGCCAGCTGGCATGAAAGTATAGTGTGCATGAACTTTTGTGGGTCGTTCCTCGACTTCTTATCACCCTTTTTCATTGGTGCCTCAGAACGGCTGTCTGCAGGGCTGCTTACCACCGTGCTAGCACCGTCAGCACAGTTGCGCTTGTGCTGATTTGAACCCTGGCACGCCCGGGGAAAGGCGTCCACGGGTAGCTATATGTACGCCATTGCCACTTTCTTCTGGACATGATCTTGAGTAAGCTTTAAGACTTCATCTTCACTTCTTTCCCGCCGCATCAAGGACAATTCTCAGATATTTGCCCTTCGATAGCCGACACCTTTTTGCTTGCGTGGCATTTCTACTTTGCCGCCTTCATACAACATGGCGTTTTTACCAATCTTCCTCTCTTGCTTGCTACTCTCCATTTTGTCGATAACAAATCTTGCGCTTATAAGCTCGATGGTTGCCTGGCTACACATACAAAAGACCCAGGTCAAAAGCTACGCTATCAACTGGCCAAATGATTCCTTCCATCTGCAGGCTTTACCGGAACACCTCTGGTTGGACCAAGGACACACGTCCAACGGAGTTGCTGGCTATGGCTTCTTTCTAGGCCTGGTAGGGCTATATGTCGCATGGAGACAGCGAAAGCGAGACGGAAGGGTAAGTTTGCTTCGGCCAGCTCTGACAAAGACATGTGCAGGTCTTTTGGTTCTGGACCATAAACTTACTCGCGTCTAGGGTCCTTCCAAAACACTCCTGGGGCTCGTCATACTACTCTCGCTAGCCGTTGTGTTCACTCTCGTGGCGCTCGCCTTCGTCTTCACCGTCGCGCATGATACCAAAGGCCAAACAATCCTGTCGTCAGTCGCAAAAGCTGGCGTCAAGTACCCCGCGCACAAATGGACTCCGGCGACATGGTACAAAGCTGTTCTGAAATTGCCCCTGGCCGACGGTAGCGTGCGATCCGATATCAAGTCTCACGTCACCAACATCGAAGCATGGGAATACATGCTCATCCCGATCTTCCTTACCGACATCCTCGCACTGGGAATTGCGGTCACGGCGATGATGAAGCAGCGAAAGGGTCAGCCTTCCGAAAATCCTACCGAAAAATGAGCAATCGCTTACGTCCTGGAAGAAATAAAATACAGCGGCCTCAACCGCGGAGAGAACAAAGTACCACTTGAACCGTATCGACCAACTGTGTAATAATTCCAGTGAGGAATTTGGGATATCAAAAGCGTCGAAGGGGGTCTCTTGTCTTGGAGGATGGTTCGTAGGCTTACGACTCTCATTACCCTACGGAGGGGGATAAAAAATCTGGGACTACATTTATATTTCTAGTTGGATTTTGGTTGCGATTTGGTCGCTGGGATCATTCCTTTCAAGATATCCACTGTTCAGATACCATTAATACGACTTTCGTTGCATGTTGCTTGAACATATCTTTCATGATGAATTGAAATGGTGTCAAGGTGTCTAATCCGCAAGCATCACAAGGCCTGGAACCGAATATTGACCCATGTTCGATCCCTGCCCGCATCGTCATCTGCATTTTCAGGGTCACGCGTACCCACAAACCGGACCTCGATTTGCGATCTAGAATAGAAGCGGACTGCCTCACCCAAAACCACCGTCCCAATTCTCTACTTGAACCCTCGCATGACTATCCTCATATCAATAGTGAACTTCTACTAGTCTAACTTCTGCGTGGAATGTCGAAATAAGAATCGTATCAAGCTTCTCACCGCCGGCAAAATAAGCATCCCAGAAAAGAGCCCACAACTTCACATGCTCCACCACCCTTGCTAGACCTCAGAGCTCCCACATCCTCCACCAAAAACCTCAACCCTCAAATACAAATACGAATTGATTGCGCTCAAAGCCCCGACCCGCCTCTCGCGATAAGCCCAACCCAGCGGCCGTGAAGCGCCGCAGCTCAGCTCAGCTCCCACCACCACCTTCCAGACAACCCCACCATGCCCGTCCTCCTCTACGCACTCCTCCTCCCCGCCGTTCTCGTCTTCGCTCTACACGGCTTCTCCCGCATCACTCCCGCGAACTCGCACATGTCGAACGCCGCGGCCTTCTACGCGCGGCTTATAATATCATGGGTCGCCATGATCATCGCGGCCGGCTACGGCGTGTTTGCGAGTATAGCCCTCCGGGTGGCGGGGTATGGGGGCATGAGCCAGTGGGCTACAGGGAGGCTGTTTAAGTGGATTATGTGGTATACGACTGGCGTCATATTTGTGGTGACGGAGGGGGGACGGATTGAGGGCGGAAGGAGGGGGGGAATGGAGGCATTGAATGAAAGGCCGGCAGTTTTTGTGGCAAATCATCAAACGTGAGTTGTCTACTCTTTTGGGGCTGAGAAGGTATATATGGTGCTGTTGGCGTGGATCGTGATTCTATTGAACGGAGATCTCTTCGGCAATTGAGGGATGAAGGCTGATTATCTGTGAACAGAGAACTCGATGTCCTAATGCTCGGTACCCTGTTCCCGAAATACTGCAGCGTAACAGCGAAGAAGAGCTTGAAATGGGCACCGTTTCTGGGTTGGTTCAGTAAGTCCCCTTACATTCTACATCTTCTCCTAGCCTTTGCGCAGCAGCCCTCCACACACTGCCCAATACACACCGCTAACACATTTCAAGTGACCCTCTCCAAAACTGTCTTCATCGACCGTGCAAACCGCGCCACAGCCCTCGCCGCCTTCGACGGAGCCGCAAGGCACATGCAAACCGAGCGACAAAGCGTCTGGATCTTCCCCGAGGGCACACGGTCATATGGCGAGAGGCCAGAGCTATTGCCCTTTAAGAAAGGCGCATTTCATCTAGCGATAAAAGCACAGGTGCCTATCGTACCCGTGGTCGTTGGCAACTACTCGCACGTCTTGAACGTGAAAAAGCGGATCTTTAGGCCAGGCACCATTGATGTGAGCGGTATGTGCATGCGTTTCCCTTGTCATTGGATATAGCGGAATGAAGTCGAAGTACATGGCCGCGGTACTAATACGTTTCTAGTTCTGCCACCGATCCCTACTAAAGGCATGACCGCTGCCGATGCAGATAAGCTCACTACGAAGACGCGGGATGCGATGATGAGTGAGTTGATACGGCTATCGACTGTGGCGCCGAATGGTCACACGCCCGCAGCGGCGATAGCGACAGGCGTGGAGCGTGAGACTCAGCCGGCACAGCGGAGAGTCGCAAATGCGCTATAGCGTCTCCTCAGCTACGAAATTCGATCGAATTTCAACTACCAGGAAAGTTGTTCGTCTTGCAATATTCCAGTTCTGGTGCATTTTGAGGCATAGGATCATCAAGCATGATACAAATTCTTGGAGGTGCGGATATGCATCGAAGAAGACATTCGCATTTCACGTACGGCGTTCATAGGTGTCTTGTTGAGGCTAGCATGCACGGGATGTGCAATACCCCCCATTTCGGATCTTTCTTATTTCTCAAAAAGAATCATGTTTGTATGGCAACCTAAAGGGGACGACATAGATCTAGACTTCGATCCAGAAAGAATACGAGCGATATTTTTATTACATGCCAAGTCTAAACGCAAGAATGGGAAGAATGCTGAACGTCTTTACGAGTAAGGGCATGAGCTTAAGACATCAGAAAGGCAGTATGAATAAGTGACTCCCAGGCCAGCTGATATTCATAACGACTCAACAAGCAACTATAATTGGCCTTCGCTACGTAATTTCTGGATAGCGTCTTGAAGTTCTGGAACATCTTCGCCTGACCTGACACAACGTTGAGGAGGTGGAGCATCCCACCTCCGCTCATGCATATCCCTAAAGATGTTTTGGTCTAAGGCATCCCACTCGTCTAACCGTCTCGAATAGCGCTCATTTTGAAACGGGAGAGGCGGTAAGATTATTTCTACGCCATCCAAGGCGCTTTCCTTTTTGACAGACTCAAAGTTGACAAGTTGGTCGATTTGGTGGTCGTGGAGCTGGTGCATCATGCGCTGGTGGGGTTGCGGGTGGAGAAACGCGTCTTTGCACTGAATTTTTGAAGAGTTAGTATGAGTTGCTCTTATTTGTGCTCTTGTAATTAGGATATCACGAACCTCTTCTCTACTCTCCCCCCTATCAAACACCACCACGCCCCCAAAATCCGCAGCTCGGCCCAGTATCCGACGACGTCTGCGATGCCGTCAGGGTACTGTTCCATCGCTTGATACGACATGTGGTAGAAATCGGTTGGAAGGACGAGATAAGGGGAACGGGCTACAGGTTTCCTCAATGTGCCGTCGTAGCTGGGTGGATATGTGATGGGTGGTGGTTGATACAGGATTCGCTCTGTCGGTATCGCGTCGCCTTTCACCTCTTTGTATAGGAGTGCTGCGATTTTGTGGCAAGCCACTGCGATCATTTCTAATAGGCGTAGTTTAAACTCTCTTAAGTCGAAAGTGGTGTTTTGATATGCTCGTGCAGTCTGCATGTGTTAGAAGCTGAGGATGGTATAAACAGGGAAATTTTCTCCAACCTTAGCATCGAATTGTAAGATGTCGAAGTTGAAATTGCCCTTGAACTTCTTCAGAATCGCAATCGAATCCGAGCTTAAATGTCCATGGGCGGTGAGGTCTTCCCGCTTGGTGACATTGAAACAATCTTCGAACACTCTAAGAAGTGGCAGACCCTCGATGATTTGCGCATAGGTCTCTTTGGCTATTTCCGTGGCAATCACTTTTGTTAAAATTTCTCTCAACGCTTCTTGGTGCTCAAGTCCTAAGTCATTCACAGATACCTTGGTAGCATGGGGTTCGGCCACCCATATGGCGAGTGTCTCGTCAAAAGTGCTGAGTTCTTGTGCTGCAAACATTGTTGAGGTATCACACGGGGCGGGTCTTAGGATATCTTGCACCTTAAAAGTCTAGTATGATTGGCGGCGCTTAGAGATTGGTAGGAGGTTTTGTCCATGTATGAAGTATGAGCGTCTCCCGGTTGAGGTGGGGCTGTTCTGTTTGAGGTGGCATTGCTGGGCCGAATCTGGATTCGCGGGATTAAATAGGCGCATTGGTTGCATTCAGAGTAAATGTAATGGTAAGGTTCGAGAAAATGAAATGAACCCATGATACTTCAATGCTAGTATCAGGCGACTGCTTATAGGATGAAGAGAATGCTGTGAATGATGACTGAAGGCTGGCTTTTCACACTCCATGATGCAGTCAACGCGTCAAACACAATAGCAATAGTTTCAATGCAAGCTCTAATCTCGAAATATCTTCGTTGTTTGTACAAGTGGGGTAGCTACCGACTCTCCAAAACCCGAGTGCAGTGCTTGCGCGGTCATCAGGTATGCCTCCGCTCTAACCCTCGCTGAACCAAGTCTTGTGGCCCTGTGTAGCGTAAGTGACTATTGTCGGGCCGGAGGGAATCTCGTCGTCGGTAGACTTTGACATACCAGAACAGTGCGGCCCATCATGTACATGCTGCCGGCAAATCCAGTCCAGAGCATCGCATAGTACGGATACATGATGAACGGACTGCGGGGTGTCTGCAAAGCCAATTAGCCTCCGTGCTGATTCCGACTTCATCTTCTCGTGTCATATTGTGATCCGATCGCCTTCGGGTGTCCTTCCGACGGTTGTACGCTCCTCCGTAAGGGCATCGAGATCGTGAGCGTGAAGATTGTGAGAACGCACCTTCCACCATTGTCGAACACCATCGTGCTTTTGAAAGAGGGCTTGGTATTCCGGGACCCGGTTCTTGCGGTAGACGAAGCTGTGAAGAGAGCTGTGTTAGCCGTGGTTTGGAAAGGGCGGCTGCTCGGATGAGCACAAGTCCATTGGACCGCAGCGTCGACGCAAAGCTGACGCACTGAGAGGCCCGGATACGTACCCAGCCATGGTGAGAGTGGAGAGTATGTGCTTGACGAAGCAGTCGGTGTCGGGGCGCAATGGGAGGTTGTGGTTTGGGTTGCAGAGCTGTGGTGAGGTTGAGATCGTTCGATCACAGCGGAAAGAGCCGATTGGCGCTAGCTAGGTTGGATCGAGCCGCCGTTCACGAAAATGGAAGACGCGACTCTGCAGAATCTCAATCTCCGTTCTACAAACGCTTTCGCTGTTCAATTTCGCCTGATGCAATGTCGGACGGCTTCAAGTTAGGCTCGTCGCCGCAAAGTCGATGCCACCGGCCCTCGACCGGCTCCTCGCCAGCCCGTCTGCGTTGCGCGTCCTGAGAGCTATCGTCGAGACCCCAAATTTGCCCCTAGGATACTTTAGGTCGACCAATTGCTGTCTCCGGATAGCTTCGAGAACGAGGAATCATTCTAGCAATGCGGCTACAAGTCCATTGGAACCTGGGGCGGAAAAGAAAGGGGCTGGCGAGGATTGTAAACCACAGAAGTTACCGGTTCGACCGGCCAAACTATCAAGGTCGGAGAAAGGGCCAGGAGATACAACAGCAATTGGGAAGAAAGATAGCGTTTCTAACGATGCGGGATTTCAGACTGTACGGATTCGAAAATATGAGTTATCAGGCGCAGAGGAGGAACCAGGAGACGGAGGCGCATCCGGGCCGAAGGAAGCTGTTCAGACAGTTGCATATCCACTGAAAGGACGGATTCGAGGTTTCAATTATACGAAACCCGTGAAAGGACGGAAAGCTCCTGCTGTGGCTGGCATTGAGAATGTTAGCGCCTCTTGGGCAGAATTCGACCAGCAGTCAAACCTTTCGCAGCCTCTTCCAACCGAACCCCTCAACAAAGACCTTGAGAGCCCCGACCAGGAGATCGAGGACCCCCGCACAGAAACGGAGGTTAAATCTAATGCCAGGTTGTTATCAAGACCGCGCCGAATTCAGCTCAAGGCTGATACCCCGGAATACCGCCTGGACTTCGAATACTGGGTACAGTTGTTACAATTTCAGGAAAGGGCTCGCGGGCTTGAAGGGGTACGGGAAATATGGAACGGTATGAGAACACGGGAGATCGATCTTCCTACCACAGGGTTCGCTGCTACGGTGCTCTGGGAAACATTTGTCAAAAACTTTGACATTGTCGAAGAAGTGATCAACTACGCCTCAGATTTGAAGATGAGAACCGGGCTAGAGTACGAGGCGCTGTATGCAAGTTGCATTGGTCACTGGCTTCCGCGCAGAAAAACCGCGGCCTATAAATTTCACAAATCCTTGATCAGGAAATTGGCTCCAAATAAGAAATCACTTCGTGATGTCCTCCCCCGCTTTGCTAAGACGGCGAGGACGGGTCATCTCGACACACTCAGAACGATTTATCTGGAAAACAGTGAACGAGACGTCTACGACACATTTATCCCGACGCTATACCAGAGAGACAGATCACGGGCCCAGGAATGGCACAATTTCTTGATTAAGCACAACGATATCCCTTCTAGGTCTCTAGCTGGTAGTCCAATGGTTGCAGACCTTTCTGCTTATCGGGGCATATCTCTTCAGCAGACTCCGGTACGGACTGTGGATCGAGACGAGCTTGCAATGCGTCCTGACAGTATCATTGAGAGTTTCTCGCCCAACCACTTGAGAGGCGCACAATCCGAAAAACCAAAATTCAACCGCGAGATAATGAGCAGGCTTCTTGGAGAATCTCACCACGTGAAACCAAAGAAAGAGTTTGATGATTCATTCTGTGCGCGTCTCTTCGCTACCAGGGCGTTCTCTCCAACTTCAGTCATAAAAGGCCTCGGGATGTTTGGCATCGAGGCAATTGGTCCACTCGCGTTGAGGGAAATGGGTCTCCGGACACATCCCTTGGATGAGATGCCCCGAAGGTTCAGAGAGCTCAAGGAAGCCGGTGTTACGATTGGCAGATCAGTCTTCTCTAAAGCCATCGAGAAGTTTACCGTCGAGAATAGATTGGACTTGGTTCGAGACCTGCTAGAAAGCGATCAACACCCGGACGTTCTTGAAGATACCAAGGTCCAAGAAGAGCTCCTTTCTTTCTTCATCTCGAAAGAAGACTGGAGACAAGTCCACCGCACCTTAGCCATCCTCACCATATTTCACGCGGATCCCAACGTCGAGTCCTGGAATCTGATGCTACGGGCTCACAGCAAAAGCACTAGCGGCACCGAGGTCAACCGCGTTCTCAAAGACATGCATGCCCATGGCGTGGAAGTAACGCATCTGTCCCTAAACCATCTCCACGCAAACATTCTCCGCCGACGTAACCCATCCAAACGCCCAGTCTACCGCTACGGAGACCGCTTCGACGACCTGCGCTTTCTCGCTAAGATCTGGCTCCGCATCCTGCAAAACGGCGGCCATATAGAGCCATGGCGATGGCGCGAAATCCTCCGCCGCTTCGGCATGACAGGCCGTATCAGGGAGCTTCAACGTCTTGTTCTTTGGCTCGCTGCTTGGTACTCTCCGCGAAAAGCCAGTCAGACCCTATCAGCATTTTCTATGCCTGTGTCACCGGCGAAATTACCCTCTCTTATAGCTCCTGACGTCCCCCCTTCGCACCCAGCGCATCCCTATCAGAAACTCTTTCCCCCCTCTTTCCAAGAGGCCCTGGTAGAATGGGGCTTCAAAAGTGGGCTGGCGCATAATTCTAAGCGCGAGCGCTCTCTTGCCCGCCGCAGAGGACTACACCTACCGGCGAAGATCAAACCTGTCCGTTGGACGGACGGGCTCGAAATTCTCGTCGAGCTCTGTGAACAAGGGGTCTTTGTTAAAGACAGCACGATCAAGAAGGCGATACAGACGCGTATCGTAATCTTGTATGGGTCAGGTGTGTCGAATCGTAAGGAGAATCGGATGGCGAGGAAGCGGAATCCGTGGATGTGGCAAGACATGATTAGGAGAGCGGAGGAGGTATGGGGGAGAAGATTGTTTCGCTGGCCCGGGAGAGAGGAGGAAGAGGATGACAGTGGTGAGAGGAGCAAGAAAAAGAGAAAGAAGAAAAAGGAGAAGGGCAATGATGAATCGTCCCGAGCAAGGGAGCGGCTGTTAAAAAGACAGCAGTCAGGCATGAGAGAGCTGAGGGGCTTTTTGAGAAAGTAGACAGAATGGTATACCCGAGATTGGCGAGCGGTGCGAGAAGCACTGTGGCAGCAGGTTCACGAGCACATTGTATATTTCATGTATTTCAAACAAAGTTCATTCCGGTTTGATGCCCTCTGTTGAACGCGCTAGCCTCATGGAAATGCATGTATCCGACCTACAAGGCGTACATTGCCTTGGCTAGTCTTCAACCGGACGAAATCGAAGACTTCAAGCTCGAGGTCGCTTGGGAGGTATGAGAAGCCGGACAAATGTACATGAGCTGGTCAATACGATGAGCCATCCATCGTCTCAATCGAATTGGTCGATGGTTCTTCCTCTAGCGATCGTAATTTGGAGTGGGGCTTCATGGACAAAAAAAGGTTGCGATGATATTCCTGCCATGATAGTGAAGCAGGGGAGGCATAAGGAAGCTGTGTCCAGGTTTAATCCTGAAGTGTTCTTGTGGTGGGTGGAGTGGGGGATGGCTAAATCATGACAACCCTTTCAAGGCACATTGCTGTAGTCCGCTCCAACACGCATTGTCAATTGCGAACATTCTAGTGGCTTTAATAGCGGATAGCAACCTAGTCAGGCTTCAGAATTACACTATAGTTATGTTATGTCAAGGTAACAAACTGGGGAAGCCCGAACCCGTTGAAATGCAATCTTGGGGTTTGATTTTGGTGCTTCACTGGCTTATGCTGCACGTTCCCACTTGTAATAAAGGTATAGATCGCGGTGTTTGCAGTCTAAGAAGTTTGGGAATGCATTAGAAAGAGATGGACGATGAGGTGAAAGGCCAAACCAGGCTTAGTCTAGGGCAGATCGATCGCCAAGCTTCCCCGACCACGGCGTCACCATCTCCGCCGGCAAGCCGAGCGACTTTTGCTTGTCCCAGGAAAGTGGACAAATCAACCTCCACCCTCCAAGCTCTCAACACCCCTCCATCTGTCCCCTCTTGTGCGCCGTATCAATGTCTCCGCATAGAGGCAGCTGAGCATACCACCCTCCGACAGCTACATAGCCCATCGACACGACTTCAGGGATCCTCGCTTCCGCGCCGGAGCCATGCGCGGCTCAACCATCGTCCTGAACAAGGCCTGGAACAGCCCGGGAAATGGAGCTCTCTTCTCCAAGATAATACAGCAGCGCCCAATTGCCCCAGCCCGTGCCTCACAGCCCTCTTTCCGCCAGCATACGACGTCTACCGCGCTCGCAACGGCCCCACCATGTCCACCTCTCCAGCTCTCGCCGCGAATCCAGCCTACTTTAGCTACCGTCATCCCTAGACAGACGCTGCTTCCAGCACGGAGAACATTCTCGATATCAAGAGCGTTAGCCGAAGAACAGCGGGCATCGCCGCCGGAAAAGCGCAAGCCAAAGTCCTACCAGGACGAGATAAAGGAAAAGGGCATAATCAACCTTGAAGAGCACGATACCGAGGAAGAGCCAGGCTTCGCAAAATCAGAAAAGGCAACTCAAGCGCTCCAAGTCAATCTGAGCGCCAAGTTGAGCAAAGATGGGGCAGGGCCGGGAAAGCCGGGGAGCATGAGCGAGGTGTGGCGGTTGATCAAGATCGCGCGGCCGGAGCTAGGGACGCTGGGATGGGCATTTGTGTTCCTGCTCGTCTCCTCGAGCGTGTCGCTCTCCGTGCCCTTCTCGATTGGGAAGATTTTGGATATTGCGACGAAGGCTGAGGGATCTACGGATACGCTGTTTGGACTGGATATGTCGACCTTCTACCTGGTTTTGGGAGGAGTGCTTGCAACTGGAGCGGCGGCGAATTTCGGTCGCATCATCATTCTCAGGATTGTGGGAGAGAGGATTGTGGCGAGGCTGAGGTCGCAGCTGTACAGGAAGACTTTTGTGCAGGACGCGGAGTTCTTTGATGCGAACCGCGTGGGAGACCTGATCTCGAGACTGGGATCGGACACCATTATCGTCGGCAAGAGTATCACGCAGAATCTATCGGATGGGCTTCGATCGGTTGTCAGTGGAGCTGCTGGATTCGCCATGATGGGATGGGTGAGCTTGCAGCTGACGGGCATTCTCGCTCTCGTGGGGCCTCCAGTTGCAGTGGCCGCATTCATATCGGGACGAATGCTCCGCAACATCAGTCGCAAGATCCAGAAAAACCTTGGAACCATGACCAAAGTCGCGGAAGAGAGGTTAGGCAACGTCAGGACTAGTCAGGCATTTGCAGGAGAACAACAAGAAGTTGGCCGATACAACCGTCAGATCAGGAGAGTATTCAACCTGGGTAAGCGGGAGGCTTTGGTTGCCGCTACGTTCTATGGAAGCACCGGACTAATGGGTAACCTGACGGTCATCGCGGTTCTCTACGTCGGCGGCAGTATGGTCAAATCAGGAGCTATCACTATCGGAGAGCTATCATCTTTCTTGATGTACACAGCCTACGCTGGGTCCAGCATGGTCGGTCTTTCTGGATTCTGGGGAGAGATGATGAAGGGAGTTGGAGCAGCGAGTCGACTTTTCGAGCTCCAAGACCGCAACCCAACCATATCACCAACTGTCGGAGAGCCTGTCAAATCTGCCCAAGGCCCGATCGAATTCAAGAACGTGTCCTTCAGCTACCCTACCCGGCCTGCTGTCACCATTTTCAAGGATCTCAACTTCACCATCCAACCTGGTACGAACGTCGCCATCGTTGCGCCTAGTGGAGCCGGAAAGTCTACAGTCGCCAGTCTGCTTCTCCGATTCTACGTTCCCAACACTGGCCAAATCTTGATCGACGGGCGGGATATCACGAAGCTGAATGCCAAGCAGCTACGGAGGAAGATCGGTTTTGTGGGTCAGGAGCCTGTACTCTTTTCCGGGACCATTGCAGAGAACATCGCGTACGGTGTGCCGCATGCTACACGCGCCGAGATTGTTACTGCAGCCCGCAAAGCGAACTGCCAGTTCATTGGCGACTTTGTAAGGTCTCCTCTCCACTGACATAACCCCCTACATACATACTAACGTTTCCAGCCCGACGGACTCGAAACTCACGTCGGTGCGCGCGGCACCCAGCTCTCAGGCGGCCAGAAACAGCGCATTGCCATCGCGCGAGCCCTCATCAAACAACCCGACATCCTCATTCTCGACGAAGCAACTAGTACGCGCACCCTTCCTTTCCCCATTTACTCTCCTTGCTAACACTCTATAGGCGCTCTCGACGCCGAGTCTGAAACTCTCGTCAACCAAGCCCTGGGAGTGCTCCTCCGCGAGCAAAACACCACCATCAGCATCGCACATCGTCTCTCCACGATCAAGCGCTCCGACCGCGTCATCGTGATCTCGGCTGACGGCGACGTCGCCGAGGAGGGCACGTACCGCGAGCTGGCGAATAACCCAGACGGGGCCTTCACGAAGCTTATGGAATGGCAGATCAGTGGGGGGGAGGAAGAAGATAGGGAAATAATGGTGAAGGGGCCGAAGGTAACTGAGGAGGAAGAAATCGAGGCTGATCTAGAGAAGCCCGACGACGGCGAGATCGAAACCGTCGAGGTGACTAAGAGCCGGAGTGGAGGCAAGGGGGATGAAAAGCGGTAGACGAGGATTCCCCGGAGAGGCGGTGAAGCGCACCCGCATTATTTTCGTGGGTGAGAAGTGTTGCAGGGGCAGGGTATTGGAGGCTCAGCGGGAGATCAGATCAGCGCCGCCTGATGTGGCGCCATGATACCCGCATTTCTTCCAAGGTTGGAGGATATTTTATGTTGCCTCCTTCGTGATTGCATAGCTGGCGTTTCGGGTTCGAGCGATGGGGCGAGTGTGAGTGCAGCGGCGGGACGGGAGGTGGAGATGGAGGGTGTGTATATTAGGTCTCTACTCCCCCAGTGCATGGGATCGCCTCTTAACTGTTGCATAAAGACAAACAAATAACATTGACGTTACCATTACCGACTACCACTACTACCTCTTTCATCATTATATCTCCAAGTCCCTCCAAACTCAACTCAACTCAACTCAAGACGATACACGACCGCCACACCGTCCAAGTCCTCAATATTTTCAAGGACAAAATGCCCACCACACAGTCCTCGACCCACCGCTTTGCCCACCCGAACTTTGTCAATGTCGAAACATTCACGACGTACCGCCCGCCAATCCACTCAACGCCGTTCCGGAAACCGGAATGGGTGGATCTGAGCAAGACGATGGAGATCCCGGACCTGCACACGCCGGATGAGGAGCGGAGAGAGGAGGATACGACGCTGGCGAAGGAGGGGGAGGGAAAGGTAGAGGGGACGAAGGGGTCGTGAGTTGGTTGACGATGAATTATGACATGGAGATGGGATACACATATGGAACCACTTTTGGGACAAGGTCGGAGCGAAGGGAATGGGCGTTTTCTGCTGATATCTCGTTACTTGATGCCTACCCGCGCATAGAATTTGGGACTAGATTCTGTGATAGAGGAGATCAGGCGGGATGGGTTTGAGAAGGTTTTTTTTTTGGGATTGGGAGTGCTGAACATCGAGCGCGTGTTCCATATTTCCCGCGGCGAAGAGGAGGAGATTTAGACATAGAGCGAGTAATGATGTGTCTGTGCGTTATGAAACGGGCTTGATACATTCGAAGTTCTTCCATTATTGTAGTAGTGTTTGTGAACGGCTCGTTGCTCATATGCAGCCTAAATTGAAATGGCTTGCACCACGGGACCCGTAATCTGACCTTGGGGTTAAGGACGTCTTGATGTACCCCAAACACAACCCCAATGCGCTCACTGTGGTTACCTTCTTAGGAAATTGAGCTTGGTTGAAGCAAGGCTGCAAGTCGAGTATCCGTTTACGAACATCTCAGCCTTGCGCCCAACGTTGACAGCTCGCACGGACCGTTGCTTCGCGCCCTGAATTGACAGCTCGCACGGACAGCTGAGGCCAGGCCAATCAGATAACGGTCCTACTTTACAGACACATTCTCCTTTGGGCAACGCGTGGCGTGCTGGGTGGGGTGAATCAATTGCTTAGGTAGACCACCAGCTTACACGCTACTCATGTACAGGCGTTGGATGTTGTATATAAATCCAGGTACGCCCACCATGTTGCCTTCAGAAACGTATGCTTTCACAAGCACAAATCAGTCAATCACTTCAAGAGCACGAACGATGGACCCAGTTGTCTTCACACCCCGACTGAAGCTGACGCTAGTCACAAAAATAGAGCGAGGGAGTCCAGAGCTCGAATGGATGCACGAACTGCGCAGCGATGAAAAGGCTTCAAGTTGGAGGTAAGATGCACTCTTCGCGAAGACATCCTCCCTTCAATCTCTTCCGCGACTGACTCTGCCCAGCATATACGGCCGCTCAAAGACCCTCGAAGACACAGAGAAGATCTTAAAAGGCCATCTACCCACCACGGAGGGAGGGGAAAAGGCATACAGAGTCGCCTATGCCGTGCACGAGATGCTCGAGCCAATGAGCGGTTCCGAAGCAGAGAAAGACCAGAAACCAACCAAGTTCGTCGGTCTTGTAACCCTGACGTCGTTCCCTGTCGGCGGTCTTGTGTTACCGGAGGAGTTCGTGCTCCCAGTTGCGGCCGCGACAACGATACTGACTGTCGAGCTCGCGTACTCGTTCATGCCCGCCGCATGGGGGAAAGGATACGCGACCGAGGCGTTGTCGGCGCTGTTTGAGGCCGGCAAGAGGGCGCGGGCGTTCTGGGCGCCTTTCGAGAAGGTTTATGTGAGGGTGATTGTGAATGGGGGGAACCCGGCGAGTTTGCGGGTGATGGGGAAGATGGAGAAGCATGGGATGAAGAAGAGGGGGGTTTACGAGTTGGATCATAAGCCGTTTTTCTTGGGTGGAGAGTGGACGGAGCATAGTAGCTTGCATATTTTTGGGATGCATCTGATTGAGCGATGAGTGGTGGCAGCGACGAGATGGTTTGATAAAAGCATAATTCTAGAGGTCTTCGAGCAGGGGAGTCTTTGCATGGGGGAGCTGTTAAGCAAGTCGTGGGGATATAGATGGTAAATTGAATACAGTGAATGCACGAGTTGTTTGTTCTTCCATAGGTGCCATGAAGAGGGAGGTAACGCAGGTGTCAATGTCGAACCTAAACTCAACCTTCATTTTTCAGAGTGCCAAGGCGCACTAGATAGTGGAATCACCATTATGGGAATTTCTAAGCAGCTTGATGGGATTCGCAAGATGAAGTAGCGGGACTTAGCCCGAAACCCTACGGCTTGGTTGGTGCATGTGACATGAGAAGCTGATGACGGCCAAAGTATTCATGGATGAGGCTGATAAATTGCTGGATGAGGATGAGCTGATGATACAAGGTAGGTCACTAAGATAATGCACCGTTCGGAAGCGAATGCTGTCACGGGCAACTGGGTCCGGATGACGAGAGAGGTGCAGCACGACAATCCGGGCTGCTGCCCAGCCGTACCTGAGGGGCACAGAAGACTGCGGAGGTCGATCAGCTCCCCCATCGGTGTGCAAGATGGGCGGAATCGCGTTGGGCGTTATCAGCAGACATGGAGAGTGTTGGGACAGCAGCCGGCACCGTCAGCCGAGGAGCGCAAGACAGGAGCCTGGGAGCGGTGCAGGCTCGCGGGTGGTGAGAGAAAGGGCCGGAAGCGTCTTCGGCACGCCAAACCATCCGGACGGCTGGCCTCCGCTGTCGGGCTGGTGGGTGTCGCTGGTCGCTGGTGGTTGGTCAGGCCTGAGCAATGGAATCATCATGCGGCGCGCGACCAGACTGGCTCCAGCTCATATCTGCCCTGCACTCACCACCAGCCCTCGACATCATCAACTCCTCTCGCCAGCCTGCTATTCCTCCCAAGCTCCCCCAATTCACAACTACCTCCCACCGTGTCGCTGCTCAGCCGGACTCGACTTACAGTCGCGCGGGCGGCGTCGACGCTCTCCCTCTCGCCACTCGGCCGCCGCACTAGCCACCGCGAATTCGATCTGATAAAAAGTAAGTCCATCTGATAAAAGCTGCACCACCACAACTCCCGTCGCTCTTCTCCGCATCCCGCGGGGAGAAATCCTCTCCGCCAGCACGACGCAGCTTTTTCCCTCCACGCCCTCCACCAATTCAAATCAGAAGCCCTCGCTGACCATGCTTCGCCGTCCACCTAGCCCCGTTCTTTGTCGCCAGCACCTCCTCCCGCGCACTCTCCAAAATCCCGCCCTCACAGCCCACCATGGCCGCCGCCGACCCCCAGCACCACCATCGCCGCATCCCGTCCTCGTCGACCTCTCATCCCCACGATCCGATACCATGTGAACCCAAAGAAATCCCGCAATTGGCCCTGTCGCCGTCCCAGCCCGACCAAATCTCTCCGCGATCCTCCGGCGAGTCTGTCGAATGGTCCAGTGACTCCGAGGCCCCATCGACCCCCAACACCGAGCCGCAGATGGACGAGCTGGTCGACCGCCTCGAAGACCTGCCTATCGCTGCTGTCAATCTCGACAACCAGCCGCGCCAACGACGTGCCTCCACCACCCTCATCTCAGAGAGCCCCGCCGGCATCAGAAGGCTGCTCGGCGATGGCGAGACAGCGACGAAGCTGATCAGCCAGTGTTGTGGCGGTGGATGCTGCTTGTTGAATACACTTGTTCCGGATACGTCGTCTCCCGGCTACGACCCTGTCGTCATTCCCGACAACAAGGCCTTCCGGAGCTTGAACCTGCGAATTGGTCCCCTCGGTCTGAATACCGAGCTTCAGAATGTCACTCCGCTACCACCCGTCACGCTCTCCTTTGAGCCGGTGCCGGCTGCGCAAGAGAAGCACGTTTCAGTCGTCCACAAGCAGCCCCCGAACTACGTCCAGCCACATCCTCCCTACAATGTCTACTCTGCTCCCATCCACCACGCACGCGAGCTGACGAAGCCTGGAGCCGAGAAGAGGACGTTCCACTTCGACATCGATGTCACCGACTATCCAGACGAAGGAGGCGTTGATTTCAAGGTTGGAGGTGCCATTGGTATTTGTCCACCAAACGCGCAGGAGATTGTGGACGAGTTATTCGATGTCCTCTGCATACCTAAGTTCGTTCGAGAGAAGCCAGTCTTACTCAGGACTCAGACCGGAAGATGGCCTACCATTTGGGGAGAAGACAAGCCGAGAAAACTCGTAACAACCCGTCGAGAACTACTGACATGGTGTGCCGATGTTCAGAGCCACCCCCCGACGAAGAACATCCTCCGCCTCATGGCCGAATACGCAGATGCCCCGAATGAGAAGAAGATCCTTCTCTATCTCACTTCCGCCCAAGGCCAAGCCACTTTCTGCGACCTCAGGACTACCTCCCACATCACTGTCGCCCAGCTCCTCAGTGCTTTCCCGTCCTCCAAGCCACCACTTCCAGCTTTGCTGTCTGTTCTTACCCAACTCATGCCGCGCTTCTACTCCCTCTCCAACGACCCACATGTCTCCTCCGCTCGCCCTGGTCTCCCCGGCGGCCGTCGCCTTATCGAAGTGGCCGTCACTATCCACGAAACGCCTGACTGGCACGCCCCGGGTACCCAGCGCACTGGTGTTGGTAGCGGGTTCATGGAACGCATTGCCCACGCCTTCATCACCGCTGAAAGTGAAGGCATCAACCCACGCGAGGTTCTCGACCTTCGTATCCCAATGTTCCGCGGTCTCATGGCAAACCCCCTCTCCCGCGAATTTGGTGGCGAGGGACCCATGATGCTGATCGGTGCCGGTGTTGGCATGGCGCCCTTCCGCGGCTTCATCCTCAACCGCCTCAAGAACGCCAATTGCGCCAACAAGATCTGGCTCGTGCAAGGTGTGCGTGATTCCCTCCTCGACGAGATCTATTCGGGAGAACTGGGCGACCATGAGGCAGAGATCAAGCACGTCGTCCAGAGTCGTAAGGCGCACAAACGCCACGGCGAGGCGAAGTACGTGCAGGATGAGGTACGCCAGCAAGCGGATATCGTGTGGTTCGTTATCAATGCGCTGGATGGTCGCATATTTGTGTGCGGTAGTAGCAAAGGGATGGGCGAGGGCGTTGAGCAGGCCCTTGTGGACGTCGCCATGGACAAGGGCGGATTGGCAGAATGGGAGGCGAAGGAATTTTGGGAGCGGAAGAAGGGGGATGGGCAGTATATCGCTGTAAGTTTTCCCATCCACGAAACACGGTGAAATCTTAACGCTAACTTTGACGTAGGAGACGTGGTAGATGCCCTCGAGTTCTTGAACCCTCGGTCTAGTCCTGTATATACCCATTCCTAGCCGAAGAGCTGTAAATACACTTCTTGTCTATTTTTTTTTCCTTATGTTTTCTTTCCTCATGTACTTCATGATTCCACATCTGTAATTTCAACGTATCTCGGCAATTAAAATTGTAGGATTTGCATTAGACGGACAAAACGGGCATACATCTACAGTCAGAAAACCTGCGATACACGGTCGCTCGCGCACCGGTGTCATGAGGCTTCAAATTCTTTGCATTTTCTCTCTTTTTTTCATTTTCCCTTTTGTCTTTTAGGTCTCTTTATGAATTCAAGCTCACGCGTCTTGCCGAGTTGAGCACGGCGTTTGAGGTGCTTGACCACCTACCATCGCATATGGAGATGTCGAGGGGGGTTTTTTTTTTAATTTACCCAACATGGAATCTGTTTTGGAGACAGTAGGCAGATGAATCAATTTTGAACTATCAAAACATTCATATTGAGTGGGCTGGATGCTGAAAGATTATATACTAATTACATTCTTGGCCATGACCTTTTAAGCCAGAAACATCGAATACAGCCTCAGAGCGCAAGATATCATAACAGGCAAGTCTGCCGACCCCGCTCGGACAACAAGCTGCATTAGCGCCAAGATGAAGCTACCGAAAGCCGGGGTGAGGAGTGAAGTGGGGGGAAAGCTTTCCCCGTGCTACCCACCACCGAGTGAACGAAGCCTGACCTCACTCTCAACCGGGCAGTTTTGACGCGTGTGACTTCGTACCTCGAAAACGTGGAGTCGTCTCTTTGGTTCGTGTACATGCCCTCGAACAAGCCTGCCGGTGGCTTAAAGATGATTGCACAATTGAGTTAGAAGAAGGGACCGCATTACCGCATGCAGTAATCCACTTTCTTGATACTTAAATCCAGGCTTTCAAGCCTCCTCTCCGCATTTGCTTCTAGGAGTGCATATATATACATCAAGCCTGTCACTTCTTCCTTCTTCATATTATGTCTTTCGAGGCTTCCTCCGTCTACTCTTAACCTCCCACCCGCATCTCTCCCCTCCCACCTCCCACAATGCCCCCCCAACCCCCCTCCCACCTTCCGCGCCTACACGACAAAACCGCCCTCATCACGGGCGCCAGCAGCGGCATCGGCCGCGCCATCGCCATCGCCTACGCGTCTCACGGGACCAAACTCGTCGTGTGTGCGGATCTGCGGCCGGACGCGCATGGCAACGCCAACACCCCGGAAGACAAGGAGAAGACGCACGATTTAATCAATAAGAGATACGGGGAGGGGAGGGCTGTGTTTGTGCGGTGTGATGTTGCAGAGGCGAGGGGTTGGGAAGAGGTGGTGAGCGAGGCGGTGCGGAGGGCGGGGAGGTTGGATGTGTGAGTGGATAATTTCGTTGTGAGAAGGGGGAAGAGGGGAGGGGGAAGAGGGGATGGGGAAGAAGGTTTATGGGGAGAGGGCTGATAGGGATACAGGCTTGTGAATAATGCGGGTGTCGGCGAGCATAATTATCCAAGGTTGCATCTTATGGATGAGGCGATTTGGGATAAGACTATGGCTGTGAATGCGAGGGGGGTGTTTTTAGTAAGTTCAGTTTTGCTCTCTTCGCCCGCTAGCATGTCCCGAGAGCACTTTCAAATTAAGATGGATCCCCCATCCCCGCCATCCAAATCGCAGCGCCCATAATTTGAAACTCACACCTCTCCCTAGGGCTGTAAGTATGCATTGGTGCAGTTCCTAAAGCAACCCCCCCACCCCTCCGGCGACCGCGGCTGGATCATCAACATTGCCTCCACCTTCGGCATCAACGGCTTCACCGGCGGCCACGGGCCCTACTGCGCCTCTAAAGCCGCGTGCCTCAACCTCTCGAAATCCATCGCGCTCGACTACGCGGCGGATAAGATCCACTGCAATGCCATCTGCCCCGGGTTCACGCAGAGCGCGATGACGGAGGCGACGTTCAAGGACGAGGCGGCGAATGCGGGCAGGTTGGCGGCGACGCCGTGGGGGAGGTGGGGGAGGCCGGAGGAGATTGCGGCGGCGGCGGTGTTTTTGGCGAGTGAGGATAGTAGTTTTGTGACGGGGGTGGGGTTGCCGGTTGATGGGGGGTATTTGGCGATGTGAGGAGGATGAGGAGGAGGAAAAAGAGGAGGGTTGAATTGGTCGATTTTGGTATACGCTGGTCCCTTCGAGGGGGTGGGATGTATGGTGGGAGATATTGGGACTAAGACGGTGGTATGACCGTCACTGTATTCTACCTACTATTTTGATATCATGTCTTGCTACAGATATCTGCACATTTCTCTAGTACCGCTTGTGGCGTCTTGTGGTGTTTTCAGGCGCCCGGTTCAGACGGACGTCTCGGCTTTCGAGGAACTGATAAAGTTGTGTCAAGCCGCCCCAAACTGCGGCATAGCACTTCATACAAATTGGAAGCGTGCTCCGCTATCCTGGGTTTCTGAATTTGCTATGAGGCACCACAAGCGGTGGTAGAATAGTGTGCGGATATCTATGGCCAGCGCACTATAGCTAGCTGCCGAGACTTGCTTGATTGAGGAGTGGACGGGAGCGAATGAGTTTTAGGAAATATCGTGATCGCGACAGTGCTTCACTCTTTTGAAAGTTGCCGCCAGGAGTCACTTGACTAAGAAATGATTGATAAGTGACAGACGGCAGTACTGAAGGTTTTGATGGGTTGAGAAACGGACATAACCCTCTAGAAGGCCTTTTGACAACGACTGAGTCTTAGGTAGTAGATTTCACGAATGCCATGATTAGCTGGCCAGAAGCTACACTACGCACACTTTGTCTGTGCCTTTCCAGCGCAGATATATGACCCTGCACCATTCAGCATCCCCAACCTCTCTCCCCTTACATATGAATTAGACCAGCCTTCGAATGCTTCAACGCGCTGTCATAGGATAGCAACGTGACTTGGACGTTTCCGGCATCATGTGAGAGTGAGACATATGTCAGCGCGAGCCGCATATTCGGCCCTGCACGGGAGATGGTCCTTGTAGTTGCATGATTTGCCATCCACTAGAGCCAAGACGTGCCTTCGTGCCGGTATGGAACGCCGTTCTCGTACTTGTAGCTGCTTTTGGTGGGCTTCATGTGCAAGGGGCGGCTTCTGCGGCTTCGTGTTCGAAGTGTTTCGAAGCTCGTATTGGGGCTGGAGGGTGGTGAAGGTGAGTAGGGAGGTGGCGCCATCGCTTGAGGCGTTGCCCAGCAGCGAGCTTCGAAGCTCTCTACTTCTTGAGTCTTCCAAACTTGAAGACAATCATTCTGTAGAATGTCGTTGAGGACTCCCTGAAACGACTGCGTCTCGTGGTTTTTGGTGTGACAATTTGTGGGGAAGCCTGCCCGGTGCTATTTTTACTTGGCGCCATTCTAGGCAGGGATGGTCGGCAAGGTTACTGTGACAACTGCGCCTCCAAACGGAATAACGAACCTTACACCACCACCTGAGGCCGCCCAGCTGGCCCGAACCCAATTCTTACCCTCGACGACGATACTCACGATACGCTTCCTAGCATCATAGCACTGCCGCATTATTTCGAACTTTGGACTCCTCCACGCTGTGCCCGCCTTTGTCAACACCAAGCCTCGTCACACGCTGAGCGGCTCGTTGCCGCTTTCTTCGCCCGCATTGGGTCCACGGCGAACCAGCCTGTGCAGACTAGGAATCTCTGGAACGGTGGACTAGCATTCACCTCGTGCTAATCGCCGTCGCAGCCATCGCAATGAGTGGACTACCGGAGCGCAGCTTTTCTTTCAACTACCATGACGAAGGGACACTCCAGCCTCGTAGCAACGGCTACCAGCAACAGTACTCGCAGCACTCCCAACCCTATCAAGACGAACCCGCAGTCTCCCCTATAGACCCTCCTCGCAGCCAGCAAATACCATCGTCATACGACGCCCCTCCACCCCCTCCCGCTCACCGGCAGCCAAGCAGCGCCTACAGCCAATACAGCCAGCACCAGTCACAGAGACAGTACGACGGACAGCAGGAATCTCTCCCACGACAAAATACCATACCAAGACGCCCGCTCAGCCAGTCTCCACCCCCTCGTTACGGTGTTGGAGCTGTTCCAAATACTTCACAGCCTCGTCGCCAGTCCGACACCACGCCGGGAATGGACAACTTGAGCACAGCTGCAGCAGGAGGTGGAATTTCAGGAATCGCGATGGGAGTTGCCAGCACAAATGAGCGGGACAGCGGTGTGCAGGCGTTGCGGGACATCGACAACCTATACCGGTCTGGTGACATCGCAGGAGCAAGACACACCCCCTCAGAACGCCGATTTGACCAAGACGACGACAATTACGGGGTACTCAACCAAGCAGCCGTACCACCACGAAGACCCGTCGACCCTCAACCCTCCTACTCCTCCACAGTACCTCTTGCTGCTGCAAGCCACGCTCCAGCCGCAGCGTCACGAGCCGAAAGCTCCTCGGAACGAAGCATACCATTATACAACCAACCCTCTCCCAGCGCCTACCCTTATGCTGATACCCCCTATGACCAATACTCGTCTAGCAACCTCCGCCTCGCCCCTGCCATGGGCGCAATCGACCCCAACACCATCGCCGACGACGGGGACGATGACTTCGCCCAAACCCAACATGGTCAAAAACGCCGCTCCCTACTCCCTTTCGGAAACAATCGTAACTCCAGCCGTGAAGGCATCGCGCCAGCTGCTGCGGGGGTTGGTGCAGGAGCGGCCGCTGCAGGAGCTTTTGCATTTGGCGCGCGAGATGCCAGTGGCACTTATAATGCCGTACCCACGAATGGCGTACAAGACTCTGCCAGCGGTGGCGCTGGTGGCATCGGTCCAGGGGCTGAGAAAAGTGACTGGCTGAACCGCCAAAATAGCGGAAACAAACGTCTCAAGTGGATTGTAGGTACCATCGTCGTGCTTGTTATCATCGGCGGCATAGTCGGAGGCGTGATTGGAGGTGTGCTCTCACGGAAGAACAACAAGTCTTCCTCCAAGCCTAGCGATCAGTCCCCTCAAGGAGTGGCCAACGACAACAAATCCGATCTTGACAAGAACAGCGCCGAAATTCAGAAGCTATTAGGGAACGCGAACTTGCACAAAGTATTTCCGGGCATGGACTACACGCCCCTGAATGCCCAATACCCCGATTGCATGCATACACCTCCCAGCCAAAACAATGTCACACGAGACATGACCATGCTCAGTCAGCTCACAAACGCGGTCCGGCTGTATGGCACCGATTGCAACCAGACCGAGATGGTCTTACACGCTATTGACCGTCTTGAGCTCACAGACATGAAGGTCTGGCTCGGCGTATGGCTCGGAAACAACGACACGACCAACGACCGGCAGCTCGCGCAGATGTGGGAGATCCTAGACGACCAGAAATCCAAGAACAACATCGATGTCTTCAAAGGAGTCATCGTCGGCAACGAAGTCCTCTTTCGAAAGGACCTAACGATAGACGCCCTCGGCAAGATACTCGGAGACGTCAAGAAGAACCTCACAGACAAGGATATGGATTTACCGCTCGCGACGTCGGATCTTGGAGACAACTGGACTGCAGCGCTTGCTCAAGATGTTGACATCGTAATGAGCAATATTCATCCGTTTTTCGCGGGTGTCACAGCCGAAGCGGCGGCCGGGTGGACGTGGACGTTCTGGCAGGGGCATGATGTTCCTTTGACAAAGGGCCTCACGACCAAGCAAATCATCTCCGAAGTCGGATGGCCGTCTGCTGGAGGAAATGACTGCGGTGAGGTTGATTGTACGAGTGATACGCAAGGAAGTATAGCCGGGATCGACGAAATGAACACATTCATGGAAAGCTGGGTTTGTCAGAGTTTGGCGAATGCTACGGAGTATTTCTGGTATGTATATAATCCATTTTCCTTCATCTCGAATCGAGGCTGTAGTGACCAGTGCTAATAAGATACAGGTTTGAAGCTTTCGACGAACCCTGGAAGATCCAGTTCGACACAAAAGGCAAAGAGTGGGAAGACAAATGGGGCCTGATGGACATTGACCGCAATTTGAAAGATGGGGTCAAGATTCCGGACTGTGGGGGCAAGACTGCGGCGTAGAGCAAAGATTTACACTAGCTTGAGTACGGTTATGAAAATATGGGTATGGATATGACTGGGAAGGTGGCTTGTGTGTGCTCATGTTCGTGATACATTTGGTAGGCAAGGCGTTGGTGGCTTTCTTGGGCGGGATTTATGGGGACTACGAGCGGTGAGCGTGTTGTATAGTATATGACATTCCTGCGAAGTCATGAAGTATAGCGGGGGCCATGGGAAGTACCGCTGTGAAGGACGCAGTAATATATTGTAGATAGGACCAATATGCAAACGGACGAGTTTGGCTTTATCCACCATCCTATTCGGTGGGCATCTAGGTAACGTACGCGGATATGTCCTTCCCCATCAGGTTCGTACCCACGCTTCTGTCCTATCTCTACATGTGTCGTAGGCATTCAACACTGAAATGTGTTCTGACAAGTGTACGGAGTATCCCGTTAGGCACTGGAGCTGGTTCACAGACCGGCACTTCAAGGCCAGCTGAAAGACGCTACCCCCCGTTCTGATCTCTCCAAGATAGAGCTGCCACAACGAGAAGGCCAATAGCACTCGCGACGTCGGTTCCCCCAACTCCGGCGAGGAAATTGTCGGTATGTCCTCCGGAGCGTGGGGTTCTCGCTAAGTGTCAACGGCACGCACTCCACAGCACACCGTTGCCAACGGTACCACTCCCCGGCTCCATCTCCGCAAGGAATCCACTTCGACAACCCTACGTCCACTAGGCTGCCCTTGCTGTGGAGCAGCCATGGACAAGGTAATCCTGTGTCCAGCCGTCATGATAACGCGTGCGATCTTCAACACTGCCAATGGAGGCGCGACGCGTAGATTATCAACGGGATCTAGATCCGATGTCAACATCAACGCGATCTTAGGTACGGCCAAGATGGGCGTGCTGAGGTCAAAGATAACGCTGTAGTTTTCTTACGTCCTCGCAATCTCTCAAATTTATTTTAATACCCCCGGCTTGTATATCTTCACAATGGGATTCCACGTCACTCCACACGGCCATGACCTCACGAGCCGCCTGAACTGGGACTCCCTCGGGCAGCTGTACGCCGGCATCGCCATCGCCTGGACTTGTATCCTAGGCGCCGCCTCAGCATGGCTCTACCTCAACCGCAAGGTCTCGTACCTCAAGATGCGCAATATCCCGCTCGCCATCACTTCCGTCGTCTTTCTCCAAGTATATATGATCTTAATGCTGCTCGCGTACACCGTCAACGGGAACTTCTCATGCGGCCTCGAGTTCTGGATCATGAGCACTTGGCTGCCGTTTGGCATCGCCCTGTTCCAAGCGAATGTTGCGCAGCTGGAGAGCGTTAGTCATATGCAGCAGCGGATGCTGGATAGCGAGCAAACACTGAGTCGGTCTGGGAAACTGGTCTATCCATCCGGTATTAAGGGGCTCGTGGCTAGGTGGAATACGCTTACGGCGTTGCGGAAGACATATCTCTTTATTGGCCTCGGGATGCTGGTTCAAGTGGGTACTCACTTATGGCAGATCTATCTACCAGCAGAGGTCACGACTATGGCACTAATACATCCTCAGCTCATAGCAATCTCCGTAATATACGCCACATCGCCAACCCTCCAGGGCCACTACGATCCATCCCTCACCCACGCCCAAGGCCAAGCGAAATGCCGCAAGGGGCTCGAATGGTACCTCCCCTGCCCTCTTCCTCCTTCCCCCTTCCCACTCTTCTTATTAAATCCCTTGCCTAGGATCCCCTCCGCCATCTGGCAACTTTGGTGGTCCTGCCTCTACGGCCCCTACCTCCTATACCGCATCCGCCACATATCCGATGTCCACTGCTGGCGGCCCCAAATTGCCTGCTCCGTCATTGCCGGCTTCCCGGGCTCCCCCTTATGGCTCGCTTCCCTGCACTCCCCAGCCTTTGCGCACATAAACAGGCGCTGGGGACCCCCTCTATGGCTCGCGCCCGGCATCATCGTTACACAGTCCGCTACCCTCTTCTTCCCCATATACGCCGCCTGGCGCGCGCGGTGCGAGCTTCTCGCAACCCTCGCAGCACTCAAAGCGTGGGACGAAAAACGCAGCCGCAACAGCACGTCCGGCAGCAGCAACGATAACTCCAGCTGCACCCTCACCACCACCGACGACGTCTGGCACAAGTCCCACTTCCACAACAAATCGAGCTTTAAATCCGTGTCTACAGCTACAGTCGCACCGCGGACCCCAGTGAGCAGAGAGCTGCAAACTATGGCCGCGCTCACCAAAGCCCTCGAACTCAACCCCGCGCCCCTCCTCCACTTCGCCGCGACCGCCGACTTCACCGCCGAGAACGTCGTCTTCCTAATCCAAGTCCGCGACTTCAAACTCGCCTGGACAAAAGCCACCTCCACTCCCGCGAGCGCCACCTCCACCAACTCGATGCCAAGGCTATTCGCCGCCGCGCTGAGCATCTACCGCTCCTCGATCGACCCTGCGACGTCTGAGTTCCCCATCAACATCTCCAGCGCCGTCGCCGCGGCCCTGCGCGCCGTCTTCGGCGAGTTCGTGCCCTACCGCGACGAGTCGATTGTGGATTCCTTCAAGGACAAGGACGCGCGCGCGCACGACCAGAGCGCGTTCTCGGCGCAGTCGCGGATGCGGGCGATGGGCGGGCGGAAGGGGCCGCCGTTGTTTGCGGCGTCGGCTGCGACGTTTGAGATGGATGTTACCGAGTCTGTGGGGGATGAGGAGAGGGGCATTTTGGGGTTTGAGCCGGCGCCGTGCGTGAGGCCGACGTGGTCGCTGGAGACTGGGGGTGCCGTGGAGGGATTTGGGGTGGGTGTGTTTGATGAGGCGGAGGCGAGTATACGGTATTTGGTTTTGACGAATACGTGGCAGAAGTTTGTGAGGGAGGGGTTGGTGGTTGGAGTATAGGGCGTGAGGGATGAAGGGGTTTTGGGTGTAATTGGTGTTTCGGTATTCTTTAGGGGTAAAATAGGAGGTATGCAATTTAGGAAGCGAAGGAGGGATACCTCACGAGCTAAGTTATGTAATTTATAGTGTGTAAGAGACGGGACGGGGGTTAAGGATATTTATAATATTGCCTATAAAAGCTATTTAGATATTAATAAGTCATACTATTACCCTAATATGCTTACACTTCTCCATCTATAATATAAGAAGTAAAGTTAGCTATACTATATCTAAATGTATATAAAGAATCTTCTAGGCTATATATCCTTCCGCTCTTCATATTGTTTATCGATATAGGTACATCGAATGGTGATGGGGGGAGGTCGAGGTGAGTGGGGAAGGGAAAGGGGGATGTAGCGTTAGATAGTGGGGCGAGCATCTTGCTTACAAACTTTTTTGTTCTTCTCAGCTCTAACTTTCTTTGTAAATGCTTTTTGCAAGTCGATTAGACTCAGGCGAGGAGATTTTACTGTTTCGTGCTTTTCTAATGGTACTGAACTATGTGAGGTAGAGAGAACGGGAAAGAGGGATGGCTATAGCGGAGTTCAGTTTTTGCATCGGAGAGAGATGAAATATAAGGAACTGAATCCAGGTGAAATCGTAATCGTTATCTATGATTAATCTAGAGTTGGTGTAGAGTTAGTGCAGAGTTTGGGTATAATGAAATGATTGGGGTCCTTGGGCCACTTGGGTTTTCGGAAATTTCTCTTCTCCGCTCTCCGCGTCTCTTCTCCGCCCTCCGCGTCTCTTCTCCAGGCATCTATATTGCCACCACATCGCCCCCACATAAAGTACTCATTGCATGCACCATCCCTACCGATGGAGACATCGAGATGATACGTTAAGCAATGTTGCGTGACACTAGATGCAGTCATCACTCAACACAGCCAGGCCAAGTCAAGGCTGAGCCTTGTTTCCGTTGTCAAGTTTTTCACCATGTTATTGAATATCAGGATAGACTTATCAGGTGTAGGGCATCGACCCTATTTCTACAAGAGGAAGCAATGGCTACCTTCGATAGACTCCTTTCCCGAAGAGTCTGAGCCTATTGCTGCTCCAAGCAACGCAAACATATGGCCCCCAAATCGTGCCAAGCCCCGTCTAGGTATCCTGCCGGTGATTTCAGTCTTTTCTGCCTTGCTCTGCAAATCTCAGCCTCTTCAGCCCTATTATGCATGTTGCAGCGAAGGGCCACATCCTTGAAATGGGTGGCCTTATACTGACTACAATAAGCTGTGCTAGGAATAGGTACTCGGGGCCAGAATCAGTCCGCATAGAAAGCGGAATGGGACCCGCTGGTTCTACTTGCACCTTTTCTTGCTTCCCATAACCTTTTACTCATGGATAGACATGACATTTTGCACCCTTCGCTGAGGCAACCATCGGGGGCCTCTTCAGCAACCTGCGAAGAAGATTACATCGACCACATAGTCCCCTCTTCTCCTCCTAAATCCCCTCTTTTACCCCCAAGCTCTGAGACGGCCGCTTTTCAACACTTTGCCGGCAGGCAGCCCTCTGCAACGGCTAGCAATCTCAAAATACGAGAGAAGCAGGCTTTTCTAGCCAAGGGAAACCCTTTTTCATCGACCGAAGACCGAAGACCCCATCGTCGCCGCGATGCGATATTTCTGTCTGCGTGGTGGGCAGAGATTCTCTTACTTCTGATAGCCATATGTGCTTTGATTGCTATTGCCATCGCGCTGTCAAAATACAATGCGCAAGAGCAGCCGGCTTGGAAGTATAGCCTTAATCTTAGTACTTTGATTGCTATTCTGTCTACATTGCTCCGGGCCTCGATGGTTGCTGTTGTGGAAGAAGGTAAAACCTACTGCGCCTGTTTCAATGATACGGGAACACTAGCTAATTACTTCACGGCAGTTGTCAGCCAGCTAAAATGGATGTGGTATCGCCGGCCGCGCCCTTTGCGACATCTCGCTCAGTTTGATACAGCATCGCGCGGACCTTGGAGTTCGTTGCTCCTATTCTTTAGAATCAGAAGACTGTTCGTATTCATCGACCATCCCGAAACAACTGCAGCAACTGATAGATAAAAGCAACCTGGCCCTTCTAGGATGTCTTGTAATCATACTTTCCTTTGCTATTGGCCCCTTCACTCAGCAGGCTATCAAGACTGTGGCTTGTAATAAGCCTCTTACACCGTTGAACTCATCCATACAAATCGCTAGGATAGTGTCTAGAGACAATATTCCTCGCTTTACACCCGGACATTACGACTTAGACCTAGAAACCAGTGCTGCCATATTGGACGGACTGGCTAATCCACATGGTAACCGCTCTGCACTTTCAGCAGCCTGCATGTCTGGTAATTGTACTTTCGCATCGTACGCTGGCGTTACACATTCGTCTAGTGGGCTTTGCAAAAAGTGTATTGATGTCTCTGGCGAGATCCACGAGGTAGTGAGCCCCGCCTTATTCCAAGCCTCGAACGGAACGCTGGTCTCAAGTCCAAACCAATCAGACTACAACTTCTGGTTGAATAGGCAGAGCATCGGTGGGTGGGATACCGATGATGGAGGGCGTGACGTTTCCGGCGTGCCCCAGGCCTTTTTCAACATGACGCCAGGGGATTTCGAATGGGCTGCTTCATTAACCAATACACCCTTTCAAGATCCATCCTTCATTACGGCATCGAACGTTGCAATACTCAATATCACCCTCCTTACGTTCACACTTAATGGCTGCCAAGTCGTCAACGTCACCGACGGTTACGGATACAGTTACAATATCACCTGTCCACATTCGAAGCTGGACCCCAAAAAATTCGATGCTGACTTCGCTACAACCTCTGCGTTTGATGCTATCGACATGGCCGCCGTGGCTTGTACATTTTATCCCTGCGTCAAGAATTATCGTGGCGCCGTCAATAATGGCATCCTGAGCGAAACCATTGTCAGCGAGACACATGCTTCGCTTAAAGCGTATGCGCCTGATCTCGCCCCGGATTTTCTTCAATTCAACTCGCCGTGCGTAGTCGACGGCCAGCTCTACACACACGATAATATTTCTTCATTCCCGGCAGGCAACCACACCTTCAACACCACCCTAATAGACGGGAAGAATGTCACGGTGCCCAATGAGTGTTTTTTCAAGATCGATGGTATCTACATCAATGCCTTAGCGGAGTTCATGTTCAATGTCTTCACCGGCGACTGCTCCATGCCTCTTACCAGCTATTACGATGAACATTCCCCTCCGGACCGGTGGAGCTGGATTTGGTGTGATGATAAGTGGTGGCTAAAGAGTCTATTCAACAAAGGCAACGCCTCCTTCGTAAGCATCGATGCAAACCTGGAATCCGTCACGACTGCTATCACCAACGAAATGCGCAAGCAGGGAACAGATTGGAACGGTGATCCAGCCGTGGTAGAAGGCATAGTCCTTCGAGAAACAATCTGCATACAGTTTGACTGGACCTGGCTGGCGTTCCCAGTCGCACTGCTTCTCCTGACCGCCCTTCTCTTGATTACCATGGCTTTCAAAACGATGCTAGATAAGCAACAAGTGCCGATATGGAAGTCTTCGATCCTACCACTCTTGTTTTCTGGAAATGGATTCGCTGGCGACAGCAGAGACCGGATGGCGGCGTCAGGCAATCTTAATCATATTGAAAATGAAGTGGATAAGATGATTGTTAGTCTTGCTCATGATGGCAATGGGTGGGAGTTTGTTAGTAAGAGGTCAAATAATGTTAGTGCCGAGGGAGAAGGGGCTACGTGAGGTCGACGTTACAGCTGTGAAGACTGCAAACGATAGAGCACTCGAATCTATGCTTGTAGAACTGGCAGAGCACGGAGTAGAAATAGTAGTATGTATATCAATAGGACAGGGTATCTTTCTTCGACGGTACCTGATATAGGTATAAGGGATTGCGCAGATTAAGTGCGAAATGCCGGCGATGCTGTATGAGACTTGATATTAGTGACGGGTTCCAGGCGCCAGGTTTAGGCAGAGGTTCGGAGGACAATAGTGTCGACTATAGAGAATGTCGGGATCATTATTGTATAATCTACCAATAAATGCAGACTTGCGCTCGCTAAAATGCCAAAACACTAGTTCCTACAGACCTCGTTTCTCTAGAGTGTACACTAGTTGGTCAAAAAGCACGTTTCGATCGAAGCAGCAGTCCAGCCCACCCCAAAAAAGGTCTATTTGTGCCCGCGAAGACGAACAATATCTTCCTAAAAATCAACTTCTCCACGTATATTAAAGCTCTACAATCATGAACGGTCCTGTATCCTAGCTAGTATGCTCTAAGCCTCTGCCTAGGATTGCGCGGAATGGCCATCATCTCCAAGGTTCTGGCTGTATATCCAGCTAGCCGCGCAAGTGTGCCCCTAATCTGCGCATTTCTCGCCATTATATACCGCTCTTCGGATGAGCTCGAAGGGGTAGCTAGGTGGTATCCCATGCTTCTGAGCGTAGAAGGACTGATCCTATTTCCGATTGTAGGCTAAGGAGCGGTAAAGGCTGGTCGGTTACACCCGTCAGATTGCGTTCAAGGTTGCAGTTGGCCGAAGAAGTTTTGCTTACAGTACATGAAACTATTAGTGACCATAGTATGGTCGATTTTGTATGCGTAACCATTGGCATATATAATATGTAGAACTCCGGGCTATTCAGGGTATTACTTATGTTTTTAAGCCGCAAAGCAACACGGAAAGGACATTATCCTTACCTAATTATTATTTTAATGTGGGTCTCGAAAGTACTCCACTGTGCCACTAAACTAGTCATTTTCAAGCCACAAGCCAGACTCCCCATCCACGTTTCCTTTGTCATCCGCAATATTATAGCCAGATATGCCGAACCAAGGCGGCGTTATAATAGTTCCATCCGTAAGGAAGGTTCCGAAGAAATAACTACCAATCTTATGTATAAAGCATGTTGCAAACAAGAACTAGAAGTCTAAAAATCGGTCCTATTTCTATTCTCGGACCGACTTAAGCATAGCATCAACTCGCTATAAATGATTAGTGCCGGAATTAAAAAGTAAGAATAGAGTAGCGTGCTTACCAAGCTATTGATATTAACCGTCTAAATCCGTGGATTAAATTGGTGCATAGTGCCAGTCTAGGGTAGCCTTATATAGTAGCTAAGGCAGTCGGGAGTTGCTATTAAGTAATTAATGATAATCTTCGGGAACGCTGTTCGTAGCTTGTAGAGAAACAAATCCACAGCACCTCTCGCCGCTTGCGCATTTCTTCTGAAGACCCGGTCCCCCGACACCTTTTTATCCCAGGTAAGAGAATGACGACCAATATTATCTTCCATCATCTTTAGCGCTAAGTTGATGGACGACGCAACGAACGTGTATTCGGCGTCCGCCGGGGTGTATTCTTTGTTAATTACGACGGGAACTTCTGGCCTTCTGTACATCACAAAATTTGCCGTTGATATAATAATATAATTTAAAACCAATATAGTATTAACAATTTTCCGATTAAGGTATATTTCAAGACTTCTGTCGAGAAAGTAGAGGCGAAGAAGTATAGTAGCGGAGTTAAGAAACGAGAAAGCAGTTAATGTGCAGACTTATAATCGGTATTTTAAGAGAAAAGTGTTGAAGTAGATTAAGTAAATTAAATAAAATGAACATATTAACCTTATATCTTCAAATCTGCACGCTGTCAGATCTTCTCTAGTGTTACCTTCTACCAACACCACTTAACTATAGAGGCCCTTGTAAGCGCTATAAAGTAGAGAGCGTTTTACTTTACAAATTATTATAGGCCCTATATATTAACATACCCTTAGTAAGTTGGTGGATTAAGCAGTTATCTATTAAGAGTCCACGCATTAGTATTAGATGTCATTTCGCGTATAATGCTTCCGAGCACAGCCTTCCAGCGGCTCGCTGGTTCCAAGAAAATATCAATTCTCTGGAACAATTGGCCTAGACGTCCCCATTAAACTAGCATACAGGCTATTTTAGTTGTTGAAATACCCATTTTAGTATAAACGCCCGATAGACGCTCTGCGCGGCACAGCAGCTTAAGAGATCAGCGTTTAGGTCATAGTCTCATCGGAAAGAGGGTAGCGATAGACGGAGAAGAAGGGATATGAGACTTTGAATTGCATTGGATAAGCAACGAACATAGGATATTGCCTAGGTACCTATGTTGGGCGCACGAGGGTGCTGTATTCTAAGGGAGACACGGAGAGTGGGAGAGTCTTGCGGATCCCATTTTCAGCACAGACCTATTCTTTGGGAATCTCAAACAGCACAGCCCCACTTCAACCTGGAGACGCCTAAACATACACAAAACACTCAGCGGATCTCGAAGCGCCGTCTTTCACAATAAATTCATGAGTACATGATACACCAAAGCGCTGTACAAAACTCGCTACAATGAGGCTTCCACAATCCGCATATCGAGACAACCCGCATACCATATCATTGACTGAGCCGCCGGGGCTCAAGGTATCTGCAGCAGACTTAGATTTGGAACACCTGGAAGCGTTCAAGACGATCTTATCGAAAGTCCTTTCCACAGATGTGGCGAAAGAAACCTACGCACAGATCATCGAGGGTCTCCCAACTTGAAGTGTATTTTACGAATGTTCCACCACTCGTGACCGAGCAGACATCAACGCTCACGAGCACATCAGCCCAGAGTCATTGACACTCTGAGAGAGTTTGAGGAGAAATTCAGCATTAATATCTTACTTTTTGATGCAAAGGTTTGCAAAACTGGTAAACTGTAGAAGGGAATTGGGCTAACACAGACATGCAGACTGCACAAGCGTATCAAAACACCACCGTTGGTTCAAAGGAATTCAAAATTCATCTACTAGAAATGATTGCAATTGCTTGCCACAACATCGCAGTGCTTATCTACAAAGAAATCAAGGGCAGTAATATCCCAACCGAGCGGATATGGTACCAACCGCCCCCTATCATATCATCACTTCCACCTCGTCTCGACGGCCGGCCTGACGAACCTGAAACATTCCCACCGCGACTAGTCCTTCCAACGGACTTTTACCATCCGTTCTACCAAGCGATGGAGCAATATCCAGAAGGTGTAGCTGATGTTGTGGGCTACCGGGCTGAATTACGAATTTTCGGTGGTGTTGTGGTATTTGACAGGGGAGAAAGCGGGGACGAGGTTTGTGATGAACCCCAAAAGCATATCGGCTGACGGATAAACTGACTTCTAACTATGCGCAGTGTAAAGAAGCGCTCATACACCCTGCAAAGCGGCGCATGATATACCAGCTCCACGATCACCAGATTGACGAGTTTGTTAAATTCGAATCAGTTAAAAGAGATGGCGACGTCAACCACTCCCTCAACCTTGATTCCGTCAGGGCAGATACAGCTGTGAGAGACGACGAGATACTAGGGTCTCCTCTACCGTTTCAAAATGAGCGCTACCATAGAAGAGTAGACGAGCGGGATGCCTTCAATCAGCACATCTTTAGGAATAGGTATGAGCGGAAGTGGGCGACTAGGGCGCCGTTGACTTATCGGCGGATGGGTGCTGATGAGCCTGAGCTTGAGGATGTGATGGAGCGGTACCGGACTACTGGAAAATTTGAGTGACATCTGCTGAGCGAAGCGAGCGTCCCGGGAGAGAATACTAGTACTCGCTCCGTACAATGAGCCGATATTTGATCGGAAAAGGCCGAGTCTCGTAGTTTTTGGAGTAATACGACTTTAAGAACAACGCAGAGACTCCGGTAGTCGACGGCCCTGCGGAAATCGGGCCAATAGTCTACACTACTGGTCGTCACTAGGTTGGTTGGTTGGTTGGTCGGTTGGTCTTCTGGTTCTTGTTGTCACGTAGAGCCTGGTACTACTTGGATAAGAACTTCTTCAAACGGATGTCAACGTCTCGCTCTCTTTCTCCCTTTTGTGATGAGGATAAAGTTCTGAACGAAGCCATTTCCATTCCTGACACGAGCTTTCCATCTTTTGCGCGTTGAGGAGAGAGATCGAGGACTGTTGTGGAGTCTTTGGAGTAGTTGGTATTACTCGGGTGGCGATCTGGTTTCTTTGGGTTTCTTGACTTAATTTGCACAACAGGTTTCAGATAAGACAGCATCCTTTTGGCTAGTTGAAGGTTCTCCAAGACTTCTCCTTCTGTCATAAGAGGAATCCCGATTTCCAGAATATGGGTGAGTTGTGCTCTGAGATCGATCATTTCTGTGACGTGGAAATTGGCAAGCGATTGGTGTATTTTTGCGAGGACTAGAAAGTTTGGATGATCCTTTAGCCACGTCCTCATATAGCGAAAAGAACCGTATTCGGTACGACGCCTGACTAGCCTAATTACGCTGCGGCTTTCCTGAACATGACGGCGTATGGACAACTCCCTGGATATGAATATTGCGAAGCGCGGGTCTCTATCCGCCTCTTGCTCAGTGAGGTGAGATTCATTTATCTTCGTGTTACGCCTGATCTCTGAGATCTGCGCTGGGAGATGCCTACCCCGGCGCTCAAGTTCTTGATGTTGTGACACATTGGCGGATGACATATGTCCCCTATGAGCCAGTAGTTTAGCCTGTGTTTCTATAGATTTGCGTTTGTCGCTAACGGCGGATGCTTTGGTTTGAAAAGGCAATCCGGCCATGTAAGAACATTTCAGGCTTCTGTGAAGAATTGGGTGAGAGTCCTTTGTGCTGGCTATAAAGAACAGTGTGGTCAAATAATCGTTGTCATTCAATTTAACAAGGTCCATGTATAAGGTAAGGGCTAAATCTTGAAGTGCTTCCCAGGGGCTACTTCGAAGAATTTCAAAGATAGAGATGACCGAGTATTTCAAGCCGTCAAACGGTTCGACAAATCGTCTGCGAGCTTTCAATCGATATTCGGTGAAGGTAATATGCGAAGCCAGCGTGCCTTATAGCACATGGTGAGTGTTATACGGGATATTACCATTTCAACGCCGTTCGTTTCCTCTCGTTTCATCAGTCGTGTAGAACAGGCAAGACCGCAGTTTTGGTACTGGACGAAGAACCTCCCATAACCGATTCGACGACCGTAAATGAAATTGCCGCAGCATCTTCGAACGTCAATCCCTTTTCGAGCACGTTCCCGAGAAATCTGTCGAGTGAGGTTGGCTTTCCCCACTAGCATCAGGAGGATGAGATACGGCATCCGAAGATGAGCAGTCGTTGAGAATGCTGTGCCACCATGGCTGCGCTTGGCGAGGCGATCAATCAGTAAACGACACGTGATCAGCACAGGGGTGCGATTACAGCCCCTTTCTGGGTTGCAGAACGATCTATTCTCGTTGAGACGGTGAAGAGTAGTTCAACCACAGGGATGTAGGTAGCATTGCATCAAGATTGATAGTATGAAGAGGTGATTTCATTCACGGAGAGGAAGCTGGAGGCAACACCACAGACAACAAAGTACTCAGCTTCACATTTAAATAATCTCCAAGATCCAGTAATGCATATCAGGGTATCTATTCTAGCCACGTTCTTAATACATACAAATGCAGCCCAATCCTTCAACGCCACAAGCCGTACGGACCAGTAGTGAACTTCCACAGCTTGATTGTGCCATCCTCGCTGCCAGTGGCATAGAGCTTGCCGTCAGGAGAGAAGCTGACAGTCCAGATGGGGCCGTGATGGCCTTTGCCCATTTCTGTACACAAAGTTAGTAGATGATATCTGGTAGCAAGGACGGATTGCAAAACATACCTAGTTCCTTCTCCTCATCGAAATCCCACACACGCACCCACGTATCATTCTGGGAGCTGCCGCCCGTCACAAACTTTCGCTGCGCACCGTGCAACGCCACACTCGCAATGTCGTATTGTGTCTTCACACTTTTGATCAGGGTAGCCGGCTGCATGCTGTCGAAGAAATAGGCCGTCTTGCCGGCCGCCACACTCAGTACGCCGTCGCCAGATGTGTTATCTAGCTCGCACGTCCCAACCATACCTTCCACCGCGAATTCACCAATGGTCGAGCGCGAGCGCAGATCCCACCACCGCACCATCTTGTCCTCGGCCGCCGTGATAATGACATTGCGGTCAGCGCCCCATACGATGGATTTGATGCTACCGGCGTGGACGCCCGGACCGATCTCGTAGCTGGGAGGAGTGACAGAGGAGGCGGAGGTGTCGTATGTAGGGGATGAGGAAGCGCTACTGCTGCGAGAGAGGTCAAAGATACGAAGCTTCTTCTCCATACCACCAGTTGCGAGGATCTGAGGGCGGGGCTGATTCGGGAATGCTACAGCTCGCACAATGTGGTTATGCTGGAGCGTGTGCAAAGCTTCTCCGGTGTGCGTGTCCCATACTTTAGCTGAGAAGTCGGCGGAGCCTGTCGCTGCTAGTGTAGCGTCAGACGACAGCCGTGCCTGCCATACAGCGCCCTTGTGGCCAATGAAGGTTCCGATCCAGTCCCCAGTTATGCCATCACGGAGCATGGGGTTGTTGTCCTTGCATGCTGATATGAGGTAGTATTGGTCGTCGTCTACAACGGAGGAGAAGCTTAGGTGGGTGATGGGGCGGGAGTGTCCATGGCAAGTGAGCGGAACGACTTTTGTGGTCTCGGTGGTCATGGTATATTTGAGTACAAGGGTCTAGGTATAGATGCGGACGTGGCTGAAAAGTAGGTAGTAGGGGAGGTCGCGTAGTGGGAATCGAGGTGCGAGGGCGCGGGACGGTTTGATGAAACGAATAAACCGAGGCTGGCGTCGTGGGGTTGGAGTGTTTTAAAGCTAATAGGAGCTCCCTATGTTGCTAGAGGGATCGTTATATACTGCAGACAAAGGTCGCAAAACCTGGTCTGCGGGTGAGTATGCGGTGAATGCGTGGAGCGAAATGGATGGAGCGTCAACAGATTCGTTTCGATGGTCGTAGCTTCGTTAAGGGCGTTAAAAGGCGATTGTAGGCGGGAGGTAGACGGTGAGGCCTGCGATTGAGCAGTGAGGCCCCAATAGCTGTGAGGGAGAGGGACGAGGTGGGATTCAAAAGGAGCCGCAGGACGCTAGTACGGTCACGTGATTTAAACCCCACAACCACATCGGAACTGGGTAGTTGAGCACAGCGGATGAGAGACAGAGCCCCTGAATATCAACCAAGGGGGTTTCAGTTTGGCAAAGGTCGGTTCTGATAGTAGGACCGCATGCTTCCAAGGTTCACAGTAGATTCAATTTTCAAGACACTATGATGAAGGAGCCATCTGCAGCTGTTAGCTGACATAGAATGCCACCGTAACTATATAGATACATAGAACGGGGTTGTGGAAGTATATGGTCTGGGTATTGGCTTTCTCGTGGATCAGTCCGAGTAGTAAAGCCTGCGGGTTTCATGAGGCCGCGGCCCCCCATAGACGTCTAGATTATTTCACCTGGAAATCGCAGACGGATATTCTACTGCATGCTTCAAGTCCTGAATCGTGACGAAGTTTGTCCGGTGGTTCGAGGCATAACAGGGAACGGCGGAATGGGAAGAGAGACGGGCCGGGAATGCTCGAAACAACGAAGACTTCATCGTGAGGCCCCGAAGCAGAGAAATCGGATCTTCAAACGATCCTGAAGAATCGTTGAGGAGCGAGGTCAACGCCGCCGGGGAAGTTTTCCCGAATCAGTAGTGGGTTCACCGCTTGGCAATATAATCAACCGCTTCTCCAGCTTTTTTAGTTTGGAACTTCCTCCCGCGCTCCCCTCCATCGCCCCGCCTGTCCGTCTTGAATCTCTATATCCCTCCAACTTCCCCCCTCACACGCCCGACGACGCGGGATGCAATCGGAGTGAATTGAGTCAATTCGAACCCTCAATACCCCGGTCGGCACTCGAAGCTCAAATTCCGAATCGCTCCTCAAAAGTGCCGAGCTCAACGCTTTTCTTCCTCCACACAATCGCCCACCATGGCCACGCTCCCGTCCTCAGGCCCTTTTGCGCCGCAATACGTCCACGGGGTTTACATTCCTTGTGGCCTTCTCATCGTTGGCTGTGCGATTGTGAAATCGGAATGGCTCCCATACGCGTTTGCCGTTGCGGCGCTGCTAGGCGGGTGGAAGGTGTATAGTAACCGTGAGCATTCCGAAATATCGCGAGAGGCCAGACGAGGCTGACAGAAAGCAGAACCGCGCAAGATCCTCAAGCCGGACCAGTTTCAGCAATTCGAGCTCAAGGAGAAGACCATCCTGTCGCACAATACTGCTATGTACGTTTCCTGCCTCCATCGTCGAGCTTCATCTTCACCTCTGGCTTCTCGAGCTTCATTCCGGTAATTCTGACAGAGTATCGTACGATACAGCTACCGCTTCAAGCTCCCTCGGCCAACCGACATCCTCGGCCTCCCCATAGGCCAGCACATTTCTATCGCTGCCACGCTCCCCGGTCAGCCCAAAGAAGTCGTCCGCTCTTACACTCCGATTTCCTCCGATCTGACCCCCGGTTACTTCGACCTTCTCATCAAGTCATACCCTACCGGTAACATCAGCAAGCATGTCGCGTCACTGATGGTTGGGCAAACGATGAAGGTGCGTGGGCCCAAGGGCGCCATGGTCTACAAGCCCAACATGGTCCGTCACTTCGGTATGATTGCTGGTGGTACGGGTATTACGCCTATGCTACAGATAATCCGCGCAATTGTAAGAGGCAGGCCGTTGGGAGATAAGACGGAGGTCGATTTGCTGTTCGCGAACGTGAACCCTGAGGATATCTTGCTGAAGGAGGACTTGGATGAGTTGGTAAAAGGGGATAGTGGGTTCAGGGTACATTACGTGCTCAACAACCCGCCAGAGGGGTGGAAGGGCGGCGTAGGCTTTGTCACGGCGGATATGATCAAGGTAAAGGTCTTCGTGGATCATGTTGAGAGGCTGTTGCTAATGTTGCTTCACAGGACAAACTCCCTGCCCTCGCAAAGGATGTCAAGGTTCTCATTTGCGGCCCACCGCCCATGATAAGCGCGATGAAGAAGGCGACCGAGTCGCTAGGCTTCCAGAAGGCCAAGCCAGTGAGCAAGCTTGAGGATCAAGTCTTCTGCTTCTAGGCAAACAATGTACGACTGGTAAATACAGACACATGACAGCTCCCGTATGCATGGCGTATGGACGTTGCTAAAAGACTTTAATCACATAGCGCGGATCAAATAGGCGTAGAGGAGGTAGATAAAATCAAAGTATTGTTTGATTGTGGTATCATCGAGCTTCTGCAACTCCCGGACAATCTATACTGTCTTCCAATCCTTCCCCTCCCCAACCGGAACCTTCGAACGCCACCCTCCCCTCGCGACATCCCCAGGCCGCTGCTCCCCTCTTTTCTCCCACGGTATGCTCCTATCCCACTTATCCCAACGAAACCTGTCGATAAAATCCTGCGCCGTCAACTTCTCCCACCTCTTCCCCGTCACCCCATCTCCCGGCTTCCTCCATCTCCAAACCACATTGCCCTCGTGCTTCTTCGCATCCCCCTTCCCGTCCTCTAACTCCTGCGCCGCGACCCCACACAAATCCCGCCGCTTATGCCGCTCCAAACACCGCCCGCACTGTCTCAGATTCGGATTCACATCTCCACGGTGTTTGACGCGCCGCTGCCCGCTTAACTCTCGAAACGAGTACCCGGCTTGTCTGATCTGTAAATGACGCGTTGAGATGTCGATTTTCTCGTCGACCGGCTGCAGCGTCCCCTCGCAGATGTGTTGGAACCAGTTTTGGATGGGCATGTGGATGCGCTCTTCGGCTTGAATGCCAGAAATCAGGTAGTCTGCTTTTTGGAGGAGGAGGCCGTCGAGTTCTGAGACATCTGCGCCGGCAATGATCCAGTTTACTTTTTCGCGCTCAAGTCCTCGTTGCAAAGCTGCTACCTCCCTACTACCCTTCTCTACTTGCGACTTCGAAAAATACACCGTGATTTTCGTTGGATAAAGTTCCGGAGTTGGTAGCTTGGGAGCTGTGTTCCACGTCTCCCCGAGATCTGGCGGATTGAGGAGGTAGTCCAGCGCGAGCTTGTCGATAGTGGAGGAGGCGCAGAGGATGAAGTTGTGCGCGCGGCGCATGGCGTAACGAATGCGGGTGGGGTAGCGGGGGAGGCCGGTGAGTGTGTCGTCGGGGAAGGTGGAGGGGGATATTTGGTAGCTGCGGATGTAGCATGTTCGGTGGGGCTGGTTGGGGATTGATGGTGGATCGGAAGGCATTTTGGGGGTCTGGCTAGTGGGATGGTACGTGGTGATTTGTATGAGGGTGGTCTTGACGACCAGTGAGCAGATTTTGGGTGCTTGGATAGAGAGATGAGAGCACTGCGATATGGGTATCTTATGCGTATGAGAATGAGAGAAATAGAAATTTTACGGATTGCTTATGCGCGCGATGATATATTTCATAAATCAATGAATCGGACGATGGAGTCATAGCTAGAATTAGAGATACGAACGGGATGAATCGAAGCTATCGCTTCTCAAGGAGAGCTATGCTGGAAGAAGGCTACTAGGGAATGATGTCGAAATAGGAGATGGCAAAATCGATAGTTCAGAGCCCCTTACCTTTGTTCCCTCGTTCCCGTGATTCCGGTCTCAACACCAGCAGATTTGAGGCGCTGGCGAGAATGAGAATCTGCTCGTTCAGCCTTGCCGACGAAAATAGCGTGGCCAAGGCTTGGACAGTCGAATCGGGTATCGCTCCATTCTGCACCCAATGTCCAAACCATCCTCGTTGTTCACCTCTTTCTTCTTTTGGTTCGTATGAAATCACCAGCCTCAAAGCCTCGAACGCAGCCTCTTGACCCAGCGACCAGTTCATCAGTTTCGCATGGGATGGCAAAGCAACAAAATGCGACAGCCGCCCCGCAAAGCTGCCTTGTCGGAGTGTTTAAGCTGTGGCACAGCCACCACTGCGGCCCGCAGGATTCGCGCCTAACCACGTTCAGGAATATACCAACCACTTTTAGAGGGATACAGCGATTATCGTCGGCCCCTACGGCACAGCCTTGCCCAGAGCCAAACTTCTGCCTGCTCCGTTTGTATGGCAAGCTCCGCGAAAGGTAAATGGGATGAATACATAAGGCCTTCCATTCCATTCATTCCCATCTCTCCATCAAGCTTCAAACTTCAACCCTCAACCCTCAACCCAATTCTATGCTCAACATCACCACAATCTCACGCATAACAACCCACTTCTACAGCAAAAACCCCCTTTACACCACCATGCCACCATCCGCCCAAAACACCTCCAACTACACCCTCGCCCTCCGCAACGCCACCATCGTCGCCTTCCCCCCCGGCTTCCTCCTCGGCCTCATCCACGGCATCATCTCCAACGACCTCTTCCCCGCGCTAAGCTCCGTCCCCCTCTTCGGCTCCGCCGTCCTCGCGCTCGCCATCCACCCAACCCTCCGCTCCAAACTCACCTACGGTGGCTCGCCCATCACGCTCTCGCCGACCAACGTGCTCGCGCTCGACTTCCTGCTCGGCTTCTTCCACCTGCTGTTCCTGATCCTGGCGTGGGTCAATGTGCCGCAGTCGTGGGATGGTGGCAGGGTGATGCTGGGGACGTATGCGACGGTGCCCGGGTTCATATGTGTCGCGGTGCATGGGTGGTTTGTGGCGCGCGATGTGGGCCGCGTGGTGCAGCACAGCAGGCAGTGTGAGGAGTGTGCGGCGGGCATGGCGGGGCATGGGGAGGGCAGGCATGGGAGGGGCGGGGAGTATACGCCGCTTACTGTGGGGGAGGATTATGAGGAGGTTGAGGAGGGGAGGGTTGGCGTTTGAAAAGTGATATTTAATTAGAAGTATCGTGGTGTTTAAGGCGGCATTAGCCAGCGGATTATGAAGACACCGTTTTAAGGCGGGAGTGGCAGCTATCGTGATGTTGGTCATCACGGGTTGCGCAACCCGGATGGGGGGGGGGAGGTGTATGGCGTTGAAGGATGAGAGCTCGCTCTTTTGGAAAACCTCTTTCAGTGTTTTGGTGCATTGTTTGCAAACTCTCATATCTAGATACCACACTGCATAATTGATCATCCTTCCTTCAAACTTCCCGATCCCAGCACTTCGAAAGTTCAACGGAGCTCATTCTGGAGGCTGGAAGCGAGGCTTAAGCATTCCGCCCACTTCACCCCATGTAGGTATCGTGAGATTACACCCTACGGCTAGCTGCAGACTCGAGGTCGCCTCGTCCCCTCGAGCAAACAAGAGACTCGAGATCCAATCAGCAGGGACCCGTCCATAACACTCCGCGTTATCGCAGGCAGGCAGGTCTCTCGCGCCGTCGGAAGCCGTGTGCATCAAGCTGCATCTGGAGTGCTGCACGCCTATCTCGTTGCATGGGTGCCGGAAGTACGGGACTGTCTCATTCTCATGCACCAGATATTGGCTTGCCCTGACCACACGAGGGTCCTCGAGCTTCTTATCGGAGACCTCCTGCGGTGCAGTTTTGTTATTGTATTTCGCGAAATCAGTGGTGGCCTTCCATCCTGAGCGGCGGAAGCGAGAAATTGACGTCGTGGGTCGTATATCCAAAGCAGCGATATATAGGGCACAAGCACAGATCAGGGTGCCATCCCGTAGTCCCGTGATGGTGAAGAAAGTCGGAAGAGCGCTCGTACAAGATGGACGCTCTGGTGATGGCCTGACAGACCAACGAGTAAGTCTCCTGGGGGCGATGCCTTGATATCGTATTATCTCGCCGCGCTGCTGCACCCCTCCGAGCTATTGGCTGCTGAGTGAGCCGGGGAAGAGGTCTTGTCGCAAGATGTCGCTCGATCCGGAACGTGATGGCAGCGGTGATTGGCCGGGTGTGTGCGAATTGTCGCGTCACGGGTTGGCCGCTTGCCGATTGCTGATGTCGCTGCGAGGCGCAAGGTGTTCTATGCTTAGATTGCATGCCAGGCGGCTGCACGCCTTCCCGTCGCTAGACTCGATGCGGCGGCCCTTTCTTTGGACCTGAGGATGCGTTTCAAGTGGCCGAAAGGAGGCTGTTAGAGGCAAATGCGGGATGCGATGTGGAGTTTTGCCTCTGGCGCCGCGTCTTCAGAGCAAATACTATGCCGCAGACGAAGCAAGGGAACGTTCCATGGCTCTTCCATGGCTCTTCCATGGCTCTTACGCTCGTCTTCCGGATGGACCGGCCTTGGATCAGTCAATCTCTGAAGCAGCGTCTTGGAAGTCTGTGAGCATCCGCCGTCGTGACGACCACACTGACAGGCCTTCCCGGCCGAATCACGAATCCCATCCCTCTGCAGCTGCATCAGCCGCGTGGCCACTGCGAGCTGCGCCGTGAGCAATGCTGGCCCGATCGTCGCCCTGCCGCCTCGCCCTGCCGCCCGGTGAGGCCGTGTGAAGGCAGCGTGAAGGCCGCGGGAAGGAGGTCTGCCTGGCGAAGAAGCTGGAAAGGAGTGCCCTGGTATTGAGGCCCGCGGTGACTTCACCACGATAGAGCCTGTGCCCAACGGCGCAAGCAGAACGACTGATCGGCCCGCTTGCAACGCGCCGCAGACGTCCAGCGACCAGCGCAGCCGTCTGACACGCCGCGCAGGCCCCGGCAGCATCAAGGAGATCCGAGAACGGCAACCGACTCGTTCCCCTCGTGCTTTGTGCCTGTCCTCTTGCTGCTTGTACATCCCTGCGTGTCTGCACTTCTTCACGGCCCTCGCATTCTCGGCATCTCGCGCGGTGAGTCTGCATCGTCAATTCCCTCTCCCCCACGACCCAAGGTTGCTTTTCGAGCTCAGCTGTTTCAGGGTTCAAGCTTGGCAGATCTGCGCGTCTTTGCGGCTGGCGCTCCAGGGCTGGGAACATTTGATCTGACGACTTCTCAGTCACCCATCCGCCAGCCTCCTTCTGCAGCGCTACCGGACTCCTGCTCTTGAATGTGCAGGGCTGGGCATTGCCTCCCCGACGCCTACCCACAACCGGGTCTCCACCGCTGGCGAGCAGCAGACCCGTTTTCTTATCTGCCCTTATTTCCCTTCATCCCTTTCACGAGCCAGCCTCCTCACCTGGCACCCACCACCGCAGCTGGACCTCGCAGCTGCAACCCCCAGGCTCCCTCAACCATGCTCACCTTCCGCCGCGCACTGGTCCTCGCGGCCGCCATCCTCACCCTCTTCTTCATCTTCCACTCCTCGCACCGCGATCCGCCGCGGATCCACAACGCCAAAGACCACCCTAAGCCCGCCTCCTTAACCAAAACGACGCAGAAGGAATCAGCCTCGAAGCAGGAGACCACCGAGCCGCCCAAACACAATGACGTGACGTCCTGGAAGGCCCCCGGCAGCACCCAGGTGCCTGCCCAGAAGCCGAAAACCCAGATTCCGCTGGCTGAGCTCCGCAAACGGCCCCTGCGCGCCCAGCTCGAGTACCAATACCCTTACGACGTCGAGGCCAAGTTCCCGGCATACATCTGGCAGACATGGAAATACACACCCGCGTCGGGCGACTTCGAGCCCATGTTCCGCGAGGCAGAGGCCAGCTGGACCATTATGCACCCAACCTTCGTCCACGAGGTCATTACCGACAAGGTTGCCAAGCACCTGATGAGACATCTCTATGCGTCAGTTCCCGAGGTTCTCGAGGCATACGAGGCGCTGCCATTGCCCATCCTGAAGGCCGACTTCTTCCGCTACCTCATCTTGCTGGCGAGAGGGGGGATATACTCTGACATTGACACGGCGGCGCTGAAGAGCGCAATCGAATGGGTGCCGGGTGACGTCCCAAGAAACACTTTTGGCATGGTCATTGGCATTGAGGCTGATCCAGACAGGCCAGACTGGGCGGATTGGTACTCGCGAAGGATCCAGTTTTGCCAGTGGACCATCCAAGCCAAGCCCGGCCACCCTGTTCTCCGCGAGATCGTCGCCAACATCACCATGGAGACCCTCAAGCGCAAATCAGAGGGCCGCCTCACAAAGGATTACAAGTCAATTGTTGAGTTCACCGGCCCAGCGCTGTGGACCGACATCGTATTCAACTTCTTCAATGACCCTGACTACTTCGACATGTCCACCAGCAAAGGCAACATCACCTGGGAGCACTTCACCGGCATGACTTCCGCGAAGAAGGTCGGTGATGTGGTCGTATTACCCATCACTAGCTTCAGCCCTGGCATCCGAACCATGAACGCAGGCGAGGACGATGACCCAATGGCATTCGTGAAACACAACTTTGAAGGTATGCTTTGACACCTGTCGTTTTGTTCAATTCCGTCACTCTCCATCATACGACCGCATCCTGTGCATGTACTACATGCTTCTTGTCATCCTCGCATGCCTCGCACCAAAGTTGTTCGGGACCGTACCACCCCTTAACCCTGCATCGTCCCATCCCGTCATTTATCTGCACTACAAACTGTGCAAGCGAGGTTGCTAACGATCCCTGCAACAGGCACCTGGAAACCCGCCGAGGAGCGCCATATTGGTGAAATCTTCTCCGGATAGGACCCTCCCTTCCGTCTCAATCTTCGTACCACACAATATCACGAACCCTGGTCTCAACCATCCCCTTCCTACATCCCTACAAACTTGCTCCACTGTCACCGAACACGCTCTGACATAATATCCTGAACCTGTACACCACACGAACCCGCACACTTTCGACTTCTGCATTGCTTGGCGCTGGCTCGGCCTTTTTCCATTTTTATTTTTTTACTTGGCCTTGAAATGAACCACAATTCGAGGGATTTTCACTTGAGGGCGCATAGCGCGGCGTATACCTAAAACTGCATCGAGAAGGGCAGGCAGCACGGTGCTTGGATATCTAGACTTTTTCTTCCTATTTTTTTTCTTAATTGTTTCGTTGATGTGCAGTGGAGTGTTGAAAGCAGTGGAACGGAGTAACATGTAAGTTGGAAGCAGAGTGTGGAGATGAGTCGACGGGACGATGTTGGATCAGAGAGGGAATGAGGAAGAGAAATGACAAGGACGCGCACGACGATCCGGTTCAAGTGCTGAATTCGGAGCATCGCAACATGGCGATTTGCTGCGCCAGAGGGGCAGGAGGTTAGACAAACTGACGAGGGGGGTGTCTGGTCTGGTCTGGCATGGGCGGGCAGGCGTTCTTCTCAGTGGGCTCTTGGTTTTTCTTAGATCTTTTCTGGTTGGATTAGGTGGGTGAGGCGGGATATGCGATATATTGGATATGAAATGGATTCTTGAGAACATGGTCAGATTGGCTCTTGATTGAAAGTTTTTGTGTTCTTGTTTGCCACTGTCTGAGGTACTCCGGCGCATCAACGGCTATGTGGAAAAGACGTACACACCTACGCAGCGCGAATCTGAAGGTTTCCGATTGCATGGTATACGGAGTCTGGAAGCACTCTCAAGGAGTGCAGAAATGTGATATAGTGGGTATCTCGACCCCATACGTACTTCCTACCCTTTTCTGGTAAGTACCCAATTCTCCGATCCATGAATTCAAAACGCCAAATTCCAAGATGTCCTGAGCACATCCAAAAAGCAAATGAGGTATTTCGCATCCGCTCTAAACCATGCCTTCTCTATCTCTCGTTCTTCATCTTACCCACTCTACCGCCGTCGCCCCGTCACAGCCCCAATGACCGTGTCCCAAACCAGCATCAGCGTGTCCCCCAGACTCGGCCGCCGCTCCTCCTTCTGATGATGATGATCATGATGATGATGATGCTGGTGATGCGAATGCGCGTCGCCGTTCGAGTGGCGGCTGCGATGCGACTCGCTCGAGTGTCGCGGGTCTCCGTTCGAGTGATGGCTCCAATGCGACTCACCGGAGTGACGCGCTAGCTCGTTTGAGGGTGGGGAGGGTGACTGGTGGGAGTGGTGCGAGTGGTGCGAGCGCTGGGATTCGTGGCTCGGGCGGCGGGGTGGGGCCATGACAAGCTGGTTTTGGGAGTATTGGGGCTGCTGGTTGTATTGTGGTTGTTGGGTGTATTGGGGCTGGGGTTGCTCGTAGTGCACGTGGTTTTGTTGGCTTGAGGTGTATTGAGATTGTTGGTATGGGTAGCCTTGTTGTTGGGGTGGCGGAAGATAGCCCTGTGTTGACATCTTGAATTTGTATGCAGCCAGGAGATGTGATCGTGAGAGGTGGGGTGCTGTGGCTCGGGAAGCCCTGCTGGGTGGTGTGGTTGTACGACTTAGTGGTCTGGTGCTAATTGGATTGCTGCTGGGCTAGTTTTCTCGGATTGCTCAGACTTGGTGGATTGGGGTAAGAGAGCAGCAAACAGGGGATGGACGAGGAAGATATATAAACCCTTCGAGGCTATGTATGCAGTGAAGGGTAGAGTTGGATCGCCTAGCTTCCATGACATAGCCCGCCATCACGAGCGGCAACCTCCTACCGCGGTCGGAAACGAGTCCGTGGAGTCGGAGATCTGGGGTCAGCAGGGGCACTAAACTTCCTCTGAGGCAATTCTGCCTGGTGATTCATCACTCGGGTACATCGTAAGCGGGAATGTGTAATCGCCCCCTTCGAGCAGCGTCCAGCCTTGTCTGCCCACCGCCTTTCTTGCTGCTATTTCGAGCTGCGATGGCAGTTTCAATCACCTGCAGGCACCCCAGTCCGATTCAGCCTTACGAGCGACGACCTCGTGCCATGCTTCACGCCACCCGCTGTGCCGCCGGTGCGCTTGGCGGCGGTCAGAGGGTGAACGTGATGCCGAAGCCAGCGGGTAGACGGCTGCTGAGGGTGATATGACGTTGGGGATTCTTGGGGAGAGAGAATCTGCCTTGGCGCCGGTCAGACTGAAGATGAACGCGATCGACGGGCAGGGCATCTTGGATTGGTGTGAGTGAGAGGCTGGCATGGTGCGCCCTGGCATTAGGGCGGTGGCGAGGAGGGGAACAGTCGTTTGGTTGGTGGGGTGAGGCTGGAGGGTAGGTAGGTATGAAGTGGCAGGTATGAAGTGGTAGTTCCACAGTTCCGTCTTTTCATACCACTTACGATAGCGAGGCCATACGCAGCATTGTCTGAAGCTCTTGAATCAACATACCATTGTACTTAGTCTTTGAACTGCTTTACACTAGTGCTTAACGAGAGCAACTAAGCATCAAAGGTCTCCAGAATAGAGAGATTCCCTCGTAGCACACTCTTTGAATTACGTCACAGTCTCAACTACAACCGTCTATCCAACTTCCTCATTTTTCGTTCAATTAAGCGTCCAAAGTACAACTATGCTAACAACAGACCTAACACCGCACCTCGCCCTAATTACCGGCGCAACCGGAGGCATCGGTAAAGCTACCTCTCTGGCTCTTGCGAAGCTGGGATGCAGTATCGCAGTGCACTACCACTCCGCAGAAGATGTTGCCAAGGAATTAGTTACCGAGTTAAAGGGGATGGGTGTTAGAGCGGAGGCGTTTCGGGCTGACTTGAGTGTTTATGATGAGGTGAGTGATGTTCAGAAGGAAGCGTGACGGTGTTGTGGTATTTAATGCTTCCATTATTTCCTATGTCCCCCCAGGTTGCTATTGAACACAATTCAATATCTCCATTCAACATTCAACTGCCCTATATTCCAAAGCCACCACCTCAAACTATCTTACTGTCCTCACTCTCATCCTATTATCCATGTCTTCAACCCCCTCCTTTAGGGCCCCCGTGTCCTGAAATCCCCATATCATCATCGACCTCTCCAACCCGCTCCTCCCCAACCCGCTCCTCCCCAACCCATCTGCGACCCAAAAGCCCCACATCATCATCTCACGCCTTTCCTAGGTCCGTACCCTCCATGCCTCCGTCACCTCCTCCCTCGGCCACCCGACTATCGTCTACAACAACGCCGGCCTCACCCTAAAACACGGCATCACCTCCATCGCCGACATCTCCATCGAAGAATTCGAGCACACGTGGCGCGCAAATACCGGTTCCGCCTTCCTCCTCACTCAGCTGTGTATCCCGGCTATGGAAGCCGCGGGCTGGGGACGCGTCATCTTTTGCTCGAGTGTGGCGGCGTTCACGGGGGGTGTGGTTGGGCCGCATTATGCGTGAGTGCTCGCTCCCTTTTCGCGTCTGGGGTGTTGTGCAAGGGAGTGTGAGGAAAGCGGGACAGGGGAATGAGGACAGCGGGATAGGGGAAGGGAGTGGAAAAAGGTGAGGATGGGGCTAAAACTTGAACAGGAGTTCCAAATCCTCCCTCCACGGCTTGATCCACTGGCTCGCGGGCGCGTATGCGAAGAAAGGGATTACGGTGAATGGGGTTGCGCCGGCGCTGATTCAGGAGACGAAGATGTTGCCGGGGAGTAATGAGGAGCTTGCGAAGAGTATGTCCCTTCAGTTTCTTCACCATTGGTCATTCTACGTTGTGGTGTGTACCGACTTGAGGGTAGTTGGAAGCTGATTGGCTGTTAGAGATTCCCATCGGACGTCTCGGTACGCCTGACGAGATCGCCGAGACGGTCACCTGGATGGTCAAGACGGGGTATGTGACAAATAAGGTTGTTGGGGTTGATGGGGGGATGTTTGCACAGTAACAGATTCTTCGCGTCCACACGCAAAATTCTAAAAACGTTGAACTAGCTTTTCCCACTTGTAGTGCAAATACTGTAGTTTTTGGCGCCAAAAAGTGTTGAGCTTGGATGGGTTGTTAATAGGGCTTCAGTCTGTTGATATTGAGCCGCGAAGAGGCCGGTAGACAAGAGTCTGATTTGGAGGCGAGGTCAAAACACAGGCAACCTGAGCCCAATTTGGCATGCATAGTACTAGACGCCTCCAATCGGGCACCGAACTCAAGAGACTCGAAGCCCACAATAATCCGCCAGAGACCCTTCAACCTCCCAGCCCACCCTCCAACTTCCCTCTCCAGGATCCCATTCACTCCTCCAACAACCACCTCATTCCCGCCAGCATATCCCCCCAAAATTCCAGGCCACGCCGCATCGTCGGATAGTTCGCATGAAACATATGCCCGTATCCAGCGTATAGATCCAGCCTGGTTTCCATGCCGCATGCTAGCAGCTCCCGTTCGTAAAGTAGCATCTCGTCGCGCAGAGGGTCGATGCCACCGATTTGGATGTAGGCTTTGGCGAGGCCGGAATGACCTGCTGGGTGGTTGAAGGGATACCATAGCCAGGAAGTGGGGTCGGGCTGGTAGGCGGCTGGGAGAGGTTAGAAGTTTGAAGTAGTGAAAAGAGGGGATGAGCGAGGATATTGGGGAGCAGGAAGTGAATAGCGGCTACAAGTGTATACGGGAGAAGTCGGTGAGCGATGAAGAAGTAAGCGAATGGCAAAATAGACAGTGAATAGCAAGACGTCAAGTAGTTAAATAACGAGTAGAGCGAGTATTTGGATCGAAAGGAGTTAACATTGCTGCACGCACCTAAAATAGTATCTATCCCGTCTTTCTTGAGTACCGGGTCACTCTCCGCCTCCTTTCTACTCCGATACTCGTCACGATATTTCTCTGGAACCCCCGTCAGATTCAACACCGCCGGCGCGCAGAGATACTGTCCCGTGACGGGCGGCTCTAGCTTCTCGTCTCTCGCCATGTGAGCTAGTACTGCGGCGATGTTACCGCATGCAGATGCGCCTTCGACGATTAAACCAAGGGATGGATCGGCGTTGAAAGATTTGGCGTGCGAGATGGCCCAGGGGAGGGCGTCCCACGAGTCCGTTATGGCGGTGGGGAAGGGGTGTTCGGGTGCGAGGCTGGGGCATGCGTCAATTCCAATGTCAGTGGAGCATTGATACCTTAAAAAGGGAAGAAATAGTGCGAGGGGCAAGAGGGTAAGGGAGAGTACCGGTATTCCACATTCACGCAAATAGCTCCCAGTTCCCTCGTCCACACTCTACAGTTCATCTCCTCATTGGTCAAATTGCCCATGCTCCACCCTCCTTCATGATAGGCGACAATTAGTGGACTCTCTCCTTCTTTCGCTTCGGCTCATAAACCCTCACCGCGATCTCACTTCCGTCTCTGACAAGCACTTGATGGTCCGTTTCGACGACCTCCCCTGGAATCGGGCCTGGAATCGGACTACAAGTGACGCAAGGCCGCGAGATGCTCCGCACGAGAGGCGCGGTAGCTTAGGATGTCAGCGCCAGTGACGTTAATGGGGTGCGCGGCGACGGCCTCGGTGTAGGTGAGATCGTGCTAGATGCCTTGATGGCTTTCTTTGAAAGAGGCATTATAGATCCTTAGACTTTCGTATGGAATGATAGGATTAATATAGGTAAAAAGGGGATCAAATGTGATAAGGGAAGATGAGTTGAATTAATGAGTGATGAGTTGATGCTGATGCTGACACTCGCAGAGATCCCAATGGGACAGCGAGAAAATTGATTAGAGTATTACTGGACTTATGATACGGATGCCTCCATAGAGGAATTAGGTAGATGCATGATATTTTAGTAGTTGAGGTGGTGGTGGCTGCTGATTCTGATGCGAAGCCAGGCGCTGACACTGATGACGTGCGGGGAGTCGGACTTTGAATGATCCTTGAAATTGCCGAGCTACTAATAAAGAATAGATATGTGAAACCGGTACGACAACGAGTTCATGTTTGATACAGGTACGCTTTTACACTCATTCTTCGTCTTTCAGGTACACATAGCTAGTAGAAGTGAATGTCTTTCGAAAACACGTGATTTTGAACGTAATCCGAGTACCGGCCCGAGAACTGTCGACCTTGTCCCTAAGATCCTAATCCTGATGGATGTTTCTGAAGTTGAAAGCTACTTACCAAATTAAAGCTGAGCTCTGGCCCTGTGACTTGCACAGAAGGCCGTCTATAGACCGTACCACTCGCGGTTGCTATTATATTGGCATATTTTGCTGCCCCTTTGGCTTTACAAGACGAATTCTGCCACCATTCGTCAATCCTCCTGATGTGTCACCATAAAGACTGACAAGTCGCGGGCAGGTTACCTTTTGACTGTCAAGAGAGAGCCGGTCTCCAATGTACGAATTCTCGAAGAAGCGATAAGAAGCTACTGAAATCAAAGCCTCTACCTGCGTAGAAACGCGGAATTGACAGCTCGGTGCATTTGCCGCTGGTACAACCATTTGAAAGCCGTGAGAACGCCAATGAAAGCGAGCAGGTCGAATTTCCTTCAGGTAGTGGTTCCTCATCTCACCACTACTCAGCATACTCACTTGCCTCTATGCTAATAGCCCACTCGGACAACCGCGATGGCCTGCATGGCATCGGGCGTGATGCCGAATTCAAAACGAACGGGGCGAACGTATGCAAGCCCCTCACCCGAAGGGCTCGTGGCCCCTGTCGCTTCTTGATTACATGCTTTATCTCGTTCGTGTCTGCAATGGCCCAGAGTGAGGCGCTCTTGTATGGGGTGACGCGACGGATGATGCCGATCTGGTTGTCCGCACAGTGTTGACGCGGGATTGACGCGGTGTTGATGATGCTCGCGGCCCAATAAGGCTGGAGATCTTTGACCGGAGGGACCACGTCGTCGATGTGGTGGATCTTGGGGCTCTTTCAGCTGGTACAGCGGCTACCGGTGTCGCTCTAGAACGGTTGCAGTGCTGGCCAACCGTTGAAGCTACATGCTGTCTTCTGATACACGGCTGTGGCTTCTCTTGGATCATGCGGCATTTTGATGACTCGAAGTCTTTGTGCACTGAAACGATAGGAGAAAGGGACTTGGAACAGCACCATACATTGATTTAAGGTTTCATATGCTTAGAAAAGTCTCTGAATTCTTCGAGGTGCAGCTTCGATGGCGTGCTGATGAAGAGACCTGTACCCGGTCCTGACCGGATTAGTATCGTCAAGGACTATGCCAGTTGCCACTCCACGATGCCATGGAGGAACCTCAGGGTGCGGCATACGTGCATACTACGTACGAACGACTCGCGGGGTGGAGTCCGGCACGTTGGGCGCGAAGAAGCCAGCGGACAGTCTCACGTTGAAGAGGCTTCGAGATGTGGAGTTTGTTGCATATCCAAGCCCCTTTGGGCGCGTGCTCGAGCAACGAGACCTGAACGAGGCCTGAAGAAGTATCACAAGAGCGTCGGTGCAGCGCGACGTGTACAAGAGATCGCAGATCTTTGACTTTCCAAATGCAGGGCCATCCATGGCGGCGGGCCTAGCAGCCCAACGGTGCTTGGGAGGGGCAGAGGGTGCCATTGTCGAAGTTTCGGCATAGTCTTAAGGGGAGTCGGCGGAGTCTGGCGGCGAAGAAGGAGATGGACGCCCAACGGTGTTATGTAAGTGGGCGAGGAGAAGGATGCAAATAGGGTGAATGCAGGGGGCGTCTCTGCGGTCTCCATCAGCCTTCAACATCGGCGCAGGGTCTTTGATCTTGGCAGCCGTGACGTCTGTCGCTCGATGCCCGCTCTCATCACTGGCAGCCCGCCACAAGTGGCCCATCCAACCTCGATTCACTTCGGGCACACACGACACCCCTATCCGCCCTCTCTACACCAGCCAGGCCCGAATATCTTCGCCCAGGGCCCTCGCATCAGGAGCCCGAGTGCTGCGAGCCCGTGTTCCCCCACATCCTCGACTCGCATCCTCGCCTCTTGCCTCACACCTGCATCGCCCGCCCTCCACTGCGCGCTGAGTCCTGGGGCAATCCTGTTCCGGGTGCATCGTTCACGCTCTCTGCCCGACGGCGCCCTGCTGTGCTGCTTGCTCGGCTTCTGCTGCCGCGCTCGCCGCTTGGGCTGCCCGTGTCGTCTGCTCCGCCGGCTAGCTGCAACTGAGGCCTTCGCCGAGTGCCTCTCCCCACCGCAAGGCCAGCCTGGAGCCAGCGCAGACGGATATTGCAGCAGCACGAGGGATCCGCCGGCCAGCTCATCTGGCGCCCGTCTTTATCGCCTCTAGCCCGGAATGTACGTCGGTGTCAGCCATTCTTCCTGTCCGCGCCTCAACAAGCGCATTTCTATCTCGTTTGTTCCTTCAGTCCTGCCCTCGTTGTCTTTCGCGCTGCTAACATCCTCGCCATGGACAGTGTTCTCATCCCCTCGAGCACTACTGGCAAGCAAGGGCGTAGCTACTCGTACAGCTACACCCCGCCGTACATCCCGCGACGTCATTCGGTAGCCGCGGGCACTCCAAAACCCCCAGCAACCACCGAACCTCCAAGTACCCCCAAAACACCAAAGACACCAAGGCCTCCGCTGACAGCCATTGCCACATCTCCGCCGGTGTTGGTCAACGTTCAACCTCCAGCCATGGCGGGACACTACCGTCCTGCCTCGCCTCGGCGGATCGTGGCTCCTGGACGAGCGTCCACTGGAACATTCGGCGATGGCGCTCACGGCAGCTACGATCCATACTACCCTGCAAGGACGCGGGATCTCGACTCACCACGGACCAGCGGCGAGAGGATTGTCGTTCCCGTAACTCACACCTCACATCAGTACGCCCCTAGCTCCTCATCCTCTAGATCTTCAACGAAATACGACCCGTACTCGGGACGGCCCAGACGTAACACTCTCACCGAATCTGAAGGTCGCCTTCCCCGACCCTCCTCGAACTCCCTAACACCGGCTATGTCCATCAGGACCCATGGCAACGTCAGCAACGTCATTCATTCCGAGCAACCACGGCCCTCGAGTCCTCTGGCTCGTTCTTGGGACAGCCGTGGAGAGACATACATCACCCCGCCAGCCTCTCAGCCTCGACGTGAGCACAAGAGAATCTACAGCGTGGATGACAGTCACACGGCAAAGCTCATCGCGGAGCAGCGAGAAATCGTAGACCCCCGACGACGGGACAACGCCCACATTGGATACAAGTCCACTACTACAAGTGGAGGGCGAAGCTATCATCACAACAAGCCGCTAGTCCGCAGCAGTGAGCCGGTGGCCCGCAGCAGCGAGGTCAACGATGATGCTTTTTCTTACACAGACCCTGCGTCCATGTACCGCGATACGGAGCCTACCTGGAGGAGACGACGTGGAAGCCAGGAGCGGACACCTCGGCCAACCAGCCTCATCATGGATAGCACTGCTCCACGAGCATCACTACGTGAGCTGGGCCCACCTCCGTCCTCTACTCGGGCTTTCGACAAGATCAACAGCGGCGTTGGAAGGTCTGGAAGCTTGCGGGACCCTGTTCCGTTACCTTCCCATGATCGATCGTCCTCCCACGACCGATCTGGCGGATACCGCGAGATCGACCCATACGCTGCGCCCACCCGCTCCTCGTCTACTCGATATGCACCTGCTAAGGTGCACCAAGACGGCTACGATGGGCATGAGGACCGTCGTGAGCGTGGACGCCATCTCGGCGGTGGGAGATACGAAGACCCAGATGTTGCAACCAGGGGTTTTGGAATTCGGTCTGGTGGTGAACCATACCAGGCACGTGAACCCAGCCTTGATCGTGAACCCATTTGGGACGCTCGTGACCAGCCTGGCCGAAGAATTGAAGAATACCCACCTGGTCCTTATTATGCTGACGAAGATGTTCGTCGTTTACAGGACCCTCGTCTTTCTGACGCCCGGCTACCAGACCCTCGAGTCTCTGACGTTCGGATACCTGATCCACGAATTTCAGATCCTCGGCTCGCCGATCCACGTCTTGCTGATCCACGAGTCGCCGATCCTCGCTTCTCAGACTCACGAGTTTCAGACCCACGTCTTCCTAATCCACGTCTTACTGACCCACGCCTCACTGACCCACGCCTCACTGACCCACGCCTCACTGACCCACGAATCCCCGACCCGCGATCTTCTGATTCTCGCATTCCAGACCCTCGGATTGCTCGGGAACGTGATGCTATCCCTTACCGGGAAGCTGAGCGCGAAAAGGACCTTGGCCGTTCCGATCGTGACAGAGGTGTAGACCGTGAAAGAGAGAGGGAGCGAGAGCGAGAACGGGAGCGCCCACGCGATCGAGACCGCGATAGGGACCGTGACTCAGACCGCGAGCGAGAACGCGAAAGAGAAAGCGGACGAGAGCGTCGCAAAGATCGCGATACCGACTACGACCGACGTGATCGAGATGTTGGCCTAGCTTCGGCAGCCGTCGCCGGTGCTGCTGCCACATATGGTGCTGGCGAGGTACTGAAGAGTCGTGATCGCGACTCTGACCGAGAACGCGAGCGACGCAAGGAACGCGACCGCGATGGTGATCGTGACCGTCGGGACAGGGAATACGAAGATCGACCTCGACCTCCAGCCTCCGTTCCGCCCAACTCGGCTGCCTTTGCCGCTTCTGAAGCTGATCGAACGCCACGAGAGCGGCGGTACGAGGAAGAGGAGGACCGAAGCCGCCATCACCGCCGACAGTTCTCGTCGGATGAGCGGTCTGAAGCAGAACGTGAACGTCCTCGACATTACGTCGAAAAGGAGCCCGAGACCTTGAAACTAGGCAATCGTGACAAGCCAACCCTAGAAACCGTTCTAGACCCCGAAGAGGACTATCGCCGTCGCGTGGCTCAAGAACTTGAGCGCAGCAAGAAACCTACACGAGATCGTGACTCTAGCGACTCTGATCGTGAGAAAGATCGCCGCCGGAGGAGGGACCGAGACTCTGACCGCCCCAGAGATGAGCGTGATCGTGTGGCAACTGGAGATTCCATTGACTCCCGTGGTCCACCGCCTCCTAGATCAAGGGATATGGAATCCCAACCACGCCAGCACGAGCGGTCCAACAGTGTACTTGATACCGGCCTCACCCAAGAGCCTGACGCTCTCGCCGTCGCGGATTCCGATGGCCCTGCCGACCGCGAAGGCAACCGTGTTCGCATCGTGTCGCCGCCAAAAGAGGATCCTGCACCCATCAAGGGCATCTTGCGCAAGCCGACAGAGAAGTTCCCGTGGCATCCAGATCCAATCCGGGAAGGGGTTGCCCCGCTGAAGACTGGAAAGACCAAGGACATTCCGCCAGATGCACGCTGGACAAAGATCGATCGACGCCTTGTGAACCCGGAGGCTCTTGAAGAGGCTCAAGAGCGGTTTGAAGAGCGTCAGGATTGTGTGATCGTTTTGCGAGTTCTAACAAAGGAGGATATCCAAAAGCTTGCAGATCGGACCAAGCAGATTCGGGACAAACGAGAAGGTTAGTTGAAAACATGGGCTCCACCATCAGCAACATGAGGAACAAATTGTTGACCTGATAGCTCATGCAGAATCCGATGATTACGACCGGGACCGCCACGATCGTCGTGAGCACGATGATAAGAAGCATGGCCACCGCAGCAATGATGAAGGGCGGAGCAAACACAAGTACTCAGATGACTCTGACTCCGAGGACGAGCCAAGAAGGCCTCGGATGATCGAAGGACAGCATTGATGGGTTTTGGGTAACCGAAATGAGCGACTAGCGATTGCATGAACAGCGAAGGGAGTGCTTTGGATGACTGCGTTTGAGCGAGGAGTTGAGTCAGTGCAAGCGTAGGATAGTACTATAACAGCGAAAGTGTTTCCTCTGGAAGTGGATTGCTGGCAGGTGTGGATTATTTGGCGGAGCAATGAGGTTCTACTAATGATACTTGCGAATCAACACCAGGCATTTACCAGACGCTTATCCATCTCTCTTTTACTCACTGAAACACTTGCCGAAATCCGGGACCAAACGATTCTGTACGGGCGACAACTAGTCCACGATCCCTTTCAAGGCCTTGAAATTCGGATGCCCCTCGTCCCAACCCACTCAAGGCGCTTGCTGCCCTTCTCCGATGCCCGGAATGAGCCCTATCGCCTTCCTCTTTGACTCGTCTCTGCCGTCTCCGCCTCAGGAGAGCTCTAACACGACCAGCCTCCGCTCCCATCTGCGAAGCTGCTATGACTGCGCTTGAGGTGTTGGAAAACCGTAGGATTCCTACCCAAGAGAAAACAAGCGGTGGGTGTTTGCAGACTCGGCCGATCGTTCCTACGAAATGTACAGCTGACCGTCCTCGCAGAAAATCAAAACAGCACATCCTCGTCTAGAAAGCTCATGATCTGCTGATTACCGAAAAACCAATCACCCAGTGCAGACATCTGAGGACCACCAGCCTCTAACGCCTCATTTCCTGTTGCCCCTACGTCTATCCCGTAGTCCACGAAGTCAAACTCGTCCACAGAATCTATCAGATTGTGGGTTAAGGTCGGGTTTACGGGCGAAGAAGAACTGTTTGAACCGAAGTAGAGCCCTATAGCCTGGCAGAGAAGCTTATACAATCGATATGGGTGCGTGGCCGACTCCGGGGAAGCTGCGTCAGGCTGCAACGAGACTGCGAAGCGATTCAAGCGGTCTAGGTCGGCGACATCCAAAAGCTGGACAGCGCAGGTAAACAGGATACTGAACGGGACAAAAGGAACGTGCAAGATTTCCCTGTCAAATGCGGTTAGTCCGAACCTCTGGTGACATGAGGACCCAGCATCGGTTTCTGGAAAACACATCGTGGAAAGAAACAATGAACTCACCAGTTGAAATATTTCGTTTCCATGAGTGGGTCATTTTTGCAGCCACGTACGCACATGATACATTGCTCGTGTATTTCCAGAGCGTCGCGAGCGACAGCAACACAGTCGTCTGAAACACCGCTTGGGGAGCTTCGAGCGGCGGGGATGGCCCTGAGAATCAAAGCCAGTAAAGAAGTTTGGCAAACCATGTCGCACTGCAGCCACACGACTCGCATTTGGTCTATTTCACTACCGTTGGGCTGATTGGTAACACCCTACCACGGCCTATCAGCGAGGTCTAAAGTCAAAGAAGGTAATAAAGGCATACTAGAACCTCGGAGTGTGTTTCTTTGATCGTTTCTCATAATTCTCTTGCGAGTGCCTCAGCCAAATGACCGCGTTCCTCATCTGGTCGAGATAGGCCCGCTGGGCTGTACAGTTGGTCGTAGGCTCTTTCCTGAATACTTGCAACCTTAGTATGCCGTGGCTCATCCGGGTTCATTTCTAACGTAATTTCAGCGTCGTGAATGTTGGATGGTCGGCCAAGTCGAAGCGAAAGCCCTTTCTCGATTCTATGAACCGTCCAAAACAGACATTCTTGGGAAGCTCGTAGGGGTTGGTCAGTTCCTCCTCGGGAGTGACGGCGATGATATCTCAGCGTCTGGCAGAGATCTGTGGTAGCTGAAATAAAAGTCCAAGCCATTGTAGCTTTAAACTCTTCAATTGCGTTGAATGCCTACGATGAGCATTAGCGGCAATTTTCCAGCCGTTGTTCAGATGTGGCATACGTACTCCAAGCGTTAATGTCGCAATGACCTCCATGGATGCTGGTAACAGAAGTGGGAGCCGCGAAAGAGCGCTGTGGAAGTTCTTCCGACAGAGTCGAGAATATCCACGGTAGTCTTAGAGTCCAGATACGATGACATGCTCTGAGAATATGTAGGAGAGGTACCCATTGGCGGGGATAAGGTCCCATTCACTATAATCATCTACAGCGAAGTACACCTTTCGACAGATCTCGGCAAATTTCTGGGGAGGAGGTATACGAGATATCCAGGCAATTATAGTATGCCCCTCATGGTCTGATGTTGGTGTCAGGGATTTTGTGGCATTCGTTCCTGGTGAGAAACCAACCCCTAACCCACCGCAATACCGCCATGACCGCCTCCAAGGGGGGCATGGGAGGCTTGACCTGGTAATTTGCGACGTTGTCCTCTGGAAAAGACAAGTCGCGAACGGCAGCAGGGTCTTCCAGAGCCTGTACTAAGCTTTCCAATGATGAAAGCACTTCAGTCGCTTCAGGCCCGACATCTCTGGAGCCTGTATCTTCTACAACAGCTTTGACAAATTCGATGATGTGAGTCGAGTGGCCCCATAAAGGTTCGCCAACCGATGCGGGTGCAGGCTGATGTTCGATTAGAGGCTTCACCAAATCAGCTTGATTGAGATGCCTTATAGAGCCGTCTTCAGGCTGGATCTCATCTGGAGTGACGTTGAGCTGCTGCAGAAGAAGTTTGATGCCGTCAATGTCCCTTGCAATGCCATCGAATTTCTGCTCGCTGAATAAACAACACCGTATGAACACTCCACATTAGGAAGATGTCAAATAGCTCACGCGAAAGTTAACTCACTATTGTGCTGATATCAACACCCTCTGCTTCGGAGTTGTTGTTCTAGACGCGACCGCACTGTGAGTACAATTGAGCGTGGCAGAGATGCAATTCGAACATGGTGACGCTCTGTCACAACCAGTCCGCTTGAAAATGGTCTGTTAACCTCATTCCTTTCTCCGACGGCCTATGCGCGCGAAATGAAAGAGCCTGACCTTTCGAGCACGACACTGATCACACTGTTTCGTCAATGATTAGCTTACGTCAATGAGGAGGACTATCACACATGAGCTCACTGAGCGACGGGCGATTGCTGGGCCGCCCTTTGAACGCCTGTCGGCATTTTCTCCGCGGGATTCCATATTTCAAATCAACGTCCTGGTAGGATAGTGGTTGCAGTGTCACAGTGGTAGAGTGATGCTCGGGGGCAACAAAGGTTGACGCACGCGCTAGCAACGGATTCGCGCGGGATTCCGGACAGGGCATGGAGGCCTGGCTGAATTTCGCATTTCCCGAAACGGACTGTTCTTGTGGGTCTTCTCAAAGAAAGACTCGAGGTTCCAGATACTATCAAGTATCAAGTTGGATTATAATTAGCCACGCACCCTTTTCTAAGATTAAGATTCCCAATAACGAATTTTTCAAGTATCCCCAAACAAGCATAATGGGCCAAAATATTCTCGTCACTGGCGCCGCCGGCTATATGTAGGACCCGTCACTTTTTTAACTGTCCTAAGCTGATGAAATCGTAGCGGAGGCTCTGTCCTTGCCAGCTTCGTAACTCGTACAAGCGGCCCTATCAATGCGGCAAGTATCAGCGCCGTAGTCCGGTCGGAGGACCAAGTCCAAGCCTTGTCAAAGTTGGGCGTCAATGTAATCCAAGTCGATCTCAGCGACGAAATGGCGTTGAACGAAGCGGTTGTTCGAAATGAAAGTACGTTGGTATAGCAAACGCATCAGACCAGGCGACTCACATTGTTCTAGTTGATATTGTTGTTCATATAGCAAGCTCGATAGATTCGCGTGTGGTATCTCACCTTATCACAGCCCTTGGCCAGCGTCGCAAAGCCAGTGGAGAGGAGGTATTCTTCATCCATGTGAATCTATTAAGTATCTGTTTATTCGATAGTTTACCGACCTGAAGCCAGTCGTCGGTAGCCGCCCTTTTTGCCACAGAGGGTGGCTGGCTGTATGGGGAAGTCAAGGATACAGATCAGAGATTTGAGAAAGAGAAGCAGATAGGGGGACCTCACCCTGTTCGCGAGGTAAGTCATGACAGCTTGCCGTATGCTTACATCATGAGAACGCTTCTTCTAAACATCTGACAAGACGAACATCCTGGTCACCGAACATGCCAAAGCGCAGGGTGTTACGAGCCTCAACGTTGTGGTGCCAACTGTCTGTAAGTACCCCTGTGACGGCGCTCTCACAAGGAGCCTGTAAATGGTCGAATGCGGGCTCATTATATGAAAGACGGGAGAGGCAGCGGTGAGTGGCGGAAGCTGTCCGTAAACATACCAGCATATACCAGGGCCAGCATCAAGCACAAGATCGTCTACAAATTTGATAAGGACGGGGTAAGCTCACCTTTTCACTCTGCTCTTAAGTAGCAAATGTGCTCGGTACTAGATGACTGCGACATCATGAGACCCCCACTCAACCAGGATGACCCAATGTACTAACGTTTTGATAGAGCCCTCCCGCAGTGCATATATCAGACTTGACAGCACTATATGCTCTACTTGTGGAGAAGATCTTGCAGAAAGAGCAAGCCCCGAGCGGAGAGAAGGGTTATTACTTCGCAATGGCCCATAGAGCACCATGGTGGGATGTTATGCAGCATCTCGCCGATGCTCTGCATGCGCGTGGGCTTGTAGCGGAACCCAAAGTCCAAATCTGGCCCAGCGACGAGATGGCAGCGGAGTATCTGGGGTTTCCGCTTCTATACATCAGGGCTATGTGTACTTCTACGTAAGCGCCTTCTTCCATTGACATGATCACAAATATCTAAGAAATGATCTAGTGGGCAACTAGTCCCCGTAAACGCATACCGGCTTGGGTGCCAACCAAAGTGGGACGAGAAGAGATTTCTGGAGAGCATGGATGATGAGATTCGAGCTGTTCAGGAACTGGATAAGGTCAAGGATACTGTCTTTGACTCCATCTTGCCCTCCTCCAGAAACTAGACGTCTATAACGAGTCAGATACGTAGATGTCTACATCTTTCCAAGTTTCTATTTCATCGACAGTGACCGTCCGCTCCCCACCGTGGAGTACTCAGCTGCGAGCTTGGTTCCTTGCCACAATTGATTTGTTATTCGCGGATTCTGGAATCGGGGTTGCGAGTAGAAAGTTGCGCAAATGGAATTCCGAGAAAGAAGTCCCAGTCGTCTTTCCCGCATGTATTCCTACTTAAGTGGGTCCGTGGCCTTCACTTTCAGTCAGAAGAAGCCAAGGTGAAGCTGATACAGCAGAGAAGAGAAAGGCGCACTGCCATATTCAAATTGAGGCGTATCTTCGATGACGTGGTGACCAGACCCGATCAGCTTCACTGAGTGGTCAATGGGTGGTAGTATTTCGGTGCCTGCGAATCAAACTTCTCTTATATTTGGCGCGGAGACTTCTTACTGCTTCACCAGTGCGCCCAAGATTAATTTCAGTTCAATTCGACCAATTGGTGCATCTTCGATGCTCGGAACCGCCGCCGGCGCCAGTTCACATCTGAGGCACTAGCACTTGGAGATATACCGATGATTATAAGGAGTGGAACGCTCCTGTTTCGAGGTCTCTAAGGTATAGATTATTCGGTGAAGAAAGGAAATTTCCTCCCCTTGGAAGACGACCTGGGGGCTTGTAGAGACCAAATTCCCCTCATTACGCTCTTTGAGGCCCACACCCAACATTCGACTGTGGCTCAAGCATTTGTCCCCACCCGAGGAAAATACTTGCGATCCTTGCGGTTCGAAACCCCGATCATTCAACGCCACTTCCATCACCCTTCAAATCAGACTGGTAACCAAAATCATCTCCCCGGCATCTCCAACACCTGTCGATGATCCTCAACCTCAACCAATGGAGTTTGTTTATAGACGTACTCGTTTGCAGATGCAAATTCGGCTCCAGCGCCAACATTCCGTTTCATAAGTCGTGTTCTACCTCGTCGCTCCCACAGCGCCCACGCAATCGCTGAGAGCAACAAGACCCCAAGCGTGACTCCCAGCGCAACTCCAACGGTCCTTGTAGAATGCGAGTCGCGCCATTTCGGGGCGCAAATCTCAGATGGTGAGGTAGATGGGGGTGCGGTAGGACAAGACGACGGTATTAAGCTAATATCTTGGCTTCGAGAAAAGTTTCCGGTGATATTGACCTGCATAATCGGGCCAATGGTGTGCGGGAAAGTGAGGTTCGAGTTTGCGCATCCATTTATATTCCCACAAACAAAGGTAGTGCCTACGCAGTTCGAGAGAAATTGAAAACTATCCTGCGAGCCTAGATCCAAGCGCAACGTCAGACTCCACGCGATACATCCTAGTAGTTCGAAGAGAATTAAAATAGTAGAGCACACATACCCGCTTGCATACCTGTGCCGTCTTCTGAGCAATACTGTGGGCAAGCGTCTCCCCAATTCCTGTCAGTACATCCTCCGCGATAGACAGCGCCAGAATCGCTATAGCAAAGTCCGCTTCCAGTGCATGATTCTCCAGCCACACAGCAGGCGCTTACGGACGCTGCTGGATCGCAAGGCACGAATTTTATGTTGCTAATGTCGTCTCCGTTGGTGACATGATTAGGGAAGTAGCAGACCGAGGAATTCGTCGCCATCGAATTAGGACAAGGGAGTCAAGCGAAAGCCGACCAGAAGGGATGATGAAATGGGATGCGGCGCTGGGCTCCACTTCGCCTACTTGTAGGCGTCACCTCTAATGATTTGCAATCTTCGCGTTAGAGTTGGGGGCTAGGCATCCAGTGTCGTCTATTGTTGCATGCATGAATTTGCGTGGTTTTACTGCTTACATGGCGCAGCTTCTGCTTCACCGGAAGAAGAAGTGGCTTGGAATTATAACCGCGAGGAGGATTCCAGGGCTCATTATATCCGTCACAGGTTTTGTGTACAGCCTCTCTTCACGTCCGGCGGTCGCTCTCTAATATCAAGCCACAGACTTACCGTATAAGGGAGCAGCTCCGGGTGCCTTCAGGGGGAATAGCAACATACCAGTCAATCAATCCTCAAGCCGGTTAAGTACTAGCCCAGAAAAGAGGTATACCAGGATCGACTCAGTTTAGCGCTAGACCACCGGACGTGAAGAGAGGCTGTATGTACCAACATCCCGGCAAGCAATGGCCCTTGATATCGCTTAGCATAGCCCGGCATCGATGTCTAATTCAGCACACATACGCCAAGAGAGGATGTACCGATGCGTAAGTATTGCTTACATGTGGAGCTATATAGCATATCGATCTTTCACCTAGCTTTTGCGTTGTCCAAATGCCCCCATAGCTGCGGAGAAGCAACAACGGCGTAGATCTCCTGAGCATGAAGCTCTCCGCCAAGATTCAAGGGTAGGACGCCTGATTTTCTGTGGGCAGAGACGGAGCTGGCGCAAGGGTTGAACTACAGTCTCCCCCCATGCTCGGCTCGTACACCTCTGTGCGTGACAGGGGTGATTTGCACTGTAAAAACCCTTGTCGTGCACAGAGGTGTACGAACCGAGCAGGGGGGGAGACTGTACTAGGTATTGACAAGGTTTCGAATAATGAGAAGTAAGCCCCGAGTGGCCCCCACTAGTAGGATTCCAAGGTCTGTCACTACAAGGGGGTTTTCGTGTTTCGGACTTCGGGATATTCCAAGCTCTGCCCGTAATTTCCCAGATTCTGTCCACTGATAGAGTGTAGGCGCCCGCCTCAGTATTCTGATACTGCGCCGCTATACCTCTAAATAGACTGGATAGTTCTTCCGTAGGCTCTCTCATTGCCCCTCTTCCTTCTCGCTCTTTGCCTAGGCGATCCTACCTACTTGTAAGTCGGTTTGATATTCTACCGAATGTCTCATCACTCCTTGTCCTCTTTCCGTTTTGTAGTGCTCTCAAGATGGTGGGTTTGAGCGATGCTAATCCAGTTCACCAGTTGACCTCAGCTCGTCCGAAACGTTTTCTTGGCTTCAATAATCTTCTCGTTTCCTGTCTTTTCATTGCCATGCAGAAGTCTGCCTGCTTCACGCCATGTTCACCGCTAGAGTGGTGGCTTACGTTCGACATGAAAACCACACTTTGAAACTACTGCTCAATAGTTCTTCACAAGCTGTGGACGTTCTCCTGCCTAAGAATACGTCTACTTTGCCTTCTTTGCCACCTACGGCGCTCGCACAAAACGCGGTGGAGTCGCTCCACAAGATACCATCAAAAGCGCCATATAGGTTCAAGTACGCAGGTCCAACGATGTCAATGTGGCCGGCAGCATTCGGGTTCTGCACGAGTTTGGCACTAAACGCGGAGCCCGGATATTTCTAGGTTCTCGAGACTTGCACAAGTGGCAGTGCGCACCTTCACAACACGTTATATCAGCAATATAGTCAGCACAAGGACTTCAGTCTTGGAGATTCCATTGATGATTCTTTGACCTCATTTCCATTGAACACTCGGCCCAGGATCGAGCGCCAGCCAATAGAATACGCAGGCATGGTCTCTAGATTGACCCTGGTGAGAAGGTTCGTGGATTGGAATTGGTGAAGCAATTGGACGCAATTTTCGATCGCGATGTCGAGTTTTTGAGATTGCTCGAGGCATCGGGTGTTGCGAGGGTGGGAGAATCCAGGGGAGATCATGACTATCTTTTCCGCCAATGAAAACGGCGATGCCTTCTCGGATAGCTGCATGGCCGAGACCCGTCCTCGCAGATCAACTGACTACAATTCTCCTGACATGTCGTTATTCCATGATGTCACCTACGAGTTTTGGAATTAGATGTGGCGTCAATTGACGTTACTATGCTATCTAGGCGGTGCTGTAAAGCTTAATCGCTGCGTCCGGTTTCGTCCGCTATCTTTTCTTTACTTCTTTTCGACCTCATGTAATAACTTGTCGATATCACACCACCATCTCAACTCCATTTATAGCTTCATGACTTCCACAACGAAACACATTGTTACCTACGTCTACAATTACGCTCGCCTCTAAGGTTCACGACAAGCAATATCCCAGTCATCAAGATGTTTGGTTTCGGCGCAACTGCGTTCAAAGCAGAAGACATTCCCGACCTTTCAGGCAAAGTCATTCTGGTCACTGGAGGCAAGAAGCTCTCTTTTATGTCCCGTGTAAAATGTCCTAAGCCGCGCACAGGAAACTCGGGATTGGGCGCCGAAAGCATTCTACAATTGGCGAAGCATAACCCTTCTAAGATCTACCTGGCTGCCCGCACAAAAGCCAAAGCCAACGCCGCAATCGCAGCAATCAAGGAGAAGGTTCCCAACGCTGCAATCACATATTTAGAGCTTGATCTGAGCTCCTTCGCTTCCGTCAAGAAGGCCGCAGATGCCGTCATACAGTCTACTGGACGCCTCGACATTCTCCTAAATAACGCAGGCATCATGGCCACACCGGCAGGCCTAACGAAAGATGGCTACGAGGTTCAATTTGGAACTAACCACATGGGCCATGCACTGCTCACGCGGCTGTTACTCCCGACGCTCCAGAAGACTGCGAAAGAGCAGGGTGCAAGCGCGGACGTCCGCATCGTGAATCTAAGCTCCAAGGGCCACAGATGGGCTCCGGAAGGCGGTCTTGTGCTCGACCAATGCAAGACAGACATGGCTAGCACTGCGACTTTCGTTCGATACGGTCAGTCAAAGCTCGCCAACATTCTCTATACCAAAGCGCTTGCAGCCCGATATCCTGCCATCAAGTGCATCTCTGTGCATCCAGGGGCCGTTGATACGGGACTTGTGCGTGGGCCAGGCGAGTCGTGGCCGGTTTTAGTATGGCCCATGTGGTTTATCATTCAGTTCACCGCTGTGAGCGTGGCGCATGGGGCATTGACGCAGTTGTTTGCTGCGACGAGTAAGGATGCTAAGACGGGGACTTATTATGTCCCGACCGCGCAAGAGAACGCAGGATCTGCTTACGCACAAGATGAGAAGCTTGTGGATGTGCTGTGGGATTATACGGAGAAAGAGCTGAATGCCGCGGGTTATTAGGTATTGCGAAGGTTGATTTTTGTGATTTCGGCGCTGTTTGAGTTTTTTAGAAGCGTGTGGGTAGAACAGACGGGTGGGTGCGCAATGAACAATTCAATATCTCAACATGATCTAATCCTTACAGCGACTACTCGGAGTGTCTGCATGATGTGGGTTTGGAGCTGGACGATGTTCGATGGCGAAAGCGTCACAAATCATGTGCAAAATATACGTGAGTAGCTCTTATGGAAATTGAAGGCTCTTGATGCTTTTGTATGGCTATCAATAAAGCCCTATCAGATATATCAAAGGGATTATAGCGGTCGTCTAAAAGATGACCCTCGAAATGCCTCACATTCCATGATCACGTGACTATGGTTCTCTGGTCAAGTGGATCGCCACACCCCTCCAGCCAAACAGACGCGCGTCCAAGTTACTACTGCTCGTTTTCCTCAGTCCCATCGAATTGTTAGGTAAACGTGGCTTGTGAGGTTGATCCAGACGTCAGCCTCGAGGTCTTCACTCCCTGCCCTATCGAACTCACAACGTTTAGCTCATTGGTTGCCTTACTTTCAACTTCGTGCCGGCCATTCCTAGTATGAGTTAGGACCGGAGGACTTGTGTAGCATATCGCCGACACCGCACCTCACTACGAACAATTGAGCTTGCAGTCACCTCACAGTCACCTCACAGTCATCTCGATTGCGGCTCGATTTTGTGCTTGAAGGCATTGGACTTGGCCTATTCGTAGGCCTATGATGTATCGTGCTCACAATTGACCTCTACCGGAGGCGTTGCAATCTCGCACTTGTTGAGACATGGTACCTGTGAGGTTTCGTAGGTTTTAAGTAAAATATTCTATGCCTTTCAGACGTATTGTACCTCATGTTCAAGTCTTCAAAATCATACATAAGTCTCTTCTACCTTCCACTTTTAAGATATCCATCGTACCTTGTGAGGAATGAGGTGGAACGCACTTGGTATGCGGCTCATCTTCTAGATGCGCTCTGCATCTCTGCGCCAAGCGAATTCCGCGTGGTGGCAAGTGGTGCGCTGTCTGTCCCTCTCTCCCCAAATCAACGCTGCCCCCGCCTAATTCCACCCAAACCTAATCAGACCGTCGTGTTCCTCTGTATACTCAGATCTTCCTCTCTGTCTTCCGCATTCCTGCTTCTCCTGCCGATTTGAAGCGTCAGCCTCAGCGCCGCGGCCGCCTCATCGTCTCCTCGGTACGAGCGTCTCTTCCCATATCTGTATCGCCCACCTTCACTCGACTAGCCTTCTATTTTTCTCATTAAATTTCATGCCCTTACCGGCTCGAAGACGTCTAGTCGTGGCCCGATCGCCCGTTGTGACTTTGAACCTTTCGTAAGTCACGTGCTCAGTGCGTCCTTGGCAAAGTGTCAGGGACCAAACTCGTCTCCAACTACGATTAAGGCCTTCGATGTCGTGCCAGATCTCGTTCATCTGAAATTCGGTTTGATAGGCTAACAGGTTCGGTCGGTCATCTATATAGGGAAATACGCGAAAATCCGTCAAATCATCGTCTCCAATCCTACAGGGGACACTAAAGCACTCAAGAGGCCGCTGCAGTGTTACTGCTCCTAGCCTGTAGCACTGCATCCCTCCAGGCGCGTCTCATGGAGCGGTACCACAATACCTCCACTTCAATGGTCGCTGAACGAAGCGGCGGCAACATGCGACGGCAAGGAATAGAGGTACGTTAACTAAGTCCTCCGAAAAATAGCTTCATTGACACGATCCCAGGGGCCTTCTTTTCCAACACAGTACCTCTTTAAGTAGACATACTCTGATGATTCGACGCATTCAATACAGCGATGGCTGCAAGAGACTCCCACAGAGGAGCATTGGACGACGGTCAGTCGTTCTGGAGAAGCTCATTTCAATCATGGTTCCAGCTCATGCGGAGGACTGCTCTTCAGGTATAGCATGACATCTGATGCATCTACTCTCTGTCCCTTCTGGAAAATTAATTAGCTAATTCTTCTTGTAGAATCATGTCAATGCTGAGACTGATAACAACTATGTCTGTGATAGTAGCAACTCAACGGCTGCCGCGATACTGGACGAATCCAAGGTCCCTCGGATTGCGCGAGTTATAAGCTCTTCAAACGCGAGCTCTCTTTATCTCAGACCGAGAGCCGCATCCAAGGGTTTGAACCCAATTTCACAAGAGGCCCCTATGCCCCGAGGAAAAGCGCGATCCCTTCAAGATCAAATCAGGACCCAAGTCATTCCAATACCATCTTTAAACATTGTAAGATATATAGTCTCCAATAACACCCATCTTGTTGAAGCGGTAGCCGTAGGCCAGGTCCATAGAGGAGCAATTTCAGTGCCAGCGTGAGGAGTAAGCTGACCGTAACTAAACCAACGTGAGCGATCCGTTGCAATCGACCCTTTTAGTGGACCTGGACAATCCACTCAAGGACAAGCCTAGGGTCCAACTTGGTTTAATCGGGTTGTAATCCAGTGAATTAACCCTGCATACGGGTTTTAGAACGCGTTCTGTGTTTTCACGCGTTGTTTTGACCCCCTACGGCTCCCACGGGTACCCCTTTTCTACGCACAGGGTGAAAAGAGGTCCGTGCATAGTCCGTAAACGGTTTAAGCCGGTCACAATCCCTCTCTAATAAACAGTGCTAAGTGATCGATTAGGAATGGATTGCAAACTATACTCCTCTAACTCGCTCCGTCGGCTTACTCCTCACACTGAACTTCACCATGGACTGAATCTTCCAACATTTCGGGAAAGACCCCTAGTCAATTCAACTCACTAGTGAGATTTATGTTGTTTTGTGTGGGCCACGCTTCCGTAAAAGTATTTCTTGTATAGCCCATCTGCTGTCCCACTCCAGGAATGTCCGCAAGGTTCCGGCTCGTCCAGTCCCTCGTCTGCCAAAACAGGTTCAACTTTCATTTCTTCTTCATCTGGAGGGCTCGGAGGATCTCGCAGCACTCTGCCGGCCAAGGCCGGCAGAGCATCATCGAACGATGCAAACGACGACCCCTCAGAGGAGCTACCAACCCCGCCTACACCCGGTATCGGTACTAGTGAGAATCTGATGTTCGCCTGCCCTAAACAAAAGCATTCCGCAGACGATTGTACATACGTCGGCATTCGATTTCGCAACATGTCAGAAGTCATGCATGTTCAATCATTTTCAATCTGGTTATCGAAGCACCTATTCGTGGAAATCATTCATTGGAACACAAACAGGATCCTGGAAACTGGTCTGGCAGCTTCTGGTTCGATTGATCTGGCTCTTTTCTGCTACTCCTAGTCATATCGAATGCTAAAGTGTGACGTCAACTGATGAGCTATCATATTGTTTCATTCATGGAGTACGCTGACTCTCTCTCAGAATGCATTTAAGCCGAACCGACCGGACTCTCGTCCGTCTATGCCGGCAGTGTAATACATATTTTCTCACCGCTTCAGCCTTCGAAAGGGACTCGCAATTGCCACGCCGATGTCCTTGAGACGGAACACCACGTGGACCAAAGCAGGCCAAAATGCGGAAACAGTTGTATTTCTTGATGTATCCGGAGGACTCAATAATCCCAAGCCCTTGTAAGCTCCCGCTACCCCATTCCCCAACACGTCGTTTTACTAAGTAACCGGGTTAGATGTTGGAAATGATATCGCAACCCAGGATGCTCCGACTTGGGATCACGTCAATCTACTGACATCTCACGATCATGAGGCTCACCTGACCGTCAGCGAGCGAAATGGCAACCTGGAGCAGGAAATAAAGGAGGTGATCCCTAGAAGTTTTGAATCTCTTAGAATCCATCCCAATGAATCCGGAAGCGACGCAACCGACGCCTTCAACACACTCGTCTGGCGCTCTAGGTACTCTTAGCCGAGCTGAATAAAGCCCTAGGATATGTAGAGATCCCAGGCTCCCCATCTGGTCCAGTCAGCATTCCACGTCTCGTCGTCGGGCAGATGAACACGGACTTGTTGCCAGCGGCCTAGAACCCTAGCGTCGACGACATCGCCGATGTCGGGTCCAGCTTGCACTTAAAAGAGGAGCAATGGGATAATTTCAGCAATCCGGGCGGGCATTCAAAATCTCTCGGGCTTGGATTACTTTCTCATACCTCGATGTCGCTCCTTTCGGTGATCCGCTGATGGAGTTCGATGCAGATGAATTCTGAAACGCTTTCCTTTTGGCACTACTTCTGGAGGCTACGTGTCTTATCACCTGTCTCTAGAAGTCTTTCACAGTGCTTAGGAGACCTAATACTTAAGTCTTTCCCGGGATCATCGTAAACGCATGTCTTCCTGGATCTGACATTTACTTGTACACTAGTCAATTCATCCAATGCCACATTAAAGGTGTTTATGCGCACGGCCAAAGCTTCCCCGCTCCTCATCTCACATCTAATCGCCTTTCCACCTCCTTCTGTAACTTAGCCTCTTCCTCGATCAGACCTAGCATCTAAGTGCGCTCTCAATTAACCAAACCTCTAGAGGACAATACGCTATCACGGGTTCGTTTCGGAGGATTTCTTACTAAGCAGTTACAAGATGCAGCCTCGTTATGCCCTTCTTTGTTCTGCAGATCGCGCGAGATGTCTGATACTCTTGGGGATAATATTTCCTTTGTGCGTCTTGTACCGCGGAAGGTTAGATAAATCAAAAACAAAGACCCGTCACAGACCCGTCACATCCCAAATGCCAATCAACTTGCGCATACAGATTAGCGGATGGCCGTCTTTATATTTCTTAGATTTAAGTCGTCTACTCCTCCACGCAATGCTCATCGCACACGCCCATCCGAATAAACCTACCGACTCACCCTTTACTTAGCCCTCCTCCCTGCGCATTGCCGCTACCAATCTCATCCAACGATGCCCTCAAAGCGATCTCGCGGAAACGGCGCAGCAACCTGGGACGATTACCGCTCGAGCTACGCGCTCGCCGCCAACGATAGCGCTCACCACACCGAGACGTGGAGGCGGATTCCTCACAGAGGCAAGAAAGACCGCGACGAGCTCTCGTCTTCACAGTCGCAGTCATCTGACTCTCTCAGCGAAGAGGATGCTCGCAAGCAAAGAGCACGTACGCATCGAGGTCATTCAAGCCTTCTCCGTCCCGCGAAACCCCGAACCATCTGTCACCCAATTCTCGCTATTATCATTTTCGTACTTGTGGCAGGCGTTGCCTTCGTTGGTTCAGTGATAATAGCGCAATCGGCCGTCGACGCCATCATCGCTCCCTCTCCCAAAAGATTCGGAGGCCACGTCCCCGGCAGCCTGCACTGGGACCGCACAGAACTGGAAGGGCGGGTTCTCGACGCTAAGGGATCTATGAGCCATGCGCTCGTTTACAAGAGGAACGACGTCGAAGCGATACGCGGCCTCGTGCAACGCTCCTCCGTCCCCTCGAAAAAGGAAGCGTTGGGGCACTTCGACACGTTCATGAGGGAGGCGAAAGCGGCAGCCACGGCATTGAGCAAGTTCGAGGCAAGGCTGCCACAAGTGCTTAGCAACGTTCGGGTGGAGAATAGGCTGCTGCATAAGAGGGTATTGGACGAGTCGGAAGCGGGAGTGGGAAAGTCAAGCCTGGAGACATTGCGCAAGATCATTGAGAAGGCTACAACGGAGCTGGGCACGCTGGCTGGACAGGCAGTGGGGGAGATTCACTCTCAATTGATGGAGCTGGAGTACGCTCTTGGGGAGATCCAGGAGATCGTCAATGAAGATGAAAGACGGGGTGAAAAGAATTTTGAAGAAAACCTCAAGAAGAGTTTGAAGAGCGGAGCCTGGTCTAGGCTAGATTCGGAGGGGGAGGCCCAGAGACAACAAATAAAGAACATTAGAGAGGAGCTGATGAGAATCAGACAATTCGTCAGCACGTGCCAGAAACACGTCAGCGAAGTCACCAGGCGTCTGGACACAGTAACCAATGAGCTTAACGACCTTCATATGAGGCAGAGCGAGCTGGTGATTGATCAAGCTCGTCCAGATGAACTCTACAAGGTGTTGCTGGAGAACAAACATATTAGCGCAAAGCTCGAAAGGACACTCAAGAACATTGATGAGTTGGATAAAATTAATGCAGATATCGACGCCGGCACATATAAGGGAGACTACTTTGCTCTTCCTAGATGGGTCCCATTTGAATGAGAACAGCCTGTGGAGATGTTAGCAAACGCATGAGCTAGGGACCCGCAAGCTACTGGGAGAGATATCGACCTGATTTATCGAGGCAATTTACTTTCTCTTTACCATCAGATCTTCATCTTTTCCTACTCTCAACCTCTCCTCACTCGTCCCCCAGAAATCTGGAACGCCCAATCCCCCAGCCACCTCGTCGAACCCAGCGTCTTCCTTCACCATCGTTGCGACTGCCTTTGCAACAGTAAGAATCATCGACATGCCACCGCCATTGAACCCAGCCAGCATCCATTGATTTTTTACGCCTGGAACTCTTCCAACGTGCGGCCACCCATCCGGGGTGATGCCCATGATGCCCACCCACACCTTGTCCAACTCTGCTCCACTCTCTTCCCAACCGCGAAAGTTTCGTTGCATGTAACCTTCCCAATACTCTTCAGTTTGTGGGGGAAACGGCATGGAGTCGTCGAAGTTGTTGAACCATGACGGACGGTCAGAATTATAGAGCCATTTCCCGCCTCCGACGACGATGCTACCATCCGGTCGTGGATTGAGATAGTCGGTCCCTTTCTCTGGGCCGAAATCAATGTTGTACGTGTTTGAGAGATGCGGGTGAATTGGTTGCTTGGGGACGATGTGGGATGTCATGCCACGGATCGGAGTGATGATGTCGTTGAATTGGGAAATGAGTCCCGATGTGTAAGGATTGGTTGCAAAGACGACTTTCTCGGCCTTGAATGACCCGCGTGAGGTATGGATGGCACTGCTTCCATCCTCGGATAATGTTACTGAGGTCGCGGGGGTCATTGTCTGAAAGTTCAAGGATCGGGGATGCTGAGCAAGAAGCCTCGCCAAGAGCTGCGAGACGAACTTGTATGGCCAGAAGGAGCATGCCGGACCAGTGAATGCGGTGTTTGCCCCGTTGATAGAAGTAATCTGGCCTGCAAATCTTTCGTCTATGTAATCGACCGTTCTCGTCCACGTGCTTCCTGCCTTGGCGCTCTCATCATAGATTCGTTTTAGCCGTTTGGACTCGTCGTCATCGAGTTGAATATCGAAGCTTCGACGGAGCTCAAACTCGCAGTCCAATTCTTCCTCCTCTACGATTTGCTTCAGCCCATTGATGATACCATGTACGTAAACAGCCATGTCATCCACAGTCGAGCTACCTGGACCTGGCGTGAAGCCCGCAAATGTTGGCACTTTAACTTTGCAATGCCCCCCGTTACGCCCAGTGGCCCCCGAACATAACTCTCGTGCTTCTAGAATGACGACGTTTGGGGGCTGTTTATTGCTGTGAAGAAGATGGTACGCTGTTGTGATGCCGGCCATGCCTGACCCGATAATGGCAACGTCGCATGTTGCAGGCAGATCTGGTGTGGAACGAAATCGGGCTAGCTCATGAGGCTCGCTGAGCCAATATGCCTTGGTCGGGTTCGGAACGGGGAGCACTTGGTCCATTGCGTCGCAGCGTTGATGTAGGAGTTGGAGAAATGGAAAACAAAACGGTTGAAGGGTTTAGGATATTTACTCAGCCTCTACATATACTTCTCGGGACCCACCTTTGTGAGTGTGCATCTATCTGTAGGCTCCTGGAGTCGATATCGGCGCTCGGAATGGATGACGTATGCCTTAGTCCGAAGCTCGCTCAAATGCTGCCTTGCCATCAAGATGCGACCGCCGTAGTATGGAGATCTGAGCAGGCTCATCGTGACGTTTGAGACGCCATGCCAGAAGCGTAGAGAACCTTCCAAACATGGAAGGCCTCTGACGACGCCGCCACATCACCGCCAGTGCATGGCCTCACGTCTCCGTCCTCGTCTTCCCTGTCTAGTATACGTCCCCTGCTACAGGATGTGTTCGGAGAGGTAGTCGACGTGTTCTGGTGTGCTGGTACGTGGCCTGGAGGCGGGCGACGTTGCTATTGCGGGCAATGACCTGAGTAAAACATACTCGGCGTGAGGAGGAAATTGGCGAATGTGACCAGGTGATCACAGAGAGTATGTACACTGTTGATCTTCAGAGGTGCCTTCTTCCGCATGGTGTGTTGTTCTGGTTTTGAGGCTGGCGGCTGAAGCGTCGGGGGTAGTGGATGAAGTGAACATAGCGGCGTCTAGAGAACAAGCTGGAGTTTCGGGTAAAGTGCGCGCTGCTACTGTTTTTGCTGCTACAAAGCTAGATGAGTTTGGCACAGTGGTAGTTCAATAGCGTTGTTAGTTCAAAGGAAGGTCAGTCGCGAGTTGACCCATATCTCTAGCTTCGTAGCCATTTGTACATACAACTTGGCCACCCCGCTATTCAGTCAGGCACTTCACGCCTACGGTCCATTTGAAATACTTTCCCACGGTCATGTGACTAATACGGGCTCGGCTTAAGTATTGCTCGGCGAGAGCCCTGGATCCTGCTCCGGGATGATCCACGCGTATGAAGCAGAGAAAGATTCTTCATATTTCTCATATACTAGCCTAAGGCCCAATAACAACATACCACAGCATGCCCAGCGCATTTCCCAGCAGCGTAAATACAGTCCGCGGTTTTGGGTTATCCAGAATCACATCCGGAAATCTCTCTTCCACAAAGACGGCCTCTAGCAACTCCTTCGATAGCGTTCCGCCCGTCTGCGCCGTGTTCATCACGCCCACCGCCTGCAACAACCTCACAAACCAAAGGTTCAGAGGCAGCCTGGGTGCGCCAGCTGCTCTGCTTTCTTTGCTCCGCCGGATAAACGTCTTGGCCAGCGACCGCCGCGTTACGGGGCCGCCATCGGCATCGGCGAGCATTGCTTCGAACATGTCTGGCTGGAAGGTGTAGTTGTCGCCTTGGTGGAAGTCAAGGCGGGTGAATGACGAGTCGTGCTCGATGACGTTGTGGCGGCGTGTGTCCATCAGGTCAAAGGTTCCGTTCTTGCGGCACAGGGGCGGAAGGCTGTGGGTGAGGGCGGCGGCAGCGGTTCTATCCATGTGTAGAACGGTCATGAGGGCATTTTGGACTTGGGGAAGTGTAATGTTCTTGCCATCGCGTGGACTAGACGTGAGTTAGCACATGCAGCGTTTCAATCGAGGCGGACAGGGTAATTACAGATAGCCTTGGTTTGCCAGCGCGTTCAGTCCGGGACATGGCCCTCGATCAGCGATGTCGCCGCGGATGTAGGCATGATCGGCGCTGTCTTGGGACTCTACGGGCTGTTGCTCTTTTTGCTTGGAGCTGGAAGTGAAGAAACTCTTCACGATATTTGTTGCGCTCAAGTACATGGTGGATTGGTGCTTGTGCTAGGGAGCAGATTGTATATGATAAAATGGATCAAGCGTTAGCTAACGAGCACACTTACAGGTCGATCGAGCAAAAACTGACAACCTGAAGATGCTTATGACTTCATATCTCCCGAAGAATCCACTTTGCAAGGGATCCGCGTCGGTATGCAGCCTGGCAGACGAGGCTGAAAAAGTAAAAGCTAGGCTGATTGCTTGTGAGACCAGTGATGAGGCACAACGGCCCATCCAGTCTCTACGCATGACTGCAAGTCAGCCCAGATGTTACACGAGGTGATGAATGGGGCTTCGGGACTGGACACAGTCAGCAGAGCTGAAGAGCTGAACGCCACCAGCCAGGCAGCTGGGGCGTATAGTGCCCGTAAGCAGCACCATATGCACCTTTTAATGTGGTTTTCTGATAAGGTGACTGGATTCAGTGAATGGTAGGTCTTCTCGGCTCGATTGATAGGTTGATGGACTCGGCAACCCAGTTTGTGGAGGTGTGAGATTCTCTCGAAGAGTCTGCAGCTGCAGCTGAAAGGACTGAGCAGAGCGAGCCTCAGCGCAATCAACCGTCTTATACCAACATCGTCGTGCCTCTGAAGATGTACATGCCATGAAAAAGCCCCGAGAAGCTCACCCCCAGCTTTCATCATGGAATCTCCAACGCCCAGCTTTCAAGCCAGCCTCATCCAGCGCGTACTCATCAGCACTTTTCACTTTGTCAACAGATTCATCCCTTGGTACAAGCTTCCCAGCTACATCGGCGCTATCAACCTGGACGCCCTGCGCATCGAGCTTCGCGCCAACAACCTACACGATGGGTACGCCTCGAGCGCTGCTCAGGGCAATCGAATCGACGAGCCCCTGACCGATAAGCGATTTTTGAATGCGCGGAACTCAGATGGTAAATTCAACTCGCTTGAGTTGCCTCGGATGGGCTGTTCGGGCATTCGATTCGGCCGCAACTTTTCGAGGGTACACACGCCGAAGCCGACTGACGAGGAATTATGGAATCCGAACCCGCGTATGTTGAGCGAGAAGTTCATGGCAAGGGAATCGGGAACATTCATCCCGGCTACATCGCTGAATTTGCTTGCGGCGGCGTGGATTCAGTTTCAGGTCCACGATTGGGTGAACCATGAAAGTGTGCGTTGAGTTCGGCGTGTTCGTCCCATGTAAAAATAGCTGATCCCTCATAACTTGCAGAGCGACGAAATCTACGACATACCCCTTCCTCCTGGAGACAAATGGCCCAATGACCACATGACGCTGCCACACACGAAGCCAGATAGTACGCTCCACCCATCAGATGTCACGTGCCCGGGATACAAGAACACCAACACGGGATGGTGGGATGGTTCGCAGATTTATGGATCCAGCGAAGCTGCCACGCAAGTACTGCGAACCACACACGCCGATGGCAAGCTGCTACTCACCAAAGAGGGCAGGGAATCATTCTTGCCTCGCGATGCCGCGGGAAATGTAATGACCGGGTTCAATGACAACTGGTGGATAGGTATGGAGATGTTACATACACTATTTGCGTTGGAGCATAATGCCATCTGTGATACGTTGCGCGGTTCGTATCCAGACATGCCTGGGTAAGTTCTTATTCACTGTAGAGGAGATCTATGAATTGACTCCGAATCTAGCGATACAATCTTTGACAAAGCTCGCCTCATCAACTGCGCTCTCATGGCTAAAATACACACTGTGGAATGGACTCCCGCCATCTTAGCACATCCCACCCTGCAAATTGGTATGAATGCAAATTGGTGGGGCCTTGTCGGCGAGAAGTTGACCAAGCTCCTGGGGCGAATCTCCAAAACGAGCGAAGTCATCAGCGGCATCCCTGGCTCGGGGGTCGACCACTTCGGCGTGCCATATTCTCTTACAGAGGAATTCGTGTCAGTGTATAGAATGCACGCCCTCGTGCCCAACGACATTGCGTTTTTCAGCGCGGTGAACGGCGAGCACAAATCAACCATTCCCGTCGAGGAGACGCTATTTACGGAGTCGCAGAAGCCGCTCGATGATGGATTGTCATTCGCAGATACGTTTTACTCCTTTGGCATCAACTACCCCGGCGCTATAACAAATTTCAATTATCCCAACTTCCTGCGAGACTTAACCAAGCCAGATGGTCAACACCTGGACATGGGCACCGTTGACCTCCTCCGAGATCGTGAGCGTGGCGTACCACGATACAACGAATTTCGCCGGCTCCTTCGTATGTCGGCGCCGAAAACATTTGTGGAGTTAACTGGCGGGAATACTGCACTCGCACAACAACTCTCTGATGCTTACGACGGGAATATTGAGCTTGTGGACACGCTAATCGGGTCCCATAGCGAACCGCTAATCAAGGGATTCGGTTTCAGCGAGACCGCGTTCCGGATTTTCATTCTGATGGCGAGTAGGCGGCTGAAGAGCGACCGCTTCATTGCCGGGCAATGGAATGCAGAGACGTATACCAAGGAGGGGTTACACTGGGTGCAGTATAACGGGATGAAAGATGTGCTCGGGAGGCATTTCCCGGAGTTGAAAGAGGTATTGAAGGAAAGTAAGAATGTGTTTGCGCCGTGGGATAAATTGCCCGAGTCGTTGAAATATGGCGGCGTAGAGACGAATGCGCCGAAGGGGAAGTGATGAATAGGGAGAAAGCTTCTGAATTATTTCGTTACAAGTCTCTTCCACGGTGGCAACAATCTAGTTGTATATCATATCAGCATACTTAGTGGTATAAAGCGGGCAGAGCCTGAAATGTTGCGAAATGTCGGCGGAGTGAACCTAGTAGCTGTTGTTTAAACGTGGCTCCTACTTGTCTCGATTCTGTTAGAGATGGCTAAGTCGCATGCAATATGACCGTCTTCAAAGCCATTGTGTGAGGGTATTCTCAGCGGCGAATAGAACAGTCGAGGCTAGCGGGGGCGAAAGCTTTGGAGTAAGTAAAAGAACTGCGAAGTCGGCGGCTAGAAAGCAAGCAGCAGAGATATGCACTACAGCTATACTGCTGCTCGATCGATGCGGTGTGGTTTCGTGTCATTGATTCCAAAGAAGGTCAGAGGAGATCTCCGCCAGAGTTGCAACACCACATCCCATCGTGAACTCCAGGTCCCCACCTCAGGCACCTGCTAGACGCCACCCACCTCATGTACAGTCCTCGGCATCATGCTTTCTTATCGAAGAACAAAGTCTTCTTCCATATAAGTCCTCCACACACGGCACCCCGCATCATGGACGTCGTGATCTCTGGAAGTGCTTCTCCCGCAAATGGTCCCCCAACCGTGTCCAGACCACCAGCATCGACCAAAGCTACCGACGCTCGCTTAGTGCGACGAGCTTCGGTTGTTATTGGTTGGAATGAGCTCGCATATGATTTTGACGCCTACCCTACGATCCATCGTAGTTCACGCTGTCCTCTTCGCCAACACGCTTCTTGTCTCGTTGAGACCCTACTTGCGACTGAGCCCACGCCATTGCCGTGACGTCCGCCATCAAATCTACCATGTCCGCGCTTGTGCGAGCAGTAGGCCAGTCAGGTCGCCGTTATGTTGTTGAGCGAATCCTCCAGGAGAAGCCCATGCCCCTTGACCTCGGCCGCGTTTATCTTGCTATGTGAGTACGTGCAAATTTTGAGCAATGAGCTGAAGGCGCTGACTATTATGTTGTAGGTCCGGGGACCAGAAGTACGTCTTGAAAAGTGTGCAGCCGAAATCGTTCCAGTATTTTCAGGATATGTTCAACGACATCCGGAACTCTCCCTACTTTCCCTATGTCCGTGTTGCAGACGACTCCATTCCCGACAAATCGATGTTCGCATATAAATACCTTAAAGATCACCTTCTTGGCTTCGTTCAGAAAGACGTCCCGCTCCCCGTGACAAAGCGTATACTGCGCGACGCCCTGCGCGGGATCGCCGCGATGCACGACAAGGGCATCGTTCCTGCCGACATTATGGCGAACAATATCATGGCGGAGTGGAACGAGAAGGATGGCGAAGTAGTAGTGGAACAGGTACAAGTGGCCGATGTCGAGGATGCTGCCTATGTACCCGATGACTGTGTTATCGAAGGAAGGCAGATCGGAAACTATATGTGGCGGAGTCCAGAGGCCCATGCGTCAGGCCAAGTAGAAGTGGCGACCGGCTCGTGCACGCTACCACCTCGTGCACGGTTTCCCCGTGCATGCATCACGAACTTCATAAACATATACATTCACTCATATTACTCAGAACCTTATAGAAATTAATAGGGAGACTAAACCGAAGACGCTCTTTCATTCTATTATAATTATAGAGTTATCGTACCTCTTAGGCGTATTCCGGATACGCTAAGGCCGGCCAGAGGCTGATTTCGCTACCTACTCCTCTACCTTATAATTCTGCTGGCCTGTAGGCTCCTTAGGAATAGTAAATACAACCTAGCGAGCCTTCTGCCTTTGGTGTATTACCTTCCTTTTATCTTTAAGCTGCTTCTCTGCATCACGTGCCTTACGTGCTTCCTGTGCCTTACGCTTCTTAAAATCCTTAGCATCCTTCTATTCTCTCTGCTTAGCAAGCCTTAGCATCCTTTTTCTCTTAGTATAGCTTTTAAGCCTGCCGCACCTTATTAGGTGAATAGACTGCCGCTTTTCTATTATTATCTTTAGCTAGAATCTAAAAAAGGTTCTTCTGCCGCTTCCTTTTCTTCTACTCTATTTTAAATACTTTTTAGTAGCCTTAAATTTAACTTTAAAAAAGTGTATTAGTTGCTATTAGTTAGTAAATATCTTTAGTTAAAGCTTATACTTTTTTTTAGAGGCTAGACTATATAGCAACTTCTACTACCTATTTTAGGCGTGTTTTTATTTACTTCTAGTTACTAGCTATAAAAGCCGACCTAGTAGAGTTGCTTAATAATAGCCTTTTTTTATTTTTATTCTCTTCCTCTTTTTTTTTAGTATTAAATTAATCTAATATAACCTCCGGGTTCTATAGGTAAATACCTGTCTTTTTCTATCTACTAGCTATATTAGAAGGAGTTATAGCCTTCTTTTATACCACCTAAAAGGTCCTAAAGAAGTCTCTTTTTATAAAGCGGGAGAATTTTTTATAATTTATTATAAACCGGTTTAATTTATTAGAATAGTAAATAGCTAAAAGGGCGAAAAGAGAAACGTTTAATAGCTGCAGGCGGTGTGTTAAATAAGGCGGATATATAGCTAGGAGAATCCTGTTGCTAATATAGTAGTTAATAAACTTTATATTTATATAAAAGCCGTGGCTATTAATAAGTAATATTCTTTACTTTTTATTAGCTTTAGCCTTTATCTTTTAATTAAAAATCTTTAACTAAGTAAGGCCTAAGTTATTATTAGTCTATCCGGTTAGTATTAATATAAAGAAGCAGGCATATTTATCCGGATTAAAATCCTTAAGCTATATATTCTATATATTATTTATTCTAGCTTAATAGATAAGTATTAGAGGAAGTGCTATATTATTTATATAGATAGCTGCTACTATAGTAATCTACTCTCTATTGCTATTTTATATAATATAGCGTATTCTTCCTAACTTATAAATAAGCTTACTAAAGATTTTCTTTTTTTTAACTAATTTTCTAATAAGAAATCCTTTCTTATCTATATTATATATATTTCCTAGCTAGATATTATATTAATTTCTTTTACAACTAAAAAGCTTAAAGTAGAGGCTATAGTAGAGGGCAGAATTAGCCCTTTTCTATTCCTTATTAATAGGAAGAAGGTAGGCTAATTTAAGGTGTTTAGAATTCGAATAGACCTAGCGTAAAACCTAGTAGATTCCTAGTATTCTCCTAGCTAAATCCTAGGCGAGATTTTATATTATTTAATATATAAAAGGCAAGTTTTTTTCGGAGAAGTTGTTAATATATTTAATAAGAGCTTTAGTCTTGCCAGGAGAAAGAAGCTTTTAAAAATTATAGGCCTTAGCCTTTAACTTTATAATTTCTTAGTACCTTTATAAAAGCGTAGTTCTATTAATCCTATACTTTTTTATAACCTTAGTATATATCTTTTTCTCTATTAAATTAAGCTCCGCGAATATAGCTTCTATTATATCTATTTTTAAAGGAAATCTATATATTTTTAGTAGAGTTATACGGTGTTAAAGCTTAAAAGAAAAAGCGGTAAGGGGCTTCTAAGACCGTGTATAAGGTAGTAGCGTGCACGAGCCGGTCGCCACTTCTATATAAATAATCGGATATATTCTCTTTTAGCGTTATAGTAAGTCTTGCTCTATTTTTTACTTTATCCTGCAGCCTTAGTTTACTAATTAGTAATTTTATAGTATATATACGCTTTTACTAAGCGAGTAATATTTATAGTAAAAGATAATAAACTTAATAAAAAAAAGGAGAAGCTAGCAGTTATTATCGAACGCTAAATTTTATATTTATTTAACCCTAAAAAATTTAAGGGTTTACTCTAGTATTTAGGTAAAAGTTTCTAGGTTTAGATATTTACTATAATAGCTAAGGGATTTAACGAAGAGAATTTTTATATACTATTCGCGCAGTAGTCGATTATTAAGCTAGAAGTTAGGGATTTTATTAGACGAATAATAAATATAGATCTAAATCGGCGATTAATAGCTTATAAAGTATTAGCGTACTTGTAGTTTATAAACGTGCTATAATAAGCTTAGATAGAATATTCGCGATTATTAAAATATTTTATATAATAATTAAGTGCTTATAGGTTATATCTAGAAACTCTAAATAGCGTATATTAGAGTTTTAAAGCCTTAAAATAGCCGCGGCTATATAAGTTTAGTAATATATTTTTTACTATAAAAAACTGCCTTTAACTATATAACTATATCTAAAAATAGTAATATACCTAAAAAGGTTGCTTTATTAAGAATAATATACTACTCTAAATCCTTTAATAGGGAAATAATTACTAATAGAGGTAAGTTCCCCCTAAAAAAAAAACCGGGTTAATTTTAAACCCTTTAAAAACGCAGATAACTTTACCTATATAATATTACGGTTTAAATTTCACTATATTATAACTTTAAATAATATATAACGTTGGGAATATAAGTATTTAAATATTAATTTCGGGCTTAAAATAGTAGATAGATAGTTACTACTAGGTTAAAGTTAATAAATAGTTTTTTTTATAAGAATATTATAGTAGTAAATATAAAAGTAGGTTTTTTTTTTTTAAAATTAGGATTTTTTACTTAATTTATTTTATAGTAAAAGTACTTTATTTTTTTTAGGTAAAAAATTTAATTTAAAAAGTATATTACTAGGTACTTTAAAGCTATAATAGACTATAAAAGTAAGTTTAATATACTATTAAATAAGTAAATTAAGCAACTTATAATAATTTTAAGATATTACTATTTACTTAAATATTTCTAGTTATAGAATACTTTTTTATAGTACCTATAATCCTAGGTATAAAAGGCTATATTATATTACTTAAATATAAATAGTTGTAGATATTTAGAAGGTTATTATAGTTAGAAATATTAACTTAGCTTTATAAGCGTAAGTTACCTTAAGCACCTTATTATTACGCCTTATTTATAAGGTCGACGTGGTAGGCGCTAAGTGGTTTCTACGGGCGGGGTAAGTTCCCGCTACTGTGGGACGCGATGTGTTGCTGCCTGGCCATGTAAGAGGCACAGCTCGCTCAGTTAGTATACAGTTAAGCTGTGCCGCCATTTTGAACACAAACTGCTTCGATCGTGGTCCTCTTCGCAAGCTTCAGCCAGTCTCTACGTCCGGCTTGATAATGGCTAAGATGAAGGCTAAGAAGCCCAGAACAAAGGAACCAGTTGCCGAAGTAGAACTTTACTTCGTGGAGTCAGCCACGGAGGAAACTTCCGGCTCTCAGATGATAGCCTAGCGGCCCAAGCTGCTGTCCGTTTTGGGCTTAGCGTTGATGTCGCGCATTACGAGCCACAATTACGTCTTTCGCATTGGCGATTGCGTAGCTAGCTTCAACCTACTATGAGTCTCGCGACAGCCATTATGCAATTTCACGATGCAGGGTAACATACGGCTATGTCTATGTTGCAGACTCCTCTAACACAACATCAAAACATCACGCCGCCTTCGAGTTTCGCAGAACCGCCTTTGACGCCTCCGCCGACCGACGAGAAGCCCTTCGCGCAAGCCCACCGAGTTATCGCACTTTTCAAAGAAATCCGGGCCGGAAGGCACATCAAGCGACACCCGCGGACAGAATTTCAGCTTGCAACTGGAGATTACGATGAGATAGAGTGTCGGCTTGAGCGAAGCGAGCTGTCGGGATATGTTAAAGACAAGATACGGTGGGTGTGCTCGAGACACAACGTGGATGGCGGCTAATGGCAGAGATGGGCAGATATGATTACGGAGGAAAAAGCGATCGGCTTGTCGTTCGCATGCCTACAGCTGTACACGAACTGTTCATCGCTCACGTCGAGGATGCTATGTTAGATGCGGATGGCAACAATCCTTGGAAACAGTGCAAGGCTAGTTGACAAGCACATATTCCAGCCCGTGTATCTATTGGACGAGCGCGACAGACTTCGAGACCTTCTGCACCGCTAGACGGTTGTCGATAACAGGAAAGAGTCTTTTGCTTGAGATATACTCCTGTCAATGTTTCCTGAGGAGCAAGAGGAGGAGGTAGAAAAGAGGATAGACTGGGTTGTCAAGGTTTTGATAAACGAAGTCGGTATCCGCAATATCATAACCCCCGATATTGTCGGGACGTTCGAACGGGAACTAGAGATCTTCCTAGCGCAAGCGCAACGGGTTTGGCGGTCCGTCCAGTGCAGTAAACAAAAACTTGGGCCCAGTTTTAAATATCTCTCTGAACCCGACGTCCAGAGGAAGACATTCAAATTCTAGAAGGCAGATTTCAAGGAAAGAGAGAAAATCGTCTTACCAGTCAACGCTGACCGCTTAGAGCACGAGCTCTACACTATATTCCCGCGGATTTATTATATGACAGGCGACCTCCAGCCGATTACCGCCGGTACTATTCTTAGAAAAGCTCAGCTTCGTACGCCACACAAGAAGTGGAAGAAGGTGCCCCGAATACCCCATTTGCACAACCAGCCTCAGCGCGCCATCGTTCCAGGCGAAGTCGTACCATGTCAATGAGGCGCTGAAGGTGGTCCAAGTGGACCAGTACGGAAGCTTTTTCAATCTAAGGCAGTCGCACCAGCCTCACCTTTGCGCATATAACGCGCACGATCCAGCTGGCACGATTGAATTGCCCGGAATGTGTGATGGTTGTAGGCGATTCAAAGACAAGGTGGACCAACATTTGGAGCTATCGATCGAATGGTTCGAATGTACAGAAGATATAGCGGGAATCCAAATCGGGAACTCGAATCTGACGGAATCCATAGAAGCTACACCCTAGAAAACTAGATCGGTGCTGGAACATTTGCGAAGGAGGCTCATCAGCACAATCTGCAGTCAACTGGGTCCCTACATCCAACGCTGACTGAGTGATAGGCTGAGAGGTAAACAGGTGGAATCAATAGAGAAGTCAAAGGCTAGCAAATTGAATAGACCATCACTGTACACTTTTTCTTTTATCTGGAGTGTATTTCGATTTCCTCAATCCAGAGGTTTTCCTTCATTTACGTGTGGACACATTTCTGATACTCGTCCCATTCGTCGTCTTTTCTGATACAATGCAAACAGAGCCCAGTGGTGTCCCTAAAGATTCGGTCCACTCTCCTAGATAGCGCGTCAAGATTCGTCAGCAGCGGGCAACCAGTACCAGCTGCACAGCTATGCTTAAGATCAGCCTTTGCACAGGTAAACCGAAAGACGATATCTGAGACCGAACACACCCCAAAGGGCTTAGCAGTTGGCCACAACTCTACTTTTCGGAGAATCGCAAAGTATTCGGCAATCCTAGTCTCGCTTGTACAGTATTTTGGACTCAATGCAGTGTTATGGCATGGGTGGCATTTCTTTGCCACTTCAGGAAGAGCTCTCTCGCAGTTAGTGCAGAAGAGATTCGGTGTTTCATAGCCTTTCGAGACTCGCGTAATGAAGACTCCACAGCCTGCAGCTCCGCTTCGAATTTGCGCAATGTTCGAGTGATACAGGCAGTAATCGCCCCTGTTTGGAAATCAGCTCTGATCGCAATTGCGGAGACTTCTATGTGCGACACACCAGGTATACTGGTAGGCAGTATGGTCAATATTTCATGTTGTTCCCATCTTGAGGAAAAGGCAATTGTCACTTCTCTTAAAGCTCTTTCTGAGATCTCTGTGAATTTCCCAGAATCATTGATCAAAAGAGCAGCTAAAAGCAAAAATCCGAACTCCTCGGGGGAAAGCTCTCTCACCGATCCGACACTCTTGAACCACACTGAAAACCAGAACGTCAATGCAGTGACGCAGTCATACTTATCGCACTGTACCGCAAGGCCGGCCAATCTTTCAGCAGTCATGACGTTGGTGTCACAGACACCCCGATAGTGGCAGCCAGTAACACGCCTCTATTCTCCCTTGTTTCTCTCCCTTTCTCCTCCTTACGGAGTTGCACTATCTCCCTTACGAAGTTGTGTTGCTCCCTTGCTGTCCTTTGCTGTCCCTTGCTGTCCCTGGAGTCTCGCTACTCTATATAGTCCCTCGTTACAACATCAATACAACTCATGCTTTCCTTCTCTGATCCTTTGCCCTTCCTACGCCAGCTGCGAGATAGTGGAGGACGTTGAGAACAATGCTCATCGACGGAGCGTCATCTTCATTAAGGTCTATCACTGGAAACTCCCCTTGAAGCAATTTCAGTCCTTCCTGGAAACACGGACCGAACATTCGAACGAAATAAGGGGACGCAAGCCGGAGAACTTTGCTCGAAACCTGGAACGATGTTGTAGCATTGTCGTGCTGACTCTCAATTCTGAGTATAACATCTCCATTTGGGTCTAGTCTTGATAAATCACTGGTTCCGTTCGTCGGTGATACAGTGTTCTATACGTTCAAGGTGTCCTCTTAGAAGTCATTCTGTCATACCAGGGGAGCATCTACTTACTTCATCCATAGTGTCTGGGATTGTGTCCATTCCAAGAATGCTGTCGAGGGAAGTCTTCCAATATGGTTCAGAAAGGAGTCGACCGGATGAACAAGCAGCTGTTTAGAAAGGCACATGACAATAGTTCTAGTGCGACTTGTGTTGCTGCTCCGGATGAATAGATCCGATTGGGCAATTGGCTACCGTCCTGGACCGTATGGGTCCATTCCAAGCTTTTGCACAAGCCTTCAAATGAGCTAATTCAAGGTACAGCATTGTATCGAAAGCTTGTAACCACATGCACGAACTGGGAGCCGCGAGGCGTCAGCTGCCTGGTTGTTCAAGCGAATTGTCGATAGGTCGTTTTCACGAGCCAACTACTTACCGCCGGTCTCTTTCCGACATGCAGCACTGTCTAGACTCCTCATGTAGCCGCGCACAAACCGAACACAATGGCAGACTAATGGTCATCGTGGACGGAATGTTCCGCAGGACACCGAAAGTAAAATTTCTTCCGTCGACAGCGAACTAAGTCACCGGGCCTAACAGCGACGCAACTAGCTTTTGTCAAATCACTATTAACTAAGTAGCCTGCTGTTCCAAGTATCTTCTTCTGATGATTGATAAAATGATTTGTCTAGCATGATGCCTTATCGATCAACCCTTCCTAAATGCTTCCGTGGACGCACTTACAGCAACCTGGCAGATCTGGAAGAACATGGCAGGGCTCAAGGGCAGTTATGCAACGTGTATTGCCACAGCCCAAGTTTCGATTCGAGAATTCGGTGGATAACTAGCTTCTGAGCTAATTAGATCTGCGATTAGTCAAACAAGTCTTAAAGTCCGGAAAACCTCCAGTTCAACGTACTGGCACAATAAAGCCTTTGGCTTTGAGTGCACTCAGGTTAAAATTGATGTGAACTCTGCCTGTATTGTAGTGGCCGTACGGGCCGAATATATACTAATAGGAAATGGCCCACCCCCTAGGTCTTATTAGCTCAGCTGAATAGAGGCCAGCTGAAAGGAATGGACACAGCTGAGAGGACCCTGGTGTAGCTGAACAGAGGGCCTCGCCGCGCTGAGTGCGCGCTAGTAGCAACCAACCAAAGAACGAGAATCAAGGAGAGAGAAAAGGGGGGGAGTGCCTGTACATAGGTGACCGTGAACCGTATGAGTTGTTGATCCTAGGTTGTAGCTGTTACAACCCGAGTAGTGCCGATCGCGTTGTAAATGGCATCCTGTTCTCTAGTTGCTCGCGGTGTCTGACCCTTTCCCCACTTTGAATAGCGGATTCAATCTTTATGGCTCACATGATTCTTAAGAGGAGTTCAGTCCATCCATCTTGTATGGTTCAGTGATAAGGCTGGTAGTTTATAATGACCAGCGATGATCCTTGATTGAGACCGGAGAGTTGTCCGTGTCAATTTATTGGTAGGCGGATTGCTGCGGAAGGTCAACACTATATGACTATCTACAGCTAACGACAAGCGGCCAACCCATTAGTCTAAATCGAAACACGGCTCCTACGGTTGTACTTCCGAAAAGCAATTAAGTACATCCTAAAACGTCAGTAGCTCCAAATCTAAACTCTAAGGTAAACTCACGGTACATAGGACGATACTCGAGACTAATTGGCTTGATAGAGGTCATTTGGTTTATATAGAGACGGATAGTTCACCATTCTGATCAAGTTGTCAGGCACTTGTCCAAAATTTGTCAATAGCCGCTGACAATGTCCAACTACGAATCGTTCCAAGACAAGATGAACTATTACTTCAAGAACATAGTCCTCCTCTAGCAGGCCTTCATTGCAGCGGGGGCGCCTGAATCGCGATCTGAAACCAATGGGCTAACCCAGGGCAATAAACAACTCGCACTCGTTGGCGACGCCGTTCTTCGGCTGTGTGTCCTCGATGAATGGTTTTCGACTGAGAGTGACACAGGTATGGATGCCGTGAAACAGGTGGCGTCCTTCTGACAAGACGTAGAAGTTAGATACAATCTTGTAGTAGATGTCGCAACAAATGAACACTTGAAGAATGTAGCGAAGGAGTGGGGTTTAAAAGAGTATATTAAGGAAAACCCATCTCAAGAGGATAAGGAAGCAAAGACTACGCTCGCTTCTACCGTCGAAGGGATTATTGGAGCGGTATGGGTCGATTCTGATCGAGATTTCGGAGCTGTCCAACGTGTTATAAAGAAACTGGTATACTGATTGACGTATGTGGCTTTGGAGGCGAGCAGCGATATCAGTTAGACTAGCGGTTCGGATTGGATTAAGTGTAATTCGCGAACCATGGAATGATACTGCGCTATTTCTCGTTATAGCGTTATGACGCCGAAGTTTTGTGGGAAGTTTGGTGAAATAAGCGCTACTGTAGACTTTCGAAACTCTATGCAAGAAGAGGGAGTGACTTGGACGCGGGTCGGTGGAGAGTTGGGAGGAAACCTGCGCATCGTAGGTCAGTACAGTATAGGAAGGAGAGGATAAAATTTGAAAAAAGATGCCACTTTGAGATGTGTTGGTCACTAGTGTCATTGCTGACTGCTCCAGAGTGGGATCATTATATTCCGAGCGTCCGCACAGCCATAGGTCTAACCGCCACAGGCCTAACAGCCACAAAACTTGGCTTACTGGATGACATAAGTAAATTACACCGTGATGATTATGTAGGACTTGCGGGGTCATTTTGCACTAGCCGGGATTGGTAAGTGCTTCAATCGGAAGTACCGACCAGGGTGGCGACCTTGCGTGAATTTGCGTGCGATAGCAACCACAAGGCTGGTGACGAATTCTCAGTATGGTAGTGAGATTATAAGGCTCGGATAAGGCCCTTTTATGAGCATCAGGAGTGATAAGAGCTCGATAGTGGTGCTGTGGCGACGGAATTCATTTACGCCATGAAAGAAGGCTCTTTGCAAATCAGGCGCGAAAGCGACGATGCGGACGTTATTTTTAGGTAGGAGGTGTTCTGAGTGTTCAGGAGTGGCTACAGTAGACGACTTATATAGAACTATGGGAAATCTTGATGTGTGCAACGAGTCTAAGTTGTTTGAAGTCGAAAGTACCCCTTATATTTTCCGGCACGGTGGGTTTTCCGCGACATAGGGAGGGACGTTAGCAGCACTATATATGTCATGGCGCTAAAGCTTATCGCACGCAGAACTCATCCTTGATTCTAGGAAATCAGAACTAAATAAAAAGGAATGTTTTATGTTGCCAGATGCTATTCTGCTTACCCAAACGCTCCACACCTCGGAACTTTGTCCAACTTCTCCACAATGCGATACTTGAATTATCCTTTGCCCCACTCCATTATCTGAGCTAGAAAACGCACGAGCTCTCTCGCATCGCGTTCGCATGTAGTGCGCCACGACTGAAGAAACTCCACGTGAAATGCGCCTTCATGCTCGAAATGCACCCACAACTCGTGTACAGGGCCCTCTGTCACGATGGAGAAACAGGGCGGTGGGGTCGATTGCGGCGCCGACGACGTCGTGGATAGCGATGTGAGCTTCGGATCCAGCGTCTGGAATCCCAAGTCAGAATGCGAGCACCTACGGAAAGTGTGTATTCACGAAAAATGGCCTGTCGACAAGGTATGAAGTTTCAGCAGTAGTAAGATGTAAAATAGATGTCCCCGCATTACCTAGTATAAAACGACAATTTTGTGTGAAAGCTGACATCCCACATACCTTATCTACGCCAGTACCGTATCTGCAACCTAACGCTTCAGTCCTCCCATAGCCTCTCTGAAGGTATTCAAGCCCTTCTGGAGCATGACTTTGCGAGACTTAAGGAATGTGCGTTGCTGAGTGAGCTCCGGTGGCTCTGCAGCGATGAAATTGACCTCCGTGTTAGTGAACTGGGTGACGACCAACGGAGAAAGGATTATGTCAAGAAGCGGCTTAACGAGGTGGCGCTCAATAACTTGCTTAGCGACAGCGTTGATGAAGTACTTCGACTCGTCCTGCTAAATTATTAGCTTTCTAGTAGGAACGTTGCAAGTGGGTGTTTTTACCCTATAGTATGCGCGCTGATTATCTAAAGCCTCCTCTGAGGAGAACTTGTCCATGTTCTGCTTAATAGAATTAGCTATAGCTTTCTGCATCTTAGCAGGATCGCAGTAGGTGTGGTGTGAATTCGATTGGTAGACAACCGTCTCGGATGCCTCCGTCGCTCTTTCCATAATCTTCTAGTGCTTGCGCTGGTGTTGCTTCTGGAGAGTGGTAGTGAAGTAGTGATTGTAAGTTATGGGATGACGGGCCTTATCCGCAATTATTTTGCGAAGCTCTTCCTTGCAGGCTAATAAAGCAGTGGCGAGCGCTTTATCCACGCACATCCTAGTAAGTCGACCCTGGAACTTAGCTGGGGCAGTGTGCTGAAGAACAATGTAGACGAAATCCTTGCAGACCTTGGCAATCTTGTCGATGTGCTCAGAAGCAATCGTCTCCTATGGCTGAGACTAATCCTAGAATAGTTGGCTGATGAGCATTGGATTGAAGTTTCCCGGCAGCTTAAATCCACGTGAGCGCTTAAGAACTTTTTGGACCCACTCGATGGCTTCCTTACGGGTGAGGATCTTTGGCTTCGGGAGAAGTGAGCTGACGTCCTTATCTTCTAAATTGGCTAGCTGGCTCTGTGCTTTCTCCTCTTCGGCTTTATCTATATTATCGTCTCTAGGACCTAATCCCACTGTATATTTGTGACCTCGCAGACGTATGTTGTTAGCGAACTCGATGTTTAGATATTAGATAACAGCTCGAAACTGTTGGATGTTCTCTGCTAAGTTAACCGCAGCTTCCATATTAACAGGGCCAAAGAAGTTGTTCTTATAGTATCCCTTAACCGCAGACTTTAGGATATTGTAAACACGCATGCTAATCTTAACGAGCATTATGCGCTGCTTACTTACGGTACTACGCTTTTTACCTAGCTTCTCGATATTATTAACAGTGTTCTAAAGCTTAGTGCTTATTTCTTCTTTAAGCAACGGGAGCTCCTTAATAAGATGATTGAGCAAAAGCTTGCTGAGACGCTTGCGGAGCGAGTTAATTCCCACGCCGTCCCTAGGCAAGTTGTTGTAGCGGCCCTTGCTGAAGAAGAGTGCCTCGGCCTTGTTCCGCTGCCCGAAAGAAAAGCTTATCTTGTTGTCCGCACGATTCTTCAACATATGCCATCCCAACTTGAAATAGATGTTCTTATTTTGGGCCAGCTCAACCCAGTCGAGCTTGTTCTGAGTACCCTCGCGAAGGTAATCGGGCTTCGTGACGATACCCAGCGTGCGCTCGCGTTTCTCGTCGATCTTCTTGCAGTAATCTAGAATAATTTGGTTGGCGAAATCATTCTTCGCAGAAACTACAGCAAGAATTATGGTACAAGGATTCTTTATATAGTCTTTGACCAGATCAAGGATTAACTCCTTGTCAGCCTCGGTCTGGGCTTTGTTTGTGGCATGGATTAGACCAGGAAGGTCGACTAAGGTCCTAATTAGTTAGCTAAAACCTAATAATGGTCCAAGGAGCTTACAGTTGTGGTTGGTCCGGTCCGCAAATGTTGACAGAAAGAACGTCCCTTAAGAACGCCCTCGAATTGATTTCACCGACTCTTCCTAGACCTATAACCTGCGTGGCATCCTTAATAATCTCCGGAAGTTGCGAGAAATCTTTAATAGACTTACTGAAAATGTTCAGTTTTGCTTGTTCTTGCTTAGAGCGGTTCTTGTCTGGGGTGATTGAAATTTTGATAGTAGACGTTGGGCCGCGGCGTAAGATGATCTCCGTTGCAAACCGAGTACAAAGATTCTCTTTGCGAGGGAAGGGGATTTCAGTGATGGCCTTAAGAACGGAGCTCTTGCCACTAGACTGGTCTCCGCAAACGATAAGCTGTGGGAGTCCTACGATACCACTAAGACCGGTGCGACGAAGCTTATCGACAATGTCCATGACCTTGCGTTGATCATCGCTCTGAAGTGCCTTGAGCGAGCTTGTCGTCACGGCTTCGGGGTCTATAGCAACTGGCGCGATTGGGGTGGCCATGCCATCCTATTCAGAGTCACTGGATGTATTGGAAATCATGACTAGCCTTTCTGTCGTAGGATTGAGAGTGATACGGCCAAAGCTAAGGTCTAGGTAATATTGATATTGGGAGGAATAGTGGGAGCTTGGGAGAGGAGGTTGGTAGGAGTTCCTCGAGCAGGGAAACAGGCTGGAGTCAACCTTAGGGACGTTGTTGGTGTAGTAGTGAGATCGTTGAGACTGGGTGGTGTTTTACAGTAGTAGTGTTGATGAACTACACAGGCAGTAGAAGAAGCATGTGATTGAAGAGATAAGTAATTATGCTTTTCGGGACCGCGAGGTAAGTTTTGGTTGGTAAACGTTATCTAGCTCGTTGGGAAGTCAAGCAAAGCACACTGCTGTATCTAACAAAGTATCCAGTGTGGGACGCCGGGACGCGTCACTTCGTCTGAAATCGATGATCGCACCTATTAGTATTATCCAAAGAAATTCAATGTGCAAATATGATTGTTGCCAACATTAGCAATGCATATCCTACTATCCAGTTAAAGGGCAGGTGCATGCTCAGTCGGCCGACTGGCTTAATGGCATCCCCCCGTGCCCACACTAATGCACATACGCAACTAGCCTTAGTAGCTAGCCATACAAAACTGAACAGCTACTAGGTAGCTAGCGTGACGTGCCTTAATAAAGGTGGGGTCTCCCCACATTGAGCAAATAACACTGCAAATTACCGGCCTTGAATGATCCATGACAACTGAGGTGGGGTCTTCTAGCACCGCAGAGTGGCAAGAGACCATGTCTAACTAGGGAAATGCGGGCAGACATTACATGAACATTCGTCATATTACCTGCGCAGGTGACTACTTACCGTCGTGGTTATCTCTATGGAAACATCTGCTTGAAACTTTGCACTTTCTTTTTCCCTATCAATGCAGATGGATGATCCTTTCAAGCCTTTGCTTCGCAGTCTCCCAGAGTAAGGATATAGAGGCTCCCCATACTATCCCAAAGCTCACGCATTCAGCTACTTCAATTCTCTGAGCCTATCAGATGGCATCATTCAATCTGATGATAAGGAGTTCAGGATCCATAAACTTGTTTTATGTGCCCAGTCAAAGTATTTCTCGAAGGCATTCACTGGAGACTGGAAGGTACGTTCAAGAGCTGCGAGATCCATTCTTAATCTCTACTGACGTTGAATCGTCAGGAGTCAGCGGACGGAGCTATACGTCTAGAGGGGGATGACGTGTCCGCTGTAGAAGCAATGCCGCAATTCATGTACACCGTTGACTACGATGCCAGTGGCAGTGCTAAGAACAGTGCTTCGCCCATGGTATTTAATGTCAAAGTGTACAGCATCGCAGACAAATACGATGTACCGGCGTTGAAGTCACAGGCCAGGCAAAAATTTGAAACGACCGTCGAGACTTGCTGGAACATGGATGATTTCCCAGATGCTGTCGCTGAAGTATATAACTCCACTCTGTCCATCGATCGAGGCCTCCGAAATGTGTTAGTTGATGCAGCCTGCAAGCACATTAGCGAACTACTATCGAAACAAAGGTTTCGCGACATCCTTGGAGAAACCGTCGGATTCGCTTCTGATATAGCTCAACTTCTTGCCAAGGGTCGAAAGAAGTACCAATGTCCCAGCTGCAAGAGTATATGGGAGGCTTCATTACCTTCAAAAGGTTCCTATTGTTGTATCCATTGTGGTAATAGATATTCCGATTGGGATTCCTATGTCGCATAATAAGTACGTGGGGCCATTGTCCGTCACCTTCTGGTGTTGGTCGCGTTTTCTAGCGTTTGCGTTACCTTTGTAACGTTTGGTGTCGGCTTCGGCTTTCAATGTCGTTGCGATTTATCACCAGTTGTATCCTAGTCTCCAGGCGTTCGACTGAGGTTAATCGCGTTTAACTTCTCTTCATTCGCATTCACTATGGGCCGAGACGAGGAACTTCAGTCTTTGCTGATGTCTCCTCGAAAATACGTCATGCATCGCCGATTAAGGCGTATGTACGTAGGCTTGCATACTTTATATTTGATAATGCCTGGCTCGCCAGGGCGACAGGGGAGAGCACGCCGAGTGGCAGAAGCCATTCCCTAACGTACCGTTTCGCCAAAAAACTTTTGTACGCGGCATTGTCCATCGGAGTAAGCTTGCATGCGCGATTTCTTTCATTGGATGTTGCCTTTAGCCACTCTAGGTCCACCATGTTATCAATATCTAGAAACTGAGGATTTGGCTTGGTAAGCGTGTCGGATCGACAAGAGATCGTTCCTGATTCGCTAACAGAGACGATACGACGGAGGTGCTGCAGCTAACTTGCCATAGCTTGGCAAACATTGATCAATCAAGACTGAGCTCGATGATGTCCGATTCATACTTGTACTTCGTATGAAACAGTATCACATATTGAAAAGCAAGCCCTACATCCTATCATTCTCTCTCATCGACCGGTCAGTCGTCGAGGGAATTGGTCTCCACATTTCCAGTGCGTCAACGATGTATGAACAGAACGTTACTGTGTCGCATCCAAGCAAAGGCTGCATTAGACGTGCCAGCTCAATCTTATCACTTTTAGGGACGTATTTGGCACGTCGGTTAGGGCGTAAAGTTAACTGTGCTCTTACGCCAATCAAGAATCCATCTGTTCAGTATGTAATTGCGAGTGTGTACCCTAGCTGGCAAGGGTGGTCTTCCGCATATATGTTCTCTTGCGTGACTCTAGAGCCGGGAATACGTGTTGATACTGTAAACGCTCCCCATACCTTCAGAACGTTCGACCCATCAATCCGTTTGTCCACCTCGAGGATCAATGGCCACGCCTACATGCCAAGTGAAGGAGACCAATGATATTATGCTCCAGGATGCACTGAACAACACCTCCCAGAAGAAAATAGACCAGTCGCAATGCCCTCGCGACCGAGAGGCAGAACGTGCCAGCTCCATGATAACACAGTATCTGCGGGAGAACGTCGCAGAGTTTCAACGACTGACCGAGCTTCGACAGCAGGTAAATAAATACAGCGCTAAAGCTCTCACCCAATTCCAGGGCGACGATGCTGACTGAGACAGGGATGGAGCAATCCGAAAGGCGATCGATACTTCGAAAAACAACGCCACAATGCCGACAACGCGGACAAGAAGATGGCTCAAATTTTCTACAAGATGATGAAAGAGATCGGCCAAGAAATGCACCGGTCAACCGGTGCTCTCGCAATAACAAAGACGGCTGCGAACAGCCCGACCGTTCTGGACATATGTATGGCCCCTGGCGGTTTTCTTGCAACAACGTTGGATTTGAACCCTGGAGCCCACGCTCTGGGATTCAGCTTGCCTGTTTCCGAGGGAGGACACAAGGTGCTCATACACAGAGCTCCCAACGTAACGCTTAAATCCCTTGACGTTACAATGCTTGCTGCAGATATGGGCGTTACAGACTTCTCAGCAGATCATCCCGAAGCAAGGAATTTGCTACCACAACAATTCGACCCTGGACAACTCTTCGATCTCGTCCTGTGCGACGGTCAGGTCCTCCGTACCCACGTCCGGGTCGCGCACCGAGAGAACCGACAAGCCTGCAGACTAACAGTCACCCAACTTGCCATTGGGCTTGAGCGCGTCAAGGTTGGCGGGACTATGGTCGTTCTTCTCCATAAGGTTGAGGCCGCATACACCGTTACCTTACTGTACATGTTCAACAAGTTCTCTTCAATCAAGCTCTTCAAGCCGGCAAGACACCATGCCAAGCGCTCATCCTTCTACATGATAGCTACCAATATTCAAAGCCAGCACTGCGAGGCTGTCCTAGCGGTGGAGAGGTGGAAGAGGCAGTGGAAAGCCGCAACGTTTGGAACGGATGAAGAACACAAGGAAGAGCTTCGCGCGGTATGTTTGAATGCAGAGGAGGTACTGGGAGAGTTTGGGTCAGAGCTTGTGAGTTTGGGAAGGGAGGTATGGGGAATACAGGCGAGGGCACTGGAGAAGGCGCCGTTTATTAAGAAATGAATGAAGGCCCGGGTGGTTCAGGCTCATCGCTCTTGTTCCGGCACGCATGGACGACTGCATCTACCAGAAAAAGTTAAATTGCATTAGCCACAGACCTCAAGAGCCATAAATGGGCGGACTTGGAGCGACAAAATGTGGGCGAAATTTGGTCGGAAGATTCTAGATCCGGCGAGAAGACGGAGGAACTCGAACGCGCCATCGAGAAGGCTGCCCTATAGCATTCTTAGCAGCTGCTTGCTCTATACAAATCGTCATCTCAATCATTCTACTATGAGCGAGTCTGAGTCCGCGATCGTAAACCATAACAAGACACAATAAGCTTTTAAGAATCAATGTGTTATCCCTTAACCCGTCGATTAAGGCGCAACGCTCGGGCCACTTTTTGTAGCCAATCAGATGCACCGCATCGGCCCCTGAGTATAAGAGCTACGGAGAGATAAGAATGTTTGAATTCGTGATTTCTATGTACATATCTGCTTGTAGAGCTAGGCAATGGTGTTAAGCCGGGCTACGTGCTCGCTCCAGCACGTGCCCTCTCTACAGAACGGAATGTTGCATACAGAATAGCCCCAATTCGTTCTTGGCGGCCTTTCACGGCGTTTCCACCCCCTGCTATCCTCTCGCTTCTTCTGTGTTGTATTAACAGATAGCTTAGCAAGAGCTTTTCGAGCGCCAAGATAAGGCTTTGAAGTTGCGCGGTGCTTAGCTAAGCAGCCGGCGCAGGTGGGTTGTTTTGTAAACATTTTAACATGCTAATACTTATTAACCGGTCTCTAAACAAGATCTATAGGCCCCTTCGCTCTCTGTATAGAATTTTGCTGGCGATAGCGAATAGATATATATAGGAGCTTGTCTTATAGGTCTCGACAGAATTATAGATAAGTATTTTAGCGTAATACGCGCTCGCCTAAGCCCGGCTTAGGCCTATATAATAAGAGTATATAGCTATTACCTATAACTATATCTAATAGAAAACTCTATAATAGCTTCTATATCTTTCTATAGATATAATTTATATTATAATAGCTGCGTATTTAGTCTACTACGTCCACGCCGTATATCTAGAGGTTATACTTATTAATTATTACTAGAATATTAAGCTACGCCTGCGCCTTTTTACTAAATATTTTTACTATTTAATAATATTCTATAGCTGTTTTTATAGGTTATTTCTGTAGCTTAGCAATATAATTCTTCCTATTATATATAGTAGATAGGAATAAGACTATTATTATATTTTTCTAGGCGAATTCTATTACCTTATAACTCTTTAATAACTTACTATATAGTATACTCTATAGAATTTGCCTATTATAGCTTAACTTAAGGTTTATAAGTAATAAAAAAAAGCTTTCTATAGGCTTAATTTTCTTTTTCTTTATCTAGTATTATAAAGCGCTAGATTATTTCTTAATAGTAATAATATTTAACGTACTCTATAAGCGAGCGGGCTACCTAAGTAAGCGGGCTACTCTATTACTAAAACGCGCTGCAAAATATAAATTGCTCTACAACGCTAATAAATATTAACTTAATATAACTTACAGTTTAATCTATAACAATTTCCTTATCTTTTTAACACGTATAAGTATTATATCCTGTCTTGCCGCAGCGCCTATAGCGCGCTTGCTGCCGTGTATTTCCACCCGGGCGCCTCCTATTTTAACGCATTTTGTCCTTAATTTATTTATTAGCTTTTTTTTAAGCAATTATTTTAGGGGCGCTAGTACCTATATACCCCCTTTTTAGTAGTTATATACCCCCCTTTCTAGTAGTTGTACACCCCCTAAACCCCTATTATTTTACCGCCTTTTAATTAGCTTAGAGCACTGCACTAGAGCTCCGGGTATTTACCTATATATTATATAAAGCTGTATAAATTAGAAAGGCTATACGCCGATTTATATAGCCTTGCCGATTTATATAGCCTTATATATAAGCTTATATATAAGCTTATATAGTATAAGTATAAGTCTAAGTTTAAGTATAGAATAGAAATTCTATTCTAGAAATGCCTATATATTTATAAATATACTAAACCTGTTAAAACCTTACTTTATTACAGCTTTTTTATATTAAGCCTAGCCCTCTTATATTACCGCCTCCGCCTGCTTAATATTTTAGTTAATTTCCGCCTTAATATCTTTATTATACGTTATAAGCTAATATAGAAGCTTTTCTCGGCTAAGCCTTTATACCTAAGGATAAGGCTAAGGCTAAGGCTAAGGCTAAAGCTAAGGCGTAGGCTAAGGCGTAAGCTAAGTACTATTTTACCTTTAAGCTTATACTTTTTTCTATAGTACCTTATTTTTTATACTAGGCGGCCGGCCGCGCTTTTTAGCTATAGGTGCAGCTATAAGTATAGCTATAGGTATAGCTATAGGTGTAGCTATAGGTATAGCTATAGGTGTTACTATATACGCTGCTATATACGCTGCCGTATATACTGCTATATATACTACTGTATGCGCTGCTATATACGCTGCTGTATACGCTGCTATATATACTGCTATAGGTGCTGCTATAGGTGCTAGCAGCGGAGCTGTAGGCATGCGTTCTAAAGGTATAGCTAGAGGTCCACTTTATATACTTCTACCTATAGCTACTGCACCCGTGCTTATAGCTTACTTAAATTTTAATAGCTTTTTCTATATACTATTATCTATATAGTAGCCTTTCTTCGGCTTTTTTAGGCGGCCCTTACAAATTATAATAATTTTTAGATTCTATACGTTGTAAAATAGAAGCTCTATAGCTGGCTAAAGTATATCTAGCCGGTAAAACTACTAATAATAATTAATTTCTTATAGTTATATACGTAGTATACTATTCTTAACAACGCCTAGTGCTTAGTATAGACGATTATACAGCGTATACGTATATAAAAGGCTATAGATTATTTTAAACGTATATATATAGCTCTATAGTTAGTAGTTAGCTAACTTAGCCTTTTATACTTAAGGCTTAAAAAAGCGTAGTATATATAGTGTAATCTTAAAGTATAGGTTATAGAATTCCGGTAAATTCACGTTATAAAGCTATTAAGTATACTATAAGGCCTTTTTATTTTTATATATAGCCTGGCTATTAAGTATAAGGTTAAATATATTAAGGAGAATATTATATAAGTAGCCGGTAGAAACCTAGAGGTACTGTTTTAGCGTGCTGTAGCCGCCCTTATTCCGTAATATAATACTATAATCGGTTAGTATTATACACCTAAATTTATATCTGCTTAACCTAAAACTTAATACTAAAATATACGAATTTAAAGCCTAAACTTTATAAAAGGTTTATAGTTATATAGAATAAGCAGCGCTAAAAAGGGTAAAAGTATAGCTTAAAGAATAATTAAGAAATAGGATATAAATACTTATACTATACTAAAATATTAAGTGCTTTTTATATAGCAGTACGCCTACTACTACCTATACGGCTACTACTTATTATCTATATACTTAATTAGCTCCCACCTTTTTTAATAGTCCTTTTATAGCTTCTTCTACTTACTTTTAAACTTATCCTAATTAACCTTCCTAACTAGAGCGCTCTAGCAGCTAAGGAATTTACTTTTTTTATCCTATTCCTTTTTCTATATAGTAGCTCTTTTCTTATCTATTATAGGTATAGAAGGTGTGCTGCCTGCCTTATATATAGGTGCCTTTTTATAGACCTTAGCTAGCTTAGTAATAAAGTTCTTATTAATATACTATATATATAGCAGCTATAGAATACCCGGCTACTTAGCTTTTAGGGCCTTTTTTAACGCAGCTTTTTTATCTATATAGAAAACGCGTGGGCGTAGTAAATACGCTTAGAAAAGCTTATAAAGCTGTTATACTGCCTAGTTATAGTTTAGGTTCTTTTCTTTTAAAATAAAATAATAGGTAATCTTAAAGCTAGTTCCTATATATATAATACCCGTTATATATAGTAATAGTATACTAAAATAGTTAGTTTTATATATATAGTTAAAGAGGATAATATTATAGTTAGACTTAAAAAGCTTAATTAACTATAGGTATATAAAAAAGAGGTAATTAACGCGGTTTTATTATTTAGTAAATAGCTATAAAAAAACTTACCCGCTTTTCTATTACTACTATACGTTTCTAACGTATAAAGTAGTACCTAGATAAAACTAAGGCCTTTAAAAAGTTCCTTCCTATATAATTTACGCTTATTATTAATATTATCCTTTATAATACTTACCTTCTACTTTAGCAGCTTTATATATATTGCTATAAATATACTACTACTAAAAAGGTTATTATAAATAACTTTTCTTACCTTTTTTATACGCTTAAGGCAATATAGTATAGGTAAGGCTATTATTTTAAGTATAGCTTTATAGCTAAAATAAAAGGCTTCTATTATTTCCTATATTTATATACCTTTAGGCTGTTAGGTAAAAGTTCCTTTTATAGTATAGCCGGTTTTTTTACTTCTAGTTTTACGTATATAGTTCTAAGGTATATAAAAGCATGTAAAAGTATATATATATTATATTTTTTAGGTTGTTTTTACTATAGTCTTATCCGGTTTAGTATAATATTTAGCTAACCTATAGCCCTATAATAAGGCGTGTATTTATAAAGTAATATACGCTTTCTCTACTATAGTATAGTACGCTAGCTATAGCAGCTAAAGGGCTATAGTAAGTATATTATAGAGGTGTATTATAAAAGTAGAGGAAAAGGCGGTAATTACTTATATACACGCCGTATTTAGAGTAAGTATTTAGAATTAGTAAGTAAATTAAGCAAGTAAATTAGAAGCCCTAGCCGGGCCTCTAAGCTAATTAAAAGGCGGTAAAATAACAGGGGTTTAGAAGGTATATAACTACTAGAAAAGAGGGTGTATAACTACTAAAAAGGGGGGTATATAACTACTAAAAAGGGGGTATACAGGTACTAGCGCCCTATCCCACGGCGGTAAATAGAACCAGCTCTATCCTACAGCGGTAAATAGAACCAGCCCTTATTCTATTTATTTATTAA